CCCTTATCATTGTTGCCTGGAAAGACGATAGCACGCTTGCTGTTCTCTGAACTGCCATCTGCCTTGACGACGTATGCGATGCCATTTTCAGCTGTACCAATCACTGTGTCGACGGTCTTGCCGACGCCTGGAAGCAGACCTTCTCCCTTATCGTTGTTGCCTGGGAAAACGATGGCACGCTTTGTTGGCAGAGCAGTGGCTAGTGACAGCGAGAAAGCTGCAATGGCGAAGTTTGTGAAACGCATTGTCGGATGGGATGAGGTTGGTTCGTGGAGTTTCCAAGACGAGAGGTTGGCTTTGGGTTATGGCGGTCTCTGTGGTTTGGTCTGAGTGCGTGGATTACCAGAGAATGGAAGGAAAGAGCAGGAGAGGAGAGATGAGGTTCGCACCTCTCAAGTAGCTAGCAGACCCATGAATATATGTTTTGTCCAACCGAGCTCTGCAACGACGATCTTAGTGGTCATGCAAAGCAGGCTGAGGTCAACATGTTTATCCGATACCCCAAACCGGCATCTGCACTTGCACATACCTAACTCAATTGAGCAACAACAGCTGAAAAATAACTCGGTTTGTAGATCGTGACGGAGCCGCATTGAACATCGCATACCACTTTTGTCCAACATGCTGGACAGGATCTGACATATCACCGATGTGATCTACAAAATGTGCCGTCTTTTGTACTAAGCACTGCAGAGAGTGCGGCTCGAAAGAAATAAGGTTGTGCTTTTGGTTCCGCGGCAAAAACGGATATAACAACAGAGTATGCTGCATCAACGGGTTTTGTCTGCATTCGATGCCAACTCTTGCAAAACACAAAAACTCTTTTGCACACACACTCACTTGCTCCGAGAAGTGTCCTAGAGAGTTGGCCGTGATGAATTTGTGCTGGGATTGATGTATGGGTGTATCCGCCAATGACATCATTCACATCTCGACGATCAAAAGAATGAGATCGACAGGAGGCTCGGACTCGGACTCCAACAAGTGGGTCTATACATAATTACTGGGTCAAGTGCTCTGATGTTTACAAGCCAAATGGTTCTAATTCTTCTATACTACGATATATATAAGTGGTTTCGAGATCGAACTCCAAGAGGATATTCATAGCTGTCTTGACGTTAGTGAGCAAAGCGGAAGTCCAGCCTTTTGTTTCCCTGGTCAGTCGTGTTCTGGATGTAGTCATCCCTCTGCTCCTGGCTCATGGCAGTCCACTTCTTCTCTCTCTGTTTGTTCCTGAAAACATAGTAAACCTTTGCAAAGCCATAGAGTGCGATGGCCAAGCAATTGATAGCCACGATCTGCATATTACCGCGGTGGTATAAAGGCTTATCGTCAGCCCTGTAGATGTTCGAGCCAATGACTCCTCCAGCCTGAACCGACATGTTGTAGACAGCGGCAGAGATCGTGCGCGTACGAACTGAGCCGGCGTTGCGGGATGTCCATGCAACGAGGATAGCATGGCAGTATGGGTAGCCGAGAAGTACGACCAGCAAGGCATACGTGCCCCAAACATCTGTTCCTGAGCCCGGCCACCAGCGTAGAGCTATCAAGCATGGCAGCATCCACAAATTCTGAATTGCGGCGATGAACGAGCGTTCTTTGACCCTCTCACTGAGCCAGGTCAGACTCAGTAAGGTAATGATGGTGACGGCATTGGGTACAATGGTAAGGAGATTAGTATTGAATGTGCTAAAGCCGAGGTATCTGAGAGTCAGACTTAGGAAGTTGGTGACTGGAGTAGGGGGGATGAAAACGACCAAGCCGAGTGCATAGATCTACCTGTGTGTCAGCATTCCTCGGGATCAGGTGCAACATGGCAACTTACAGGCCACAAGTCATAGTCAGAAAGAGACTGCCATAGACGTTTGGGCGTGATCGCTTGTCTATTGTGCATGTCACCCTTGGAAGGATCATCCCTCAAGACGCGATTGACCACAATCTTGACCTCGCGATCTGTAAACCAACCCTTGGGACGGAACCAAGTTTTGGTCTGCACAGCTGAAGCAGGCATGAGGAAGACAGAAGCCACACCAATAGCAAAAGTCATGAGTCCCTGTAATGTTGATAAACAATTATCCTAACACGGCAATGTCAACGGACTTACCTCTATCAGGAAGAGCCACCTCCAGCCAGCAAGACCGTGTGCATTGTCAAGATGGAAGATGCCAAACGCCAAAAGCGACGCAACGATGGTTGTAAGATTGAGCGCCGTCCAGAAGAAGCTCAAACGAACAGGTAGCTCAGTGCTCGTGTAAAAGTATGACAACCACAAAACAAGATCAGGGATGAAACCACCTTCAAGAACGCCAATGAGTACGCGGCAGAGATAGAAACTTGATCGGCCACTGAGGGCAGCTTGTGAGGCAGCGACAGCAGACCAAAGCATCATCTGCAGAGGAATCCATCTGTCAGGACCCAGTTTCTTGGAGATCAATTGTGAAGGAACCTCAGCAGCCATGAATGACAGTTTGAACAACGTTTGACCTACTGATCGTCAACATCGACTGGACATTCATGGGAGAGATTAACCAACGTACCATAATTGTACTCGTTAGTATTTAGGCCAAGGTCGTCAAGCATGTTGTCAGATAAAGCCTGTGAGATGTTGCCTCGATCGAGCTGCAGGGCGAAGAACATGATACATGCCCAAAGGCAGACATGCCAGTCCAAGCGACGAACAAGGCTCCTTTCCTCTGCAGCTGTCCATTCGATGTCCGGATCAAAAGCTTCTCGAGATTCATATTGTGCGGTTTCGTACAGGTCACGATAGTATTCGGCGACCTTCGGGTCCTTGAAGGGATTTCTGGAATCGATAGAACTTCTATCAGATGCCTCATCGACCTCGATTGGACTCTTGACATCAGTCGTAACGTTGAAGCCTCCTTTGGAAGACATGCTGGAAAGTTGAAATATGAGGTGATGAATGATCAGTCTGGAAGAGCATCCAGAGCCTATTTCAAGTACTCAGACACATCTTCTCAAGATTTCGTGATTTTGAAACCCTTATTCGCCATAATCCTGTGGCGCCTCTGCCCTGCATAGATTCAGACTTTTGAGCCATCATGCAGGATCACATCGTCTCTGAAATGGCGACGCCTTAGGCCGACCAACACAGCGGCAGACGCATAAGGGAGATAATAAGCGTGGAACAATAGTATTGTCCAATGGCGGAGACAGCCTGAAATGGACAAAGAAGACGCGAAATGGCGTGCTTGCCCCAGCAGTGGCTAAGCTGAAGCACCTTGAAGGCTGAAGCGACGCACCCCTCGAAGCGACGCAGTTCGCGATATTTCGTGATTCCACTACCTCTTCGATCAACCAGCTACCACATAATGACCATGTTTCGTCGCAATGCATCAACGCAAGCAAACTAGTTGATTGCCCATCGAAAATTTCAGATTCAGCGTGTTTACATCGATACGAGCGACTGCGCGCGTGCATGGCTTCCCCAAAGCGACTGGCTTTGCGAAACTTCTGAGCTATCATAGCAGCTCGTAAAGCTTAAGAGTTATAGGAGGCTGAAGAGGCCGCAAAACAACGAGTTTTCGATGCGCGCGAAGCTTCGCGCATGCTCTAGTAGAAGAGCATGGAAGAGCTCCAATTTGAGTGGCAGATATAGCTATTGTTGTGTATATAATCGATCAAATTGACGAACTATCGACTTCGCGAGCTGCGTCACTTCCAGGGGTGCGTCGCTTCAGGGTGCTTCAGCTTGTAGGGAAAGCCCCAAATGCCCAGAAACAGAGTGGCAGACTCGGCAGTCTCGTTTTCCGGAAGGAAGTTGCGATTGCCGAATGCTTTCGCTCTTGACGTGATAAAGCTGCAAAGCACGTAAAGCAGCCTGACAGCGCCTTCCTCGAAGCCACCAAGGGTCCAGTCGTAACTTTCAGGTGTTAGACAGCGCCTTCCTCGAAGCCACCAAGGGTCCAGTCGTAACTTCCAGGTGTCAGACCGCTAGAGAGACTCAGTGTCATATGCGCGTCCTTGACTAGCTCCTCAAGTTGAAGAGCTGCTTACCAACTCTTCCGTCAAGATGTGCTCAAAGGCAATCGTAAGGCGAACAATTTCTCTGCTATATTGCGCAGATCATCATGAGCCAATCAATAAGAAGAGCAGAATGTGCTCTGATAGTAATTGTTTATTGATTTGAGCATCTTACATGTACACCTTTCTTGCTTCTTCCAGACCATCATCTTTTGTGTAACAAGTGAGCCACCCGCCTCAGATGCTTTGTCCTCCTATTCCCATGATTGAACGCCAGCCGCTATGCAAGAAAAAGAGTAAATGGTATTTTTGGTCATCAAAAACGGAGCACAAGAATCAGAGTGTCGAACAAGGGTGGAAGCCATCAAGCGGAAGCAGCATCGCGCACATCAGGCAGGAAGTCACGAAGCAAAGCAACAAGATCGTCCTGGCGGGCAAGCTGAGTCAAGAGTTTCTCCTCAAACTCACGCCAGGTGCGGAGAACTTGCTTGTCGCCTGCAGTCAAGTACTCGTCTTCATGACCAACAACATCGAGACGCTCGGCTTTTTGAATGACCTCGCTGACAACATCCTTCTCATGTTGCATGCGTTGAATCAGACGAGCTTGTGCTTTGTATGTGCGTTGCAGAAGCAATTGGCGACAGCGTTCTGGATCAAAGTACCACAAGAACAGAGTTCTGCTGGGCTGACGTGTGTTGTCTTTGGGAACTTCCTGTGCTTCGACAAAACCCTGCTCATGCATGGCAGTCAAGATGCTGCGGATATCCTTCTGACGCATGAGAGAGAAGTTGGCGACTTGCTTTTCGTCGAGTTTGCCTTTGGCATGCAGCATGCGGACGATACGTGTAGCGATACTTCCGTATCCAGCGTTGATGACTTGTTCGACCTCGTTGCGTTGCATCCAGCGGATGAGTGCTGGGAAATTAACCCTCCACTCTCCTTTACCGCGAGTGCTCACTTTCTGAGCGAAACCACGTGGATGTTCAGCCAAAAGGGCCATGTGTTGTTCGACCAGTGTCAGACGTTGATTACGGTCAGCAAAGGCAGAAGCACCGCCTTTGAGTTTGTCAATGCCATTTTCTCGTTTTGGAACATCGCCATCTTCCAGATCGTAATCATCATCGTCGCCGTTAGAAAGTGTAGAGGCTAGATCGATGGTAGGATCGAGAATGTCAGTAATCTCGAGGGTAGTAGAGGTAGGCTGAGCGGCTTCTTCGTCGGCTTCGTCTGTGTATATGGCAAGCTCGTCGTAACATCTTGGACATTTTCTTTCCAGCAGTTCCAGTAATGCGCCGTACACAGATGCCGTGACATCTCCGATAGACTTTGCAGCCAAATTCTGCAGAGCCTGGCTGCGCAACGCAACATTGCATTTATCCCAGCTGACCTTCAACACCATGTCCTTGTCCATAACGACATCGTCCTCATCTTCAGCGCCATATGTGCCCACACCATTTGCTGTGCCTCCGTTGGTCTTTATTCTTTTTGCGGATGGACCATATCCATTGGATCTCTTGGGAACCTTCTTCACACCAGTGACAGCATCTTCGGCAGTATCCCTCCATTTTCTTTTTAGATCTCTTAGAGCCTGCTCATACACGACCTTGGCCTTAGGACCTGTGACTTTGCCATCGGGAAATTGCTCGCGTTTGACTACGAGATCGGCTTCGTTGTGAGAATCGGCGGCAGAAAGGAAGGTGGTGGGGCGGACTCGTGTTAGGAAACCAGATTCCAAGAGCTTGCAGAGCATTGAATGAAGTTGTTCGGGAGTGGTGATCTTTTTGAGACCTCTTTGCGCAGGCATACCCTCGCCGTTAATGTGTTCGACCTCGGTATCAATTGCATGTCCAGGGTTCTTGGAAAACTTGTAGGCATCCTCTAAGTCTCCGACACGTGCGTGACCGAGTTGCAGCAAGTTGGACACGAGCTGAGCAGCAGCTTCGCCGAAACGTGCTTGAACGATGTTGATGATCTTTCCAGATCGCATCAGATTGTATGCGCCATTCCAGTCAACTTCATAGAAGGTCTGCGGATCGCTACCGGCGGCAGAGGAGTGGAGGACCAGATGTTGCTGTATGAGGACAGTCAAGGCGTATTTGACATGGCGGGGAGAGAGCTGGGCGTTGGAGATGAGGGTCTGCAGGTTCACTCGACCCCAAAGAGCAAGTGTGCGAAAGACATGGGCCGAGAGTTGACCATACGACTCGTCGACCAGGAGAGCGCAAAGCTGCGAATAGTGCTGTAAAGAAGACTCAGAATGACGATTCTGGATGTAGAGCAAAGACTAGTAGGTCATTACCTCGGCCATGGTGGAGCGCAGCAGCGATGTCTTCCTCGGTCAGGTTATACAATGTACCCTATGCTACCGCGACATGAGTGGACGCAGAATGAGGCAGGAACAGAAAGCTCAAATCATTTTGAACATGACGGGGAAAGCGCGACGGTCTGTGCTGAACTTTTGTTCGTTCGTTCGCAGGCGGAAGGCTCGACGAATCAGAAGCGGCTTATTCCGATCCAGCAGGCCAGGAAGGAACCTCGAGCGTCGACAGCGTTGGCTCAAAGACATCGCCGTATCTCCCAGCTACCCTCCCCCTCGCCAATTGCTTCTCGCCGGCACACTCACAATGCTGTCCTGTTCGGCTTTCAGACGGCCAGCCCAGCGCGCTGCCCGCAACCTCTCGGCCCCCTCTACTCGTGGCCTCGCTGCTCCTGCCTCGGGTTCCTTCGCCTTTGAGACCGGCTCCGCCAATGGAGTCAAGTTCGCCAGCAGAGACATGGCCGGTCCTATGACCAAGCTCGCCATTGTCTCCAAGGCCGGTACCCGCTACGAGCCCCTGCCCGGCCTCTCCCTGGGCCTCCAGAGCTTCGCCTTCAAGGTCTGCGCCAACCACCACCGATCCATCCGTCATACATGAAACTCATTCGTACATACAGGGCACTTACAAGCGCTCCACTCTCCGCATCCAGCGTGAGGCCGAGCTCATGGGCTCTCAGACCTACTCCTCGCGCTCCCGCGAGAACCTCGTTGTTGGCGCAAAGTTCCTCAGAGACGACCTGCCTTACTTTGTCGAGCTCCTCGCCGAGGTCGCTACCCAGACCAAGTACGCCCCTCACGTCTACCACGAGGAGATCTACCCCCATATCCAGCTCGCCCAGAAGGCTCTCCTCGGTGACGTTCTCGAGATGGCCGTCAACTCTGCCCACGGCCTTGCCTTCCACCGCGGTCTCGGTGTTCCCACTTCGCCTTCTTCCTCTACCCCCATGAGCAAGTACCTCGACGCCGATGCCATTGCCGACTTCGCCGACTCCGCCTACGCCGCCCCCAACTTCGCCATTGTCGCCAACGGTGTTGAGTCTGGTGAGCTCTCCAAGTGGGTTGGTCAGTTCTTCAACAACGTTCCTTCGTCCGCCAGAGCCGAGATCACCACCCCCAAGTCTCAGTACTTCGGTGGTGAGGAGCGCATTGCCCACGGTTCCGGTAACGCCATGGTTCTCGCTTTCCCCGGCTCAAGCACCCCCACTGGTGCCTCATACAAGCCCGAGATTGCCGTCCTTGCCGCTCTTCTCGGTGGCCAGTCCACCATCAAGTGGTCTCCTGGTTTCTCTCTCCTTTCCAAGGCCTCTCACAAGTTCCAGGGCGCAAACGTCGAGACCAAGAGCGCCATCTACTCGGACGCTGGTCTCCTCTCTGTCTCCATCAAGGGCTCCGCCAAGGACGTCAAGGGTGCCGCTCAGGAGGTCGTCAACGCCCTCAAGCAGGTCGCCGAGGGTGTTTCCAAGGAGGACTTCACCAAAGCCAAGGCCGCCGCCAAGTTCAAGGAGCTTGAGTTCGGCCAGAACATCGATGCTGGTATTGAGCTTACCGGTGCCGGACTCGTCCAGGGCAACAAGGCCTACCAAATAGATGAGGTCGCCAAGGGCATTGACGCTGTTACTGAGGAGCAGCTCAAGGAGGTGAGTTCTAACTGTTTCCTAGCGTTTATGACATGTGCTAACGATTGTTGCAGGCTGCCAAGTCCATCTTCGAGAACAAGGCTACAGTGTCATCGGTTGGTGACCTTTACGTGCTTCCTTACGCCGAGGAGCTTGGCCTCAAGGTGTAGAGAATGTAAATATGATTTCAGGATGATGCAGAGGCAAGACAAAAATGTACCATTAAAACTGTACTCGCGATTCTGCGGTAGACTTGCAATTTTCTCTTTTGTTTATACACAGCATTTTTTTCGACCTTTATTGACACGGGTGTGGATAAAGCTAATTGAGTTTTGATGATGAACGAGCTTGACTGAAGAAGAGATGTGTGATGAGCTTCCAGTCTGGCCGGGTGTCTCTCGGGGTCTTTTCCAGAAACCATCTTATGACAGTCAAAACCTGCAATGACCAACGTTCGCAGGGTTACCTATTGGCTTGTGAAGCAAACAGAAAGACTGGGTTGCTGAATGTATAGTGAAACACGTGACGGGCGGGCGGAAGACGACGCCAAGGCGGAGAGCAAGTCGAGATCAAGCGCATTGTCAATTGCGAGCCAACCCCAAGCTCTCTATCCACCCTCTGCATCTATCAAATCACCACTCGCCAATACCGTCACAATGGTCGCCGCCTGGAAAGCCGCTGGTCTCAGGTGAGCCCTTCCGCCACAACCCGCGACACCCCGAGCTCGCAAAAGATGGAATCAAGAGAGAAGCAGACGACTGATACTTGGGTCTGATTCACAGCTACAACCGTTACATGGCCGTCGCCGCCCGTGTCGTCCGCCGCTCGCTCAAGGAGGACAAGAGATTGGCTGCCGAGCGCAGAGGAGAGATGGACTTGAGATTCGCCAAGTGGGAGGTGCGTTATACCTGATTCTATGCCCACGACGAGGCCGTACACCCGATGCCGACGCCCACGCCACGGACCCTACACTTTGTTCAACGACAATTGCAACAGTATCGCTGACCGAGTCGTGTCCAAACAGAACGGCAAGCAGGGTGAGAGCAAGAACCTCGCCGCTGCCCTCGCAGAGTCCACCCCCGCCGCCCAGTCCTCGTAAATCCAACCAGATACCATGCGCTAGGGAGACATGAGGGAGAGGAGGGAAAAGACCCTTGAGGGGTGATTGTACCAACATTGTCAATTTGCGAAAGTCAGAAAACGCTTGAAAATGCAATAAATGCAATCATCAGTCGGCATCACTTGTCTTCTAGTCCGTTACGGCCCTGTAATGTTTCGTACCTGCTGTGCTTGAAGTGACATTTTCAACAACATTCTACGTGTCATTCGTGACTAGTATCAATTCAACCTTTGAACCCTCTCTTGTGATTCGTTCCAATTTAGCAGTAAGGACATTTAATAATCATGGTCCAAATCCCATCAATCGATTGCGAAGCGCAAACACCAAGAAGACGTCGCCCAACAGACCTCCGAACAAGTGGAAATCCAACAAACCACAACACGAACAACCACGATCGCAACAAACCATGCAACCAGATATAACGCGCTTGAGTCTAGGGACTGGCGATGTTCAGCCTGCTACCATGTCATCTGTGTACAACGGAGGTGCTACTGCAAGATCTTCGCAATATACGCCGCGACAAATGGTTGTCAGAGATATCACAAAGGCGTTTTCAGATGCTTCTGCAGGTATGTTGGACTTCTTCGCTCAAGTTGAGATATTCGTTTTTTGTTATAGCCATGTAACGGACAATCTGTTCCTTGCGGGTGTGTGAAGTATATGTACAGTTTCGCTGATTTTGCATGGCTAGAATTGCGACAGGGACAATTGGTCAAGGATGACTTCTTTACGCTTTTCGAGGCTGTTGGAGCGCTTGAGGTGCGATTGCATATCTTCGAATGCTGTGATTGTTGCTAACGATTTGGTCAGATCATGGATCCTAAAATGGACAGTGGATTGTTGATTCCAGACAAGGATGCTGCAGTAGACAATTTCGACCCGCTGCAAAACATGTTGCCCGAGGAAATAATTGGTGTCATGGATCAATTACTCTCTTTTGAAGTATGTTCGAGCAAATGACTGTTGAACCAATTCTTCTTGGGTTTCTAACATGAGATTTAGATGGCCTGGCACCAAGGATACGCACTCTCTCAGACATTGTTTACTTCTCTGCACATGTACTCTCTGCTAACACCTTACTACCGACCTCTCAACGCTATTGTGTTTAACCCAAAGAGAAACAGCCCTGAGCAACCAGATTCACTCATCAGCAGTGTGCTTCGAGCATTCTGTCTCGGCATCATCAAGTCCTGTGATGCAGTGATTCAAGAAATCACTTCTGAGCATTACTACGAGGAAGAGGATTTTGTCACTCAGACTTTCACGCAGTACATGCTTAACGATGTCACTCATGAAGATGTGATTGATGAACTGCACAACGCTTTGGATGTTCTGAAAACACAGGATGTATCTCAAGACATCAAAGAGGCACTTCAGCAGCGTTTGCAGTTGCGGATACACCTTCTCGAGGCTCTGGAGCCCTTGAGTCTTGTTGAAGTGGTTGACAAGACTGAGATGTGGAAAGCAGTACTTGGCGCTGTGAACAGAGTCAATGAAACAGCAAAGCTTGGAAAAGCAAGACCTGACTTTTTCTCCGAGCGCGTTCAAAGACATCTGGCTAGTAACACACCCCCGACACCTATGATCAAGACGAGTTGGGAAGAGGCGTATCCTCGCTTCACACGAATGGCCGAGGACAACATCGAAGCTCATCGGTTCGCAAGCATCAACAACCCAAGCCCTCTAAACGTGACTGTAAGTTCTCCTCTACCTCTATATTGTATCTGTCAAAACCAACCAAATCCCAATCTAGCGCTTCGCATGGGACTTTTCCAACCGCACACCCCAACCCTCGACCTACTCCCGTTCCATCCTCCAAGGCCTCCTCTTCAAAGGCCAAAAACTGCTCTCCAAAACTCCTCACCTGTCTCTTCTACTCGAAGACATTCGCAGCCTGACTATGTCAGGGGACCCACTCCTCAACCCAGCAAACTGGGAAGTTGAATTGCCTACAGATGCACGCTACCTCTCTTCCCGCATCATCGACGAATTCATGGCAAAAGCTTTGGACGAATACATCAACATCCCTCGCATGATACTGCAAAACCGATGTCGTATGAGACGTACTTTTTGTCAGAGTGTCGGTGTGTTAGATGGCCTACAAGCAGAAGCCGAAACCGCAGATGCAGAGTTACACACCTTATTCCCTACTCCTTCTTCTGCGATCGAAAAGTTCTATCCCCTGGCTGCTTGGACGTACTTCCACAAGTTACGAGTTATGGAGTGGAGTCTGCAACTAGGCTTTGAACTCGAAGTCTACCAAGACGCCGAAATGGCTTACTTATATCGTTTCCTGGGTTTCGTGGCTGCGACAAGGGCAGAGCATTTGCAACACATCGATTTATTCCTACACTTGCGAAGCAGAAAGTTCAAAAAGCAAGGGGACAGGGAAATGGCAGAGCAGGTTGCTACCTCACAAGCAAGTCTTGCATTTCACACTGCACAGGCAAGCGTAACTGCGGAATTTGCTTCTGCGTTGGCTTCTGTGTATGCGGTTTTGGAGGCTTTGAAACTGGTTAGCCGGCTCAACACAGCCGAGCTCTACTCAACGGATAATCGCAGACATGAGTTACGTCTGAAACCTTTTTTGCCGATCGGAACGCCATCTCTGCCTTCTGCAGACGATATTGCCTCTGCTACAACCCTTGCCCCAAGCTCCTCTTTCGCCTCCGTCTTCAGCACAATCTCCTCTCGCCTCAGCTCCGCAAAAACTGCCTTGGGGGTTTGGAAATCAGCAAGTCCTGGAATTGGCGCCTACAAGGGCTGTGAAAGCGCCTTTAAAGCCGAAGTCCAAGGAGTATTGGGAAGTATCGTTGCGACAGGGTTAACAGTGGCATTACTGAAGAAAACAGTAGAGGAGTGTGGGATTAGGACTGTAGGGGATGTGAGTGGCAAAGAAGAAGACTTGAAGAAAAAATTGAAGGTTGAGGTTGTGGGAGAGAAGAGATACTCAAGCTTCTGGGCTGTGCCGAAGGTAAGTGGTGTGTGAGACATGAGAGGGTAGAGAGATGTAGTGAGGAAGGGAAATGCTGCTCTTATCTCAGTCCCTCTGGGGGACGGAAAAGAGTGGTTCAAAGCAAGGACTTGCATATAGACCACATCAGCTTCAGCACGCTTGTGGCTATGAAAAGTACTCGTACACGTCGATCATTCCCTTGCCAAGTCTTCATCAAAATGGTTTCATCTTACAGCGGTCCGCAGTAAGCACTCCACCACTACCTACGAACAAAACTCCCCCAGCTTCTACTCTTCCTTGCACAAGATCTTTGGTACTATTGCTGGCAGCACAACCCTGACTTTGCAGCCTTTAATCCCATGTAAAAGGAACAAGAGCAACACAACAGAATGAATTCATACCAGAAACATTCGCTTGAACATGGATGATTATCATCGATACTGAGATGGAGTCATCGTCTCGAGGAGATATCCATATAGGTCTAAGGACGAGATGGGGAATCACGGAGCAGCATAATATCACTTCCCCATGTCGAGAATACAGACTCAGGACTCAGACATCACCAAGAACTCACATGACCAGAAAGACTCAAGAACCAAAACACAGAGCAAAGAAAACACTGGGCAGTTGCTTTTGGCTGAGTTTGCTTATTGTGGTGAGAACAGTGTGGAGAGCGTATTTCGGGAGATGTAGCCAGGGCAAGCGAGATTTGTTGCATTTCTATATCAAGTCCAAGGCAATGAAGAATGAAGTAGAAAGAGCTCTCTATTTGTTGTAGTAACACAACACATCCAAAAGCAAAAGACCGCTATCAACAACAAACAAGCAAGCAATAAAAGGCCGAATGACGCCCAAAAATATGCAGTAAAGAGAGCAAAAGTAGTAGTGCTCGGAAAAAGCACCAGTTTTATGTACAATTAAAACAAAATCAAGGTCATGACCTTCGTAATGATTCAGAAGTGTGCACTTCCGGCGAGGAATATGCGTCTTCCGATGCTCTACAAGGCAAAGAGTGCGGCGGCACCGACGGCGGCAAGAGCACCAAGACCCTTGGGTCCGGGGGTGACGATCGCACCAAGACCACTGCTGGTCACGCTGCCAGTGGGGAAGCCACCAAGACGACCACCACCGGTAGTCTGCTGGGCAACTGAAGAGACGGCCGAAGCAACACCAGTGGCGTCGGGAATGCTCGAGTTGGTGATCTCCATGATGTTGTTGGTAGTGCTGTTGAAGTTGGTCTGAGCGAGCGAGATCTCGTTGTTGGTAATGTCGTAGACGACGTAGGCGCTACGGAGGAAAGTGTCACCAAGGACGGGAGTGGTACCATCGGCAGGTGCAATGCCGAGAATGCAGATAGGGTTGCGACCCTGGTAGCCCATAACAAGAACCAGTTCCGACATGCTGACGCGGATGGTAGGCGAAGAGAAGGTGAAGTCGATGGTGGAGTCATTGTAGCGCATGTTGCAGTCAATGAAAGCAGCACCGTACTCCTGGCTGTACTTGGCACCGGTCATCTTGTAAATGTCCTCAGCGACTTGGTTGGGGAGGTACATCAAACTGGAACCAGAGTCCAACAAGGCAGCAGTGTTGAGGTTGGAAGCGATAGAGTTGTCCTGGCCATTATAGCCGACACCAGTGAGAGCGATGATGAACTCGGCGTAGATACCCTCCTCTTGGAGGATGGGCAAGGTCTGGAGTTGACCAGTGTACTTTTCAGTGTTGACACCACCAAAGAGGACGGAACCGGTTGAGGCGTCGAGGTCGTTCAACCACAAGCTGTAGGCGTTGGTGTTGATGAGGCCGGCTTGCATCATGTGCTCAGGCACGTTGACGTAAGGAGTTCTCACATACTGGAGAATGGCCTCGTTGGTGGGATAACCAATTCCCATGACGCCTTGGGCAGTGCTGGAGGTATAGCCAATACCAAATTGTTGATTTTCGAGGGTGGCACCGCCAATGCGGAAAACATCAGTAGCATAGTCGCCTGCTGAGCCGGATCCATCAACGTAGGAGATGTTGAAAAGACTGTTGACATACTCGTAAGTCGAGGATGAGTTGGCAGAATAGGTGCCCGAGATTGCGCATTCGTTCTGAGGGTTCTCGCACTCGGCAGAGTTGGCGACGTTGACCCAGAGATCACTACTTCCCGTGTCGATCTGCAGCCTGAAATACTGCGCCGGCGTTCCAAGGGATGCATTGGCGAAGTACAAAGTCTGCTCGTTGTCCAGAGTCTCGCTGATGGTGTTGGCGCGTCTTCGTATTTGGTCTCTCTTCAGGGGGTTCGAGACGTGCTTTCTCTCAATCTCGTACTCGACAACCTTTGGTGGGGCGTTGACACGCTTCTGAAGGGTGATGGCTTCGGCGCCAATGAAGGTGGTGGCAGCGAGTGCCAAGGTCGAGATGTGTTTCATATTTGGTCGTGAAGTTTGGTAGAGGGTTTACGTCCAAGTAATGGAGGGACTCGGCGTCGATGATATATACACGGCGGTGGCGGACGGCGTGAGAGACAAAGGTGGCAGTGTTAGGGAAACAAAGAAATTGGTAGAGGCAGCAAACGACAGCAAGCGCGAAGGCAACAAGTATTTCAGAAAGATGACAAGACCAGAGGCTTGTATGACGCGGCCACAGATGTGCCCAGCCACGAAATGTCGTAGAAGCCCGCGATCCGCCCTTCCCGAAGGATGACGCCGAGTTCTGGGGAAATGCGTGCCGAACGAGCAACAGGAGAGGCGATCCGCGGACAACCTGATTCAGATCAAATCAGATGTGAGATCAGAGTATAGAGATCGCGTTTTGCAGCATACAAAATCCACTTTCTGTCTTCTGTTTTCGCCGCCGCTTGCCGTGTGATCACTTTGCAACGTACGCCGTAGCTGCTGCTAAGGCAAGATTGCGTCGACCCGCTGAATCAAGCTTTTTTTGTAGTCTCGGCCCAGAACAAGGCGGCAAAAGGAGCGAACAGAACTGATGTCAGAAAGGGGACCGTGGAGAAAGCCACAACTGTGCCTGTTGTTGGTCGTATGCCAAAGAGAGAAATGCACAGCCTGTTCCTGTTGCAACAAAGAGGCGAAGCAAACACAACTGTTTATAAATCAATCTTGTGCCTTGCGATCCCCGTCAGCAGCTCGGCTATCTCGCAATGGAGCGGCTAAACAGTCCATGTACCCATCTCATACTTTTCGCCTTCCCTGTCACTTGCCATCCTTCAAGTGTAACGTCTTGAATTTCACTTGCGTTGATGGGCGGCTGATCGACCGGCCGCGTTATGAACGTGCGCGTCTGGAAACATTTCAGAAATGAGAAGAGAGGCGAGACCCTCTACAGAAGCTATGCCCATCAATCTCCACAAACTTCTCCATGTCGTCAATCTATTGATTCTTCGTATTCACACCCGAAAATGGCCTTTCATTTACTGCGACACAATGGGTAGAGGATTTAGAGAACAGCATTACAATGCAACAAAGACACAACTCTGTCCCATGCACCAGGGACGGGCTGTTCTGCATGTGACTAGAAAAAGTACGAGGCCATGAACTCTTGATTCATTGGTCCACCATGCGCCATGCCCCTGTCCAGCACATGGCCAAGGCAAGCTTCAGCTGTTGTTTGTTCGGTGAGATGCACGAGCTAGGATGTCTTCCTCAACCTCCCAAAAATTATTTTCATGGCTTTGGTACATTGCTGCAAGGCACGGCTGCAAAAGGTTAAGCTGTAATTCTCTCGTCGATTGCTGCATAGGGTATCTGCTATCTCTATTACTTTGGAATCTTGAATGGGTGTGCTTCTGTGTTGAAGGTGTAGTCGTCCAGACTGATCAAGTCAGGTTCGCTGAAGATCAGGTAGAAGTACTTGAGCGTCTCTGCCAACCAGAAACTCTCCATGCTGTCTGTGACTGTCACCTTTCCGTCCTCTCGAGAGATGTCTGCAAGTGCACCGTTGGCCAGTGCGGTCTTGGTGTTTTCTTGAATGGCATTGAACATTTGCCATGCACTCTCTTGTAGATCCTTGCGGCCAGTGATTCGATACAGGATGAAGACACTCTCGATTGCCTCAGGTCTCAAGATGTATCTGCGATCATCAAGACTTGCGAAACCAGGTGGAAGGCGTTCTTCGGCAATGACCTGCTGGACGTTCAAGTCGCCACCTCCATCACCCTTTCTTCTTAAGACTTCATTGTGCCAGGCCTTCTCGTCCCACTCGCAAGGCTCGTTGGTGGGACACTCAACCATGTGAAACACTTCAGGCATGATGCCTAGAGGCATGGCTTTGTATGTCCAGACGCAGCCATCTGTCACTTTCCTACCAATGTCGAGGTGATTTTGGTCGTTGAATAGTTTTCCACCCAGAGCCAACATGCCTCCTGCAAAGCAAACAAGATGCTGTCCTTGGAAGTCAAGCCCACCTTTGTGATCTACACCGACGTGAGCCATCCCTGCAATCAGAATGTCTGCCTTATCCGGCGTCATTGGTCGCCAAAAGGTGTATCTAATCGCAGCATTCATGGCATCACGATACATTCTCTCGTACATCGGCTCCAGTCCACCAAGAAGCGCGTGCATCTTGGGCAAATACTCATAGGCGGAATCCGACATAGCGCCGAGTGTGAACGTGTCGTGCCAAGTAAGATCCATATCTTTGGCGTTGACGAGAATTGGCCACATACCAGGCACGTTTGTCTTAGACTGTTGCTCTTCGAAGAGTTTCATTACGCGATGCGTCGCATCGAACCAGCGAGGATCCTTCGTGATCTGGGAAAGTCGTGTAAACTCCATTACCAGTGAGCCGATTTCGGCTACCAAAGTGACCGGATCGGCAGTCTGAGGGGCACCTCTACGAGCGTCCATGACTCTCCAGCGAGTAATGGGCATATGGTTGGGAGTGTCGAAGGCGTGGAGCAACATCTCACCGAGTTCCTTGGCTTTGACCAATAGTCTTTCGTCGGCACTCAAGTCGTATGCAGACAAAAAGCCGCCCATGTAGCGAATGGTTGTTTCGAATACGTTAATTTCGTCCTGTGCCGTGGATGCAAAATCGATGGAGACTGCAGCTGCCACGGCTTCGTTGAACTCGGCTTTCAGGCCCATGATCCATAGCGTATCCAATGCATCGACCAGAGTGGCAGCCCATCCAGCAAATGTGTTTCTCTTGGAGCCCGAGATGGGGGTCAGTTCGTCAGCCATCCAGGCATGCTCCTTGTACGAATCCCAGGCTCGTTTGAAGGCCTCAAGGACAGCGGTTCGTCTCTCCTCACGGACTGACTTTTCGGAGGAAGACTCGGTCGGGAAGCTGTACTGAATTTTCGGTAGCTTCTTTGGTTGACCAGTGGGCAGAGCATACATAGACGTGACTGGGTGGTGCTTGGGGATCTGACTCCAGTCGACATGACTACCGAACACAAGACTCGAGGAAGCATTCCATGATTTGAAGCCAGCATATGCGACACGATCGCGATGGATGAAAAGCACAGCAGCAAAGATGGTGAATAGGAGCAGGAGCCGATAGCTCTTCATTCGAGGACTGATGGCCATATTGTGCAGGAAGATTAGCGGATGGTTACCAGAACCATTGCCCGATGTTGGATCGTGGACAGAGAAGATTGAAAAGGTTGAGCGGAAGAAAGGGTTTAAGGGACAGACGAGCGCATGCCAAAGGGAACAAGAATGTTGCGGCGCGGAAGCAGCGATGATCGTCTAAACGACTGGCCAAGCTTGCCTTTGCTTCCTGCCCAGTTGCAATATCTCGATAACCGCCTACTTCGACACCTAAAGAGAAACTTGTTGTTCTTAAAGAGAAACCACAAAGTGAGAGTACGGATCCTGCGGACGAACAGATGATGTCCTCAAGTTTATATGAGTGGTTGTCGTATCGAGAGTTTTGGCCAGCCGAATTGAGGGAGCTTAAAGTTGCTTGAGCTCCCAGATAGAGCAGGTTTAACCGAGGTACTTTACACGACCAGTGCGGCAAGCGCGTCCCAGCGCGTTTGGCAGGCCCTCTCAAGCAAGAAACACACAGGTCGGTCCATATCATCACATACACATCGCACAATGGTCACTGCCGGTCCTTCGTCAGCACAGAATGGTGCTCAGGCACGCCCAGCAGCTTCTGCAGCCCCTGGCTACGAGCTTCCCTGGTACAAGATGCACGCTTTTTTTGAATGCGCAGAACTGACGCCATCCTCAGGGTAGAGAAATACAGACCCGTCTTCCTGGACGATGTCGTCGGAAACACAGAAACCATTGAGCGACTCAAGATCATTGCAAAAGATGGAAACATGCCCCACGTCATCATCTCGGGCATGCCTGGTATCGGAAAGACAACCTCGATTCTGTGCCTAGCCAGACAACTACTCGGAGATGCATACAAGGAAGCCGTGCTCGAATTGAACGCCTCAGACGAACGTGGTATCGATGTCGTCCGCAATCGCATCAAGGGCTTTGCTCAGAAGAAAGTCACACTTCCTGCTGGTCGTCAAAAGCTGGTCATTCTCGATGAAGCCGACAGCATGACATCAGGTGCTCAGCAAGCTCTGAGAAGAACAATGGAAATCTACTCAAGCACAACTCGCTTTGCTTTCGCCTGCAACCAGTCTAACAAGATCATCGAGCCTCTGCAGTCTCGTTGTGCAATTCTCAGATACTCGCGTCTGACTGATGCTCAGATTGTTAAACGTCTGAACCAGATCTGCGAGGCTGAGAAGGTCGAATACTCAGAAGATGGTCTTGCCGCCTTGGTCTTCAGTGCAGAGGGTGATATGAGACAAGCTATCAACAACCTTCAAAGTACTCACGCCGGTTTTGGTTTTGTCGACGGTAACAATGTCTTCAGAGTTGTTGATCAGCCTCACCCCTACAAGGTCGAAACCATGATCAAGAACTGCCATTTATGCAACATCGACGCTGCTTTGTCAATGCTCAAGGAGCTCTGGTATGTGAATCTAGTGTCCTGGCCTTGAAGCCCAATATACTGACTTGTGACCGCAGGGACTCTGGCTACTCATGCCACGACATCATCAGCACCATGTTCAAGGTCACGAAGACGATTCCAATTCTGTCAGAGCATGCCAAACTTGAGTTCATCAGGGAGATTGGCTTCACACACATGAGAATTCTCGAGGGTGTGCAGACTTACCTCCAGCTCTCTGGCTGTGTTGCAAAGCTCTGCAGAATCAACATGAAGCCTAGTCTGTTCGTTCTTCCCAAATAGAGGCAAGAACGATATCGTCACTGCGGATCGGGGATAATGATGTTTAGCGCGGCGTTTGGGGCTCAGAAACAAAAGTAGCTAACATGAGTCGGGATGGAACGCCTTGTCATGAGTTGCTACAGCGAGCGTTTGCTTTCGATAGGCTACGGATAAACGGCATGTATATACTTCATTGCACATGAAATCATCTTTGATTATGTATAAGTGTATACGCAGTAAGACGGATGAATAATTGCTCCATACCGTCCCTCGCCCATTTGTTGAGGAGTTTGACATGCCGATCACAGTTCATTTGGAGCAGAGTATTGCGACACGAACGCGACTGACTCGGATACACACTCCCGGTCAGGCCGCTTCCGGGCCTGTCGTGAGCGCCGCGAGATCTGCTCGAGGCCAAAACAGTTCGGAAGAGAGCAGGTGGGGCAGCAACTCAGAGCTCAGAGCTCCGACACGGGAAAACAGATTTGTAAGGCAGGCAAGCAAGACCCCTTCCAATCTATAAAGGTTAATATATAGCTCTTTGGGCCCCCCTCCGATAAACGCTTCCTTCTCTCTTCCTCCTCTTCCACACACCAAACCATACACACACATCGCAAACATGTCTAGCTGCTGCAAAGAAGGATTCAAGTGGAACGGCCAGCCTGTCGGCAAGGAGACCACTCTCGGCAAGAACCCAGCCTACGTCACTGGTGACAACAAGGATGCTGCTGTCCTCATCGTCGCCGACGTCTTTGGCTGGACATTGCCCAATGTCCGCCTGCTTGCCGACCACTACGCAAAGGAGGCCAATGTGACCGTCTACGTGCCCGACTAGTAAGTCTTGTTGCCCATGACTCGGCGAACCATTGCGACTTTTTGACAAGTCTCCACCCCGCCGCCAATCACTTGCACACTTGCATAATTTGTGCCTTTGCGTCAAGAACATGTTACTAACATGACTTGTCAAAACAGCTTCAACGGCGAGGTTGTCGAGCCCGACATGCTGGAGGACCCCGAGAAGCGCAAGAACTTCGACATTATGGCCTTCATCGGCCGCAACAGCAAGGAGATCCGTTTCCCCGAAATCACCGCCAACGCAAAGGAACTCAAGTCCAACTACAAGAAGGTGGCCGCCATCGGTTTCTGCTACGGTGCCTGGGCTGTTCTGCGTCTGGGTGCCAAGGACTCGCCTCTGGTTGACTGCGCTGCCGTCGCTCACCCTTCGCTTCTCGAGGAGAGCGAGATTGCCAACATTGGCGTTCCTGTGCAGTTCTTGTCTCCTGAGCACGATCAGATGTTTACTCCCCAGCTCAAGGAGTTTACCCTCAAGACTCTGCCTACCTTGAACATTCCCTTCAACTACGACTACTACCCCGAGCTTGTTCACGGTTTTGCTGTCCGTGGTGACCACAACGACCCCAAGCAAAAGGAGGGTCTCGAGAGAGCCAAGAACGCTGCTGTTTACTGGTTCAAGCAGCACTTGCACTAGATGGATGTGCAAACCGAAGAAATGTGTAGATACCCCACTGCTACCTGCCTTGTGAGCTTAGCTCCAATGGCTTGATAGCAAATGAATGAGATGAAAATTATCTTCCTGACATTGTTGTCTCTGCTCCTTTCGCCGTGATTCTTCCACCCTCGAAATATTTGTACTTGATGGAAGAATTGACCTTGTGTCTTCTATGCATGTTCTTTGCATGATCAAATCAAATCACAGATGATCTTGCAGATTTGATTTTCATTGCATTGATTGTAGTATATTTACAGCTTGGCCTTGATCCACATGCTCAACTTTTCCAAACCAGCAGGACCGTCGTAGATATCCCTCTCCACAGCTCTGGCATTAACCTGCAAGATATTTGTTAGCTCATTTGCTTTCACCTTATTGTTGAAACAGTAAAGAAAAACCCACATGCTGAGGTCCCAAATCCTCGACCTTTTCCACAGCAAGCAACCGCATCGTCGTCTCCAGCTCGGCCTTCAAGATCTCATACACTCTTTCCACACCCTCTGTACCTCCTGCCCCAAGCCCAAACAGCGCATTTCTGCCCATACCCACTGCTTTGGCTCCCAAACAAAGTGCTTTAACAATATCGGTACCGCGCTTGATGCCGCCATCTACCCAGACTTCAAGCTTATCGAAGACTTCTGGACAGTACTTGCGGATTTCGATTAACGTGTGGATGGAAGGAGGTGCCGTGTCTGCAGCTCTACCGCCGTGATTGGAGAGAATGATGCCTTGAACTTGGGGCGCGTACAATGAAGCTATGTACGCGTCTTCATGTGTTTGCAAGCCTTTGAGTACGATGGGAAGCTTGGTGTGTTTGGCCAACCAAGGTAAAGTTGTTTTCCAGGTCAAGTCTCCTGCAGTGCCTGCGAACATTGCAGAAGCGACACTGCCACTACCACTATTTCCTCCCTTTTTGGGATCGGGCGAGGTGGTGCTTGCGCTGTCTTGTTGATGCGCGCTGCGGATGGGTAGGTTAGCACCTACATTCTGACCTTCTCGCTCGTCGTGTTCGCGTTTTCCTGGTACGGGAGCATCAAGTGTCAACACGATGAACTTGATCTGTTTCAAAGCGTTGATGCGCTTGAGCATATCCTCGCTCTTTTTGCGGTCGTTTTGGACGTAGAGTTGCCAGCCAAAGACTTGATCTGCAGGCGCGCCTTCAAGAATCTGTTCGGGTGTTTGCGAGGCATTGTTGGAGATGATCTGACAAGCACCGTATTTGTTGCATGCTTTTGCGATGCCGTGCTCCCCGTCTGGATGACCTAATCTTGCCATTGCTGCTGGAGAGACAAATAATGGGATGTTGACTTTGTTGCCCAGGAGAGTGGTACTAGTATCGCAGTTTGTAATGTCCACGAATACGCGAGGTCGCAATAAAATACTGCTGTATACTGTGTTGTTCCAAGCTTTGGAGCGCAAATCATCAGCAGCAGAAAAATAATACGCCCAAGCCTTTTTGGACATTTTTTGTGTTGCGAGGGCTTCAATATCATCCATGTTTAGACAATGGTCCAATGGCATAATAGCCTTTTCATCTGCCTTGCCCTCATCCACTGGAGACTTTTCAACCGAAGGCAGAGTACTGGTATCAACAGTACCTAATTTGCATTCTGGAGCTAGCGTTTCTTCGAGGATGCCCGGAGGATGGATGGGATCGTATTCTTCGGTTGCGTCTTGACCGGCCAATTGAAGGATTATTTTTGCGCCGCCGGGGTGTTCGGGGACGAATTTTGTCACGTCGTAGACATTGTTGTAGAGGATTACCCAGCAGCTGTCTGCGGATCTGTGTTGCGAGACTAGGCTATGATCAGCCTTGTGGTGTTTCTTAAGGGATCGGGGATTGCCTACCTTCGTCATAAGTAAAGACCTTGCCCATTTTGTTTGCGCGTGTTGTTATGGATGGTCTAGGATGAAGAAGAGGGTATTATTCGTGCTGAATGAAAGCGACGATATGAGGTGGCCACTCCCCATCCTTGTACTTCTTGGTTGCCGACCGACGAGGGTCAATAGCCGATGACTTCAGCCTTTTGAGGAGCATACACTCGGGCGCAGATGCACCGAAAGCGCCCCACATGGAAATCAAGTCCGAAACCCTCGAATGGTCAGCAGTGTCGCAGAAGTTTTCCATGTCTATAGTTATAGTAGCAATACCAGCAATATATGAGATGTTTTCAACTACAGTCTATGGTCAGTGCTATCTGTTATAATCGTTTAAATCTGGCAAGAGCCATTGACAAAGATCTTCTCCTGAACCACAACAAAGCTGCGATAGTACCCACTCCAAGCAATCGGCATAGCAAGGCATATGTGACTCCCCTTCTCATACACGCATAGTAGCCTTCCAACATAGTCCCCACCGCGCTTTCAAAAGACTGCCCCCTCAGGCTGCGTCCAGAACCCAATCCTCCCATGCCCACATCACTACCACGCTTATTGTCTGGCAACGAGACGGCATCTAATCCCTCTTCGACCGCTGCAGCGGGAGGCCCTGAGTGGTTCTCCGACTCGAGCTGCAATCTCTTGGTTTCTCTAAATCTATAGGTTGTGAGCCATATCACTAGTCGAACATCAGGCATGGTAAAGGTGGGATATGTCCATAGCTCCAGCGCGTTGTGGGGTGGTAACAAGTCGAGAAAATCGGCCACGACTCCAAGAGTCAGTCCCCACAATATCAGCGGTCGATTTTGTGGTGGAGGAGGTAACATTGGTGAGCGGGCGAAGTTCAACAACCTCTGTAATATGTTTCTTGGTGGTGCAATCTTATGGTGGTTGGAGTCGTCAGTAGGCGATTCATGGCAGTATAGACTCTCTGCAGGAAGCAACTGAATTGCACTGAATTCCATTTTACCGAGCATTCCTGCCAATGCCCATTTTTTGATGCCTGTTTCCTGGTTGGCCAGCCTGTTACTGACATCCTCGGTGTGGACGGTACGTTGGCCAGGATCAAGGAGAGATCGGATGGGGACCCAATGTGTTGAAGCAACTTCGGTAGGTTGAAGACGCAGCGGTGGCAGGTCATGACGTGTAACAAGAAAGACATATGGACATAGGACCATTAGTGGTACGCGGCCCCAGCTAGTCGTAACAATTCTCTGCGGGAGGTTTCCCACTGCGATGCATGTATTTTCTGATAGTTCAATGCCAACTTCTTCGGCAGCTTCGCGAATGGCAGCATGTTGGTCGTCCTTATCCTCAGGATCGCGTCTACCACCAGGCAAGGCAACGTGAGAAGTCCATCGATCACCCTTTCGGGCAGCACGCTTTATGAACAGGACTTCAGGTTCTCCGTATTTGACCCAGTCCTGAGCGAAGAAAGAGTCAATGCTGTCAGCGGGAGCGGCAGCCTTATCTGGTGGATGGGCATAAGATGGTTGTACGCGCACAATCAAGGCGACTGATGCACGTTTCTTGAGAGATTCTGGGCCAGCGACATAAGGACATGGATTATTTTTCAGCCAGACAAGCGTGTTATGGACATTTTCAATCAAGTCAGTGTTGGACGAGTCTTCTGAAGCAGTAGAGGACATGATGATACAGAAGGAGTGGGATTGGTTGGCGTGTAAATTAATGAAGGAAAAAAGGCCGAAGCCAACAGCGTGGCCGTGGAGGCGTCGCTGATTGGCTGGGGTCGGCTTGAGTGACATAGCGGCATCGAGCATGTGCAATTGTCAATTGATTGCTCTCGTCCAAAATTCTCTTTCTCTGCAGGATTGTTGAGACTCGTTTCGTTGCAAGCAATTGACAGAGAAGAGAGCAAGATGAAGTTTGGCACCACGCTGCGCAATGCCGTCTACGAGCCGTGGAGGGAGTCGTACATTGACTATGCCAAGCTCAAGAAGCTGCTGAGAGAGGACGACTCGAGCAGAAAGGACGACACCTGGACCGACGAAGATGCCCAAGCTTTCTACGCCGAGCTCGTCAACTCGCAGCTCGAAAAGGTCACCAACTTCCACAAGTCGACCTACCAGAAGCTGCGCGACCGCACCGCCAAATGCGAGTCCAAGCTAGACCCCATCGCCAAAGCCGTCCAGGATGCTGATGCTCCTGCCTCGTCCTATGCCGGCGCTGCAAAGAAGCCCTCGCCCTCGGACGGCGAGAGGAAGCGCATCCTGAAGGAAGTCCTCGAGGAGCTGGATCTCATCACAAAGGACATCAACGAGCTGGAAAAGTACAGCCGCATCAACTACACGGGCTTCCTCAAGATCGCAAAGAAGCATGACCGCAAGAGAGGTGGCCGTGTCTCGAGCATCCGCCCTCTGGTCAAGTCTAGGATGGCCGATGTTCCCTTCAACAACGAGGACTACTCGCCCCTCCTCTACCGTCTGTCGGCCATGTACTCGTTCGCTCGTCAGAACCTCGAGGGCCAGGACCGCCCTCTTTCGCTTGTCGAGTCTATCGCTGGCGAAGAAAGCTACATCACTCACAAATTCTGGGTTCACATGGACAACCTCCTGGAAGTCAAGACCATCATCCTCCGCCGTCTTCCCGTCCTTGTCTACAACCCCCAGACCGAAAAGATCGCCGAGGGCTCTCAGCAAGACCCTTCCATCACATCCATCTACTTCGACAACCCCGACTTCAAGCTTTACTCCAACAAGGTTGAGCACAAGACCGACGCCTCCAACCTTCGCTTGAGATGGTACGGCAAGCTGTCGCAGAAGCCCGAAATCATGTTCGAGAAGAAAACCGTCAAGACCGAGAACACTAGCGCCGACGAAAGATTCCCCATCAAGGACAAGTACATCCAGCCCTTCATCAAGGGTGAATATCACATGGAGAAGGCTATTGAGAAGCGTTCATCGCGTCAAGTCTCTGAAGAAGCTCTCCAGTCTTTCAAGAGAGGCATTGACGACATTCAATCTTTCATCAAGGACAATGATTTGCAGCCTGTCCTCCGCGCCAACTACACCCGTACTGCCTTCCAGATTCCTGGCGACGACCGAGTCAGAATCTCAATCGACACCAACCTTGCCTTCATCAGGGAAGACGCCATTGATGCTGACCGTCCCTGCCGCGACCCTGAAGACTGGCACCGCAGAGATATTGATGACGCTGAGATGGAGTGGCCTTTCAAGTCCATCCGCAAGGGTGAACTCGCCACCTTCCCTCACGCAGTCCTCGAGATCAAGGTCAAGAATGACAAGGACTACGAGTGGATTGATGATCTGATGAACTCGCACCTGGTCAAGGAGGCCCCCAAGTTCTCCAAATTTGTTCACGGTGTCGCTTCTCTCTTTGAAGACAACGTCAATACCTTCCCCTTCTGGCTCTCTACGCTAGAGGAAGATATTCGCCAAGACCCTGAGACGGCGTTCGAGAAGGAGCAGGCCAAGAAGCAAAAGCAACAGGAGGATGAGTTGGCTGTCGGCAGTCTGATGAAGAGCAAAAGCCACTCATCATACAAGCCTGGTGGTCTGTCACCTGTTGGCTCTCCTACAGACAAGACCGGTAGCTACCTCGACCGTCGCGCTTCTCGTCAAAGTGCTGCAAAGAACGGCGGCCAATCACTGGGCAGTGTCGCTCGCTCCCAGCCTACCGGCATGACAGCAGTTGCTGACGAGCCAGACTCTGATGACGATGGTCCCCAGGCTCCCAACACCGAAATTCAGGCTACTACTCAATCCGGTCTGCAAACCCTCTTCCCATCCTTCTCAACTTCCAAGTACGCACGCAACCGCCGTGATCGCGACATGCCTCTGCCCCCTGGTGTCCAGAAGCCTGAATACTGGATCAAGGATCAAGGCCCTGTCAAGGTTGAAGCAAAGGTCTGGCTGGCCAACCAGCGTACCTTTATCAAATGGCAGCACATTACCGTCCTTCTCGCTTCCTTGAGTCTGGGTCTCTTCAACGCTGCCGGTGAGAACAACAACATCGCCCGTGCACTGGCGCTCGTCTACACTCTGGCCGCAGTCTTCACCGGTGTCTGGGGCTGGGGTGTCTACCAGTGGAGAAGTCGTCTCATCCAGCAGAGAAGCGGCAAGGACTTCGATGCTCTGACTGGTCCTGTTGTTGTCTGTGTTGGTCTCTTTGTCGCTTTGATCCTCAACTTTGCCTTCAAGTATCAGGAGATGCGCCATAATGCCGAGCACCACCATGGCCATCATTCCAATCAGACTCACTCCATTTTTGAGATGGACGAGTTGAAGGCTTGAGGATCCGATGAAGAGAGCGCACGGTGGTGTAATTGAAATACCCGGTCGCAGTCATTTCTGCCTCCAATGAGTTTGTGAGTTTGTGAATGGTGTTGTAAAATAGAACTGCTTGCATTTTTGTATATAGGATTTGATGACTTGGCGCTATAGTTTGTCTGCAATCAACGCGATTAATCACAAGAGGACCAGCTGGAATCTCGCTATTACTTAGGGCTAATCACCCTGCGCTCCCCCACTCACGAATGGCCGATACGAAACCGTTCTGCCGTACCGCAGCTGAAAACGTGCCACAAGATAGTTGTTGTAACATGGCAGGGGATAATTCCGAATTTCTGCATAACTGCCACAAAATGCACAACTCTGTCAAGGAACGAAGCGATCCCGTTCCTTCCCCTCATTCTCTCCACGTCCAGCACATCAACCCCAGGTCATCAGGATATGGGGAAGTCAATCGTTCCCTTGGATGGTCCCGGAACGTCCAGCTTCCGTTAAGGTAGTAACACATGTAGGTATATAGAGAAGGAGGTTCGACCTCGTTATGTCGTCGTGCATGTTTCTGTTTCCTCCGGTTTCTTAACCATCGGTATATCCTGACAAGCCCACCATGGCCGAACAAAAGGATGGCACTGTTTACGCCAGTTCCGAGTCAACTTTAGATGCCGAAAGAGTCACGGTAGTAGACTCGAACACAGATCCTGAGAAGCAAATTGCAACTCAGCAGACAAGCGACATACCCGACCCGAACATCGTCTTCTGGGATGGCGAAGACGATCCACAAAACCCCATGAACTGGACCTCCAAAGCCAAAGTCCTGAACTGCGGCGCCATTATCTCCCTTACGCTGTTGACACCACTGGCTTCGTCCATGTTTGCTCCAGGTGTGCCCGACGTTCTTCGCGAGTTCAAGGAGACTTCAGTTACGCTTGCTGCTTTTGTCGTTTCTGTGTTTTTGCTTGGGTTTGCTGTTGGTCCACTGATTATCTCTCCGTTGAGTGAGATCTATGGCCGTCGTCCGGTGTATATCGTCTGTAATGTCGGCTTTATTGTTTTTACGGTCGCTTGTGCGGTGGCGAAGAGCATGTCTCAACTCATTGTGTTTCGCTTCTTTGCTGGGTGCTTTGGAGTTTGTCCTGTTACGCTTGCTGGCGCGAGTATTTCGGATATGATTGAGAGAGAGAAGAGAGGTGGCGCGATGGCGTTATATGCTATGGGTATGTTGAGCACTCGGCATCGATCTCTGCCTCAAACTAAGCGATTGCAGGTCCTTTGCTTGGTCCCGTTATAGGTCCTGTGGCTGGCGCTTACCTTTCCAGTGCCGAGGGATGGCGATGGTATGTCTTTCCTCTCTTCGATCCCATCATTGACAAACACTTGGACTGACCATAGTCTACCTTGCAGGGTCTTCTGGTTAATCACCATCGCCTATGGAGCCGCTTCCATCCTCCACTTCTTCGTCTGCAAAGAAACTTACGCACCAGCCCTCCTCCAGTCCAAAACCACAAAGCTGCAGAAAGAAACAAACAACACTGAGTTACGCTCAAAACTTGACGATGGGCTTTCCGCCCGCGAACGCATGTCACACGCCTTGATTCGACCTTTCAAGTTGCTGATTTTCTCGCCTATTGTGTTGTTCATGTCTATTTATACTGCAGTAAGCATCTTCCAAACCACTGGAAATGGCTATACAACGTACTGACAGAGGCTCTTAGGTCGTGTACGCAATCTTATACCTCCTGTTTACAACTTTCACCTTTGTCTTTGAGGAACACTACCACTTTTCTCCCTCCAACGTGGGTCTAAGTTACATCGCCATCGGCATCGGCATGTTTATTGGTCTCATCCTCACCGGCGCCTCTTCCGATCGCATTCTCAAACGTCTCACCGCCGCCAACGCCAACACCCCCAAGCCCGAATTTCGTCTCCCGCCACTGATTGCTTGTGGTATTTTTATGCCCATAGGCCTTTTCATCTATGGCTGGACGGCGCAGAAACACGTGCAATGGGCTGTTCCCATGTTAGGAACCCTGTTTTTCGGAATTGGTATGATGAGTTGTATGATTTGTATACAGACGTATTTGGTAGATGGGTTTACGGTGTATGCGGCTAGTGCTATTGCTGCTAACACACTTTTGAGGAGTATTGTGGGAGGTCTGTTACCGCTTGCGGGCTTGGATATGTATAATACTTTGGGACTGGGTTGGGGAAACAGTTTGATTGGCTTTGTTGCCCTGGCGCTTTTGCCGATTCCAGTGGCTTTCTACTTTTATGGCGAGAAGGTCAGGGAGAGGTTTCCTGTTAAGCTTTGAGGTAGGGTGTGGCAAGGGGTTTGGGAATGGTGAGAACTGAGAATGATTAACGAAAGATTCAATTGCCTAAATCCATACCGATAACAGGAAAACACAAAAAGCGAGAAACACCCAATAATGCTATGCGATCTACTTTTTTCTTTTGCCGTTTCTGCTTGCCACTAACTACGTCCTCCTCCTTCTCTTGTTCTTCTTTCTCTTTCCGCTGCACTTTACTTACCTACTCCTCTCTAGGAAACTCATCCGTCAACTTCAACGCAGCCTTGACATTCATACTCAACAACTCCTGAATGAGCAACTTAGCCGCATACGGCAAAGTCATCCTGACCACACCTCTACTGCTCTCACAACTCTGACACCAGTTCTGGTACCCCATCATACCGCAAGTCTCGCAGACGTCGACTTCATGCGCATCAGACGAAAGCATCAAGCGTTCGAGAAGGAGTTGGGAAGCTCCGTATGCAATCAAGCAATCGCGTTCCATTTCTCCTAAACGCAGACCTCCTTGGCGCGATCGTCCTTCGGTAGGTTGGCGGGTGAGGATTGCGCGGGGGCCTGTGGCGCGAGAGTGCATCTTGTCTTGCACCATGTGTTTGAGTTTTTGGTAGTAGATGGGACCCATGAAGACGTACGCAGGAAGCGACTCGCCAGTAATACCTGAAGTCAAGTGATCCTTGCCCGAATAGCTGAATCCGTGGGAAATCAAGATATCGCCCATGTCTTCGACTTTAGAGCCGCCAAAGGCAGTTCCATATTCATGACCACCACGCAAAATACCTGCTTTTCCAGAGAGCAATTCAAGCATTTTGCCTACGGTCATACGACTAGGAAAACCGTGGGGGTTCATGATGATGTCTGGACAGATACCCATATCGTTGAAAGGCATATCTGTTTGTTCGGCAAGCAACCCAGTAACACCTTTTTGACCATGGCGAGAAGAGAACTTGTCTCCAATTTCAGGACGACGGGTCTGGCGTGTTTGGATTTTGATGATGGGGGTGTTTGATTCGTTGGCGCTGATCATGACTTTATCGGCATAGGCTGGATCGGGAAGTTTGTAGGACATGTGTTGGGGTGCCCAGCCTGCGTTCTGCGTGTTGATGCCTTGGTTGACTGGTGTTTCTTTGAGCATGTAGCATTCGCCTGCTTCCATCTCGGCACCGACTTCCACAAGACCGTCGTTACCGATCTTTTTGTGGCGAGGGTTGGAAGGATCGCGATCGCCAATGCGATCCGTCTGACCGTTTTGGTATTGCTTGAGTGGCATGCTGACCTTCTTGAAGACTTGACAACGGCCGAAACCACGATCGCAAGATGCTTTGTTCAGGACCAGAGCATCTTCGATATCGTAACCAGAGTATGACATGACGGCAACCATGGCGTTTTGACCTGCAGGAAGCTTGTCGTACTTGATAAGCTCAATTGTCCTACTCTTGACCATAGGCTTCTGAGGGTAAACCATGAGGTAGAGGAGGGTGTCGATACGAGTGAGCTGGTTGTAAGCAATAGCACCAATGGCTTGTTTACCCATAGCGCATTGATAAGTATTACGAGGAGATTGGTTGTGGTGAGGGTAAGGAATGAGACCAGCGACAGCACCCAGAATGGTGAAGGGCTCGATCTCCAGATGTGTAGTGTGTTGGTTGATATCGTGTTCGTAGACTGCAATGTTACAGTCGTTCTCTTCGTTGACATCGAGATACTCTACTAGTCCTCGAGACAAGAAGTCATCGAATTCCAGCGTGCCCTTGCGAAGAGACTCAAGGTAGCGTGTTGTGACCTTGGACTTGCCCTTCTCGACAATGATGAGAGGTCGAACAATGCGACCCTCGTCAGTTGCAATGTGCACACCATTATGGTGGTGGTTGATGTAGATGCTGACGAACTCAGAAATTCTTCCCATGCGACGGAACCTGCGGAAAGCAATCAGGAACCGCTTGGGTTCGCGAGTCAAGGCCACCGGTGTACCGTTCAGGAAAATGATGTATGCTCCATCGGCGTAGAGTTCAGTACCGCTTGCAGATGTTACATCCTCAGCACCGAGCACGAAAATCATCTTGCGAACAGGATCCTCTTCATCCATAGTAGTGATATGTGTCATCAGGGCCAGATTCTTGACCAGACCACAAGCCTCACCTTCAGGGGTATCTGAAGTACAAAGCATGCCAAATTGGGATGGTTGGAGTGCACGAGGACCGGAGACCTTTCTGGTCTTCTCGAATTGAGACGAAATTCTGGTCATCATACCAAGAGCAGCAATGAAACTCAAGCGACTCAAAACATGAGTGACACCAGCTCTGTCCATACGAAAACGTTTCAAAGTCCAGTTACCAGTCGAGATAGCACGTTCCAGACCTTGTGTGATGCGAGATTCGTGCATGGTGATGTAGTCTGCTGGATTGAAAGCTCTGGTTCTGTTAGGCTTTCTCAAGACCTTGTCCCAACTTTGCTTGATAAGCTTATTGAAATCCTTGAACAAATCTTCAAACAGTAGAGCCATCATCGATCCTGACAGTTCCAAACGCTTGTTACCAAGGTAATCTCTGTCGTCAATCAATTTTGGGTCGTGCATACACATAAGCACTCTGCGGACCATGAATGCAATGTAGAGAGCCTTTGGTCGGAAGTTCATAGCTGTCACACCAACGTGAGGAATGATAGTGTTTGACAGCTTCTCAACAGCATTCTGCTTGTTAGTCTTCTTTGGTACACCATATTGACCAAATCTCTCGGGACGTAAACGAGCTCCAACATACTCCAGAGCCTGTTCTTGTGTCGAGACTCCCGAACGCGCGGCTTCTTCGAGGTTGACAGAGAACTCGTCCTGGTATACAGCATCGTCACCAGCAACAAGAAGCATAATCTCGTGGTCTGATTGGACACCCATGGCTCGGAGAGCGATTGCGACAGGGATATCCTCAGTAAGCGAGTTGTGCTTGAGAACAATCAATCCCTTTTTGAGCAGAACATAAGTCTTGGTCTTGACGTTGGCAGTGTGACTCGTGACAGAAGCCTGAATGATTCCCTTGAACATTTCCACAATGACACGGTTCTTGCTGAGTTGTTCCTGGACCAGAATGACCTTTTCTTGACCACGGACCACGAAATAACCACCAGGATCAACGGCGCACTCGTTGAGCAAGCCCATCTCCTTTTCTGAGCGACCAGACAGAACGCACTTGTTACTCCGGAGCATGACAGGCATTCTGCCAATGTAGACGTTACGTTCCATCTTCAGACCACTCTGCGATCTGGATTCGAAGTTGACGTAGATCGGAGCCGAGTATGTCAAATCGCGAAGACGACATTCATTAGGCGTGATTCCAGGACCAGAAAGACCAGGGACAGTGCTGTGACGATCTTCGACACGTTCTGGCTTACCAATTCGAATGTCTGTGTATCTGATGAACATGTTAGGATCCACGTCACTGTGAACGGTGGCATTGGCGCGGAGAATCGTCTTCAGCTCGGTGTCGACAAAGAAGTTGTAAGAGTCAATATGCTGTTTCACCAGACCCTTGACTTTGAGGAAAGCTGGTAGGAGATTCCATTTGTCCCTTGCAGTGTTGATGGGATCCGTCAATCCTTTACCATAGTAAAATGGCTCAAGTAGTGTGTCGGACTGTAAAAAAAAATCAGTTTCTGCCTCACAGACAGATAAAAAACATTCTTACTGGGTCAGTTGAGTGAGAATGCCGCCTCTTTCTAGGAGGTGGTGGCATAGCTGTGGCATCCTGTGTTTCCCCATTGACAGGCGCTTGGGATTGCGCATTCACATCAGAAGTTGCTGGTGTTGTGTTTGTCGCAGCTGGAGCCTTCTTCGTCTGAGCCTGCAGATCGTCAGCCATGCACCAACGCGATAGCTGGATATTGGTATGTGGCTACCTTGGGCGCAGCAACGCGAGCCTTGGGAGGCATGTTCGCTGTTGCTGTCGAGACCTAACGCACTAGACGCAAGAATATGATCACAGAGCCTAGTATGCTCTCGCCAAAGCACGAGGTGCTCACTTGACAGATGCAGAGCCTTCGATGCGATGAACCAGTCACGGAAAAAAAGTGGCGGGGTCAAAAAGTTGTATGCGCCCACTGCCAGGGACGCCGACACTGCGCTACTGCGGCGCTATGTAGCACTCTGTTAGTTGCAGCGCCTCGAATTTACAGTGTTCTCCTTTTTCAGAAGATACGAGGACTATTTGACAGCAGTATGCGCCTTTGGACGAGATATTTGCGAGGTTTGCCTTCTCTAGATTCTTCTTGGGTCAAAGCTGCCAAAGCGGAAGACGGGAAGCCAGCCCTCTCGGCAAAGCAACCGAACGCCTGCCGGACAGGGTCTCACCAATAACCTGAAAGCAACCTTGGTTAAATACAACACATTCGCCAATCTTTAGACAGCACTCAAAACCTATCACGAAGTGTGCATGACATTGAAGCTGAGCAATCTAGATTTCTTGACCCTACCAAATGACCAAAGATATGCTCACCGCCATGCGAGTCCAAAAAGTGACATGCAGCGTTGTCCGTGTATAGCGCTTGCTTCATTGGAGCCGATGCCATCTCTAATTCTGACGGACAACTTGGCCATCTTATACAACTACACTCACCTGCCAAATCCAGTAAGATTGACCCGACCAATACGACACCGAGGACTATTGTGTTGCATCACGATAAAGGCCTGAGACTGGATCCCGACGTGCTGAGAGCAGTCCCAATAAGCAGAACAAGTCTAGACGGCTCGCTATGCAGCACGTGTACAAACAGCAAACACTTGAGGGTGATAACGAAATGAGCACGCACGGCCTCGTTCCTGATAGGCAGTGGAGCATGACGAAAGGTAGGTCAGCAAACCGGTGGGTGGTTGCCCTGCATGAGAGGGCGGAACAGGCAAAAAGGACAGATGGTGATAGATCAGAGGACCCCATCATGTGGCATGGTCGTGGCATGGCCAGAAAGGCCGTGGAGGTTGCATCTGCTGCACAGGTACGCTTGGGCCCACGGCGGCGTATGAAACTCAACCGGCGGCGAGGCTTGATGCTTTCTCCACAGTTGGCTGGCAGCGTGCAGTGCATCTGAGCCTTCGGAGTCTCTGAGCTTCTTCTTCTCCTCCGTGTCGCTCATTCTTACTACGCGGGTTGTATGATTGGAAGTGAGGGTTTTGTATTCTACTGTTGAGCGCGAGGCTTGCCTTGGATGTACGATACGAGACAGCACCGCCCTCTCTGTTCTCGTTGCTCTTCTGCCTGGACCCCTTGATCCAAAGCGCCTACCCCCACATTCAAGTCACCGCCTGTTCGAGTAGTAGCAGCAGCAAGTGGGTGCTTTGGCCTGTCGTCTGTCAAGAGTCGCATCATTAACCAAAGTTTTAGGAGCTGTCGTATTTGTATCAGTATGGCCTTCTCCAAAGGTCTGTCAGACCGACCTGACAGTGGTCTCTTGTACCGTTCGCAACTGTCCCCACGAGAAGATGCGCCCTACCCGACTTCTGCCACCACATTCCCTTCGCCACTATCGCCCTTACGAAACCTCAGCCTGGCTGCTACTGCTGCAGAGGGTCGCGGAAGCCTCCAACGTCGCTTTACCACAAATGCGCTGCCCACGTTATCGCCCATCGCTCAGCAGAGACGTCAGGCTGCCGATCCTGCCATGACGGTGAGCCTATCTCCCTTGAATATATTTGTTGAAAGAGATGGAAACAATGATCACCGAGTATGGAGCTATGTCGACACACATCATGCTGTAGTAGCTGTGTTGGGTCGGCTTGCTGCTGTGTATCTCGGTTGCGACAGGATGATTCAGAGGGGGCCTTTTACCACAAAGAACATATGCTGACAGAATACTTTTGCTGCAGGCATTTAACAAGATTACTCCTGTAAGTCTGTCCCGGTTCTCCGTTCTGAGCTGTCCATTATCGTGTTTTGCGGCTTTTCCTTGGCCAATCCCTGCTGTCTCGGTCAGCCATTTCGTCTTGGGCTCTGATCGTACAGTTCTACTGGGTTCCCTGTGTCGTCTTCGACTACGCGCCCACGCTCGTTGTGTTTTGAATAGCTCCTTGTCTGCAATTTCTGTCTCTTCTGTTGCTTGCTCTTTTCTTGCTGCGAAAAACTGTTGTGCATGCACATTTTGGTTTCTGCATTCCTTCCCTAATGGACACTAACACACCACAGTCAGAGAGAAAGGCTCGCCAATACGAGGAACTCCTGGCTCAGCAGCGTCGTATCCAGGCCCAGATGGCCATGATCGACCCCGAGACTCGTCGCGAGGTCGACGAGCACCAGAGATTGGAACAGGATATTTCAATGTTCACATCGGGTCATCTTAGCGAGCCCACTACGCCGCCGGAGTACTACAGCTCGGTCAATCGCGTACACAGCGCTCGACTGTCCACCGCCAGTCTGGCTTCGCCTCCTGGTTTCCCGGCTCGCCCCAGTCGTCCAGGCTCTCAGCTTGCATCTCCTCAAGCGACCTTTTCAAGACCTGTCACCTCACATGTGCACTCGACATCCATTCCATCTAGATCAGTTCCTGCCTCGCGCCGTGGCTCCGATGAAGATGATGAGGAGACTTCCTTTTCATTTGCGGACATCAACCATCGCGCCGCTGCAAAGTACGTTCAATTCTCAATTCTTCAACTATTGTTTCCTGCTCCAATTGCCTTTTCACACCTCACTATACCTCCAGACTTTGACAATAGCGGGCTTCAATGCGAGCAGCTAATTGTCATTCGGAGTTTGACAATACACCTATCCCTATTCACTCTTCTCATGAAGCATCTATATAACCACTCCTCCCATTGCCCTTTTCATTCCTTTTCAATATACACTTCTTCCTTCACACAAGTCTTGAACTATCGGATCATCGTCTTGTCTCACCATCTGTGCTGGTCACTGATACTTCTTTACACCCTTTCTTGCTTCATACACTTCACGATCTCATACATCATAAGCTTCCACCATATCTTACATAGCTTCAAGTCCACGATCTCAACTTTCTGTTCTAACGTCGGTCAACTACAGCCTCAATCGCAATTCAATGCCTGTCAAGATGGCCGAACTGTCTACCCACCTCGGTTCCGTCAATACCACCGGCTTCCTGTTTGGTGACGAGGAAGATCTCAAGTCTACTCGTGTCCAGAACTCGGCCGCTTCTCCTGACGCCAAGCACTTTCTCCAGTACCAAGCCAGTGATGACAAGTTCCCCATCCTCGTTCGTCGTGACGGCGAAGGCATGCAGCTTTCCGCTTCTGCTGCAGCTGTGGAGATGGCCAAGACCCAGCAGAACGGTACTGACAATCAAGACCGTGCTACCACTACCCGCACCAACAGACAATCTCTTCCTCCCAGTGCAATGCGCCAGTCTGGTTATGGTGATGCTTCCATGTCTCCTCTCAACGGTATCTTGACCGAGCTCAACACTGCAAAGAACACCGCCGCCAACAGAAGATCTATGGAAGTCAAGTTCAGCAGTCTCGCCACGCCTAAGCGTCCTGGCTTGTTGGCTTCACCCAATGGTGTCAGCTCGAACGGTGTGCCCAAGTTGCAGGGGTCTTACTCGACCAACGACATTCCTACCTTGAAGAGCACAAGCGCTGCCAACTTCTCTGACAAGGCCGGCGCTGTTCAGAGCCCTCGTCCTGAATTCGTTTCACCCACTCGCCAGTCCAACGTCCTCAGTAACGGTCACCAGAACGGCTTCCACACTCCTTCTCGTCAAGTCCAGGAACAGCCTCAGTCAGAAGATCTCAGCAGCGCAACGTCGCAGAGATCTTCCCTCCAAGCCAGCGCTGCACCTTTCGGTCCCTCAGTCACTTCGCCCTCGTTTGAGCCTGCTCGCATCATGAACAACAACTCGAACGGCATGGTCAACGGCCATATCAATCCTCCTTCCATGCAGAACTACGGCAATGGAGCTTACTACGGTGGCTACGGTATGCACATGCTGGGCAATGGCTTCAACCAGATGTATCTTGGCAACCAGGGTGGTGGTCAGTGGGGTCAAATGCCTGGCTTCCAACACGGATTTGGTGGTGGATACCCTCAGCAACTCTCGCAGCAGAGCTCCGCGCGCTACAATGAGCCCCGCGTCATGCAGCAGCCGCGCCGTGGTCAGACTGCTGATGGTAACTTTCAACCTTTCTTCTTCACTTGCGTACCGCTTGCTAACATGATTTCAGACAACTCGCGCTATTCCAACGTCAAATTGCAGGATCTCGTCGGCGAGATCTATGGTCTTTGCAAGGATCAGCACGGTTGCCGCTACTTGCAGAAGAAGCTGGAAGAAGGTGATGATGAGAACATCAGACTCATCTTCGAAGAGACCAACCCTCACATGATCGAGTTGATGACTGGTTAGTCGCTTGTTCACCATACACCAAACCTTGCTTACTGACTTTACTTTCTAGATCCCTTTGGCAACTACCTTTGCCAGAAGCTGCTCGAATTCGCCAACGATGACCAGCGCACCATTCTCATTCGCGCAGCTGCACCCTCGATGGTCAAGATCGCTCTCAACCAGCACGGCACTCGCGCTCTGCAGAAGATGATCGAGTTCATCTCGACTTCTGAGCAGATCCAGATCATCACCGAGGCTTTGAGATATGAAGTCGTCCCTCTCATCCAGGACCTTAACGGCAACCACGTCATCCAGAAGTGCCTCAACCACCTGTCTCCTGAGGACGCCCAGTTCATCTTTGACGCTGTTGGCACTAGCTGTGTCATCGTCGGTACCCATCGCCATGGCTGTTGCGTCTTGCAGCGCTGCATCGACCATGCCTCTGGCCACCAAAAGGCCGCCCTTGTCCAACACATCACCATGAACGCCTTCACTCTCGTCCAGGATCCCTTCGGCAACTATGTCGTCCAGTACATCCTCGACCTTGGTGAGCCTGCCTTCTCTCAGCCTCTGGCTCAGAGCTTCCTCGGCAACGTTGCCGCTCTCTCCAAGCAAAAGTTCAGTTCCAACGTCGTCGAAAAGTCGATTCGCACTGGCGACGACACCACCAGACGCGCTCTTATCGATGAGATTATGAACCCCACCGATCTCGAGAAGCTGCTTCGCGACTCTTACGCCAACTATGTTGTCCAGACCGCCATGGACTACGCCGACCCTGAGACCAAGGCTCGTCTCATTGACAACATCCGTCCTATCCTGCAGTCGATCCGCCACACCCCTTACGGCCGTCGTATCTCTGGAAAGATTCAGGACTATGACAACCACCTCAACGGTATGCCTGGCTCCATGTCTCCTCCTAGTGTTCTATCTCCTGGCCAGCTCAGCACCACTCCCTTCCGCACCAGCAGATCCAACACTGTGACTTCTTACACCAGCACTGGCAGCCCTCTTGGTCACCAAGTCGGCAACTACGGCGCTGCCAGCATGGGTTCTCCCAACGCTCACAACCGCCACCACGGCTCTATCAACACCATGCTCGCTCAGCCCCCTCAGCAGCAGACCAACGGCAATGGATTTGGCCAGGTCTTCCAGCAGTTCGGTCATGCTTCGCGTGGCTCTCACTCTTCCAACATGGGCCACTACTGATTGCATCCTGCCTTCAATGTCCTCACACTGTACTTTACCCAATGGGCTCGGTTTTCAGCATTCAATTGCATAGCGCCAGCGCACATCCAGCGAAGCGCAAAAAGAAGGAGTTGAACATATGGGAGCTTCTTCGACTTCGCAATTTTTTCTTTTTCCACGAAGATAACGACACACACACGCAGCATTACGGCCAATGTGCAATCGATAGAAGAGGCGAAACGCGCAGGACCAACATGAAGATTTTCTGTTTCTTTTGATTTCTTTGGGGTTTCTTTTCTTTCGATTTTTCGATTCTGCTACTATCACAAGCATCAGCGAGGGGAGGAAGCGAGAGACAGCGAAAGAGAGAGCAGGGCGAGCCTTTACCTTGCCTGCATTTCCGGGCGATGATGTGTAACTAGTTCTTTTTCTCCATACAATTGAAGCTCAAGGTCAAACCAGAACATCTCATATCTCATCAGCTGTGATATGTTGCAGTGATTATCCCATGGTCAGCACGCATTGAAAAGCTAAACAGGGGTTTGGAGTCGCCTCAAGAATCAAGTAATGAAACCACAAGCTACTCTTTCGGTGTTGCCGCGTAATGCAGTATGGCAAGACGAGAACGAAGCAAGGGGCTCTTCATAAGATGGTCGTGCCGTAACAAGGCACGCATGAGGTGAATGCAGACAAAGAACAAGATGAACAATTCGAGCGAGTCTCTAGATTCCTTCGCAGCAAGTGTTCTGCCTGCCATCCAGCATCGATTCAGAACACAGTCTACGAGCAATGTGCAACAGAATCATCGTCAGGAACGAAGGCTGCGATCACGACTACGAATACAAGACAGAAACGTGTGCAGCTCGCAAACTAGGCTTGTGCAAGAAGACACAAGACAAAATTCGGATTGACTCGCACTGGATCTGCAACAGGTGTCTTTCAGCATTGAGGAGAGCAGTGGAGAGCATCAGCAACAAGAGCGGCATGTTGGCTACATATTAGCCTTGACATTGCATCTTGATGGTCTGTCTGGTTCGAAGGACAAGGAGGCAGGCGCGCGAAGCCGAAGAGAATCCGGAGCGCGCAGCTGCATCTTGACGCTTCTTGGCCGCGAACCCTTGCAAGTCATCCATCTTTGTCAACCACCACACGACACCCTCGGACTTCGCTGCTCCCGACTCGATTCGCAATTTACAGTCACAGAATTACCGAAGGATCCGCATCTCTCATTGTCGAAACACTTCAAGGTCAGGATCAACGAGGCCAAGATGGCAGCCGTAGCTGTCAATGGCGGCGCTGGCGCAAAGAAGCTCAGCAAGAACGCCTTCCGCAGACAGCAAAAGAAGGCTCAGAAGGAGCGCTCGGTGAGTCTTATTTCTTCCAGCTATGCTCTACAGCCCACTGACAATGTCATATTACAGGCATCTGCCACCCCATCCGTCGCCGAGTCTACCGACCTGTCCGAAGCAGAAACTCCCAAGCCAGAGACCGGTCGCCAACCTGACGCTCAGATCAACACCCGCGATGATCCCATGCAAAACAATGACCTTCCCAACGACGACTTTACAATCCCCGAAGACGACCCTCTATATGCCGAGTTCCAGAGCGTTCTATCGAAGTTCAACAACGTCGACAAATCGCAAACAAAGGAGGATGAAAAGCCAGAAATCTACTACGACGATGACAACGACGATATTCCTGATGAGGAGGATGAGAACCAACCGAAGCTGTCAAAAAAGGCACGCAAGGCCGCTAGCAAACTGACCATTGCTGAGCTCAAGCGTCTGGTGCGCAAGCCTGAGTTGGTCGAATGGACAGATATCGACGCTTCAGACCCGCTGTTGCTTGTGCGCATCAAGTCGCAGCGCAATGTTGTCCCCGTGCCATCACACTGGGCTCTGAAGCGCGAATATCTTTCATCCAAGCGCGGTATCGAGAAGACGCACTTCAACCTGCCCAAATTTATCGCCGATACTGGTATCGCCGAAATGCGCGACGCCGTACTTGAGAAGCAGGCCGAGGCAACCTTGAAACAGAAGCAGCGCGAGAGAGTACAAGGAAAACTTGGAAAGCTCGACATTGATTACCAGAAGCTCTACGAAGCTTTCTTCCGCCACCAGACAAAACCCCCGCTCACCCGTTACGGTGAGGTTTATTACGAGGGTAAGGAGTATGAAACTAACCTTCGCCATCTACGACCTGGCGAGTTGAGTGATGAGCTGAGAGAAGCTCTCAACATGCCACCTGGAGCTCCTCCGCCATGGCTTATCAACCAACAACGTTTCGGACCCCCTCCCTCATATCCTGGCCTCAAGATTCCTGGTCTCAATGCTCCTCCGCCACCAGGCGCATCCTGGGGTTTCCACCCTGGTGGTTACGGCAAGCCTCCCGTTGACGAATACACAAATCGTCCCTTGTTTGGTGGCGACATCTTTGGTGTCAGCAACGCAGAAGATGAAGAGGCACCATCTGGAGCACCGGTGGAAAAGACACTGTGGGGTGAGCTTCAAGAACGTGAAGAGGAAGAGGAAGAAGAGGAGGATGAGGAAGATGAGGACGAGGAAGATGGTGACGAGGCCATGGATGAGGAGGATATTGGCGCAGGACTCGAGACACCAAGCGGGTTGGCCTCTGCTGTTCCAACAGAGATCGGTATCGAGAGCGTTGGAGGCGACTTCGAACTACGCAAGAATGCAAGAGCTCCCGAGCCCGAATACGATGGCGCTCCACGATCAGCGTACCAGGTTCTTCCGGAACAAAATATTCGTGCGCAAGGTTTCTTCGGAGGCGAGAGAGCATACGATTTGCGGGGCGCTCAGCAAAATCTTCCTGTTCTTGGACAAGAAAACAGAGGCAGCAAACGCAAGGTTGGCGATATCGATGTCAGCGTAGACGTGGATGCGCTTGAAAGAGACGACCGCCTGAGCAAAGAAGAAATTCAAAGACAATTCGAGGCACAAAGACAGGCACAGGCTGAAGGTCAATGGAAAGGAAGAGTAGACCAAGAAGATCTGAGTCAGATGATTGCCGAGGAAAGCAACAAGAGGTTGAAACAGGACAAGGAGAGGAACGAACGCAGAAGAGGAGGCGGCGACAGTAGGAGCAGCAGGAGATAAGACATGGTTACTGGAGCTTCCTTCGAGTCATCATCACCTTGCATCTGGACCAATACCCCATGGACGGAGCACCTCATTACCAAGCTAAAAGAAAGCAAAACCAAAATGAAGCACACGCATTAATAAGCCAGTTTCAATTGCCAACAACAGACGTGCACCTGGATTACATGAAGACCGTCCTGCCGAGAGACACACCGGCGCCTAGTGAAAGAGTCAGTATTGAGGATAATTAACCACTGCGCATAGGAACAGCATTCAAGTCAAGATGAATGTTTCGGTCGATTGAATTCCACAGCAGAAATTGACCTTGCGAGCATCTCGACATGCAATAGAGCTCTGGGGAGGCATATCACGTGGGCAGGCAGAAAAGCTGGGGAAGCGCCGGCGCCGTTGATTTGTTTGCTTTGACAAGCGCAGACAGAGCCAGCACAGCAGCCTCATCCAAGCTGCGTCGCGACCTTGATAAAGAGCTCTGTCAAGAAGCAGCAAACATGGACAGAGATCGCGATAGGGACAGAAGGTAATGCACCTTCTAACGTTGCTGTGAAGTGCCAGTCTTACTGATGCCTTGTTCAGACCCTTCCCTCGTGAAGACCAATACGGTGATGGCCGCGGTCAATCCTACCGCCCTCCTCGTTCTCCCGTACCCCGATCAGACACATACCGCGCCCCTCGCTCTCCGCCACGAGGAAACGCATATGTCGACTCGTACCGTGCTCCACCAAGAAACCGTAGCCGCTCACCCCTGCCTTTTCGTCGTCGCTCACGAAGCCCTCCTCCCTTCCGGCCAAGAGATGGAGGCGACTCTTATAGAGGAAGAGCTCGCTCACCACCACCTAGAAGGGGTGGTTTCATGAGAGACGAGACCTATCGCCCTCCTCATGCTTCTCGATTCCACAGAGACCCACTCCCTTACAACAATCGCTCGCCAGTACGTGCTCCTCGCGACCGCTCTCCGCTTCCTCTGAAGCGTGGTCGTGATATCTCGCCTGCTGGTAGTCGTGGCAGAAGATCTCCGCCTCCGGCAAAACGTGAGAGGCTTGATTCGCCGCCTCGCTCAAGATACAATGCATACCCCCCATCAAGAGATATTAGCCCTGGACCTGGACGCGACAGACGTGAAATGCGTCTGACTCCTCCTCGTGGTGTCACTCGTGGTTACCGCTTGCTATCCCGCTCGCCAATTCAACACAATGAGAATGTCAATCCTCGCAAGGTTGATTGGAGACGCCGTTCGCCATCACCTCCAAGACCTCGTCCCGGTCCTGATCTCATCTCGACCGAAAACTCTGGCCCTGGCTCTGTCACCAGCTCGAGACGCTCGTCACCACCAATTCATCCTAGCAGACTTGCCGCCATTGATCCCTTGCCTAAAGAAGACTTGTTCGCAAACCGCGCGCCCCGCCCTATCTCGCCAGCTCCTATTCCTCCCAGATCACCCATCGTTTCGAGACCCCGTTCGCCTATTCCTTCTAGACCTAGGTCACCGGTTCCTTCCAGACCGAGATCACCAGTACCACCCCCAGCAGACGTCCGCTCTCCTATTCGCAAGCGCGAGCCCACACCTCCTCGTGAGCGTGAGATACCTACTGGTCCAGCTATTTGTGCCCCTCCGACCGGTCCCGCCAGACAGGATGAACCTCCACAACCCAGAGCGCCACCAACAGGACCTGGCGCCACTAGGTCATACGCTCAAGCCGCTGGCGATGTACCCATTCCAACTGGACCCCGAATGAGAGCCAACTCACCTCCTACACACCCTAGAGGAGGTATGATGTCGAGAGGAGGTTTCCAGAGGGACTATCCTCCGCGAGATTTTGGCTCGCGTGGAGACTACCATGGACCGCGTGGAAGAGGAGGACCGTACGGTGGACCGTCATACCGCGGAGGCCGAGGCGGCTATGCTGCACAACACAACAGAGATCCAGACTTTGCTTCAGCGCCGCCGTCAGGTCCTCGTGGCTCAATAAGTGCACACGCCCCACCACCTCCATTTAGAGGTGGCGCACACACTTCAGGCACATACCCACGCACCACACGTTTCGCACCAAATGGCGCACCACTGCCTTCAGGACCCAAAGCAGACATCGTCATGGGCGGCATGGGTGAGTTTGACAGAGGAGTCAAGCCTGGCAATGCCTACCTTTCAGACTTGCCGCGCATCGTCGACGGCGGAATCAAAGCCCCTGAACTATACGACCGAGGACGTCTGAACAAGCTAGAAGATGAGGCAGAAAAGTTGCGACAAGTCATAGAAGACAAGCAAGCACGCAAACGCAGAGGACTTAAAGAATGGGCCAAGCTCAGCCGTGAGAGCGAGACTGCGAGTTTCAGAGCGCAGTTGGCCGATGAGAATGTGAGAGCGCTTGCTGGAGAGAGTGATGGCGGTGCTGCTTTTTGAACGCATCACCGACCTTTTGCTTCTTTGGAGAGATACGAGAGAAAACAGCATGGAAGCACTATTTTGGAGAGAGCAATCACGAGCATGAGGAAAATGGCTTATCATGAGAACGAGAAGAGAGAACTTTATACCCGCGAACGAGGAAAATAATTGTTGATGCTGTGAATGAGGAATATGTCTGATGGTGATGATGTTTGATGCTGAAGAATGACGATGCCCAGCATGGCTGCGAACAATGCGATATAGCTTGGAACGATGCTGCAGCGCGACAGAGTACTCAATGGCAACGGATAAGAGAAAGCTGAGATTCTACCTTGAGGCTTCAGAACAAGACGATTGACTGTTGAATGACAACGCTCAACCCATTCTCGAGAGGAAGGCACAAGAAAGAGGTTGAGTTCGACGAACCATCGACAGAAAATGGATGATATCTTGGAGTGAACCCCGCCTATCTGGATTAATATGGTCTGGCAGACCGAGGCCTCTGCCATTCGACGGTTCAGAAGCGAAGCTTGGACCCGCACCTGCCGTTCGTTCGAGATTTGCTGGAGGAAGCGCGGATTCTGCCTCTGCTCCACACTCGCCTCTTTCTCATCGCTCCCGCTTCTCACCAACCTTCAACCACAACCAAAACTCTCCAGCTCTTTGCAACCACTACAATCTCTCTAGAACCCCCCGAGACTTTCTCACAACACAACACCTTCAACATGCAGAACTTCGGTGCCCCCGCTCCTCCCATGACTGGCCGCGCTTGCTACAACTGTACGTTTTCTTCACTCGAGCCGTTACTGCGCGAAGCTGCGCAATTGCCATCTGTCTACGTGATACATGTCAATTCAAATGCGCGCGATCGCTGCTATAGGCTTCACCTGCGACATGCAAGACCACAGACTAATTAACTTCACTACAGGCGGCGACGTTACCCACCAGGCTCGCGACTGCCCCACCAAGGGCAACCCCACCTGCTACAACTGCGGTGGCCAGGGCCATCTCTCTCGCGAGTGCACCAACCCCCAGAAGGAGAAGTCCTGCTACGGCTGTGGTGAGACCGGTCACATCTCTCGCGACTGCCCCAAGGGCCCTGCTCCTCGTGGTGGTGCCATGGGTGGTGGCCAGGAGTGCTACAAGTGCGGCCAGGTCGGCCACATCGCCCGCAACTGCTCTCAGGGTGGCGGTTACCAGGGTGGTTACCAGAACCAGGGCTACGGTGCTCCTCGCGGCCAGACCTGCTATTCCTGTACGTCCCTATCCATGCAATTCTCTCTTCCATACTAATCCATCACAGGCGGTGGTTTCGGCCACATGTCTCGCGACTGCACCCAGGGTCAGAAGTGCTACAACTGTTTGTCTACCCATTCGATACTCTCCTTACGAACAACATGCTAACTGTCTATCACAGGCGGTGAGGTCGGTCACCTTTCTCGCGACTGCTCTGCCGAGATCAGCCACGACCGTGTCTGCTACAAGTGCAAGCAGCCCGGCCACGTCCAGGCCGCCTGCCCCAACTAAGGGCTTGCTCGTCTGCTCTTGACGACAATCTCTTTTTCTTGACCAGCATTGCGCATTTACATCCGTTCTGCTATTCATTTTTTCACGACCGTCATGACCTTTGATCGCAACGGCCAGTCTTCCAACGACAAAAGCTTTCTTGTATTCAACTTTTTTCTCAATCTAGGGTTGTTTACTAAAGGTGGTGGGAGGACAGGTTGTGCCTTTCTTAACCGCCGAGGACGAGGAGAAAAAGAACCACAAAACGGATACGAAAAGGGCATTTGATGTGATGAGGGAGAGAGAGACACTGATCCAGCATTTTTCTTATTTTGCTTTCTATTTTATTTTCCTTTGTTTGATGCCACCATCTTGGACAGGAAGGACAAGCCCCCCCTTGGGATTTTTTCATTTCAATTGGTACAAATGGGGGCTTTGTTTCTTTTCTACAAAAAGCCACGCCACCGACTGAGAGTTGAGAGAGAGGACACGAGAGAAGAGGAGAGCTTTACGGATTTTTCTTCACGACAATACCCCACTGCAATATCAAAGGACGAGAAAGATTTCTGGCGGTTTCACTTAACATTTTCTACTCATAACTTTGAAGCTGTGAACGTGATTGATGATGATGCTATGCAATTTGTCCTTACTATAGACGATAGTGGTCTTGTAGGCTAACCACACCTCCGCGTGACTTCGTCTATTTCGCCTTGATCTGTTTTTGTCTTGGTGGGGCGCCCACAATCAGCCGAGAGAAAAGGCTCCGCACTCCGCTTCATTCTATACCAGCCTCTGACGTCTTGCGAGGTACTTTGATACCGGAGCCTTTGTCGGCCTAAGGATGATTAGAGTTTGTAGATAACCTGTTACACAACTTGAGCAAGCGATCTTGCATGAGAATCATCGGCACGCGACAACCTCCCCGAAAAGCACAACAGCAACTTAGGTTTGTGCAGAGCGGTGCAGAGTTTGATATTCGTTGCTGGAGTGCCAAGCTGTCAGGTACGCGAAGCAGCAGAAAGGCAGTTTGAGCTTTTGTAAGCTTGCTTGCCAGCTCTTTGTGATTGTACAAATATGTTGGTCGACTCGTTTCTCTACTGCCACGAAGAGCGCCGAGCCCTAGATTCGTTTGTTAGCCACAGTAGTATCTTTTCTGCATGTCGGCTCGGAGTGGTCCACACAGGAGTAGATGTGCCGCATAGTCGATGACGATTGGCCTTGTCGCAAAGGACTCCGATGGCTCATGATCGACGTTTCATACGCGGCTGCAAAGATCAAGTGTGCACTGGACCAAGGTCAGTGGGTTTTGAAATCAAGAACAGTGCACTGTCTTCTTGCCATGATGATGTCTTATGCGAAATGAATCAAGAGGCGGAGTTTCTCCTCTGCCTACACTGTTAACTTTAACTCTCGTCCTTTTTTCACCTTGATGTTTTCTTCTGCTTGGGTTGTGAGGCAATCAATTCTTCTCTTCTGTTGACTTTACCCTACCTGCTAATCGTTCTTACGACTCACCTGGTGAACATTGCTTGAAGAGATGCGCATCACTTCCTTGACCTGCACGGCATTGGCCTTTGTGGCCAGTGTTGTTGCGCAGAGCAGTGCCGACGACAACACAACACAACCTGTCTCTTTCTTCTACACTCGTCCTCTATCTCAGGCACCTGCATTGAATGTCACCATCCAAGCCGACTTTACTCCCGGCTATGTCTTCATGTCGCCATACAAATCCATCAAACCTGCACCATACATCTACGACAAGTTTGGAAACCTCGTCTGGGACGGCTACGGAGTGACTGGTTCTGCGAACGCACACAACTTCAGACCTTGCCAGTATAATGGTGCTCCTCATCTCTGCTTTAATCAGGTAAACCAGCAAAACGGATACGGAATCGGCCAGTCTATGGTTGTGGATCAGAATTATAAAGTTGTTGCTACGGCACAGACTGGAGGAAACGTCGAGCCGGTGGATATGCATGAGTTCCAGCTGCTAAATGATGGAGAGACTGCAATCGTCAGCTCGTACAACATCGTTCCATTCGACTTGTCGTACTTCAATATCACGACTGGTCTGGGTTGGCTATCGGAAGGCGTGTTCCAGGAAGTCAATGTGACCACTGGAGAAGTTCTGTTCGAATGGTTCTCGACCAACCATGTTGATCCTAGCGCCAGCCAGATCACGCCAAACAGTACTGATACAGGAGGTGATGGCTTTGGACCTCAGACTGCATTCGACTACTTCCACATCAACTCGATCGACAAGTCGACAGTCACAGGCAACTATCTGGTTTCGGCCAGACATACCGCCACGTTATACTACGTCAACGCGACCGACCGCAATATCATTTGGCAATTGAGCTACCTAGGACAGAGCGATTTCCAGTGCTCAGGATTTAATTATTCGTTCCAGCACGATGCACGCCTGCTGTCCGAGAATGATACCACTACCGTCCTCTCCATCTTCGACAACGCGTCAAATGGCTACACAACCACCACCTCCCAGTCCTCAGGCAAAGTCATCGCTATCGATCACAACTCTGGCGTCGCAACCATGCTCTCCAACACAACCTACCCCTCCCCTGACGGCCTCCTCGCCACCTCCCAAGGAAACACCCAACTCCTCTCCAACGGTGGATTCTTCCACACCTGGGGCAACAACCCTTACCTCTCCGAACACTCTGCCAACGGCACCGCAGTCTTTGCAGCTCAATTCGCAGCTCCAGACTCTGCACAAAACTACCGCGCTTTTTCTGCAGACTGGGAAAGTACGCCTGCAACCACCGTCCCCGATGTTTACGCTTATGCCGTCAACTCCTCCGCACCCACACGTATCTACGTCTCCTGGAATGGCTGTACCACCGTCTCGTCCTGGAACTTTTACGGTGGTAGCACTGTAGGAGAAGACTTTGCAGTCATTGGCAATACTACCAAGAATGGCTTTGAAACTTTTTGGGAGGCGGAGAGTCTCTATCAGTGGGTTAGGGTGGAAGCTGTGGATGCGGATGGCAATGCACTTAGGAATTCGAGCTTTACGGGGACGTTTGTGCCGAGTGCTGCGCTGGTGGGGGCGTGTAGTGATGTTGGGTGTGGTGTTGCTAGTTCTTATTCTTCTTAGTGGGGGAGAGGGGAAGAATCTTGGGATGAGGGTTTGCATTTTGCCCACGCTTGCTACGAATGTTATGGAAGAATGAGAATTGTGCCTTTTGCTTAGTTGTTTGCTAGGGTCTGTGTTCTTGCTGCTCCAACTGAAGCTGCATTGACTCAAGATCGACACCAAGCGGTTTCCACTGAGAACGTTGAACGAATCCGAACCAGGTCCGTATCAAGCAACCGCTCTCTCCTCTCAGCAGACATTGATAAATCCAGCTATCGAAATGCATAATACATTGCAAAACTGAGGAGCCTCCAGTGAAAACCTTTCTGGACAGTAGACCAGGTACACGTCTATCAGCATTTCTCCCCGCTCGACAAGCCCCGGTCAATCTAACCATCAAAATACACAATATCTTATATAGTTGAGGAACCTCCACTGAGAGATCTGAGCAGGAGGGAGATGTATCAAATCTCTCGAATCTAAGAATTGCAGATACCAGCAGATTCGAAGGAGAAGACGAAAGAATTGTAGATCTGGAAGATCCAGATGACCCTGACCAAGACACGATCGAGACAGTCATAGATGGAAAGCCCTGGGTAGGGGCTGCAATGGCCTGGCTCAAGCTGATCTGCAAACATCAGGCCGTTTTGAGTTCGCTGACCAAGGAGAAGGACAAGGTCCGTTTCACAATCATAAAGAATATGAGCTTCGAGAACATCAGCGTCGAGTTGTAGCACAAAGGTGACCCAATGGAGAAGTCACCGGGATATCTCAAGAAGTCCAGAATGTCTGGCGGTGAACTCCTAACCCAGAAAGAACACGTTGCGATACTCAAACGTCCCAAATCACTGACAAAGGGCAAACAGGTCTTCAGAGGTCCCCGGAATCATGAGACAATCCTCATGAGCTTGATTCTGCTATCCAAACAAGGTGAGAAACGAGAAATGTGTGGTAGGCACAGATCTTTTGATAAGGAGAAGCAGAAGCACTCTTTACTGCTTCTGTCTCGCTTGATCACCCATGAGTTTTTGATGCATCGAGACGTGTTGCCTGTGTCAAAGAGATGCTGCCAAGCTTACAACATACTGGTATCTGTGTTTGATGGACAAAGAATCACACACCCCAGCAATCATGCTCTTTGGACGGTATGTGCAATCCCCAATTGGCTTCCTCACCCTTTAGCGCTGCAAATGTCGAATCGTGCAATTGATTCACTCCAGCGAAGATCCGAAACGATCTTGAAGAACACGAAGACTAGTCTTAGAGTATCAGAGTGTTCTGACATTTTTCGAGGCAAGAGACCCCACATCACACTAGAGAAGGAGGACTTCACAGCAGCCCGATTTCCTTACAAAGCCAATTTTCCGTCCTCCGGAGAAGTTCTCTATTGCTTATTCACTCGCTGCTCTCGGCAGTAGGAATATTCAGTCGAGCCTTGCTGCCTTGAGCTCAGTCTTTCAACTCCGAATCCCTCGCTCAGCAACACCTTCAACCGTCACTGCTCTCCACCCCGAGTCTCATTCGGTATCAACATTTTCAATCATCACTCTCACTCGAGCAGCAACACTGCTGCCTCAAGCACTACTTAAACAGTCCTCCTTCAACATCCAACTCAACCTTTCTTCCTCCACTACCTCTACTACCTCCACCACCTTCGACCTTCTTGGTCTTCCTTTTCTACTTCCACCTTTGCTTCTTCTTTCATACATCTACACTACACCATCCAAGCCTTATAAATCATACAGCACTCTCAATCCTTCGACGTCTGCTCTGGTAGCAGTGCGTCTATCTTTCTTCTGCCCCAAAGATCTTTTGCTCCCACCGCCAGAGATCTTCACAACAGATCTTTTGCTTTCATCACTAGAGATCTTCGCGACAGATCTTTGCTTCTCGGATCGCAACAGTCCACATCACTTCTAATCAGCCTTTCTGGTCTTCCAGCAAAGATCTTCACTCTCGGTATGTCTTCTCTTTGAGATCGTCTGTTCTTTTCTGATTTTCCATTTTACTCATACATTTCCACAGATCGTCATGTCTGAACCATTTTCTGATAAGGAAAAGTCCAACATGGACACAGCTCTGCAATCGTCTCGTTCTGCAATGCCATTTATCGAAGAGGACGAGGAGGTCGGCACCAAGATCAAGTCCGAGGTCAACATTGAAGCCAACGATCGTCAGTCGCCCCTCTTCGAACCGCATGCCTCAGTGAAGAGAACCGCAGGAGACGACATGTCGTCCGTGGACTCCAAGAAACCAAAGATCTTTACTGCATCTGGTCCGCGGGCATATGGAGGAGGCCCTGTTCGCCAGTACATTCCTGGAATGGAGTACAAGTACTCGAAACACGAGGCTGTCCCACAACTCGAAGTTCACAGCAAGCACCATCAGGACGCCATGGAACACTTTCTCTACTGTATGAGAGAGGTTGCGCTGCCTGCTCTCTCTCCTTACAAAGACGAAGACAAGTCGGTCAATGATACTGTTCAGTGGTTGGAAAAGAACGCCAACGTTCCCGCCATCCCACCAACTCTCTTTGCATTGACGGGCAACAGCGGCTCGGGAAAGACAACCACTCTCAACAATGTCCTTGGCATGTCCGGTCTTGCCAACGCTGATGCTGCAATGGAAAGTGTTACTCAGAATCCACAGATCTTCAACCATGGAACCCGGGACTCTATGTTCTTGGTTGAGGTTCTGTTTCTCAATGGCCGAGCTATCAAAAACCTAATCAAGAGATGTCTCATCGATCTGGTTGCTTATGTCAGATCCATTTCAGGCGATGAGGCCGAAGAAGAGAATGACTACATTCGCGATTCCGCCGAGTCAAGCAAGCAAGTTTTCGACGACCTCTTCTCTCATCAGGATGGATTGAAGAGCTTGGATGATGTCGAAGAATTTCTGGAAGCCAAGAGCCTGCTCCCTGGAGATGGTGAACAAATCTCGGACTCGGCTGTGGATGCTCTGTACCAGCAGATCGTAGATCGTGCTGCTTCCGAGGGCATCGATCTGGATATGCGCAAGCTCAGGTATACTGCAGGAAACAAGGGAGAACTGCACGCAAAGAACACCAGATTCGCTGAGCGCGGAGCATTCGCACCTCTTGTCAGCAGCATTCGCACAAAACTTTACTCACCTCTGCTCGCAATGGGTATCGAATTTGCAGACTTGCCTGGATACACGGACACCAACATCCATCTACGCAAGACATCAATGGCATATTCAGTCAACTGCCCAAAGGTCATCTTCGTTGCTGATCTCTCAAGATGCTTGACAACTCCTGAGTTGGAGAGGAGCTTGAGAGATACCATCAAGCTGAAGGGCGCGGAAAATGTCTGCTTGGTACTCCGCGGCAAAGAGGTATGTAGTTCATATCGATTGATATTATGAAGCCATACTAACACTATTTACAGAATGTTGAGAAATCCAAGAGCAAATGGAACAAGGTCGAATCTGCTCATCTCGAGGCTCTTGAAAAGTCTCTTCAGGCTGCAAAGCTTCGACTGGACAACGAGGATGATGAGAGTCTCAAGCTGCAAGCGAAAGCTGATGTCCAGGCCATTGAACGCCAGATCTTCGAGTACAGAATTGCCGTCCGCGACCGTATTGTCACCGATCACTTTACTCAGAAGAAGTATCAGAACAAACACGACTCTGGCAAGATTCGTGTCATCACTGTCGCCAACAAGTGTCATGAACACTACATGAATGGCTCCAACAAGGCTGTTCTTTCTTTCGACAAGACAGGTATCCAAGAACTTCGGGCATACATGTGCGAGACACCCAGCAGAGACCGTGTTCGAGCTTTTGCACGCCACTCCGCAAACTGTATCACCAAGATGCGCCGCATCGCCATCTGGGCCGACGGACCCAAGATGCCTCCTCGCGATGCTGCCATGGCACTCTTTGAGCAGCATACACGCTGGGGCATTGAGGGACGCAAAGTTTCGTTGATCAAAGCCGCGACGCAGTACAAGAAGCTCTTGAACACCCGCTTCTCTAGCACATGGGCTGACGCCGCTCAAAAGATCATTGACAGCTGGACTGTCAAATACGCCGCTCGTACCCAGGGTGTCTTCATTCGTCAAGGAGGAAGACACAACCCGAAGATCAAGGGTTCCAAGAGCAAGAAACCGGAACTTGTCTCTTGGATCGAGGATCTTCTATCTGTTGTCGAAGATGATGTCCCTAGCCTTCTCAAGTCAACCTGGGATGCCATCAACGAGGCCGATGGTAGCATCTGTGAAAACATTTGCGAAGTCGTCGAGAAGATCCGCCATGGTCTTGAGATGCTGGACACTATTGGTGGTGCCAACCTGGAAGGTGTTTTTGAACTTTTCGAGGACGAGAGAAAGATCTGCACTCGCGATATCAAGGAGGGTGTCATTGAGCTCAAGACCGATCTGAGGTAAGTATTTCCATATCCGAACTTGATTTTGAGAATACTGACATAGAAAGATCGGTTGCATTGGAGTCTATCTCTGACGAACCTTACGACGAAGGTTCGCCTATCTTTGTCAAGGAGATGCACAAGATCTTCACTACTGCCTTCTCAAAGTTCCCGCCCGGAACCAAGAACGTCACCAAGGAGCGCATGAAGTCCATCAGAGAGCAAGTCATCAGCGGCAAAGGACCTTACAGCATGATGTCCAACGAGATCTCTACCAAGTTGGTTCCAGTCATTGACGCCTGGGCTGACAAGACCACTGCACGCATTGAGAAGATGCACGCAGACCTCCGCGATGTTCTCTTCAAATCTTTTGAGGGAAAGAAGATGTCTGACGCCAGACGTGAGCAGATTGCTCCACGCATCAAGGTCGCCATGGAGAAGGCCAGAGCTGTTCTTCAAGCCGATCTTGATGGCTATGCAGCCGATATTCTTTGAGATCTTGACAAATAAATGAGGCTACAATGAGAAAAGCGAAGAGAAAGACGACACAATTATGGGAACAACGAAAAAGGAGAAAAACACCAAAAACTGGAAGAAGAGAAAGGCGGATAAACAGTAACGACATTGACGACTTACAGCGGCAATACGGAGCTCACGAAAGAGCATGCACAACATCCTGCGGCAGTGAACTAAGAAGAGGAGGTTTACATTCACAGTCTTTACAGCATACATCAGCCGGTCAGAAGAATTTTGCATCAAAAGTCGGCGTTCTCACAAAAGGAGGGCGCGAAGAGTCGGCAGTTTCAGTATTCTAGCCACCAGCACAATTGATTGATGCCTTTCATTTCAACCGAACTTCCATCGTGACTTCCTGACTGTATGTATTTTGATGAAGTATCGATGATAGTAGAGGTAGACAGGAGGATGCATGCAGGTCGGTGGAATGAGTCTGTCCGTCTTCTCCGAAGTCAGCTATCTCCGATGATTGCCTGTTTGGGAAAGTCCTATATCCGACATGCATCAACGAGCATATAAAGTCAGCACTCTGCTGTCATTCATGTCTGAACTTCCAAACAAACACATCGGCTGCCTTCAATCTACATCCGACAACACGAATCATAAAAAATGTCTTCTCCCATTAAGAAAATAGCCATCGTCGGCGTAGGAGCTCCCACGTTCCACCCTTGTTAACCTCCCACTAACAACTTTCCAAAAAGGCAACCGGCAACATGGGCAAACACACAATCACCGAACTTCTCAAGAGAAGCAACCATTCCATTACCGCTCTCACACGCAAAAACAGCAACATTTCTGTCCCCTCGTCCGTCAAAGTCATCGAGGTGGACTACGATTCCATCTCCAACCTAACCTCAGCACTTCAAGATCAAGATCTGCTCATGATCACCCTCGCTGTCACCACACCTCCCCACGTCCATCAAAACTTGGTTGCCGCCGCCGCAGCCGCAGGCATAAAATACATAATCCCCAATGCCTACGGCTACAACTTTTTGGACTCTGCCATCAACGCCGATATCCCCTGGGGTCATCTCGCTCAAGAATGTTTCACTTCCATTGAGAGCAAAGGAATGGTTCACTTTTCTCTCATCTGTGGGTTTTGGTATGAATGGAGTTTAGGAATTCCTTGGTGCTATGGAATTGATGTTGCGAACAAAAAAGCTGTTTTCTACGATGATGGGTTGACCAAGATGAATACATCAACTTGGAAACTTTGCGGCAAGGCGATTGCGGAGTTGGTTTCTTTGACTGAGGAAGAGATGGAGAAGTTCAGGAACAAGAGTTTGTATATCAGTAGTTTCAAAGTCAGTCAGAGAGAGATGCTTGATAGTGTGCACAGGGTGTTAGGCACGAAAGACGAAGATTGGGACATTAGGTATGAAGGGACGAAGGAAAGGTATAACAAGGGTATTGAGGATATGAAAAACGGAGATCGGACGGGGTTCGGAAGGGGTAAGTCTCTTTCTCCCTCATCTTTCCATCTCTTGACAAATAAAGAAGAGCTGACAAGACTCCAACACAACAGCAATGTACGCAAGAGTCTTCTACCCAGACGGCAGCGGCGATTACGAAAGCAGCAAAGGCCTTGACAACGAAGGTCTCGATTTACCGGACGAAGACTTGGATGAAGCGACAAAGAGGACTGTCGAATTGGTCAACAGTGGATGGAATCCTTATGGTTAAGAGAACAAACCCGAAGACTCTTGTTGTTTCTATGTTTGTGTTGTTGCAGGTGTTGGGTTTGATTTCTAATTTGTTGTCATAGTTTGCTCTATTGACCATTCTTGATATTTGCCTTCTTTTAGTCAAAGCCAGTATAAGAAAAGTTCAAATGACAGCCTACAACTTTTCCCTTTCCACAGCCTCAGCAAGTCTCCAGCAAAGCACTTACTTGGAGGACAAACACCAACAGCCGCATCCTACACATGTGAGCCCGCGACCACGCAACCTATATATCCCGCTCGTCAGGTCGATGTCGACAGTTGTTTCTCTAGGGTATAGCACCTCAGCGCCTAATTGCAAAGTTCAGATATACAACAAGAGACAGCAACACTATGGGGGGTCTTTTCTGCGGATGTATTGTTCCAATTTTTATATCGATTTGTGTAAAGTACATGAGAAACTCTTCTACTTCTGTAATTACAAAATCCAATCTGTAAAGCGAGAGGACACCCATACATACAATAACGTCAAGAAAGAACAAGCAAGCATCAAAAGAATGTTCAGACAGCGTTGACACAGGAACACAGCCAAGAAAAAAAGAATCTACAATGGGACCAGGAGAGACGAAGCATGAGAGATTCAGCATAAGATGTCCAGTGTCAGACAACAGCATTATTGGCGTAGGTCAGGAAGAACACACGTTGCAGTATCGAAGCGTCTATCCCTGCTGCTCCTAGATCATCTTTTTGTCAGGTTACAGACAGTGTGCGGCTTTTGTAGGATTAGAATTGGTTTATTGATAGATAAAGGAGCTTGTAATCAGTATACCGATGGATACGGAGCATAGAAGCCTTGTGAACCTGTTACGAATATGGATAAGCATCTCTGCAACACACAAGCACTATGAAGTGCTTCTCGACTTCTTCTGAGTGCCCTTTTGAGTCCTCTTCTGAGGCCTCTTCTTTTCCTTTTTCCCTACTCTTGTTCTTGTTCTTCTTTTTGTTCCGCTCAAGGCGCTGTCCACCAACCCGTGTGTGAGTTGCGCCGATTGCCTCAGCCTTCTCTCTATGGCCATCTAGCATAGACTTTCACTCTACTAGTCATTGGCAAAGCTGATCCTGTAAAAATTGGGTTGATGTATACAGCCCAGATGACTGACCGTCAATATCATGTGGACACAACACTCTGAGGAAAGCAGTTCTTTTGGCATGGTTCATCTTAGAATCTATCACCCTGACAACCATGATCAATTCGCCATACTGTGTGTGATACCGCTCAACAAACTCATAGATTCGTCCCCAGTTCGAGGAGATACTGTTAGTGCCCATTGAGACAAGGATAGGTCGCTTTCTTTCTACTGTTGAACAAAGCAGTTGGTTCGTTATTGCAAAAGTCGTTCGGGCCGCATCATAACATAGATGGTTGGTGTCCTAACGATGCGAACGATGTCCAAGGTCGAAGGGGGCGCTGTCTGACGAGTTTCATCTCTGTTCCTGGATCTGGCGCAAAAGATGGCATGACCCGAGACTTTGTTCGATGACTTGCAATAAGAGCAGGTTAATACAATGTCAGGATAGAGTGTCCGAGGTGCAGGCATTGTTGCCTTTGCGACTTGTGTAACCTTATCGGAGTATCTTCCAAAGAAGTTTGGCTGCGATTCTGACTGTCGAAAGAAGAGAGTAACATGCCATCATGGATTTTCAGTGTTCGCCAGTGCGAGTAGTTCCTGGATTTCGTCATCTGATGGCACGACGTGTTGATCCTTGTCAACAATATCGTAATACTGGGTTAGATCTTAGGCAACTCCATTATCCCTTAATGCAACTGCATGAGTGTTGGCGTCATATTTTCCGTCACCATATCCCGCCTGGAAAAGACTGGCATACATAGCTTGGTTCAAGAAGCCAATCTTGCATACAGAGCAATTGACAAAACCAGGGAGGTCGTACCGTAGTTGATCATGGAACCCCAGTGTAGAACAGCATGCGACAATGACCTAAACTCGTGGTCACTGTCGTAATGAAGATTTCATTGTGTTTCAATGTTAAGACCTTGAGGACAGGTGTAATTGTATCCTGCCTCGTGATCAAAAGCAGGTTTTACACTATGAAGAGGCAGAATATACTTCCAGGCTGTATGGTTCACGATGAGAAGCTTTTTGTTGCAACGAAGAACACCCGGGTATGAAGAACAAAGCCTCAAAAACAACAGCATGACAGACATCACCACCGACGCTAATTCTAGTCAACAACAATCCTACACACCTCCTCGCCCCTCCAAACCCTGCGTTCCTTCCTCTCCAACCCCTCTTTCCCAGCTTCAAAATCCTCAGTTTCAACCTCACCAATCTGCTTCTTTCCAGTCAGCGCCAATGCAGTCTCCTCCACCAAAGCACTGATCTCAAATTCACCGTTGACAAGAGGACAAAGCCCCAGTTCAACAGTGACAGAACTGTGTGGCTGAAGAGGAGGCAAACGTTGTTGCAAAACACCACTAAACAGCAAGCGGCGAGAGATATCTAGACTTGTTTCTGCAGAGGTTTGGTCGGCGAGGGTTGGTTGCAGACGCAGGAGTGCTCTGATTGTGGTGTTGGTCTTGTTGTGTACAGTCGTTCGTAAAGTCAATAAACTCTCGGCTTTGACAGTGAACCTGCTGCGACCAATTCGTTGAACATCGTCATTTTCTGTGGATGTAACAGACATTGTGGTTGTAATGTCTTGAAGTCGTACTGTCTCGATCATCTTTGGACTCATTCTGAGACCGCGAAGATCAATATTGCCGTTTCTGTCTGAGCCCTTTTCTTCCCATGTACCGCGAAGGTATTTGAGTACTTCCTCTCTGAACCAGAATTGCTCTCGTGTTGCGCGCTCAAGGTCTGCAGAAACTGGTCCATCAGCGGATACAACAAACTGTCGTTGATTTTGCTGGGACAAGATTGGGATGGGTGCATAAGGATTTGCAATATGCAAACGAGGAAGAAGCAACACAAGACGTGCTACGTGACCAGGATGAACAACTTCATGTACTGCATAAGCGCGATCCCAGCTCTCATCAGAAGATGAAGAGCGCACCTGGACAGACACAGTTAACGGGTTTGGCCATGAGTTGCGCAAATCGAGAAGAAGTAAACAATGCTCTTCATTACTCGACTCCAAGCCCACGCGGTCCAGCAAAGTTCGGAAGCGATCATTGCCCTTCTCTACTGGATGTGATGGAGATCGCGGTGACTTTGGTCGTTGACCTTGTGCCTGTAACTCTCTATTCGTCCAGGCGAAATCAGCAGGGAACTCGCTGAAGTCGATTCGATGGAGTTGAATGCTGGCGTTGACAGTAATATCAATTGGCACTGCAACTTGGCGTGTAAATGCCCGACCTTCGACTTCTGAAAAGGGTTTGCCTAGATATGCATAATCGAACATGATCTTTGCGCCTGCAAGACCTAGTTTTCCGAGCACGGTGATGTCGAAGGTTGCCAGCTCGCCTGGCAGGATAGTCATGTCTTGACCACCTCCTGATCGAGCCCATGTGAATGTAGGATTGGTAGACAGCTCTAACTCAAGTCCGTACATATCGGGCTTGGTAAGCTCCTTGGCTGCCAAAGCTGTATGAATGGATGATTTCAAGGAGTCATCAAATGATATATGAAGGAAGTCGACTGTGACGTGCGACGAGGTGTTTCTTAATGTGATTTGGAATGTTTTCTTCTGTCCTTCCAGAACCATCAAGGCGGACTCTGAAAGGTCAAGCTTGTCAAGGATAATATGTGGTTGAGCTTGAATGGCAACAGCAGACACAGTCATTGGCTGTGGGAGGACAGGTTTTGATGAACGGCCTTTAGAGCTGCGTGACTGTGTAGTGACGGATGCCGAATCCCGGGCCGAGAGGCCAAGTTCTTTCACCTTGATTGGGAAGTCTGGTTTCCAAGATGACTGGTGAATTGGGAAGACTTGATCTTTACACCCAAACATCCGGATAGAACAACCGATGATCCGAATTTGGCCCTCTTCTTTGGCGCGTGCAGTAACTACAACATCTTGAAGTCTGGCGGGTCCTAAGGTGATGGAATGCTCCTCGATATCAACCGCTGGACCATCAGTGACCAGTGACAAATGCTCAATCCTAATCTCAAAGTCGTACGGATTTTGCAGTGTGACAACAAGCTCAGCCGGCTCGCCAACGACAACAACTTTATCTTCCATCTTGTGAGTCTCCTTAACAAAAGGATTATACAAGAAAGGCGACTTTCCAGGTTTGTTGTCGGAATCAAACAGCAAGTCAGATTTGTGACGCTCTCGCAGCTTTTCGTTGTTCGGATCGTCAATCCACTGGACGTTCCGAACAAGAAAGTCATCCCAGTAAAGAGCTCGGATATGTGGCAGACCAATCTTACCTGCAGCATTTATCGTCCTTGCCATGTTGGATATCAACCGCAGTTGTTCTTCAGTAACCATCGTAACACGACGGTTATGCTCGTGCACAGTCATGGTTCCCTGCGGACCAACAACTCGTAATAGCAGAGCAGAAAAATGTACGACACCTGGTAGATCTGGTAATGCCTCACAGAAATCGATGCACGCTCTGAGTATGTCGATCTTGAGGTTAATACTGCCGAAAGACTTGGTACTGGCTGATTGGGTGGCCAAAGCGATTGTAGCATTGATCATTACATCCAGAACATTTTCCTGCTCATCTTCTGATGCTTTCTTCTCAGTCTCGAGATGGTCATGATCGCGAGCGCCATAAGTAGAATGCAGATCTCGCAGCATGTTTCCAAGACCGATCTGTTCCTCGGTGTTTTCCGAGGACGGCAATCCTGTACTGAACACAGCAGACAAGCTAGCAGCAGCATGTATACCCATCTCAGCAGCACCGACCTTTCTGGCTTGAACTAGAGCAGGAACGAGAAGTGTAATCATTTCCTTCACAATGACAGCTTTCTTGCGCTCAAAACCGAGCATGGAAAGAACAGAGACTATGCCTGCCTGAATTGCTACAGTATCGGCAAGAGGCACCCCAGCACTTGGCGGTGGGTATGCACGAAGAGCAATATCAGCAATAGCATGTTTTGAAATGCCACCAGAGAAGCCCGCATTAGCTTTTGGTTGATACAAGGAGCGACTTGATGAGGAAGCAATCTTTCGTAAGATGGCAGAGTCCAGCTCACCACCTGCGTTTTGTAAAAAGGCGAGTAGCTTTGAAAGCCTCAAGACACTTTCCGAATAGGCAACAGGAGATATGGGCTCACCAGCCAATGTGCTTGTTCTTTCGTATACTGAAATGATCATGGGTATGAGATCGGGAAAAAGTCTGGAAGCTCTTGAAGCAGCTTGTTTGGCAGCGGTAGGGTCTTGCTGACCTATAGGCGGTACACCATCTCTGGTGATGGCGGAAGAGATAAGAGATGAAGATCTGTCAGGTCCAGAATTGCAGATGGCAGGAATGGGGAAGTCAAAGCCAGACCAAATAAGTAAAAGCATACAGACTACTATGCTCTCCAAGCCCTTTGCGTACCAAAGATAGTCAGAGGCAGTACGAGCCTTGTTTGTGTTTTCAACGAGTTCTCGCCAAGCATCGTTCCAGCGTCCAGCTAGCATGTACAAGTTTCCGACGACGATGCCAACTCTTGCTTTGCCTTTGTTCTTTGCTCTTTCTTGTGCGCTAGTGGAGGCAAAAGCCTGGGTCGACATGCGATCTCTATTCGCAATCTTGCCGCTGTCTGATCGAGTGTGTGCTCCCATGTCATCGAAGTTTGTGGGCGGGCCTCTCGGAGGAGGTGTCTCGGAGCGAGAAATGGCGGAGGAAGAATCGGCGGGCGAGGCTGGACGTGAAGAATCCATGCGCAGCGAAAGAGAGCGGTCTAGCGGTGGACGAGAGGTGGAGGCACCTGGTGACTGAACACTTGGCAGAGCTTGTACGGCAGTGGCATAAGTGCCCATCTCTGACAGCAGTCTGGCTGAAATATCGCACATGACGGTGTTCATGGTAGTTATCTTTGCGGCATGCGAGGGAGGGACGCAGATTGCCTTGTCTAAATTCCAACTCTCTTGCTGCTCCTGAGTGCAATCCATAACCAGTAGTTGCGAAAGCAGTATTTTGGGGTGCTGTTCAGCCAACCTGTCTGATACATGTTGCAATTCTTCTTTAGGCGACGACTCGTATTCTTTTGCATCGACAATACCCAGGACCATCAAGTGCTCTCTGAACAGGTCGAAGGGGACCAATTGGGAGTGCGAGGAGGGCGGGACCGAGGTTGAGAAGTTGTATAGAAGGGAGCCATTCGGAAAAGCCAAAGGAGAGAAAAGAGTATTCGTGGATTTGGCATCAGGACTAATGTCACCTAGTCGGACGGTGTCGTGCTGTTCTAGTCGTTGCAAGAAGGTGGTGAAGCGGAGCTTCTTGATGCGCCCGGCAGGCAGGACGAGGACTCGCACGCGCGCCGGCGCGATGGGCGAGAGGTAGTCGTTTGCCATTTCCTCATGACATGGCTCGTCTCTAGTACAAATCGTCAACAAGTTGGGAAGAGCCAAAGGCGCAATAACTCTGTCTGTTGTTGTTCCTGGCCAATCAAAGCTCCTGAGTCTAAGGGTCTTGGGCGCGGCTCCTCCGCACCTCCTCCGCAATCTCATACAAATGCCTATGACATTCTGCCTGATTAAAGATATCAACCATCCTACACATCTACTCCTGCATCAGCATGGAGACAATCCAATTTAGACGATCCATACTCTTCATTAAACCATTCCTCCCGCGCCCGCATTACACGACATTTGCTTGATTCTTCTCTTTACCATCACCTTATCTTATGAAAGAGCCGTGACGTGATTAGCTAACCTTTAAAACATGGCTCTACTCAGAGGGTTAAGGGACCCTTATGAGCGCAACTTTCTAGCAGCTCCAAGACCAAGGTTCAACAGAAGGTGGGTAACCTTTACCTTTCATACTTTACTGACTCGTCAACTCGATACTGTATTACCCAAAGCCGGGGCCATGTCGCGTCAGCGCCGGCTAACGGCGGGGCATCAATCACCATGATTGTCCATCACGCAGCATCTCGCTCGTTGCTTGCTTCCTCATACTGAACTGAACATGCCCATACTAAACAAGATATACAGCGCCTCTTCAAAACTCTCGGTTCCGACATCCCTAGCTTCATCAAAGTCCGAGAAGCCGCTATATCACCTGAAAACTTTGCTACGAGAAATTGATACCCAAGCCCCGGAAAAAGACCTCATCCAGCTTCAGCAGAAAATATGCGCTTCAATAGACGAATTCCCTGTCGCCGATGTGGAAAAGGTCTTTCGTTCTGCCGAAAAGCTGCTGCGTGAACAGGATCTCGTCAAAACTGACCTTGGCTTGGCCATTATTGCGAAGCTCGCTTTCAAACCAGAGTGCACCCCCGCGAATCGCTTGCATTTCTTTCACACCCTGTACCAAGATGGTTCCACAAATCGCTATACTGATTTTCCCTCGTACCTTCTTGCGATACTCACCGACAATGGCCGTCAACTCGAGGGCTTCGAGCCTCTGCTGTCACCCATGACTCCTGCACTTCTGCGAGAAGTTGACTCCGAGTTTGCAGAGAAAGACGTTAGGAGACGAGAAGCTCGGGAATCCGGTCTGCCTGTTTCAACCTCACTTGACCTCATTAACAATACTATCAAATACAATGCGAGGTTCTTCAGTGATGCCGACATAACATTGCTGGTCCGGGGAATGTTTGAACTACGACATCGACTGGGTTTCGACGACCCAGACAAGATTTGCGATATCCTAGGCACTTTGATCATTTACACTCATATTCCGAAAGATGCAGTTCTGATTGCTACGAGGACTCTGTGTTTCTTGAGAGAACGAAATGGTCTGGAGGATAAGACGAGCAGGACTTTTTCTTACTTTATGAATACTCATCTAAAAGATGAAACCATTGAAAGTCTCCTTCGCAGGTTCGAAGACGACAACACATGCCCTCTAGAAGCTGCCGGAGCAGCTGCTTTACTCGAACTGTCGCTGGTAAATACTACAACAAGTCACTCGATCGACTTAGACATCAATCGTCTGATGGACGCACTGGCAAGATCTGTACCCGAGCAGAATGCCTCTGCGTATGCCAGATTACGCTTGGAATTAATCAAAGTCCTTGTCCAGAATGAGGAGATGCAACAAAAACTCCTTGCAGCTCCGGATTGGATACACATACAGGAAGCCATCATTCGAAATGCCAAAGCTCCGCTAGAATCTCTCCTGGTCGGATTGAACAAAGAGGACGGCACTCTTGAGCGTTTCATGAAAGATCGCGAGAATAGAAGGGAAACCATTCGCGCAATTATTTCATGCCTCGAGCATATCGATGGGATTAGCCTCCAGCAGTCTAGAACACTGCGTCGGACTGCACTTTACGTGGCGCCGTGGTTGACAGAACAACAGTCGATGAAGTTGATATCCGCATATCAGCCGTCGTCGTTCCGCATCTCGATTGGCAATTGGCTTGGTGAGATTAAGGAACTTGCCAGCCATTTCATCTTCAACACTGCTTGTCACCTCACACTTCGTCAGAAAGCTCTAAAAGTCATCAAATCCGCGTGGCGCACGGCTCAACAACTTGGTGAAGAGGAGGCCACCAATACGTGTCGCGATTTGATTGTGACTGCGCTTGACAATGAAACAAACTATGCATTCAGAGGCAATCTGGTGCACGTTCTACTCAAATTCACTGTCGGAGTGAGCGATGCAATTTTCTATCGAACTTTGGAGGTGTTTGTGAAATCTGCACGCACGAACTGTTTCCACGAGCTCATCGAGACACCATTTTTTGCTGAGCCAGAAGGTCCGAAGGAGGCAAACCCCGAGAGTGATTCGCAGAAACAGCCACAGGACGAAGATTTACCATCTATCCTACCTGACGCCGGACTGGTGGCATTATTGATGAGAAGCAGCGTGGATCAACTCGAAAGGTCGCGAAGAGTGTATGATGAGATGCTCCAACTCATCGCCATACCTGAAAGACCTGCGGAGTCTACTGTCATGCTGCTCAGAGGCCTGTTCCGTATTCGAAGTGATTTAGACCATCGCATATTCTTCCTTGCAAATTCGGAAGGCGAGAGTCTTGCAAAGGTGCTTCACAGAAACTCTGACTCTCCTTTCTTGCAATCCCGCAGATCGTCCCTGCAGTCAGGAATATCAATCATGCCACCTGTCTGGAAGTATGGTGACATCCATGGGCTGCCCGAGTCACCTCCAACGACCGTGAGCGCTGTACTCCGATCAGAGACGAAACCTGTTGACGGTGTCGACTGCAGCCTCAACATGAGATCTTGGCTCGAGACAGTCATCCAGTTGTTGGAGTCTGCCAACTGTGACTGGGAAGTGTACAGCTACATTATCGTTCACGTCGGTCCTCAAGTATCCAACCAGTCCCTCTTCGCAGAGAACATCCACGAGATCAGGTTACTCAGAAATCTGGTTTGCAAAAAGATACAGTCTCAAACGATATTCAGACCACCAGAAACCTCAAATCTGCGACAAGGCGATGTGGCTTTGTGCTTGTATCACATTCTCACTACCTGTATCGGGTACCATTGGCAATTGCCCAGGAAGGAGAACGTGGACACAATCACCACTCTTGTCAAAGGTCTCACATTATGGGATCGTACAACTATAGCTTGCGTCAACGCGCTAACCCTGAGTTGTTACGAGCTGCCGGTATCGTTGAGTCGAGATCTCGTTCGTATCGTGGCGCAGATGTCTACGATTGTTACCAAATCAGACTCGGCCATCCATGTGCTTGAGTTTCTGGCAGGATTATCTCGTATCGATGAGTTGGTCAACCAATTTCATGGTGACGAGATCAAGACAGTTTTTGGAGTATGCTTCAGCTACATTGACTACGCCAGAGGCAAGAAATTCGATGAACAAAACCGCGGAAGGTCAACAGGACCACCTACCAGAAACGCCTCGGTCGTCGAGAGCAATTACCGCCAAGCTACCGAAGACCTCGCAATTCCACAATACGTCTTTGCGCTTAGTTACCACGTCATTACGTTCTGGTTTCTTGCTCTGAGTAAAGAGGATCAAAAAAGGCACTTCCCATGGATGGAACAAAGATTGCTCTCCCCCGACCAATCCGGACAAGTTCTTGATGAAGCCATCGTCACTGTTGACCATATTTGGCGAGTTACAGAAGGCAAAGATGTTGTGAAACCACTTCCATTGGATCTTGGTATGACGAGTGAACCATCAGTAGATCCAGTCACGCAAACATGGGTCTCTGAGTACTGTATTCTGACAATAAAGTGTCACCTCGATAATGGACTCGTTGAAATCATCGAGCGAAGGAGTTCCGGCACTGACGAAAATCGCTTCGTCTATGCTGGCGAGGATCCACTGACCCCAGATCTGATATACCAAGAACGATTCGCTTCGACCATCAATGGTAATTTCAAGAGCGACCTGGAAGTCGTCATTCTCCCTACCACCGATGCCACACGTCGTGCACTTGGCATCTTTGACCGCATCTCACCCATCGATTTCTTCAAAGCTGGCGTCATCTACATTGGCGAAAATCAAAAACACGAACACGAAATCTTGGCCAACGTCTCCGGCTCTCCAGACTACAACCTCTTCATTGCTGGTCTAGGCGAGCGCGTCTCGCTCGCCAACAACCGTGAAAACATGGCTGGCTTAGATACCAGCGAAGGCATGTTTGACGGCCGCAGCACACTCCGCCACAGCGACAGCATCACGACCCTAAACTACCACGTCACGACCATGATGCCCACAAACCGCGAAACGGACCCACAATGCACACGCAAAAAATCGCACATCGGCAATGACTTCGTAAACATCATTTTCAACAATTCCGGCCTCGAGTTTGACTTTAACACTTTCCCTTCGGCGTTTAACTACGTCTATATCGTCGTTGTACCTGAAGCTCGTCAAACGTTTATCCAGACGCGCACGCGTTTGCATAATGCTGGTTGGTTTGAAGACTCGTGGTTCAAAGTGCGCGTACTTACTCGCCATGACTTCCCCGCGATATCTTCAGCGGCGGAGACGGCGGTTGTTTCGGGGGCTGCGTTGAGTGCGTATGTGAGGAATCTTGCTCTCAATGCTGAGGAGTTCTGTAGAGTGTGGAGTAATAGGGGCATGGGAGAGTTGCCTAGTACATGGAGGAGTCGGTTGCAGCAGATTAGGATGTTGAGGGAGAGGAATGTTGTCAAGAAGGAGTAACTTGGTGGTTGTGGGGTGGATAGAAGGTTGAACAGAAGGGGTTGAGTAGAGTTGAGGATTAAGAGGGAACAGAATTGAAGGTAGAAATTAGCATCACGAGTACAGATATAGACATGCTTATTTATGCTGAAGTCTGTTCGGATGAAGATTGAAAAGCAAGACGAATGCTGTCGATATCTCACAAGCATATCGTGTACAGTCAGAGCGTGGGCTTTCCACCAGTCTTTGTGATCTACACAGCCACGGTTTCCAGAGGCGAAACAAACGCCAGCCAACATGAGCCCGCCTATTTTTTTCGCTTCATGCAACATTCTCAAATTGACGAAGAAAAGACATTCGACCAAGTTAAGGATTGCAGCACTTCATTTTTCTGCACATTCGCAAATCTCAAGACGGAAGGGACCGGAGAGAATAGGGACGAAAGACTGGCTCTTTCTGTTTCTGCTTACTACTAACTGCATGGGAAAAGCATGTGTTTGGCAAATAAATAAATAAAGAGCAATCGACTAGAACCTGGAAGGTACGGCTTTCACACTCGCGTTGGTCTCTATTGGACTCGACTAGATATGTTGTGTTTCAAGGTGATTTTTGGGGGGTGTTCTTATCTTCTATCTTCTTTTGTCTTTCCCATGAGATGGATCTTGATGCATCATCTTGATGTGCCAGCCTTAGATGACAACTGCTTGTCTCATTATCTTGGAGATGAAGGAGATCTTTGGTCCTGATCTATGCTATTCTCTTCGATTAAGTTTTTGGGCGTACGAGATAGATGGACACAAGAAGATACGTGTAGCCATCAGTACGAGCCGATCAACGCTATTAGGCAAAAGTCTCTTAGGAGGTAAGTAGCGTGGTCGTGCGCGATGATTAGTGAACATTTTGTCTCAAGTATTTCGCAGACCTTCTTGCGCGACAACGGCACGATACTCAGGCGGATAATCGGCCACCATCCCAAGTGCCAGATCTCTCATATTTGATACTGTTCCTGTTTTGCATTGAGCGTGTCTCCATTCGAATGCGGCGTCCTTGCGCAAATCAAGAAAGCGCGTGGTCAACGTCTCTGTTCGCATGTTCTGTTTGTGACCTCTTGAGCTTGGACGATGGCTCATTGTCCTACCTTGAGGCGCCTGCGTATTTGCCGAGTTAATATGCTGGAAGTCGTGCAGTGATATCCACCACGCGATTGCCTGCGCTAACAACGAAGCCAATGCAACATGACAAGCAGCCATCTTCTTCCTCCTTACTCTATCAGGACATTGCAGAAAAGCGCCATTGCGATTCTTATCAGTCACCGACAGCGTTGGAGTTCATACGTTACGACCGAAATCAAAGCGAGATATGGATGGTTGCATGAGGTAGAGCGGTACATAATCGCGCAATCAAGTCGCACCAGCACTGCAGGCTCCCGAGGGGTATTACCAGATCTCCAGAGCATTACCTGGTTATGAGGACTGGTATTCTGCGGGAGGATCTGTGGAGAACCGTTCCCACATGCAGCAGAGCGACGCGATGAGTCGTGTTGAGACGAGTATACTGGACCAGGTATGTGGTAGTGAGTCGTACTCGGTGACCGGGCCGGCTAATTCTCAGCACTCGGTGGGTTTTATTTTGTTTGCGAAGTGGCCTTTCTCGATTCGATCGTATTGTGCTTCTGTAACATGAAAGTTGGTCTGGTCAGACTTGTCAGCTTTAATGGATGATGGTTGAAGTTGTTGTGATCATGGAGGCGGCAATTTGAAGCCGAGGCTGAGAAAGCATGCCTTCGACCGCCTTCACGGGACCATGCTTTTGACATAGCATGTAGTTACCTGATCCGTAAGTATGTGCCGTATACAGGTTTTCAGATTATTTGGAGCGGCATTCAACTAAGGTGGAGCTGAGGTTGTGGTGTCGCACGAACTGCACGCCATGAGTTCAACGTTGGCTTTTCCTGCATCACCAAAGTCGAAGTGACTGCGAGAACCCGTAAAATTGTCCTTCTTGAGGTTTCTTGCGCAGGAACGCTGCAGGTTATCCTGCTTGGCACCTGGAAGGTCACTGAAGCTCCTGCCGCTCAGTACGCGGATATTGCGGCTTGTTTGAAGTGAGAGATCATCTTCAATTGACCGAAAGCTCGATGGACTGGCGGAACAATGGCGTTTTTGCCTGGTATACGTGCGTGCGTGAGAGGACGGGAGCGGGAAGATGGAGCATCGCATGGCATGGCCACAGTCATATATATCTCCCAATGATCCCCGTAGCCCGTTACCCTTCTTTCGGTGTTACCACTGTTCGGCTGTCAGTCATTTGCCGCCTTTCAAGGGTTTCCCGCATCTTTTTCTCATCTCCACCTTCTCATCTTGATATACCAGAGTACCATGGCAGAGGCGTTGACGATGCCTCTTTCTATCGATGATGAGAAAGCTCGAAAATCGTCCCTGGAAGACTCGCAAAATGATTCACTGGAGTCGATTGAAAGAATAAGAGAAATCGATGCTGACATCGAAAGGAGAGTCATTCGCAAGTGTGACTGGTGGGTTGTACCTGCTCCCACAGTCATGTTCATGCTCTCCTTCATCGATCGGTAAGTTCGATCAACGAGACGAAGCATACACATCTGACAACAAAACCAGCGTCAACATTGCAAATGCAAGAATCGAAGGCATGTTGACAGATCTCCATATGGTCAAGCACGACTACAATATCGCCCTCTTCATCGTCTTTATTCCATTCATCCTCTGTGAGACTCCAAGCAACATGATCCTTAAGCGCATTGCTCCACGCGTCTGGCTTAGTTTCTTGCTCTTCGGTTGTGGGCTCATGGCTATCTGTCAGGGTGTGACAAAGTCCTTTGGTGGCCTTGTAGCCTGCCGTTTCATCCTTGGTATCTTCGAAGCCGGTATATCTCCAGGAAGCATCCTTCTCATCACGATGTACTACCGTCGCGAAGAGCTACCTCGCAGGATCTGTTGGTGGTATATGTCTGGGACCATAGCAGGCGCTTTCGGCGGTCTGCTAGCGTATGCTCTGGCAAACATGTGAGTGCTCCTCAGTGTGTTGTGTGTGTACACTAATGCTGGTCAGGAGTGGAGTTAGAGGCTATGGCGGATGGAGATGGTCAGTAAATGCACCCGTGGTTGATGGAGAGGCTCTGACAAGTCGTACAGGATATTCATCATCGAAGGATGTGTGACTGTCGGCGTGAGCATCCTCATGTATTGGTGGCTTGCAGATTGGCCAGCAGACTGTCGCTTTCTGACTCCAGACGAGCGCAAGGTACTGATGTGGCGCCTAATGGATGACAGTGAAGGCGAAGCCAGGATGGATCGAGTCAACTGGTCCAGATGTGCGAGAGACTGGAAAGTCTGGGTTGCGTAGGTCTCACATGCCATTTCTGATGTCCAAATACTAACGAACTTGCTCAGAACAGCAATGTACTTCGGTGTCGTAGCTCTCAACTACTCGACTAACAACTTCAATCCAACTCTTTTGAAGGAGCTTGGCTACACATCCGCAGCAGCTCAGGTAGGTCGTCCAGAATTTGTAGAGGCAAAGCTAATACGACCAGATTCACTCGATTCCTCTTTATGTCGTCGCGAGTGCTTTCTGTCTGGGATCTTGCTATCTGTCGACATACATCAACAACCGGTTCTGGCCTTTGCAATTCGGAGTAGTCCTTGGCAGCGTTGGTTTCGTCATCCTCATGGTTCAAAGATCACCTGCAGTTGGACCGGGTGTCGCATACATGGCGCTCTTCTTCATCACCAGTGCTGGGTACATCGTGCAGCCAATGGTTGTGTCGTGGGTCATGAATAATGCATCTGGGCATTACAAAAGGGCGTTCACCTCAGGCACCATGATCGGTTTGGGCAATGCTGGCGGACTTGTGTCGAGCAACATATTCTTCCAGGAAGAGGCGCCATATTATCCTACCGGATACGGGACATCGTTGGCATTGCTGATCCTGACAGGTGTCGCGGCAGTGGTGTTTTATGTTGGATTGAAGAGAGAGAATGCCAAAAGAGACGCGGGCAAGTGTGACGAGCGGCTTCTGCTTCCAGATGCTGACAATCTTGGGGACGACCATCCTTCCTTCCGCTTCAGCTTTTGAGCATTATGGACGACCCAAAACTCGGACATGTGAGCTGTTTGGATCCCTTTAGAACAAATTCTTTGTCGCAAGGCATTGACTACGAGATACGATCGGCGTTGTTTTCGGATGATATTTGTTCTCGGCGCACCGGGGTATAGATATTTCTTCTCAATTGCACAAGCTGTATGCTTTCTCAACAACAATGATCACTCTTGGAAAGAACAAAACAGAGGAGGTTGGAAGATGGTTGACATCACTGCGGGGGTCCGTGCGAGAGGAGCTCCTCGCGTCTCGCGCGCTCGCTCATTCTCCTTCACTCTCAACATGCATTCAACTATGTCGGATGTGATGAAGCTTTGAATCGATATCCTCGTGATCGCCCAAACTCGGCTACTGATAGCAGACACGAAACAGTGCTGGGCAAAGCGATGAATCTCGAAAAAAAGTCATCATACTATTCATTGCTCTGCAGCTGGTGTAAAACTCATTCCTGGCCATTATTGATCTCTTGACAAGTCCGCTTGCAGTCTCAATCATGTGTATGAAATGCCGATAGTATGTGCTTCGGCTGGTTGCTCCTGCCTGCTTGGTATCGTCATGCCCCTCATCCTGATTGCCCGTGGGACGCAGCTTCCCGAATGCCATCAAATCTGTAACACTCAATCGTTGGTCTCGACGCAATGAGCGTTTGCGATAGTGAGTCCTTCGACAGAAGTGCTGGCTGCCCTCGAGAGTTTGGATGTATCGGAGCTTCACTAGGCTTGAGAGATCTTATTGTCGTTTGTGAGGTTCTGTCATGTCAATCACTGCAACGCTTTGTTGTTTGCAGCGCCTTCTCGACTCGACATGATCACGCTGTTCCTCTGATAGTTTTCAGATAACTCGACTCCTTCCCAACTGCGCTTCTATCTGTCAATTCCTCACAGATTCGTTCACGTTCGCTGCTATGGCCCCAACTCAGAACCCAGCTCTCTGGTCGAATCTCGCCATCCGCGCTGCCACTGAGCACCACACCAGAGTGCCTCTTATCCAGGGTGTTGCCATTGGCCTTGTTCTTCTGGCGTTTATCATCTGTACACTGCGCCTCACTATTCGCTTAGGAAGACGTACTGCCAGCTATGAGGACGGCTTCATCGTAGTTGCCATGGTGAGTCTCGATGCGCGCTTGGTTTCGAGTCCTTTCCTGACACTCTTCCTCGAAGTTGTTCGCGATTCTGGAAAGCGCTGTTGCATGCTTGGGTATGTCGACATTCAATCTGATCACCGCATCATCTCTGACTTCAAAAAGCGGCTGCCAATGGCTACGGTGCTATCATGTCCACCCTTACTGATGAACAGCTTGCGAAGGCGCTCATGGTATTGAACCCCTCTAATTCATCCATTGGCATCGCTGATTTAAATAGTGGTTCTGGTGGGCCCAAGTACTGTACAAACTCACCATCTGGCCTACCAAGCTGTCCATCCTCTTTCTTTACCTCCGTGTCTTTGGTGACACGCCTAACGTCACGGCTTTCGGTGTAAACTTCCGCAAGTCTGTGTACGCATTGATGGCCTTTTCCGCGGTCTTCTGTATTGTCACACTCATCGTCAATGTCCTCTCGTGTATCCCCGTCAGCCACTACTGGGACAAGAACTCTCCAGGTCACTGTGGCGTGGATCCTTTCAGCTGGTGGTTGGCACAATCTTTGCTCAACACTATTTCCGACCTCATCATCCTCATCTTGCCAATGCCGTTGGTCAAGAACTTACTCCAGATTCCTGCCCGTCAGAAATTCGGTCTTTGCTTGGTCTTTTCACTTGGTGGCTTGTAAGATTTTCCCAACTTCTCGATATTTGGCTCCGCTAACGATCTCTTCAAGTGTGGTCATCGTCACTATCATGCGCATCACAACCTTCAAGACAGGAGGTCTCGGCGACGACACTACTTGTGAGACATGCAAGAACAGCTTGCTTTGGTTGAGACTAAGACTAACCACATAACAGATGACGGTGCTGTCACTCTCTGTTGGACCATAGTCGAAACCAACGTCGCCATCATCTGTGCCTGTCTGCCATTGCTCCGCCCTTTCATCGCCCGTATGATTCCTGGATTTTGTGGTGGCTCTGGCCTGCGCAGCAATAGCTATCCTATGGCTCAGCCTACCACTTCAGATGAGTCTCCCAGGTACAAACCTCGCAGTAGCCATATGCCCGAAAGAATGCGCCCTCGTTCTTGGGTCGGCATTGAGACTGTCATTGGTCAAGGCGATGGGCAGACTGCATCGACTGGTATTCACAAGCAGATGGAAGTGGATATCACTACTGAGGCTGTAAGTATCTGTGGTACCGAATCTCTGCTTCGTCTCACGTGTCAGGACGACACAATCAAATCTGAGGAAGCCAGAAGCTCAGAGTCTTTGAATGGACACAAGTAAACTATGTCAAGCATGAAACACGGTGGAAGAAGGAGGGTTTGCTTCAATTTCAGCAGCAGATAATGATATCAAACAAGACAAAATCTTCGCTTTTGACGTTCTCATTCTCTTTTCCAGTACTTCTGATCTGCAGGGTTTTTCTGGTATGTATCGTGAAACAGTTCTCTAGATTCACCAAAGAAGTCGGGCACAGACATGCTTGTCTGAGAACGAGCTTGTGAAGAAGCAGGTACCAGAAACATTCTATTGATATGTCCCGGCGATCATCACCAACGACGCATATTAAAGTCATATAACTGATGCTTATACATCTAGAGGATATATCAGTATGATCATATAAGACGAATATCGCGTGTTACAAGGATTATGTCGTCAAGATTATCTGGCGAGCATTGCGAAGCGGGCGACCCTGGCCTTGAGCACAAGATTCATGCAAAGCTTTATGATGACACAAAAACGTACATAAGTCTTGGCACGATTTGCGGGAAACAACTGCAGATGACCGGCCGGTATATTGATAAGGCAGCCGAGTAACCAGTCTTCACGCATACGATATTCTGTCTTCCGAGTCACGATCTAGACACTATACAGGGCTCCGGCAGTCTGATAAACTTGCAGTGAAATATAAAAGCCACAGTAAAAAGCCTCTACCGTTGACTGCATTGTGACGCGTAGCTCTCGGGAACCCACCAAGCTACAGTGACATTCTCGACCTGGCCATGCCACGTATATGATCTGGAAACCTTCAACCACAAAACATTCAAAAACAACATGCTTGCCAAACTCAAAGAAGAATTCGGTGTCGAGACACTGCTCTCTGCACCTCGGGATGTGCATCTCATCCTCCTCACCAGAACCCTCCGCATGTTCGCCTATGGCTCCACAACCATAATCCTCGCCCTCCATCTCTCCCTCCTCAAAAACTCGGATACGCTTATTGGAGTTTTCATGTCACTGACGCTAATCGGAGACGTGTTTATCTCTCTACTACTCACTTTTGTCGCCGATTCACTAGGCAGACGCAAGATTATTCTGCTGGGGTCAGTGACAATGGCACTTAGCGGTGTTGTCTTTGCTACCCAAACCAGTTTTACAATCTTGCTAATTGCGGCGGTGGTGGGTGTGATTTCGCCGTCTGGAAATGAGATTGGTCCATTCAGAGCGGTCGAGGAGAGTACTCTTGCACACCTTGTTCCTGCTGCTCAGCGCAGTGATGTGTTTGCTTGGTATGTCGTTGTCGGCACTTTCGGCACCAGTGTCGGCGCTTTGGTCTCTGGATGGCTGGTCTCGACTCTAGGCGCTGAGAATGAGAAAGCGCTTGGGAGCTACCAAGTCATCTTTTGGTTGTACGCTTTGCTGGGTTGCGTTAAGGCTGGCATCACTTTCCTTCTCAGCTCAGCCTGCGAGCTTGAGAAGGTGCCTCAAAAACCTTCTAGTGCAGAAACTGGCGATGCCGAAGAAGCAGAAACATTCATCCAACAACCGCAATCCGCTGCACAGCCCAAACCAGCCAGCAAATGGGCATTCACAACGATTAGTCCATCTTCTCGCAAAACCCTTCTCAAACTCGCAGGATTGTTCAGCATCGACAGCTTAGCTTCCGGAATGGCTTCCATCTCATTGATCACCTACTTCCTAGCCGAAAAATTCGGCTCGGCACCTTCAAAGCTAGGAACAATCATGGCAGTAGCCTCCTTGATGTCAAGTATCGGCAACATCGCCGCCTCCAGCGTCTCCAAACGCATCGGCTTCATCTACACAATGGTATTCACACACCTGCCCTCCGCAATCTTTCTCATGATGATGCCGGCACCTCACTCCCTCGCTCTCACCGTCGTCTTTATTATTCTAAGAGCGACACTGGCATCCATGGATCAAGCTCCCCGATCTGCATTCTTGTCTGCTGTCGTGTTGCCCGCTGAGCGCACTGCGGTTATGGGAACTTTGAATACGGTCAAGACGGCTGCGCAGAGTGCTGGTCCGCTGTTTACTGGTGTGCTTGCTCAGCATAAACATTTTGGAGCTGCTTTTGTGGTGGCTGGTCTTTTGAAGGCTGGGTATGATTTGGGACTCTTGCATTGGTTTGCGGAGAGTAAGATGAGGGGAGGATCTGCCGATGAGGCTAGGGAAAGAGCAAGGCAGCAGGAGGATGAGGAGGGCCAGGAGCTGAGGTGATAAGTTGAGTGTATAGGGCGTTGCATGGGAGTTCCAAAAGGGGTTTGAATTTTCTGGCATCACATTGTGTATGTAATCTATGTTACTTGAATAACAGTTTGTTTGTGCAAAAAGTCGATCTAACAAACGATGTGACCAGCAAACAATGCGACTCGTATCCGAAGGCATCAATCCAACCAACCTGAGTCAAATCACATCTACTATGCTTAAAGCAACCATCTCCATCTCGCAAACGACAGAACGATATGTAGCGCAATTGTATTCCAGGAGGAAATCGACAGATCTGAAGAGCGTGGTCAATGAATCTCAATGTACCGCAGTCGACAGAGCAGCTGGAGAATGGGCTTCTCTGATCGACGACCCACGATGTCGAGTAGGAATCGGAGCATAGATGCCTTGCAATGGAATTGCATCATCCTCACTATTCGAATCAGACCCATTGTCGTTGGCGTTGCTTGTGCTTCTCCGTCTTCTGAACAGGTTCTTGATGCGCTGGTAGATGCTGGGTATAGGTGCAACCCAGGTGACGTGTCTGGCAACATCGAGGCCAGGATGCGGGTCTTGTGGATCGCCCACGAGGCCAAAGCGAAACTCATCCCGTCTAAGCCGCAACATAGCATGCAGCTCGTCCTTTGTGATATTTTTGCTGAATGCCGCATGACCAAATTCTGGATACCATCGCAACTGACTGTCGTAGAAGAAGCAGAAGTAATCGTAGAGACTCCCGACATCCCTAGGCAGCCGCCTTTTGGCTGGAGGCCAATATGACGTCAAAGAATAGATGTAAATGCTCGAATAGACGATTGCGCAGCAGGCAGCTGTGGGTGAAAGTTGCACAACAACTCCTGAGCCCGTTTCAGTGATGGCACAGAGACCAGTCATTATCAGTGGCGGTACCCAGTTGAGAGCACTCAAGACGCCAAAGTACACCACTCTGTAGTTTCCGTTGGCCCATGCTTGAGGTATGACGTCTAGTGGTGACACGGTCATGTAATCCAGTAAAAGGGTTTCCGAGACAAGGCTGGCCTTCTCGTACATGTTGGTGAAAGGCTGCACCCAGCGATGATGTATGTCCATGGTTGTTATCGAGCCTCCAGCCCAACCTACAATCATGATCGGCAGAAATCTTAGCAGTAGATATGCCAGGGAGTCGCGGGTCATAGCAGCTTTGTCATGGCGACTGAAAGAATCAGGTGGCGGCATGAACTCTTTCCATGGCGTAACGAACCTAGTACCGTTGGGCGCAGGGGTGGTATCGTTTGATTGAACGGTCCATGGCCCCATTTTGAGAACAGTGCCGTTGAAAAACCAGATCCGGATCACTGCAAAGCTGAGACAATCCACGACTATGAGCAGGAGGCATATCTGTAGAAGACTCAAAAAGGATCTGTAGGTGAATGGACCTCTCTGATAAGGATAGTGCGAGCAACGAGGATAATCTTGGCAGCGGCATGTTGAGTCGTGAGATTCATTTGGAAAAAGCCTGGGCAGAAACACTGTCAGTATATCGATCATATAAGAGATTTTGTGGATGACAGATGATGATGCCCACTCAAATTTTCTTGTAGACACCGTATAACTGCATAAGATGATCATCCTGTGTAAAGAATGTACGCACCGGGAAGAAGGTTGGTCTGAGAGGCGTCTCAGGATGTCAATATGTTGGCAACACGAGTCCAAAGAGCCCTTCTGATCCATATAGTCGTTGAAACATCGAAGGTGTTTGGTGTTGGTTGGTGGACTGACCGGATTAATCTCGCGTATCCCATAGATGATGGATGGTCTTGGTTCAGCCGCGTTCGTGATTCTCCAGTAACCAAGCCTGTATTTTGGTCCCGAGCGCGAAAACATGTTGTACCATCTGATGTAGTCCAGGCTATGCTTTAGCTTCGGCACAGTATCTGATGGTGCGAACAACAAAATGATGTCGGCCAGGGATGTGGGGTCCCAATTTGCTTTCAGACCGGTACTACAAGACGCATATCTGATTGCGATGAAGATGTTAATCGAGGCGATGAGTAGATACTCGAAGGCCAGGAAAGCCGCAGATATCAGCCTGACAGAGACTAGCCAATGGCCACCATTGTCTGCTACGGTAAATAAGGTGGCCTTCGCCGCTATCGTGAAGTGGATAGTGAGATTGCCACAAATCAGGAACCAGATTTTCCAATGAAATCTTTGCGAAAGAGGGAAGTATCGCGCACATACCGTTTGCCCCACCCAGTATTTGTTTAGGAAATGTTTCTGGTCGGCTAGATGTATGAATGGTAGAAACCTTCGCAGAGTCGATGTGGTGGATGTGAACAACGCGTTGGTGCAAACACCAATGACTGCTGGTAGATAGCGTGCTGCCAGGTAATAGTTGACATTGCGGATTTCCCAGCGTTTTGACGAAAGGGAGCGATGGATGAGGTACCCAAGTAGACCCAGGATGCAGAGATAGAACGCGGTGATAGCCAAGAGTACTCGTCGCGTGAGGATTGTAGGTCGGAATGTCAACGGTGTGTATCCTTCAGGCGGGTTAATGGCTTCGAATGTCACTTCAGCTGATTAGCGATTGTCAGCTTTCAGATTGACGATACTCACGAGGCTGCGGTTTGGGATCGCTAGCTGCTGGCTCTGGCTCTGGCTTTGGCTCTGGCTCTTCTGTACTACTGTCGATTGCATTTCCGTCGTCACTCCCATAACGATCTCCGCCGGAGGTGAGATCGGTCTCGAATGGTTCATATCGTGACATTGGCCATGTCGAGCTTCGAACTGCGCCTGCAAATATAGGAACGGACTCGGAGGAGCGCCTGGCCTCCATTGGCTCAGGCCTGAAAATGCCATCAACAGTATCCAGGTATTGGTTGTAAAAAGTTGCTTGTGTCATGTCAATAACATGCGAGACACAACGATGAAACAGGCGTTAAGGTGACGGTTACGATATTTATCTTTCCTCGCCTGCGCAGGTCCGCAGCACGACCAGGATGTACTCGAGGCTGAGGCATACCGCCATATGGCGCAGTCCAATAATTCCATATAAATAATATTTTGTCGTCAGTGGCTTTGGATTGCATACAGAATCGCATGGGACAGCCCGGGAAGGTGTTTGTGGCTTCTCAAGTGCTTATGCTGCAACAGGCTTCGTTCACCATTGGTTGATACGAAAGAAATATTGAGTGCTGGCCGCGAGCGATTTGGAAGAATCCAGGGACCGGTTAGCTGGTCCTGAAGACGATTGACCAGATGTCCGGGGAGGGCAATCTTCTCGTGTGATCAAGCAACTTGCTTGAGCTATAGTCTACAGGCTGTCGGTAATGACTAGACGAAGTCCCAGACTGTACATCGGCATATTGCTCCAAGATATCTTGAACATACAGAGCAGCCCCATGATGACGAATCGCGAGGTGAAACCGTCCAGCTGCTCAGCCATGAGTTGGGGGAGCGACGGCCTTCATGACAACCCAGGCACCGAGCCTGTCGGAAAAAAGAAGAGCAGGCGCAAATATAGAAATCGGCCCCAGGAATTTACAGGGTGTGTCACTGTCCGTGGCTTGCAGACTGCTTATCTCGAGCTTGGGAACACTAGTGATTTGCTGCAATTCTTAGATATATGGACGCATTGATGTGGGAGCTGTCCAAAGGCTGTGAAACCACCCTGTAAGTGGTCAATTCCGTCTCGGTGGCGATGCTGCATGCGATGCTGCATGCGATGCTGCATGCAAAGTGATGTCGCGTGCTTGACTCAATTCGGCAGTCTGTTCATGTTTGGCTGTACACGGGTATGAAGAGAATTTCTCTGGTGGAGAACATAACAGAGCATATGAAATTTTCTGGGTGCATCAAAACAATGCCAACAAGTAATGAGATGGAAAGGGAAGAAGAAGACGCATATAGCAGGAAGGTGGGTGGTTGGCCAAATCCGTCAAAAACAAGGCTGGCTACTTCCTTGGCGTGATGATTCGATGTGGTACTCGAGTACATTCATGTGAAACGCAGGAACCCCTTGACATTTCTACCATACTTTACAAGTAGGCAGTGTTGATAGCGGTCATCCAAGGGATGTAAGTTCCGGTGGGTCCTTTGCGAGAAACACAACTGTTCCTCATTCTTTATGCTTTATGATGCTTACTTAATTACAGCCCGAAAGTAGCGTTCTATTGCATGTTTCTACAGCGTTCAGAGCCAGATCTGCGGAGGTGTCTTATCCCTCTCATTTACCGACACAGAATTTTTCAAACACAACTCCAAGGACTTCTTCGACATCTCCAGCTTCGCCTTTGCCAGTGATTCGTGCGAGGCAATTTGCAGCATCGCGAAGATTCTCTGCAGCGAGGACAATGTCGACATCCGTCTCTTCAAAACCATGACCTTCACCAGTCTGCGCGCCCATTTCCACTTGAGCAAGGAACTGTTCAAGGTGGAATTGGCATTCATCGAGGAGAAGCCTATGGCGTTCCGTCGCACCCAACGATTCTTGCCAGATTGAGGGATCCGTATCGTCGTCTGTGGCTGCAACTGCAGAAGTCATATCCTCAAATTGTCGAATGAGACCAGAGAGGAAGGTGGGAATGTGTCCTGCATCCACCGAGACTGATGACTCTGCATCTTTGCAGGAGATGGCAAAGATGTTTTCGAGTCTGACGTGCGGAAGCGCATCTGCGACTTGTCGTCTCAGATTTTCAAGTTCGGACGCGTGGCCAGAAAGAAGATCAATTTTGTTCAGTACGACTAGCACATTCGACTTTTGTTCTGCAAGCTCGGTGGCAGTGTCGATGACCTCAGGGTCTGGTCTTAAGATTACTTTCTTGCCTTCTTGCTCCAGGGACAAGACGACGATTACGACGTCGCTTTCGATGGCGCGCTGCTTGGCACGTCTCATGCCTTCTTTCTCGATCATACTGATCTTTTCCTGCATGTGCTCTTTCTGAGCTTGAGGAGTTGCAAGAACAGCACTTCGTAGACCGGCAGTGTCGCCCAAGCGGCAGAGGTAGCCACCTAGGTCAATACCTACTTCGACCACGTCTCGGGTAGTGCCTGCTTCTTGACTGACGATGGCAGCCTCACGACCCACGATACGGTTGAGAAGACTGCTTTTGCCGGCATTGGGTGCGCCCAGCAAACTGATAGCGATACCGTTCCTGAGAAGCTCTCCACGCATTGCATTGCGGCGATGGGTATCAATCAGGAGAACCAGGTCCTGCACTTGTCCAGCAACAGAAGAAGCCAGTTCGGCTGGCGACTCATCAAAATGTTGATCTTCGGAAAAGTCAATCAGAGCCTCGAGTTCACCTCTAGCTGCAAGAAGCATCTGGCGCCATGATTCGTAGCGAAGCGAGAGAGTATTGGTGGTACCGCGAACTGACAACCGACGCTGTTGCTCGGTGTTTGCAGAGAGCGTATCACCCAAAGCTTCGACCTGGGTCAAGTCCAGACGATCATTCATAAAAGCTCGTCGAGTGAATTCGCCAGCCTCTGCATAGCGGATGGCACCAATCGCGGATGAGCACTGTGAGATAGCTGACAGAACAGCTCTCACGACAGCCGTGCCACCGTGCACATGCAACTCAAGAAGATCTTCGCCTGTTACAGTGTTCGGAGCAGGAAAATAAAGAAGCAGAGCACTGGAGTCCAGAAGATTTTCGGACGAGACTTTAGCTCCAGGTCGGTACAAAGTACGCACAGCAGCGTAGCGAGGCTTCAAGGGCTTTTGGCCTGGGCAGAGAGCGTCGTAGATGTCATTGCAAGCTGGACCAGAGATGCGAATGATGGCAATAGCGGCCCGGCCAGGAGCAGTAGACAAAGCATAGATGGTGGGTTCTGCATAGAATTTGGTCGAGGTTGGGGAAAAGCTGCTCTGATGCCTTGAGATGTTCAACGACCTTCCGATGGTGGGAGATGTAGATTTATGGACGCTAGCTCCAATTGCTGGGGCTGATGAGGCAGCCAATGGCAATAGTCTAGCCGTCGAAGAAAGACATGATGGACGCGTGACAGCAAGTGACAATGAGCTCCTGGCAAGCCTCATACGTCGCAAGCATATAAAGATTGTGTAAGATAACTAGTGGTCGTGATAGAAGACAAATTCTCAGGAGGCGAGGGCTTGCTGACCATGGCGGTTGTTCGGATGGAATATTCGGGCCGGGCCGAAGGCGGTGAGCGGCCAAGAATCTCGACGCCTGGCAGTCAAGTTCTGCTCAGAAAAAAGTCGCTGAGCGCGCTTGCGACTGCTTAAGCGGAATTCTATTTGCCATTCATCTCTCCCTACATCTACGACCTTTGACTGGCGTAGCCATATCGTCGAGACATACGCTTCTCGAGACTCAGTCCGAAATTCTTACATACAACGAGGCGAACCATTAATCTACGACCGTCAAGATGGCCTCGGACGAAATTGTTTGGCAGGTTATCAACCAGCAGTTCTGTTCATTCAAACTCAAGTACGGCTCACGCGCTCATGCTGCTTGATCAACACATCTGACATTCGCGTCTAGGACCACAAAAGAACAAAACTTCTGTCGCAACGAACACAACGTTACTGGTCTTTGCAACCGTCAATCATGTCCTCTTGCCAACTCTCGTTATGCCACCATCCGCGCCGACCCGCAAACACAGCGCCTATACCTCTACATCAAGACTATCGAACGCGCACACATGCCCAGCAAATGGTGGGAGAAGATTCGTCTCAGCAGCAACTACTCCAAAGCCCTCGAACAAGTCGACGAGCGACTCAAGTACTGGCCCAAATTCCTGGTTCACAAGAACAAGCAACGTCTTACTCGTTTGACTCAAGTTAGAGTTCGCATGCAAAAGCTGGCCCGTGAAGAGGAGAGACTTGGAGAACAGATGGTGCCCAGACTTGCTCCCAAGATTCGCAGGAGAGAACAGACACGTGAGCGCAAGGCAGAGTCTGCCGCTAAGATCGAGCGCGCTATCGAGAGAGAACTGGTTGAGAGACTGAGAAGCGGTGCTTATGGTGAGCAACCTCTCAACGTCGACGAGAACATCTGGAAGCGCGTCATGCGCACTCTTGAGCGCGGTGGTGAGGCCACTCGTGATGAGGATCTCGACGAGGGTATCGATGAAGATGAGGAGGAATACGAGTACGAGCAAGAAGAGGAGGGTCCCGATGTCGAATATGTCAGCGATGTTGAAGAGAGTGACGACGACATGGACGACCTGGAAGACTGGCTCGGCAGCGAACAAGAAGCCGACTCGGACGAAGACGAAGAAGACGAGGAGGATGAGGACGACGAGAGCGGATCCGAAGCAGACGACAAAGAGCTGGCCAAGAAGCTTGCAGACCTCAAGAAGAGAAAGAGACCCGCTCCGGACACAAAATCAAAGAAGAAGGCAGGCTCGAAGGGTCCCAAGAGGGAGATCGAGTACGAGTACGAACGCCCTGCCAGGGAGATGGTTATTGCAAAGTAATCTACAAAAGCATGAGAGGGTTCATTTCAGCGCTGGCGTTATGTGGGAAGGCATACAAAATTACTGGTATCTTCTGTTCGACTACAAGGCTCAGAGCGATTCGCGAGGCCATACGAATAAAACAACTCTTATCATTCAATACTGTTCGACCTCTGCTAATTCAAGTAATTTCCATCAGCAACAAAGCTCCATACGATGATCGCTTCGTATTTGACGGCTTGAAAGATGCATTGATCTACACCAACCATTTGATCAAAAACCCTGAACACAGGTCGTACTGCTCACATGTATGCGTTTTTGATTCGCGATATACCTCGAGAGCAAGCATTTTTGCATGTCCGGCAGTGCAGCAAGACGGTAAGGACCACATCCAATGCTTCACATGCGGCCCCACAAAAATGGCAGGTGTCGGCTATTGAAACCAATACCCGACGCCGAATGAATCTATCTTTCCTCTCTTTCAACACCACATGTCGGGTGTTTGCACTGCACGTCTCGGAAACCGTAGTCCAGACATAACTAGCCAGATCCCTCACCATGTAGGTCTTCAATTTCTCTGTTTGTTCTTTCATCATCTGGCTCTTGTCTTGAGCTCTGCTTGTTAGATCCTTTACAATCATTCGCATACACAACGCAAACAACGTTCACAATGTCTTCTAAACCATCTATCCTTCACCTCGGTGACCCATGTCGCTGGCATGCAGATCTATACAAGAAGTTCGAGACACACTTTACCATCATCCGTCCTTCAGCAGAGGAACGCGAAAGATCCGCCTTCCTCACAGCTCTCAAGGAAAAGCGATGGGGCAATTTCGTAGCTATCATGCGACCATTCTGGAACACTGGAGGAGAGATGGGAAGGATTGACAGAGAGTTGATCTCGTTGCTTCCTGATAGTGTTAAGGTATATGCATCTGCTGGTGCAGGTTTCGATTGGGTAGACACTGATATCCTTGCCGAGAAAGGTAACATTTTACCCTAGATCCTCTTTTCGAACATCAGCAATATTGACAAGGCACAGGAATCATCTACTGCAACGGCGCAGCAGCATCTTCAGACTCAGTAGCCGACTCCGCCCTCTTCCTCATCATCTCCACCTTCCGCAACCTCGCATGGTCACAAATCGCCGCTCGATCAGGAAACCCAGACGAACTCTTCGACGCCCACAAAAACTCTCCAACCACAGCCATAAACCCCAAGGGAAGAATCCTCGGTATCGTCGGTCTCGGAAACATCGGCTACAGAATCGCTCAAAAAGCCTACCTAGGTCTGGGCATGAAGATTGCCTACCATGATCTGTTCCGCAAATCTAAAGCTGTGGAGGAGGCTGTGGGAGCAACGTTCTACAAGACTCTGGATGAGATGTTGGCAGCTGCCGATTGTATCCTCGTCGCAACCCCCTTTTCCGGAAAACAGCTTTTCACAGCCGAGAAGTTCAAGAAATTCAAGCGTGGCAGTCGACTCATCAACATTGCTCGTGGACCATTAGTCAACGAAGCCGATCTTGTGGAAGCGCTCAAATCGGGTCAACTGAGTGCTTGTGGATTGGATGTGTTTGAGAATGAACCGCACGTGAATAAGGAGTTGTGTGGACTCAAGCAGGCAACTTTGACGGCACACACAGCGGGCGGCACTATCGACACGCATATTGGGTTTGAAGAGTTGTGCTATAAGAATGTGTTGGGCGCGCTTTTGGAGGGCAAGGCTATCAGTCCCGTAAATTTGCACTTGATCAAGGCGGGTAAGAGTAAGCTGTAGTCTCAGTAATGTGATTGCAATTCTCTTGATAGAAGGCTCAGCAAAACAAATCCCTTGACAGATGAAATAGACTAAACCAGATTCCCTTCTAAATGCCTTTAGATGCTAATTACTTCTAATCTCGCCTTCGCTGATCAATCTCCTGCATGACAATCATATTCTAATGTCGCGCCGTCCTTGAACATAAGAAAATCCTGGCCCCCATCCTCTATATCGTCGAAGACTCATGCATGTACGTCAAACCACCATCTATCACCGCTCCCTTCTATACCCCCTAAGCCATCAAGTACGCCATCTATGATGCAAATAGTCTCTTCAATCTCTGCTCCGCCCCGTCTGATCCCATGTTAGGTGGTCTTAGTTATACCCACCTCTCCCATCATCAGCAACATAACGAGCAGACCTTACACCCAGACTCGAAGGGTTGGTAGGTCGACTGATACCGCTGGTTTTGATGTCGCGGTTGTAGCCTCCGCGGCCAAGAACAGGAGGAAAGTTGCGGTTGTAGCCGCCACGGCCTAGGGTTGTGAGGGTTTGCATTGTTGTGGGTGGTGTTGAGATGGTTCGAGAAAAATGGAGGTTGGTCTCGGAGAGTTCGTCGTAGAGGTGCAGATGAGTTGGTGGTCTGATGCGTCGAGACGCTGGAGATGGAGATGTGAAGGTTGATTTTTGAAGTTTAATAGAGACTGAGAGAACGATGATGGTATGTTGGTCTTTGTGTCTTTCTCTGAAGTCGGAGTGTAATAGTGATGGTATTGACGAGGATGAAGAAGGAAACAAGGACAGCTGGAAGAGTATATATATCTCTTTTCTCCACCTTGACTAACATACCAACTTGCAACACTATACCACATCCACGCACCTCAAAATCTGTCCTCTTCATCGATGTCTCCTTTAGGGACTGCACTGCCTGCAACAAGCCCCTCAAAAGCCAGAAAAATAGATGTAACAAGAAAATGGCTCGCCTTTGCGGCAACAATCGCGGACATCAAGGTCTCCGACATGGTATCCGGGCAACATCTACAGCCTCAGGCCAGAGCAAAGATTGGAGGTTACTGAGGTAAAGGGTGGAAGTCGCGATCTGATAGGTCGGTAAATCGAGCAAATAAGTAAAGTGCTGACTGGCACGAAAAAGGCTGCTATTTCAAGCGACATATCAATGGAAATCTAGCATAAGATACACTGGGCACGGTAAATGGCAGTTCGCGACACCCGATGGGGAAACCGATGCGCCTGTTTGTACTTTTTTTATGTGCACATCAGCATTATGCAAATACTTTGATCTTGCCTAACAGAGGACAAAGCGTGAAGCTGACAAAGCCGTAACTCTCGGAGAGTGATGGTGAGGATAGGTGGTAGGGCTATGTTTGGCATATCATGCAGCCCTATGCAATGTACACGTGGGCGGGTATCTGTCTGACATGCAGTGATCATCGTCATCGTGTGCATAGTTGAAGGAACACCAACAGGCACCAGGTACCGACTTCTTTTTCTGGTAAGGTCTTTTTGTCGTCCAACGCTCAATCCATTATCTGAAATGTGCATTCACTTTGTCTTCCTTCGACTGCTCGAGGTGCCTGTTGTCAGGAGACACCGATGCGCAGACAGTTCACCCTTCATCAAACCTTCACAGTATTATCATGCCCTGCCCTCTTTATGGCAAAGAGACCATCTCCTTGAGACACACTGTGCCGGTTTGGGATCGTAGCGAAAAATGTTCCTCTCCGTGATATCCTCGTTCTGTAAATCTAGGAGCATGCATCTGTCCTTGCTTGCAGAGCCGAGCTCGCAGATATTGTCCTTGACGGCTCACCCGACCTGGCATATGCATTTGAGGCATGTAGATCAGCCCAGTACATCATGCGAGTTGGAGGGTTGTCGTTGATCGGACCTTTGCATCCTAGTTTGGCGCAATCATAGTCCGGCAGACTCTCGGAAGCACACCTCTGCATCAAGTGATGGTGGAGACGTCCAAGTTCGTCCGTAAACTCCTCCATACATCCAACTTGGCATCTGAAAGAACTCTACTCGTACAGCCCACGTGCATGCTTCTCATCTCCCACATGGGTCCAAAACCTATGCAGTGTCGTTCAGACAGGAAGGGTCATGTTGAATGACGGCAAAGGACATCTGAAGCGTGCCTTAGGGTTGCTTTCCGAATCCGGAGTCTTCTTCTTTCTTTCGCCATGCAAGGTGGGTGCGTCACTGATTGTGACTTTGGCTAAACAGGTTGCCATACTACAGGCATAAGTACACCTAGCTCAGGTGGTTGCTTGCTTCGATGTCGTGTGGGGAGGCCCTCTTCTGTATACCACCTGACGATCCGCTATCGCTTTCCGACAGACCTCGATATCCTTGTCATCGTGATTGTCTTCACCATCAAGGGCCGTTGTGTCAGGCTGATTGACTTTTTGGACGTCCGAGTCGGAGCCAGTGACTTTATCTTCTGCGCCGCCGAAGTCGAGGTGCTCAAACAACAACTTCCTCTGGCTTTTGCCTGGCAGCTTTCGAGACTTCATGATCTGTGAGAAAGATGGTGACGAGTCTGTATGTACAGGCTCTGTCCGGCGGTGTGTTCTAGTCAGAGTCTTTGAGCCTGCCCACAAGCCTGTCTTCGAGCCTTGAGGTCTGCTTTCGCTCATGACGCTTCTGACGATTCTTTTGATTGTCTTGTGATGGCTGCTTTGATCGACAATGACTTTGCTAGCGGTGGTTCTTGTGACTTTGCTTTTTCTTGTGCTCGCGACTGCACCTGTATACTGTTGATGGATGCGCCTTCTGATGATGACGAGGCTGCCTGGCGGTCGGCGACTGATGCACAAATCTTCTGGCACAGTGTTTTGATCTTTCGCTCGCTCATCTCCTGACCAGGCAGCGAGGTCACCAGTTCTTTGATAGATGCATGCTTCAGTAAGTGAGACGGCGGAAGCGATATGTGATCTAGCGCTTCTGTGAGACTCCAATTCTCTTTATCCATAATGACCTGATGTCAAAGACGATGGTCGAGAAGTCAGGTGTGGTGTCGAGTGTGAGGAGGCTGCAGGCTGTAGCAACTGCAAGAAGTAAACGGTTTCTTGTTTACAGGAATTGGAGGAAATTACAAATGGCAGGATATTTTCCACTTTTCCTCCAACAACAAGGACATCGACAAGCTTGATCAAAAGGCAAGAACGAATCTTAATACACTTACAAAAAGGAGAGAAAACAAAGAAAAGGGACCTGTCGAAGGATGGACTAACAATGAGTACTTGTTGAGTCTCTTGTCACATCAGAGATCATCGGCTCCCCTCTTGAAGAACATACGCATAGCACTTCTAAAGCCTAGTTCTTTGAACTGAGGGCTGATTAATTCACACACGCGCATTCTATCCTCAATACGTGAGGGATCCTCCTTTGAGACCATCCACTCGTAAACCATGCGACCAAGATCCTCCTCTGAGCGACGGCGAGGATGGTCGCTGTCATCTGCAAGGGACTGTGCAGTTGCAAGTTCACGTAGACCATATAGGACTACCATAACGTGCTTCTGATCTTCCACCTTTGTGTCCCAAGTCAATCTCCAATTGGTCACACGAGGAGGACCTGTACCCAGGCCGATGTCTCCAATCTTCTCAAGTTCCTTCTTGCCCAGGAGACCGTCGTAGAAAATGCGGAAACATTGGAGCAGAGAAGCGAATGTAACTTTGCCCTGGGGCATCTGGACTTCGATGAGCAGACGGGGAGAGATTGTCATAGGAGCTGGCGTAAGGATCAAGGTCTTGTGGCGGGGCGAGAGTAGCTTCATACCCTTCTCGAAATGGCTGCGGTTACGAGCGGCGAGAGCAGTGTCGAAGCTGACTTTGAAGTCATTGTGGAGGTACCAATCATCGAGGAAAGCTCGACGGGTGTGACGAGAGATGCCGAGGAGGGGGTGCTGAGATAGCTTCAAAGTCTTGACACCGAGGCTGTCCCGAACTTCAACAAGCAAGTCGAACGGCATGGATTGAATGTCGTTGCGTCGAAAGAGGAAGGTGCCGTCTCTGATGGTGTCGCGGTGGTGAGGAAGGTGACGGTTCCAGAGTCTTGCATCAGCAAGAAGCTTGTTGACATTGTTGTTGTGTTCGCTCCAGGGGTTGATGGATGTTGTGAAGAAGTGGACGGCTTCGAGATTGTCGTTTTCATCAAGGGCAAGGTCGGTTGGAAGAGTACCAAGCTCAAACGGTCTGTCTTTCTCTACTGGCAAGTCGGATAACCATTCGACAGCGGCTGCGATGACATAGGAGGGGCGGCTCTGGTATGCGGCGATGGAGGGCGTGTATTCAAGGCGCTCAGCCCAGGGCTCCAGTGGGCGGCCGTATAGATAAGCAGCGACGGAGGATGCATACGTAAGGGCCGAGTGTCAGGGAGCAGTGGAGTCGTTGAATGACAGACTGCTGTTTGCAGCCATCGATGGGAGGACGTATGCCATGCCGCGGGCCACGAGCTGGTGATGCTGAGGGTTATCCATGCGCGGCCAGATGTACGAGACGTTTCTTGGAGGATGCGCTACATGGTAGGTCTGGTCAGTGGTCCGATCCTCGTCTTCTGCTCATTGTCACGGAACTGGATGATCCTGTAACGGAGGATTTCATTTGCTACTACACCGAGCTTACCAAGCTGGATACTTGTTCTGCGTGGACTGATCAAAGAGCGAAAACATCGTAGAGTGACGAACGGCAACTTTTCCATCCATGCAACATCTAAAATTTGATGATATATGACGAGGCGTTTTTCTTGCTTTGCACCCGAGAATCAAGCAAAAGTTTGCAGCTCAAGTATGTTCGGCTATCCTGCCTTTCTTGAGTAGACATTGGGTTGTGTTCGATCCATGCTTATGGGGTGAATGTCGACCACATGTCCGCGTGCAGCGCTACTGGCATGCTACTAAGCAGATATTCGAGTACCATCGGCGACCGGGCCGTGGTTCCATTGACTGACCGCTATCGGCAAGACCAGCGCAAAAGTCGGTACTTGGAAGTGAATGCTTCTCGTGACGGGGCTCATGAGGGCTCATTTTGAGCTCGTATGAAGCTGTCCAAGTTTGTTCGAAAGGCCGCCGCCGGCAAGTCAATAGCAATCGGTCCTTCTCCGGATAACCCGCATTTGTCCCAATATGGGGAAGCCGCTCTGTGGATGGACCTTCCAATTCGGAAACATATGGGACCGTCTGCATCTGTCACCTGGTATAACACCCAAAGGCCTCCGATGGCCATCTCGGCTGTCAGAAGTGCAGACAGGAGCGAAGTACGGCCGTGGACATCTCTTTGTAGTTGCTAGATCAGCTTGCTCGGCGTGAGGGGCTTAAGGGTCAAATGACACGGCATTAGTCTCTCAGGAGATCGAACAGGAATGAGAGTGGAGCGGCCTTTCTCTCGTGCACGAATACTGGCGGGGCCTTCTTGAGGTGTGATATCAAACCTGCCGACAGCTGCTGATGGAAGTCCAAGTTTGTGGATGTCTGTGGGGATTTGATGGTGATCTTCGTATCCCGAGGATCAACCATTTTATCCGGCCAGCGAGTCAGGTGGGGCCCTGTCGTTCTGTGGATGTTTGTGCGGAGAGCAGCAAGAAAGCATCATGATCTCGTTCCTGTCTTCATCCATTTCGCGTCACCAAATCAATCGAGAATCCACTTCTTATTGAGCACTCAAGCTTCCTTGTCGTGCTTGGGTCGACTCCTGGCTCGAGATATTGCATGCTCATATATCTTGAGTTACAAACGAGTGAGCTTCGTGAGGTTGACATTTTCAAAAGAAAGCCGTCGCTTTGTGTCGGCATGACTCTTCTGAGAAAAAGATCCAGAATTTTTTCACATTCAAACGAAGACACCCCGTGATGATCAGCGCACTGCAACAGAATGATCAGTCGGTAAGTTCGAGAGAGAAAGCTTCGTCGGATGGCCCTGTTGCCGTCTCTGCCGACTGGGTACTGAAGGTAGGTGGCTCAGCACGGCCCGTGAAAGGTCGTGATCGGGGCTCAACGGCAAACTACGTAGGTGGCCTCCCCGAGAATAATCGCGAACGTTGTCCTTGCTGCTGCTGCTGCTGCTGCTGCTACACAGAATATCACAGGAAATACCATTGCAGAACAGACTAGGTGTCCATTGTCGGCTTCAAAGCAGTATAAAAAGGAAGTGCTCGACGGCTCGAATCAGCGATGTTTGCTCTCCATGTCCGATGCCGAAAATCCTTGCCATAAATTTGTCCGCGTCTTCCATGGGGCCTCCAGTGGGGAGATGATCTTCATTCTGGGGCAGAGGCTGGAGAGCACCGTTGACCGTGCACACCAAAAGTCAGGTACCCACGTCACATTTTTGCTTGTAGTTTTGAAATCGAAAGCACGAACTGTGGGTCGGAAAGTCACCTCGTGTGAGGGCTGGTAAGACATGGATCGTCAAAAGGCACAGCAATCAAGTATAAAGAGGTGCGATGATCCTCTGTTTAAACGTCCATCAGCAGCTCGCCTCTGAGGGACAATCACAACCATGCCTTCCCTTTCTTCTTATATCCTTGCTTCGGCGGGAGCTTCACTGGTGAATGCACAGTTTGGAAATTTTGGCTCTCCTTATCCGAATACCACATACCCTGGATTTGAATCAGAAAATCCATACACTATTGAGGGCTCAAACAGCTTCCAATGGAGCCCTCCCAAGTACCCCAGCCCTTGGGGTGAGGGCTCTGGTGACTGGAAGGAGTCCTACGCAAAGGCTCGCGCCCTTGTTTCGCAATTGACGCTTGAAGAGAAGGTCAACCTCACAAGTGGTGTAGGAACTAGTAAGTCTTCAACCATACCGGTATTTAACATCTCTGCTAACATTCATCTAGACCAAGGCAACTGCGTCGGCCAGACAGGATCTGTCCCTCGTCATAACATCAACGGGCTGTGCCTTCAGGATTCGCCAGTAGGAGTCCGACTTACGGATGGCAACAGCGTCTTCCCAGCTGGTGTAAACGTTGCTGCTACCTGGAGCCGTGGTCTTGCCTATGCTCGCGGTCGTGGTATGGGTCAAGAACACTATGGCAAGGGTGTTGACATGCAACTCGGCCCGGTTGCTGGCCCTCTTGGCCGCGCACCTGCTGGTGGCAGAAATTGGGAGGGTTTCTCTCCTGACCCTTACCTCACCGGTCTCATGTTCGCCGAGTCGATCAAGGGTATTCAAAGTGCCGGTGTCATGACCAGTGCTAAGCACTTCATTGCTTATGAGCAAGAGCACTTCCGTCAATCCCAGGAGGCCAAGAACTGGGGCTTCAACGTCACTGAGAGTATTACTGCCAACTTGGATGATGTTACTTTGCACGAGTTGTACCTCTGGCCTTTCGCCGATGGTATCAGAGCAGGCGCCACCTCTATCATGTGCTCCTACAACCAGGTCAACAGCTCTCAGTCTTGCCAAAACAGCTACATCCTCAACCACATCTTGAAGAATGAGCTCGGTTTCCAAGGCTTCGTCGTTTCTGACTGGTATGGCACACACTCCGGTGTTTCTAGCATCCTTGCTGGTCTTGATATGAGCATGCCTGGCGATCCTGTGCAAGAGTTCGGCAACCACGGAGGTGCCTTGTTCGGTTCTAACATGACTATTGCTGTTATCAACGGAACTGTTCCTCAATGGAGATTGGACGATGCTGCCGTCCGTATTCTCGCCGCATGGTATTACGTCGGTCGTGACAAGAACCAGGTTCCTGTCAACTTCAACTCTTACTCTCTTGACACCTACGGCTATTCGCACAACGCCGTTGGTCAGGGCTACGGTCTGATCAACCAGCACGTCGACGTCCGTATGAACCACAGCCAGCTCATTCGTGAGATTGGCTCTGCCTCTACTGTCCTGCTCAAGAACGTCAACAACGCTCTGCCTCTTACTGGCAAGGAATTCACCGTCGTCCTTGGTGAAGATGCTTTCGAAGATCCCAACGGTCCCAACGGATTCACCGATCGCGCTGGTGATGAGGGTACTCTCGGCATGGCCTGGGGCTCTGGATCTGCTAACTTTCCCTACTTGGTGACTCCCAATACTGCTATCCAAAATGAGGTTGTTGGCAAGAACGATGGTCTCTACCAATCTATGAGAAACAACTCCAACCTCGACCAGGCCTACTCTTTGGCTAAGCAGGCTACCGACAATGCTGGAGCTCTCATTATCTTCGCGAACTCAGACAGCGGTGAAGGCTATCTTGAGGTTGATAACAACTTCGGTGACCGCAACAACCTCACTTTCTGGCAGGGGGCTGACCAGCTCATCGCCAACGTCTCGGCTACTTGCAACAATACCATTCTTGTTATCCACTCTGTTGGCCCCGTTCTGATTGAGGAATACGCCAACAACCCAAACATCACTGCCATTCTCTGGGCTGGTGTTCCCGGAGAGCAGTCTGGTAACTCTATCGCTGATGTCCTCTATGGTCGTGTCAACCCCGGTGCCAAGCTCCCCTTCTCCATGGCTGCCAAGCGCTCTGACTACGGTACTGATGTTCTGTACACTCCCAACAACCTTGTTCCTCAAGCCAACTTCAAGGAGGGTATCTTCATTGATTACAGAGCCCTCGACAAGCAGGAGATTGAGCCTGTCTACGAGTTCGGTTTCGGTCTTTCTTACACCAACTTCACATACAGCAACATCCAGGTCACTAAGCTCAACACCAGCGCTTATGCTCCTACCACCGGCATGACTCCTGCTGCTCAGACCTACGGTAACATCAGTATGAACCCTGCCGATCACGTCTTCCCTAGCAACTTCTCTCGTGTTCCTCTGTACCTCTACCCCTGGATCAACTCGACCAACCTTTCCTCCGCTGCTGGCGAGTCTCAGTACGCTCCCTACGGAGACAACAGCTTCGTTCCTGAGGGCGCTGTCAACTCCTCTCCTCAGCCTCGTCTTCCTGCTTCTGGTCCTTCCGGTGGTAACCCCGCCCTCTGGGATGTCATCTACCGCGTCACAGCCCAAATCAAGAACGTCGGCAAGGTCGGTGGTGACGAAGTTCCTCAACTCTACGTTTCTCTCGGTGGTCCATACGATGCCGTCAAGATGCTCAGAGGCTTTGAGAGATTGAGCATCCAGCCCAACCAGACTGTCACCTTCTCCGCTGATATTATGAGAAGAGATATCATGAACTGGAGCCCTGAGGCCCAGGATTGGTTCGTCAGCAACTACACCAAGACCGTGTATGTTGGCAGCAGTTCGAGAAACCTTCCTCTTACTGCTAAGCTTGCTTAAGCGAGGTCTTTTTAATGATCATGATAGACCTATAAAGGTTGTTGCTTTTTCACTTAGACTAGAAACATTAGTTCATAATATAATGATTTGTACTATACATTACTATCTCTCGTGACCATGGTGTCTTCTCGTGACTTGATCATGCGAACAATCATGGAGAAGAATACGACACTATCTTCGCTCGCGAGAAAAGCTTGAGCTGCTTCCTATCTTATTTCTTAGGCAAAGGTTCTACTTCCGCAACCTTCTTGATCACTCTTGCAGGCGATCCCACAGCGACCGAAAATGCCGGAATGCTCTTCGTGACAACCGAATTGGCCCCAATAGTACAACCATTGCCAATCGTGACTCCCGGCAGAATGCTAACATTCCCGCCAATCCAGCAGTCATCTCCGATGGACACCGGCAGCGCAAATTCAACTCCATCACGACGAGACTGGACATCCGTCTGATGCGTCGCACTCAAGATGCTAACATTAGGTCCAAACATGACTCTGTCGCCAATTTCCACTAAGCAGCAATCAAGGATCGTCAAGCTAAGAGATCATTAACGAACTCATCAACAAGTAGATAGAAAGCCACGCTCACCCAAAGTTTGAGTAGAAGTCATCACCAATGAGGATATTGCAGCCATAATCGACGTTCAAAGGCGGTTCAATGAAACTATTCTTGCCCAACGAGCCAAAGAATTTCTTGAGAAGTTCGGCGCGTTGTGACATTACTTCTTCTTCAGTTGCTTCGAGGGCAATAGGTGCGTTGAATTGTGAGGCCAGCTTTCGAGCGCGGAAGCGACCTGTTAAGAGCTCAGGGACAAAGGCATTGTAGCTGTGGAAATTAGTGGATAGGGCTTTGAGAGGAGCCTCTTCTGCGGTCCGTTCGAAGCTTATAGATAATTGTATACTTACAGCATACCAGATATCATCTTCTCATACTCCTCACACCATGGCACGTTCGCCAGTCCTTTGGCACGCGCGATGATGGTCTCATTCTTCTCCTTGGCAGGTTCCATGTTAGACTGGAATTATTCGCTGTCAAACGCAAAGTGATGAGGGCAAGTAGGTGATAGAACTACTGGTGAGAAAGGTTCTAGGCAACGTGTTCATATATGGGAGCTGATGTTTGGACAAGCAACACCAAGAGTTATAGGACGTGAACGTCGGTCCGAGAGCGGGGTTGGTTAAAAGCTGTTTGCAACACTAGCAGGAATGGCAAGAAGCCTTTCCTATCTGTTCTTAATCTGGTCTGGCACTTTATCAGCACACAATGAGACGTGTTGAGAAGTCCCTCATAGCGGAATCTCGTCACTGCGCTTGCTTGACGATGACCTGCGCCAAGGCATCTCGTGCTTCAGCTTGTGGCAGGGCAGATGTCTGATCGAAAACACTCGGCTCCTCAAGTCGAAAATAATTCGATACTCTTTGCTTGTTATCTAGAATGCACTATGCAGCTTGAGTGCATGTAGACGCATCGAGTGATGATGTAGGTGTCGCTGAAGCGGAAGGAGCATATCGTCTGCCAAGTCTACGTGTTCCGCGCACGTGTTTCGAGCATGGCTGTCAATTGCGTCTTCCAACGAGCCCTCGTGGATCTCATGGTTCATCGTCGGGACTGATGCTTTTTAAGTCGGAGATGCTGCGAGCTTCTAGACTCAGAAGCACTAGGTACATATGGACCTTCAACCAGCCCTGAACTGGATCTGGTTCTTCCTCTCGTTATTCCTACCTCAATCATTGATCATGGGTTTGCGTGAACTTCTTTTGCCAGCCGCGCTTTGTATGGGTGCCGTCAATGCCCAGAACATACCTTCTGGAGCTGTTTCTTCCCATGTTGCTTCTGCTGGCTTTCCGACCTCGGTCTTCTCATCTTACTGGATCAAGCCTGTCGCTACAGCAGAGCCTCAGCCTGCTTTATATGATCCAGTCCTGAACATTACCTTCCCATTGAATCTGACTTCTCCCAACACCATCCCGCAGGAAGATAATGATCCGGTCTATTATGCCACCCCAATTGCTAATCTTACGCTCGCTGGCAAGGAAGCGGTACTCAAGAGTGTCATCTCTCAAATCGAGGACATTGTTGTCAGCAATCAATTCACCACCAATTGCTCCAAATGCATAGCTGGATTGACGGTCGCCAAGACTGCAGCTCAATTGGCACCTGAACTTGTCCCTGATGCCATGGTGTCTCTATGCAAGCAATTCAAGCTTCACAACAACGAGACCTGCGAGGAAGACTTTGAGGCCACCACCTTCGGAGCTATCTGGACACAAATTCTGGCATTGGCTGATGTGTCCGGTCTGGACGGTCAATACATCTGCAACAGAATATCTAGCAATTTCTGCTCTATGCCGACTACCAGTCCGCTGAATACCACTGGGCTCTTCCCCAAGCCAAAGCCGAGCAATTACACTATTCCTAAGGCTAGTGGTAACCGTATCAAGGTGCTTCATATGTCTGATATTCATCTGGATCCTCGTTATGCTGTTGGTAGTGAAGCCAACTGCACATCTGGTTTGTGCTGCCGTGCCAACAACTTCAACACTGCTCTCCCGACTGGTGAAATCTCGCTTCCCGCACCTTACTACGGTGATTTCAAGTGTGACAGTCCATATGGCTTGGTTCTCTCGGCTTTGGACTCTATCGCTCCCCTCACTGGTACCAGCAAACAAAACCCCTTTGGTTTCAGTATCTACACAGGCGATCTAGTCAGCCACGAAAGTCAAAACGAACTCTCTAGAGCCTATGTCGAGTACGCAGAACTCTCCATCTACGACATGCTCAAGAAGTTCATGGGCAAAGCTCCAGTCTACGCGGTTCTCGGTAACCACGACACCAATCCTGAAGCCATCGATGCACCCCACAGTCTCCCTGGAGACCTGGGTATGCAAATGTCTTGGAATTTCGATCATGTCGCTGGACTCTGGCATGAGAACGATTGGCTAAATGCCACTGCTGCCAAACAAGCACGTCTGCACTACGGCGCCTATTCCATCAAGACACCACAAGGCTTGCGTATCATCACTTTCAACACTGATTTCTGGTACAAGTCAAACTTCCTAAATTTGATCGATACACTCAACCCAGATAAATCCGGCATGTTCGCCTGGATGATCGAAGAACTCCAAGCAGCCGAGGACGCCGGGGAAAGAGTTTGGATCTTGGGACATGTGTTGAGTGGCTGGGATGGCACCAACCCCATGCCCAACCCCACCAACCTATTCTACCAAATCATTGACCGCTATTCTCCGCACGTAATCGCTAATGTGTTTTTCGGCCATACGCATGAGGATTTTGCGTACGTGTGGTATGCTAACAATGGCACTAACCAATCCTCGGCGAACGCGTTGACGACTGCTTGGGTAGGACCCAGCATTACGCCCCTCACAAACGTCAATTCTGCGTTCCGGAGCTACACCGTTGATACAGGCGATTGGAACGTCTATGAAGCATATACCTTCTACTCCGACGTCGAGTCCTTCTCTAGCCTCAACACTTCCGGCCCAACTTTTGAATTCGAATACAACACTCGAGATACATATGGTCCTGGTATCAATTGGCCTGCTTCTGCACCTCTGAATGCAACATTCTGGCATCAGGTCTCGGAGCAAGTGGAGAAGAATACGACACTGGCGAGTTTGTTCAATACGTATCAGGGTAAGAGTAGTGTCATGAGTCCCAACTGTACAAACATTGCTTGTGCAAAAGCAAAGGCGTGTTATATGCGTAGCGGGAGTGTGGCGCTGGGGCAGCAGTGTCCTCAGGGGTGAGTTTCTGTTTCTTGATCGTTTTTTTCTTTTGCAGTGCAGGCTGACGAATGTGAAATAGGTATGGTAGTGTGCAGAGCCCTTTCACTCCATCCTCTAAGTAAGAGTGACGACGCTAGAGAAGCGATGGTCTGCAACACTCCTTCGTTCGAAGGAATCATAACTCGAATCTTGGCTAAAAAGAGATGAAGATGATCTGGAACAAGTATGGTTGGAATCTGTTGGAAAGTATTGAAGGAAAAAAAAAGATTTTGGAATCACAGTTATTGGGCTTACCTCTCTATCTTGTCCCTGTATGAAACTTCTTGGTCATCTTCCACACGTAGAACTAGTATGCTCAATACACAAAAGTAAAATCTCTGATTTTGTACTCCAAACATTCTTGTTCCCCCTTCCCCCTTGTTCTCTAACCAACACACCCGCTCAAACCAACAAACCAGCGTAACTCTCCTCAAAGTTTAATTCCACATTTCCCTTGCTCACCAAAGGCAGATCTTAAACCCACTAAATAAGAAAGAGGCAAGATACCCCATCTGGAGTGGTTAAGAGCACACCCCTGTCTCTAAAAATTCCCAGAACGATCAACGATAGACGAGCATTTCTTCATAACTTCCCAGAGTGAATTCGATGGTAGCTGTGTCTTATTGGCTATGGTGGGAACTTGTGGTTTGTATGGGTGTAAATGATCTGGTAGTGGAAGGGATGGAGACGGCTGTTGTAGCGTCACTTGCAACTTATATCAGAGGTATGATCTGCTCAGATTAGATGTCTACATCGAAGGGAATTTGGACGCAAGGGTTGGAGAAGTGTTTATTAGTCGAAAGCAGGACAAAACATGATGATTATTAGATTTGATCGTGTGTATCTGTGATCCCATCACTGTAATATTTCCAATCCTTGCCTTTTCGTAAATGTGACATTACATGACTAATTTCAGCGCCTCTTCTATCTACTCCTCACCTCACCACCTTCATCTTCAACCTCTTTCTCCTTACCTCCCTGCGTCCCAACCGTCAAGAACATGCCAAAAACAACAGAAACCCCACTCGCCGCGACCGCAAACCAGAAGACCGCAGAGTAAGGCTTGGTAGCAACATCCCAACGACCTCCTGGCTTTGCACTTTTACCCACAGCATTGAAAACAGCAGTACCAATACCAAAGCTTACAGATTGGCAGAGTTTAGTAATGGTCTGGACGATACTGCCGGCGATGGATTGTTGGTGTATAGGCATGGAGCTAGCGACGTAGAGGTTTGCGACGTTGAATTCGAGGTCTGCGCCTACGACAGCAAACAACAAGGATGGGAAGCAGAAGGCCCAGTAGGAGGAATGGGCGGTGTTGACGGCGATGAGAGTGAAGGAAAGGATGTAGCCGAAGCAACCGGTGAGTATGAGTGCTTTGTTACTGATTTTGTGCATGACGAAGGCGGCGACGACATTGACGATGATGCCCATGATGGCCATCGGAAGCAAATGCACAGCAGTGGTCAAGGGTGACCATCTCCAAACTTCCTGCATGTATAGAGCGAGGAAAAATTCAGCGACGGAGAAAGACATCATGCCAAGGAGCAAGACTACCATGAGGAGTGAGAAGTTCTTGTCGAGCCATATGGACATGGGGACTAATGGATGTGGGTAGTAGAGTTCCCAAAAGACAAAGGCGACAATCAGCAAGGCGCCAACGATCAGCATAGCAATGATGTAGCCTGTCTTCCAGCCGTGAGGTGCCGTATCGCCTGAAGAGAGAGCAGCACAGAACATGCCTACGCCAGCAATGGTCAAGACCACTCCGATTGGGTCAAGTTTCTGGAAAGTCTCCCAGTTGAACGGTTCTTTTGGTGTTGTATCCTTGGGTACTGTGAAAATAGCCAAGATGCTGAAGACGAGATAGATGATGGCGAGAAGGAAGAAGCTAGCTCGCCAGTTGAAGATGTCACTAGCAATTCCAGAAAAGATGGTGCCAAATACAAAGCCCAATGGATTACCAGCAGAGAAGCAAGCAAACGCTGCATTTTTTCGTCGCGAGGGTTTTTCGTAGATCGTTCCCAAAAGCCCTTGAGCAGGGGGTACAGATGCTGCTGTCATGAGCCCCATCAATCCATTGAGCACATCAATTGCGATTGGCGTTTTGCAGAACCCAGCGGCAAGCGAAAAGACAGCGAAGATGAAGAGCGAGCCCACGAATAACGACTTTCGTCCAAAGCAGTCGGCGAGTCTGCCAAACAACAGCAGAAACGCGCCGCCAGCCAGAGTGTTTGCTGAACTCATCCATGTGATCTCTGCTGTGGTCATGCCTAGGTCTCTTCCAACAGAGGCGGAAATGACAGAGACGGCTCCGCTCAAAAAAGCGCCCATTGCTATTGCCATGGTTGCCGTCAACACGAATAGCACTTCCTGTGTCGTCGATTTGAAGCATGGCGGTCGACCCTCAGGATTTGGAACTTCGATTGTGGAAGGCACGACGGCTTTCTCGTCGACTGTAGCTGAGGCTGGCGCTACGGCCGCAGCGGCCATCTCGACTGTCGACATGACGACTCAATTAGATGATGAAAGATACGTCCTGAGTTGAGGCATTGATGGCAAGGGAGAGGACCAAGAGTCATGGAAAGCTCAAGGTGCTTTTGCAAAACGGTTGCAAATGCTTGATAAGATGGACGGAATGGTGCCGTGGGGAAGGGGAAGAAGCAAATGTGGCGGGGAGCGGCAAGACAAAACGGCAGGAACAAGCTTAGGGACCTCCCAAAACAGGTAGATTTATCCGAGAATCTGGTAAATGTAGGCGGAATCTGCTTACTCTGGATGCTGTGCTTACTGATGTGCTAGGCACGTGGAATGATACAGTACTTTTGTAATCAGACACTCACAGCTTGACGACTTGCCAGCCTTTGAGGTCCATGTGTGCAAGCGCACCGCCCAGCGGACCCTGCACTTCTCGACCATTCAACCATTGCTTGGGACCAGCCCAGTAATTAATGAAGCCTTCTGGCCCTGACACAAGAATGATCTTTTTGCCTTGAGCAGGAGCCGTTGGCTGATTTGAAGCTGGCGCGACGACATTGCGCACATTCTGAGGAGTGATATAGGTGCTTTCTTCGTCAACAAAATAGTCGACGGAAAGTGCTGGGTTGGCCTGTTTGAGCGCATCCAATTGCTTTACAATCAAGCCCTTTTCGCTGCTATGCGATACAGAGTGATGTGGAGCGCTGGTAAAGAGTCTGGCAAAGGCAGCATACCAACCAGGCGTGATTGGGTCATCGCTCTGTCCTCCAAGACAATCTTCTCTTGATCTGCTTGCCCACAACACAGCAATGCGAGCCTTGTCACCCAGAGCATGTGCAATCTGGATAGCAGGTGCAACACCAGTGCCTCCAGCCAAGAAGACTACTTGGTCGACTTGTTCTGGCAACTCGTACTCGACAGCAGGACCTCTGACTTCGACATCAGCGCCCTGAGGTCGTCTGTGTATGTATCCTGACACCTCGCCTCTCTGCTCACGGCGCACCAACAGACGCAAAGCATCCGGGTCCGAACCATCAAGTGGCGGCAAAGGGGTATATGCTCTTGCAATCTGGAGTTGAGGCTGTTTGATCTCAATACTCCAGACTCCCTTCTTCCACCAGTTGTCAAATGTGCCTGGAGGAATATGCGCTTGCGACAGGGTGAAGATGGCGCTTGTAGACGAGACAGTCTCTTTGTTCTTGAGAGCGAAGGGCGTGAAAGTCAGGTCGTTGAGAGGCTGCGGTGATGCGAAAGATACGAATTTGTAGTGCTCATTCAGAGCCCAGCCGGTGCCGAAGAAGAAGAGAGATGCCGCAATGCTTCGAAGAGAGCTGCGTTTCGCTTTGACTGGAGCATTGTGAATGTCGGTAGCTGTATGTTGACTACGTGCGAACCGGTGGCGAAGTACTAGAGACTGGCGAGACGTAGGGTACTGTGGCTTGAGCGAAAAACGAAAGCCTGAGCGAAGTGTACAAGGCATCGTGATTTGAATGTGCAGCAAGACAAAAGTTGGGTGCTTGAATCTCGAAGCCTGTCAGATTCCGCCAAGATTCACATGTCAATGATGACGATATGGTCTTCCATACCAAAAAAATTACAACCACATCAAGAACTTGTCATACCGTAATCGTACATGATATAAATTGTGTCTAATCCAGGTCGAGTCTTAGGATCTCACCACCTTCGCGGATACCTCCTCTAAAGAGATTCTTTATGACTTTGCCGTCGATCAATGTCTTGCCGACAATACCCTCGACATGCTGAGGCTCTACTCTGCCGTACCAGATACCGCAGCCCGCCAGAGGATTAGTCTTGAAGCTAGGCGGGATGTATACAATCACATTGCCAGCCCACTTGTGTCCTCCAATATGCGAGATCTGTCCAACTCTTGCTGCAGGCTGGTACTCTTCAATCGAGTAATCGGGCTGCACTGTATCGTGAGGAGGTGCTTCCTTGATGACAGGAATGTTCTGTCTCTCCAGCTTGTCCGCGAATTCTGCCTGCAGAATTGGTCCCATCTTTCCACATCTTTCGTCGCGTCCACCGTGACCACAGATCAAGACGATAATCTCGTGCACTGACCGCGCTCCAGGGAATTGTTTGCGCATCTCAGGCTCATGAAGCAGTGTGTTCTTTTGCGCCCTTGTCAAGCGATCGTGTGATGCATGTAGAGTTGGAGGTAGGACGAATCCTTTGATGAATGCTTCGACGCCACTGTCATCGGTGGGAATGTTGGGAACGTATTGGAAGCTGGGAAAGAGGAAAGCCGAGGCGGGAGCTGTGTTGGGAGTGTCTTGAGGAACGACATCTGGGTCAGAGCCAGGTTTGGCGGCAGGTACTGTGTTTGCCTTCTGTGCAGGCTGTGTTGATGCTTCAGCGTCTTCGAAGGGCGTGGGCGGGATCGACGAGTTTATGACGGACACATTGTGGTATGGCTATGCGATCGAGTCAGCGACATGCTGTGTATGAGACAGAATGCTTGTAGTGGTCGCATACGTCAGAAAACTTGCCCTTGGGCCCAGTAAACTTAGCCATCTGATTCACAAGCACGCTGTCCTGATCTTCTTGTATCCTGCTCTTCCAATCCGATCTGCCGGTCGAGATAATGACCTGCTCAGCATACGCCGGCATGGTCCCGTTAAGCTTGCTCTCGCGATCGATGTCCAACCCAGTCGGTGTCTCTCTGCATTGGCAAGTCGGTGAAGGGCATTCGGCAATGGTAGGAATGTTCCAGTGCTTGTCTTCAGGCGTCGGTTGAGCGATGGGCACTGTGTACGTCGCGCGAGATGCGCTGCGGTATTGTGATGTCCATAGCGGTGTTCTAGGAATACGCGAGGCGATCCTGGCTCCTCTGATGATTAGTCCCATGGTTTATGATTGGAAAATTGGAAGAGAAACAAAAAAGGCGACATGATTTCTAGATACGATGGAAGAGACAAGTCAACGTCATGGTCAAGTCAGCACATGAATCCACATCTCGGCCTCTCGGTCCGCCATCTCCGAGACGACATCAAGAACATCATCAGTTTTCGTGATTGCGTAGTAAAGCGGAAAAATTGGAGAGGTTACAAAGACCTTGATGAAGACCACAAAAGACTCAGTATATTAAGGAAGTAAAGTGTTGAGATGGTACGAAGAGTGCTGCTACGTCCACCTTGACATCGAGCGTTCGGCTCCCATGTGAAGGTTCTAGTAATAACATCCTTCTGAGGCTCCTATGCGCTACGTCCTTTCTTTGCCTCTTTTCAACATTCCAATTCTCACAAGTACCCTTGAAGCACTCCCTTTGGTATTCTCACGGAACCCGGTCCAACAACCGTCCCGTTGTCTTCCTGTTCCCCAGGCCGTTAAGCTTGTACCTTGATGGCCACTGATACCATCTAGTTTAATCCAGGGTACAAGTCGATGTGTTATGCATCAGACGTCGAGTTTCATGGGTTCAAAGTGGCCAGTGACAGTCTGCCTCTCCAAACCATCTGTGAAGGTTACGCTCTGTAAGGATAAGATTCGAGGTTGCCAAACGATGAGCAATGCATTACGTATCCTGGAAACATGGCTGAGAAACATTGATACCGTGGATTGATCTTTTCGTAGGTTGTAAGCTCCATGCTCACCAGGGAACTAGTTCCAAATATCGGCAATCCTGCCTTCGGATACTACTCTCGTCTCACCTCGTGTGCGGTTCAAGTAAATTTTCTGCGAGATCATAGATCATAGATCATGTATAGATCGTACGGAGCCCAATCTGGCAATCGGTACTCAGGCAGCGACAGCGACTGGAGCAACCTCCTGGACTGCAGGTACCTCAGCTGGGATTTGGACTACAACAGCCTCATCTGCTCACTGTAAGCGACTTCCCAGTATCCACATTCTCCAGATGCACGAACCGACTGATGATGCTCTTTTGGGATCCATCTGCATAGTCCTGTCCTTATGCCTGGTAAAGAATCGCTTGCCCTGCTCACGGAGAACATGCGTTACTTCACCTCGTCGTTCGAGCATATCAATCCTACGTCGATTCTTCTCGACATATTGTTGTCCGGTGTTCCTGTCCCGCACCCATCGCGGACCCAGAACAATGACCGTGGCGGATTGATCTTCTCCTTCTCCGGTAGCTTGTTCAGCAGCTGGAGGTGCAGCTTCGGTAGTACTCTGTCGTATGGTAATTGTGCTTGACTTGGAAGAAGATATGCCCATGTCGTCTCGTGTGCAACAAGAGCAATGAGTCTGAGTACCATTGACCCAGCGGTCAGCCGAGATAGCACTTCAGAGGGAATATAAACAGGAGCAAAACCGACATAGAGCATTCGGCCCTCCACGTACGAACCATTCAGGGGTACATCACGTCTCTGATGCCCAACTCACCTGTTCGCAGCGGCATATCAGCTTGATAGGTAGATGGACCTAGCATCGCGTACAAGCTGGCAAAAGCAAATGGAAGTCCGGTTGCAGCTTAAAAAACTAGAAAAGGCCCAGGTCTGTGTGCCACGTATCAATGTGCTTTCCCCTCAGGATGGGCGCTGCTATAGATTGAAGACGTGGCATGCATCAAAGCCCTAGCCGAAGCAACGCCAGCAAAGTGACATGCCCCTTGAAAGTTGACTAGGGGCACTTTTAAGATGTGCCTTTCGGATCGCATTCCAGATGTCCGTAGTGGATTAAATTGCTTTACTGTGCTGTGACAAATTTGCGTTATTGTCGCTGCATCAGAAGCGAGCTTAAGACTCCCTTGGCTTCGAGATCTCTTACAAATTGAAGACATGATCTCTTCCTCGGCATACTGAGACCAGACAGCTCCACCGCACGAAGATGAACACAATGTCAAATTTGTTGTTGTTTGATGTTATTGAAAGACGATTGCAGCTTAAAAGCGGTCTGACAGACCCCCGCGACGTCATTCAGAGGACCCTGAGACACGCCCAATGCGGAGGGAGCATCGACTCCTGAACTGGAAACTTGAGTTTTTGCGGCCGAGCTGTTTGTTTGTCTCGGCGACTTGAGTAATGATACAATAACACAGCAGTTACACGATACGCTTGTTCGCATGGCCGGACTCGCACCACCTCGCCAATTCGAGCGCGACTCGCTCGAACTGGCTTCTCTTGCTTCTTCCGACCACAACTCGCGTGACAGTATCGACTCTTCGGCGTCTGGCGTCCCTTCGTCGCGAAAGCTCTCCTCTGACGATGATCACCTTGGAACCCCTGGCCCTAGCAGTAGAGGCCAGGGCGGTCGTATGAACAGATCATATTCGGTCTCCTCGGCCTTCGACTTCGCTCCCGCACTTTTCCCTTTGTCAAATTCAGGAGCAGGATACACGGCTATAGGCGCACCGAGCGGACAGCCATTGGCAGCAGGAGGAGAAGGAAGCCTGGAAAGACACAAGACATTGACATTATGGAAAGGCGGTTTGTCGCTGGTCGTTGGTCTGATCATTGGTTCCGGCATCTTCTCGTCACCTGCTCAAGTCAACATCAATGCTGGCTCGCCTGTCGCAGCCCTAGCAGTATGGGTCATCGCTGGTCTGCTTGCTTGGACCGGTGCTTCTAGCTATGCTGAGCTCGGTAGTGCCATGCCTCTCAATGGCGGCGCGCAAATCTACTTGAGCAAGATTTATGGTGAATGGGCTGGCTTTCTATTTACATGGTGCGCCGTCGTAGTGCTGAAGCCCGGCTCTGCTGCCATCATCGCCATCATCTTTGGTGAATATACTGTCAGAGCTTTCATCGGTGCAGATGCCATGGATGCAAGCATTTGGATCAACAAGGCTGTCGCTATAGCTGGACTTGTACTGGTTACAGCCCTCAATTGCGTCTCTACAAAAGTTGGAACACGCAGTACCGATGCTTTCGTTCTCCTCAAGTTCTTTGCATTGGCTGGAGTTACGGTCGCTGGTATCGTTGTAGCAATAACGGGCTGGAGCTTCGAAGGCAGCGCTTCAAGAGAGTGGAAACAGCCTTCTTTCTGGGTGGACGGCACAAAAAATGACCCCAGCAATTGGGCGGTCGCCATCTATGCTGGTCTTTGGGCATATGATGGATGGGATAATGTACGTTTGCAGCCAATCAGAGCTTTCATTGGGTTATGCTGATATACACGCAGGTCAATTATGTTGCAGGAGAGTTCATCAACCCACGAAAGGATCTCCCACGGACTATTCACACTTCGCTTTCTATGGTAGTCCTCTCGTATTTGCTCGCCAACGTTGCCTACTTTTTAGTCCTACCCTTGGCCACAATCAACTCGTCCAATACTGTCGCTGTAGCGTTCGGGCGATTCATTCTTGGACCAGTGGGCTCGTTCATTCTCGCATTGGTTGTAGCTGGGTCATGCTTTGGCAGTCTGAATGCTACGACTTTTACATCTGGACGTCTTGTCTACGCGGCTGGTAAGGAGGGATATCTACCTGCCTTCTTTGGCCAGATTGGCTTCACAAAGGACAGCGCCGTTCGTCTTCCGTATCGTCCTTCTCGAGCATCTCGTCTGACTCGCTTGATCGCTGATGACGGCGTCGGCTTGTTCTACACGCCTGCATATGCCATGATGCTCAACGCAGCTTTGACTTTGGTGTATGTCATTGTTGGCAGTTTTGGCACTCTCACAACGTTCTATGGAGTTGCTGGATACACTTTCTACTTTTTCACAGTTCTCGGTCTCATTGTTCTTCGAGTCAAGGAGCCAGACCTCGAGCGACCGTATAAATGCTGGATCACTACACCTGTCATCTTCTGCTGTGTCAGCTTGTTCCTGCTCAGTAGAGCTGTGTTTGCACAACCATTGCAGACGTTGTTGGTGGTGGCTTTCATTCTTGCTGGATTCCCACTGTATTGGTGGAGGATGAAAGGCAGAAATGGCAGTCAAGGAAGACAACAAGGGTTGAACTGGAAGTTTTGGGAACGATGGACACGACGATGATTGATTTAATGTATAGAAAAGACATACATGACTTGGATGTGGAAGATAAAAACCAGGATAATGATTCCAATCCGACTCGAAATTGAAGCACGTGATCCCGCGGCGGATGACGCTGCCTGAGACACGTCTTTCGGCTCCAGAGCTCCAAATCTGCGACCATCAATGTGGCGTTCTTTTCCTATCAAATACACAACAGAATAATCACCATGCGTTTCCGAGCAGATATCAAGAACAACAACGTCCTCACAAGTATGCGGCTGCGGTATCTGAGAGTACACAAAACCTGACATCTCAGCAGAGTTGGCGGCTTCACTTGCCTCATTGGGTCCAGTCGCATGGGTCAAGTTAAGTAATGAAGATGTCCGCTTCACTATTATCCCTGATCAAGGCTCGTCAGCTTGGGCGTAAGTGAAATTCTTGAGCCTGTCAGTGACTATATACTAACGTTGGGCAGTGCACTTGAAATTGTTAGTGAGGCATTATTCAGAAATTCAAGCTGAGATCAGACCTAACCTTGTGCAGGATCAAATATTCGAGACATACACTATTCAGTCTGCCGCAGAGAACAACACGATCAATCTTGAAGTGCCATTGCAAAATCTTCATCGAGCGCTGAAGTCGGCTCAGAACGCCAGCCATGCATCGATTCGCCTGACGAAGAAGAACAACATCCCGCTTCTTTCATTAACAATCACAACCGCAATATTTGCCGGCGCTCCGAAATCGACGTTCCAGAGTGGTCCTCCGGAGGAGTACGGCTACAATACAGGCTTCCCACCAAGCGATGAATTCGGTAACCAATTCCCGGCAGACGACGTCGACGAGCCTGTGTATGATCGGCCGAATCGGGAAACCATCATCACCCAAGACATTCCCATCAAAGTCCTTTCCCCTGCCGTCGTCTCTGGTCTTCATGAACCACGGTCAAGAGAACCAGATGTTCATATCGTGCTTCCACCCTTACTCCAGCTCAAATCTATCTCTGATCGCTTCACCAAACTCGCTGTCTCGAGCACAAAAACGCCGAATGGGTCATCTGGTTTCAGAGGTAGTACAGCAAGGACACCGAAACTAGAGTTGAGCGCAAACATGCATGGATGCTTGAAGTTGAGGTTGAAGACTGATGCCATGGATATCAGCTCCAGGTGGACTGGCCTTAGTAATCCAGAACTGGATCCGACGACTGTGGAAGGTGGTGAAGAGGGTATCGCGCAACATCCTAGTACACTCATGCGGTCACGAGGTGATCCTGAGGGAATCAGTGATGAAGGCTGGGCAGTGGTAAGATTGGATGGCAAGGATTGGGGCAAGGTGTTGGGTATTGGAAGAGTGGGTGGAAGAGTCATTGCTTGTAAGTTCTGCTCCTACTGCTCTTGTGGCATCTGTACTGACGCTTTCTAGGCTTTTGTAATGAGCATGCATTGATATTGTATGTCTACCTTCCGAATGAAGAGGTTGATGTTGCAGAATCAGTGATTACATACTATATTAGTTCATACAGTCAATAGTTGTATGACCCAAGTATGCTATCTCCTCTGCGCTTGTGCTTCATTCTGTGCTTGTAAAAATGCATGATATTATCATGTTCCTGTACATTTCCACTGAGAGCCCAAGATCTGGTATTCATTTCAGGGGCTCTCAGTGGACATCCCAGGTTTTGAGAAACCATTCTGCATTGCAGCATGAGTGTAGCTCTCTGGTCTGTCACAGGAAGCAGCGATGTTCTCGTCGTTGGAGTGTTGATGACGTGGACCCTCCTTCCTGCTTTGGTATGTTGTGCCTGAGCACAAAACTCGGGTCCGCGACGCCAGCTCTTCTTCTCTTCTTCTCTCACCAACGCACCATTGATCAAGACATCGTAAGTCTATTCAGCGCCATCAAGGGGGTACCGCTAATCAGGAGATCAGTTTATCAACATCATCATCACCACCATCATCACCATCACCATTGATACTATTTGTATCATCATTATCAAATTTGTATGTATCATTGACCTGATTTCTGCCCTTTCATCGACCTGCCATCTCTCCTTTCATCGGTCTGTCATCAGCCTATCCATCACCCTGCTCACCGCTCTTGGATGGGCCTCCTAGCTCTCCTTTCATCAACCTGCCATCTGCCTGTCATCCGTCTCATCGGCGCTACCATCTCTTCATCATCGACTGACTTGCATCACAGTTACGATGCATTTTTTCGCATTCTTCTTCCTCTTCCTCAGCGCCGCCTTCATTTGCCTGGCCGCCCCGGTGCCCAAGATCTCTCGCCCAGCACCAGTCAACAGCCCTTCAAGCTCGCTCCCAACAACCTCCATCACTTCTTCGCCCTCTGTGCACATCTCGACCGCGACAGCCGCCCTGGACAATTCTTCGACGACGTTCATCAACAACTACATGAACTGCACGATCGTCCAACAGGGGTCAGGCTCGCCCTTGTCAGGTCTGCACACGGCTGGTCCCGCCTCTTAGGATTGGTGGTTCCATGATATGATGGGTGCGTTGTTGGGAGTCGTGTTGACTGGTGTGTCATCGTCCTTTTGGTCGTGGCAGGGTGAGAAGATCAAGGCTAAGGGGCGCAAGGCAAAGGAGGCGGTCAAACGTTTTGGAGACCGGGTTGGTGCTCGTGTCGGGTCGGTGTGGGAGTCTTTTCTTGCTCGTGTTGCTGTTCGGTGGGAACGTCTTCGTATATTTAAACAAAACAATCTATAACTCATAACTATCTTATCTTTTGTGCCTTGTGACTTCATTTGTGCGTAGTTCCTGAAATATTTACTCATCAACATTGATGTACCTCCACCAGCTGTCGGCTCTCCTTGGTCTTCTCGGGTTCTGAGACACGACTGTGAATTGCGACAAGCATCTGGTCTTCTGGTGTGCCGCTGGGAAACAGCACTGGATACTGATGACGCCGAGACCCTCGCTTCTAGAAGTTCACTTCATCCGCTATCTCTTTCCGCATTGCTGCAAGATAGATTCATCATCCGAATGCACAATTTCTTTTCGAAGCAGAGCTTCCTCCAATGAGATGACCGAAATGATGTCACTTACGCCAACTCTCTCTCACTGTCTAAGCATGTATATAACATTCGTGCATTCCATCGAGCTGTCATGGACGTGAGCGTTCGATCGGAAGCTGCGGTGGTTTCGCACGTGGCAAGGTATGACTGATAGCCAGGCTTATAGATTGCTCACCGTCGAAGCAAAGCACTTTCCCCTTCCTAAATTTTCCTCATGCTGTCATACACAAATTGACGGAATCAGAAATCTTTTGTACCGCACAACAACATGGATACCAAATTCGTCGCATCGCAGACATGCTGTCATACTTGCCGTCAGCCTCTTCCTGCATACGAGTCAATACCCAATATACAACCAGGGTGTACTTCGTCTCCACCTAGCGTTGACACCGACTACCCGCCGCAATATTCTGTCCTTGACCATAAATCCCGAGTCCAGCGGGCTGATCCAGAACAAGATTGGGAGTTTGTTTCAAGCAAATACGGACCTCGCAAAAGTTACTGGACCCGAGTGATCCAAAGTGGCGACGAGACTTGGACTCAATACGGCATCAGCGAGCAAGAAAGCGACAAGAAACCAGACTTTTTCTTTACTTGCAAGTTCAGGCCCCGCAAGCAAGGCAACGAACGATCAATCCGAAGGTTTTGCCAGAGGGCAGCTAGTACTTTGAAAGTCCATCGATCAGACGACTATTACAGATGTCGTTGCACTTTTGAGACGTTGAGGCAACCTGGGGGGTCGAGTAGATGCTCGGTGAGGTGGTATCATTGGATCACAAGACTTACGAGGCATACCGTTATGGATTACATGGAATTACACGATATTATGTGCTCGTGTGGATGCTTCGATGTCTCGACGGAAGAAGGTTTAACTGCAACTGCTTCTGGCAAATATGTCGAGAAACGCAACAGGTCAGATTCTAAAGCTCTCGGCACAAGTGTTGTGCGAGGATCATAATCCTGAGAGACTCTGCTGACCTTCAGTGATCTAGAGCCGTACTCAAGGAACAAAGCAACGCGAAACTTACGACAGTGCAATGTTCTTAGTCCGAGACCTTGATAATAGACACATATCTCGACTCTTACTCTCTCACAGCATCTTCTCCGTCATCAAGACGCCCTAGCCTCCTTATTTGAACAATTAAAATTCATATTATCATCGTCTTCGAGTTGCGCACCTATATACATATGATCTCTCCGCGTATTCAGGGCTCTACAGAGTATATCTGAATCCATGAAGCCCCTCAATAACCTTACCTCCAGCAGCAGCCCTCTTGTTGGCGCGGTAGAACTTGAGGTCCAACAACAGTGAGATGATGATAATCAACACGCTAGCCCCCAATGTAGCGTAGATACCAGGTCTATAGCCAGGCTGGTCCTGCTTGCGGAATACAGTCGAGCCAATAATACCTAAATTGGAAAGAAAAATTAGTTTAACTGATCTAGTGTCTCGGTAGGGAGGGTGTGATAACTTACCTCCAATACCTCCAGCTCCGACGAGGGTAGCAGAGGTAAGCGCCCTTTTCCACTGTCCGCGGATATTGTTGGCTTGCCAGGTGAGCACGGCAGGAACATTTGCGTTGCAACCTGCTGTGGCGAGGAATACACCAAAGTAGCGCACAGCAACTGATTTTGCGAAGCCCAGGCAGCCGAGACCGATGAGCATGAGACAGGCATTTGCGATGATGAAGGGAGAGCGGATACGGTATTTGTCTGCATACCACGCAAACGCAAATGTGACGATGGCGGCTAGGACGTAAGGGGGTGCGATGAGACACTGGGCATCGCGTTTGTTGAAGCCCATGCCTACTTCGAGGATGATGGGTAAAAAGTAGGCAATGGCATAGGTAACGGTTGTGGAGAGACCGAAGAGTGCAGCAAAACCCCAAACCTTGAGATCAGCAGCACACTTCAGATATTGGCCGACTTTGAACTCTTCAAGTGTTGCATCATGACGATCTTTTTCGATGGTAGCAACGACAAAGTCTACTTCTTTTTGATTGAGGAACTTGGGGCCGAAAGAGACGTGGGCTGCTTTTTCTGGGAAGTTGACGATGGTGAAGTAGGCGCCGATGGCGAGGATACAGGTGATGAGGCCTCTTTGAAGGGTGCGTTAGTGGGAGGTGGTTGGAGCGGGGACAGGGGCAACAACTTACTGCATGATGAAGATCCAGCGCCAGCCTGCGAGACCGGGTGCAATGCCCTTTGGACGGGTAGGGTGGAGTTTGTCAGGGCCATAGTGAGCACCGAGTCCATCGCCAACACCCAGACCTGCCATTTGGCTGAATCCGTAGGCCAAAATACCAGAGAAAGCGGATGAGAGAGAGCCGATGAGGTAGAAGACGGCATTACGCTTCTGGAGCATGTATCTGGGATACCAAGTCGACAGAAGGTATGCACATCCAGGGAAGAAGCCAGCTTCAAAGATGCCCAACAGGATGCGTAGCGGAATCAGTGTTGTCCAGGTCTTGACAAAGGCCATGCCACTGCAGCAAAGGTACAATTAGCACAACCTCACAAAGTGGTATCTTCAGCTCAACTTACATCATAGTAATACCCCAAAGCAAAGTAATGGTCGGCAAAAAAGCCCTCGGGCCAACTTTGCGCAAAATAACAGTCGCCGGCGGTTGGAAAAAGATATAAGGAATAAAGAAAACCAACACAATAATCGAATAACGATCTTTGATGAGCAGCAGATCAACACCCATGCCCGCCACAACAGCAATGCCAGTATTGGTTCTGTCCATCAAACTGACACAATAAAGAAATCCCAGAGTCAAGACCAGTCTTCGGTCGATTCTGCGGATGATCTTTTTCTGTTCTTCGGGGGTGAAGGCCGAGATTCTTTCATCGTTGATTTTGTCTGACTGTGTATCGTCTGTAGTGTCGACGTTCTCGAGATAGTTGATGGCTAGGTCTTTTTCGTCGGTGCGTGATGCCATGATGGGCGGAATTGAGAATCTCAAGGGTATGATTGACAGACCGATAAGGAGGTACAAGATCACTTTGCCTTGTTCAAGAAGAATCACTGTTCTTATATTGCCCTGGCCAAGCATGCTGTTGTGTACCCCGCAAGGAGGCGTTCTGCGAGGTGGCTCAAGATGGTGCGGGAGAGCGACGAGCGCCACGTTGTGCCATGTTCGCTCACGCCAACGTTGATACCAAGAGATTTAGACTGAGCCAGACCTTGCTCTCGGCGAATAAATTGTCGATACTTTGATTTCCCAATGCATATCGTACCAATCCAAGCCTTAAGAGACGATGACCAGCAGTGTGGATTCACACACAGAAGTCATGACTGCTCACCTCCTCTGCAATGCTCTCGAACCAATGTCAGAGACTGCACAATCGAACGTTAAAAGCAGAACATAAGAAGTCGTTCGCCAAGAAGCAATCATTCCCAATACAGCTGGGGGAGGCTGTGGAGAAGCGGGGTAGTCCAGTGTGGAGGAGATCTTGGCTGTATATTATGGCTTGATCATGGCTTGAGAAAACACGGCTGGACTTGTTCTTTTTCGTTTTAGCAACGGTCAAACCATTGATACCAAGATTCTTGGCCCCAAGGAATTGTAACTTGGCGCATTGAAAATGAACGAAGGTAAGGATGAGTGCATCGAACGAGGGCGGTTGAAGGTTCGTTCAGCTGTGGTTAGGAGTTGGAAAAGGAGAAGCATTGGTGGCTATGCGTCGGAAAGGTGTTGCATGTTGATTAGACGTCGAGGCTCAACGATAAGTGATGCCAGAATATCAGAGCCTTTCAATCTGCAAGTGGACCTGTTCGTCGCACAATAGCCAGCATTTTCAAAAGATACGCCTTCGCGTCCCATTGCTTCTCTGCCTTACGACAAGGATAGGTCCAGGATATGTGACCAATCCCCAGTAATCGGTAGTTGTCATATTCTCGTTTCACTTCTTCGTGTGCTTGATTTTAGCACCCCTTGTCTTGCCTTGACAGAAATCTACCGAGGCTCATCAACACTTGGAAGATTTGTTTTGCTCGCTCGTTGAATCAACCATCCAGTCGCGTGACAAGTATACCTATGTAAGCATATTTGGCAAGCCACTGCCTAGCAAAAGACACAAAACACGACAAACGCCTCTCAAAACCCTAGCCATAGGAGCCTCGGTATATTGCTGCAGTTCAGCGCAGAGTTTGATTCTTTCCGAGGCTTCTATTGAAGGTTTTCGTTCAGTACATTGAGGCTCTGTCGGGGCTGGCTTGGGTATGGACGACTCGGCGGCTCAGCGAGTATCTCCAGAAAATACCAAGGTCGCCAAGGGAGTGTGGTGACATGTTTAGTTTCAGACCAGTCTAGCCAAAGGGGAGATCGACAGGACGGTTTCGCTGTCATTTTGGAGGGATGTCGCGTTGATCAACCTTTGGAGGGTTGTCAATTTGCGAGATCCTGCGATTGCGGACTTTTTGCCGTGATGAAAGATGTGGGGGTCATGCGAATGACCGGATCATGTCGCAAGCATTTGGTTTTGAGATTACTTCATCCTTATACAGATAGCAGGGGGCAAGAGTGGGCCTTTACAAAGGTTATAGCAGGATGTTAAAGAAGATGGTTGGGTAATACTCGCTTTGGCACGCTCAAAAGGCGCTCTCAAGTGTTCCACCGGAGATCAGCCGATATATAGCTATTGACTGCTTTTCATTCTCCTTACTGGTTCTACCGCAGAGGTCATTACTTGTGTTCAAAGATATGCATCAAGGCTTCGAAGGATGAACATTTGTAGAATGATAGAATATGATTGACTGCTTTCGTGAGATAATCTCGTACACTTTCATACAATACATGTTATCACACACATCGATCCAATGCTTGCACATTCTCGCATAGCATATCAATCCGTTAGAAACTCAGGCTGCTTGAAAGGGTATTCAGAAAGAATAGATTCTAACCAAAAGACCAATCCTTCGGTCAACTTGAAGCATTGGCTCATCTCGATGAGGGCTAGCTGTGTCTCTCGTCATCATACTCTGGAGGTCGATCGTATACCGGCAAAACCTCATCGTCAGATTCGTCGTTGACTATGGGTACTAGGCCTGGCATAGATTCGGATGTAGATCTTCTTCTGGATAAGGGAGTTGGGGTCGTCGTGCCATCTGGACGGGCAGGTGGTAGTCGATCGTCTGCAGCCCAATCAACGTCCGAGTCGGTACGCACAAGGCGACCAGCAGGAGGTGGAGGGATCGGGCTGGCTCGGAAGGGAGGTGAGGGATCCATCGATGTGTAGGCGCCATACTGAGGAAAAAGTGGTCTAGGTGCTGGTTCGGAGATTGGTGGGAGATATGGAGGCATGGAATTATGAATGTTGGCATGCGAAGGGACATAGCCAGAAGTAGATCTCCAGGTGTAAGACTGTTGAACAGGGAATGCTGTGGCAAGAGTGGCGGGCTGTTGCGAATCGTACTGACGTGCCCAAGTATACGCAGGACCTGAAGGAGACTGTAGGCTCGAAGGCTGATTGTTTCGAGGGATTGTTGGACGAGGACTTGCTGGGCGTGAACTCATTCGACGAGCACCATCAGGTAAGCCATGCTGCGGTCCATGAGTAACATTCAAATTGAGTCGAATACGGATTGTGCCATCTTCAATGTTGAGGTTCGATGAGGACTCTGGCGAGACTGCAACTAGGACGAACATTACGAACAGCACCGGTATAGCGGCGATGGCAATGCAGATAGTGATGCAGGTCGCAACAAAGACGAGAAGACTTCGGAAGAGAACACTCCACAGAATGGATGGTTGAGCAGGATTGTCAGCCATTGTTGTCGATATTGTTGAAAAGAATGTAGGCGGAGCATTTGTATAAGTAGTCGAACATGCGCTGTCAGGCCAGTGCACACGTGGGAGGTTAGACATGAAAGGCTTCGGCGTGACCCAGGGGAAGCTTGCGTAGAATCCAAATTCAAGCTTTGACATGTTCATGAATTCACAAGACAAGCGTCGCGTGTTCGAAGGCGTCGTGGCAATTATGTGATAGGATCACATTCTCATGCTGGCCTCAGACTCCGGCGCCAGTGTCATGATTTAGAAGACGTCCTCGGTGACACGTCGACCGTACCAGGTAGAAAGCTGATCTTCTCCTTTGGCATGCTCTTCGGCAGAGTACATGAAGAAGTTTGTCAACTTGGTTGAGTCCTCATCTTCTGCAACAGGCCAGTTCACCTTGGCAGCAGGCTTGACTTCGAGCAAGTCTTTCGCAGTGGACCAACTGAAACGGCATTCATTGCCCCAGCCAAACAAGGGATCCATGTTCTTCTTCAACCAAGTAGAACAGCGGGCATCACTGGGATAACCAGATCCCCAGCCTTCGGCGGGCTGTTCAGGAACTTCCTTCTCGTTGGAAACAGCGTCTTTGAAGACTTGATAGCAGACGTCAAGAGCAGCATCTCTTGTGACCTTTGCGCAAACACTGGCAGCAGACACACAAGGGTAAAGAGAGTCTGCCTTTTTGGCGACAGTGATCTTGACAGTTGGGAAGATACGCTCGAGCTTCTTCTGGTAGGCAGCCGGTTGTCCAATGGTATCAATATAGATCTCTTTCAGGTTGACACCGAGAGCGAATACAGCATGAATCAAGTCAATGGTGGCATCCATGGCTTGAGCGTTGAGGTTGTATGTAGCGGGCTTCATCTGAGCAGAAGAGATGTCCTTGGCTGACATGACGCGGGTGGCCCATCCAGAAGATTCGTACAAGTCAGTACCGGGAGTACAGATGGCCTGCATCAGAGAAGAACGGACAGCGGGCGACAAGACCTTGGAGTCGTCAAAGTGGTGAGTGTCGGCCAGCAAAGAGCGATGCATGGACAGAGGTAGATAGTAGAGACCATAGACCATAGGACCCAGAACAGGACCTCTACCAGCTTCGTCAACGCCCAGAACGCACTCTATGGACATGTCATCTTGAAGCATCTTGGGTACTGGCGAGATGTAAGAATATGAGTCTCCTTTGGCGATGTTGACCTTGTCAATTGAAGGAGCCATGAAAACATCTTCGGGAGGAGTTTCGAGCGAGATGTCCTGCTCCTGAGAGTCTGCAAGCTGGTCCATTGGTTCATCCATGATATCTATGTCCTTTGATAAGATATGTTTGGTGCAAGACAAGAATGTATTGGTGTCGAAAAACAGACAGAGGCAGGGTTGAGGGAGACGCGAGCAGACGCGACGCGGGATTGCGGAGAAGACAGACTAACCCAAATGGGAAGTCATGAGCTTGGCGTGTTGTTTACAGCGTGTGAAGCTTGGAGCGGCCCAAAACAAACCATCAGTCCCGCCCAGCGACCACCTACCAACCTCATTGTTTCCCCCAGCGCATTCGTCGCATTTGCTCTGGAGGACGCGCGACAAGATGCCTGCTCAATCCGCTACCTCACATACGCCGCAGCGTCAATCGCGACGACACAACAACTTCAAGGAAAACATCAACTTCTTTGAGCCCGGCAAGCAAGGCCGTCGCACTGGCCTGGTCTTGAAGGATACGGGCGTCCGCGATGAACACGGTTTCGAGCCCGTCAGTGGCATCTTCTCGTCACCACAGCCTACACCAGCCCAGCCTTCACCCCAACGCTCGCCCTTGCGCTCACCACAGCGCGTCTCAGCAAATGGTAATGACTCGGCGCTAGGATCGTCGTCTATGGTTCTGCAAGACAGTACAATGAGAACCATATCCTCACATTCTCTGGTTCCACATGCTAACCCATGCTTCAGGCTCTATTCCAGAAATCTCAGAAACTCTCCACCTACGCAAGACTCCTCATCTACCACCAAAGGCTCAAACTCCGCGCCGCTCAAATATTCAAGGATCACCCATCCGTCATTCAGCCATCAAGCCTGTAGACACCCAGTCCTCCCCCCAAGATGCGCCTTCAACGACCCGCACGAGCAGGCGTCTCGACTTTGCCAACAAGCAGCAGAACAAACCTCAGCCGAATGTCGCTCCTAGTCCGAGCCCTTTCAAACCGCGATTCGGAAAGTCGCGTAAGAGTGTCTTCGATTTGCAACAATCTCCCGGCAGGCCTGAGTACAACCAGCAAGACGCCGACGACCTCGACAACTCTGTTCAGCAGGTTCAAGATGCAGTCAATGAGTTGTTCCAAGACGACCTTCCAAAAGACGTCCTCTCCTCTGCACGAAGCACCAGGTCGCAAAAGCGCAGACTCTCAAATCTTTCTTCGCCTGTCGCCATTCAACCATCTTCAGTACCCAGGTCAAATAAGCGCCAAAGGCCGAGCCTCGATCATCAGGAAGACCAGACGACAGTAGATCACACAATCGCAGATCAGACGACGATGGATCAAACAACCGTTGATCAAACAGAACTCCCTGATCAGACAGACGCCGAGTACACGTACATCACCGTAGACCAGACAGAAATGCCTGATCAGACCGAATTGCCCGATCAAACAGAGCTCCCAGAGCAGACTGAATTACCTGATCAGACAGAAATGGTTGACCAGACTGAAGCGCCAGAAGAGACGGGAATTGAATACACTTGGGTGGATCAGACGGTGCTCGATCAGACAACGTACGATCAGACAGCCATGGACGACACGGTGAATGTCGAGCAGACGGTCGCAGATGAGACAGCCATGGACAAGACAGAAGCAACACACATGTTTGATCACACAATAGCCGATGCGACTATGGCCGATGAGGATATTGCCGAAACAACAGAGCTGCCTGATGAGCCCGTCGTCGAGACGTCCGCCCCCCTCTCAACCAAGAAGAAGAGACCGTTTGAAGTGAGGAAAGATGTTCAACAGCAGCCTCACGAGGATGATGCGAGCGATCACGATCAAGAACCTGACCTATCTTCACCTTCAAATGCCGCCCAAGATTTCATACCACCACCAGAAGACCATGTACAAGACGAATCTGAACACGAGCCGCAACCAGAACCAGTGAAGAAGCGGGGTCGTCCGAAGGCCGCTGCGAAGACCAAAGGAAAGAAGAAACAACAATCCGCCAGCGTGGAGCCGCGTCCAAGAGCATCAAGAGATAGCGAATCTGTCGGTCCTGATGGTCTCAGGAAACCAGGCCCCAAATCTATCGTCAACCTGCGTGCAGGCACGCCTGCCGAGGATGAAGGTGCCAAAACTACAAGATCTGGTCGTACTTCGATTAAGCCTCTGAAATACTGGTGCAACGAAACATATATCTGGAATAAGGGTGAGGTTGAGGGTATTGTTCGCGCTGAACCTGTCGAACAACCAAAACCAAAACGTGCTGCACCATCGAGAAAGAAGGGAACACGATTGGGTCCTATCAAGGAAGATGAAGAGGAAGATGAAGATTTATTGCCAGAAGCATGGGAGCAGGAACTGGGTGTTATCAACAGCACAGTTCGAGCTTGGGATCCCAGAACTGGCACTGGCAGTACCGAAGTCGAAGGGGTGAATGAAGGTATATTATTTCCTTGTCCTTTCTCAAGGAGCTACACTAACAAAGTCGAAGATATTGCATTCGCAGCAACAGCCATCAAAACACAGGACGTCCACGGCTCGTCATTCCGCTACGCGAAGGTTATGACCCTTCCTTTCTTTGGATCCGGCATGGTCGAAATCCCACCAGACGGCTACAAACGCATGAAGAATTCGCGCAAAATGCAAATGGTGTTTTTTGTGCATGAAGGCAAGGTTACAGTGGATATTGAAGACGTCCAATTTGGTATGACCAAGGGCGGTGTCTGGCAAGTCCCTAGAGGTGAGTTTTTCTACTTTTCCTTCTTTCTTTTTGCATCATTCTTCTCCCTCTTTTGTTTTGTGTTTGCAGAAGGCACAGCGGTCAGAGGTGTTTCTTCACCGCAAATATGCAGTCGACAAGCAGCTCGGAAATGTTGCTCATAAATATCTAACACACACCGACTTATGCTTCGAGTGTGACACCTCGGGACCACTTGCCCTTCCTCAACAACAACACGAACAGACGTCAAAATAGAGTCTTCTTTGTTGTGTCACGGAGTCGATGGTTTCACCTCGGACCGTGCCAACCTAGGGGAACTCTGCAATACTTGCGAACCATGGTATTGGGACACTTGAAGACTGCCTCTGTTGCGAACGCTCTTGTGTTACGATCGATTGACTCGTAAGCATTGCCAATGCTGTTGTGTTACTTTCCTGTTTTGTTTTGTCTTTTGTTTTTGCTTCGTTTATCGTCATTGTTTGTGCTACCGATGGAAGAAGGGGAGAGCTGACGAACATGTGCTTTCTTGCAGGAAACAACTACGCCATTATGAATGAGAGTTCTACACACCCGGCCAAAATCTTCTTTGCGCAAGGATGTGAGATTTCTAGTCAATTTGAGGATTTGGGACGGGAGTCGCAGTCTTGATCTCGCGGAAGTTTTGACGTCTTTGATTGAGAGCTTTGGATGGGTCTTGCCTTTTTCTGATGGGATAGGTGTTGACCTGCCTTCTTTTTTTCGTATCATGACTTGTTTCTGGGCTTGGGATGGAGTTTTTGGTTCGGAGGGTTCTTAACATGCAACCTTTCTCGCAAGGAAGGTACTGGGACGGTTTACTTGTTTCTCTTTCTTGTTGATATCCGTTTTGACTTCACTTCTTTAACGAAACACCGCCCGTCATGAGATTATTTTCTTTACCTTCTCTTCGTTACTGCAAACTATGAACTTACTTTCTCGTGCGTGTGCAAAGTGAGACAGTCGTTTTTCGGTGCGTGGTTGTATGTCCCTTGTAGTCAAACATTGGTCTTGTCATTTCTTAGTATACTGCTTACTGCATCTAGATGCCTTTGTACCACCTATGGTCAACCAGAATAGAATCCACCTGACCAACTCATCTTGACTGTGTATACCTCTGTCTACTTTGTTGAGTGGGTTGAATGGAGACTCGTGATCCTGATTGCGGCAAGGGATATATTAAGGCACTCGCGAGTTGCAGAGAAGCGATGTTTGGAGTTGAGAGGTTGGGCTGGTGATGGAGGTTGTGACTGCTTTTCATGACATTTCTCCGAGATTCATTTTCTCTCTCTCTAGGCTGACTATGAAGGATGATTTGGTTCGTGTACCTGTCTGGGATGATGGGTATAGTCTGGAAGTGTCGATGCATCGTTCATGTTGTTACTAAAGAATTTTGAGAGGCCAGGCTGGTGATGAAGTGCACTGTTCGTCTTCTTGAAAGGTTGGGTAGCTAGCTAGGTTTGCTTTGCGACGCGGCGGCAGATGAGTGTGCTAGGTGTTGGCATGCACAAACAAAACGATCGGAGGGATTCTAGAGTGTTGTTCCATGTACAGTATTTCACAACGTCTGGACGTGGCAGTGAATAGAGAAACGAGCAGCCATTGCTCTGTCATTCATCTGGGTGGTCTATGGGCGCAGGATAAACAGACAATAATCATTCGAATCCTGAGTGTTGGGATGAGAGGAAGAGGAAGAAATAGAGAACGACATGACTATCAGGAACGAGACAGTGTCCATCGAGAGCCGACATCTTCTCAGCTCTCAGTTCGTCCCTGCTTCCGGAAGACAATCGTGCCTTTCTCGGAAGTACTGTTGCCCTCTGCTGGGAAGGACACTTACTCTCGATCTATCCAAATGCCCTATAAGCCTAGTCCTCCTTACCTAGCCAGATGTGCCTCGAGGCGAGAAAGCAAGACCCATCGACCCATTCCAACGTCTTCAATGACCACATGCCGCTCGCGTCCTTCCCGAACCCCAAGCTCTCTCCGCGGCCCCATTACTTACCTACAAAGACGTCCGTTCCTTACCTTTCCCGTTCTCCTGCTTCTCGACAAGGATTCGGATATGTTAATGACTCTTCTGAAAGCCCTATCAAGTCGCTGACTCGAGATTGAAGGTTCTTATGATGTTGATGTAGGGCTGGGTTCTGAGGCAGTGTTAACCGCTTTACCGAGGCAAGCAACGAAAGTAATGTGTTATGCGCTTTTCAAAAAGGCTGGCATATCTCGGGATATGGCCGAGACAGCAGTTAAAGATGGGTAGATAGACTGCCGTGTTCTTGATTCATTCGAAAGGCTTGGTGTTGGTGTTTTGAGCAGGTCTGAGTGTTTGGTAAGAATAGTTGGTTCTCTTGGACCGTCGGATGCAATTGTTGGCTGTCGAGGGTCCAGACACTTGAGAGAGAAGTGTTTCAATCTATTTCATCGAAATGCTGGCCTTGTCTGGCAATGGAGAAATCCCAGTCGATAGCGGACAGACGGTCAAGAGTGCTTGATGATAGACATGATGGTTTGTGTCACGTCAAAAAGAAGTCACAGCATCTGCCTGGAGGTTTGAGAGTGCGACATGATGCTTTGTCTGTTTCTTTGTTCCAAGATATCAGGTTTGTCTGTTCTTACGTTGCGCTGAAACGAACCGGCATGTCAGAGGTATAGGCGAGCTGGGTATGTCAGGGTGACCTGACAGGTACGATTCAGTAGCTGAGAATGAGACAGAAGAGTGACATACCCAGGCCCATGGTCCGACCCCATTCGAAACCACGGTGCCACGTCCATCAAGGTCCTTTGACCTCCCATGCATGGACCTCTTCATTTATGGCAGTTCCCAAGGATAGTGACTGCCGAAGTCGTGCTTGCCGTGCTGAGACACCATTTGATCTTCTCTCCGGATTTGCTTTCCCTTCACGATGGCGAAATTGGCAATCTCCATATTCAATAGCCTTTCTCCACACGATTCGTGCTTCGTAAAAGTGTGGACTGTCTTACTTCGAGGAAACATACCAATAGGCACGATTTCGGAGCAAGAGTGAGAGATGGGAGAGACATCGATCTTCTGACTCGACAAGGAGGTATGAAGAGGTCGTGCCTTTCTTGGCTGTTTCCATTGCACGTATTGACTTGCCTACTTAGAAGTGTTGCATATCTCGAAACCTTGGGTCGCTCGTAGCAGCCACTGAGCCGGATCGTACAGCCAGATCGTATCGCAAACCTTCCAGACTCCGCCAACTCTATCTGCGGATAAAGGGATAGACCGTGAAGAGGCCGTTCCCTTGCTTCTGATTGGCAGAAGCATTTGAGTAGCTTTGCAAGATAGAGAGTTGATGGTTGGGTGGTGGCATGCTTTGCGCCTTTGGGCCAGGTGCGGGTTGATCAGTCTGATAATTTAGGGTTCTCGAGTCAGGTGTTTTTACTGCGATGTGCAAGCCTGACATCGACTTTCGATGTCAGTCTCTCGTCCCGTTCCCTTCAGCCAAACCCATGATACTTTTATCCACTGTCAAACGTTAGTTCGGTACACCTTTAAATGTCCGCGGCGAACATGCTTCTCGTCGTCCAAAAGTGTACCTTTGGAGTCATACTCTTTCCGCTACTTACCGCGGCAGGCAATGATAGACGACGACAGCCAGCATCACACAGGAGTGACAGAATGAGTACAAAAAGCCTATCTCCTCATCCTACCCCAAGAAGCAAAAAAGTGGACAAAGTGGGATCGTTCTCAACTCTTGCTTCGTTCTCGCGAAATACGCTTTCCGCATGACCTTGTGAGACGCAAGCAACTCGAACAAGAAAGCAGCAACAAGCTTGACGAGTCAAGGCCGTCAAGACTCAAACTCTAGAGCTGGGCTATTATGCAGATCGACGGTCTCTCTCCGGAGCATGATCACCGGACCAGACCTGTTCCGCAGATGGAAGTGGGGGACGAGCGATCCTTCCGTCTCCGCATGATGAGGCTCAGCTCTGATGATGACTTCGCTTGGAGGAGCGACAAAGCGCTGGATTTGATTGGCTGTGGGACCGAGCTGCAAGCGGCGGGAACGAGCGGTTCACGAGGGCAAACCATTCTAGGGTACAAGGCCGACCTTAAACCCAAATGCGACCGCACGTCCGAGACTGTTAAGTTACATGCATCATGTAGCCCCAACTGCTAGATAATATAGGATGATCGTTTCGTGTATGGGATAACGGCTGGAAAGAGACAGCGACGATGAGCCTTGAAGGGATGGTGATTAGGTTAAGCTTCTGACAGACATCACGATGTTGTAGTAAGATCTCGAGGCTTTGGGAACAGGAACAACATTTCATTGGCACCAAGACAAAGTTTCGCTCACAGTCCGCTCTACCGTGTAAGAGAAGATTATAAAGCACTGCACGTTGTGTTTTACGACGTGATGAAAACGTAGGCCTGCAGTGACAGTCGAACGGTCGTTACAGCTCTGTCGCGTGAACGATGGAAACCCTATCGATCATGCTTGGCTCTCTGATCGTTCGCATAAATTGGAATGCGTGGTAAATATAAGCGACGCGCCGACGGCGATGCTCCTCGTATAATCAATTCGTAAGTGCTACTCCTCCGAGCGAATCCTGACAACCATCCTAAACCCCAGCCGTTCATGATGTCTTTGGTCCGAATCCAAGTCTCTGGCAGGAGGCGTATGTACGTACTGATGTACTTCCTCTCTCCTCAACGTATTTCCAGTTTCGACACTACAAACAAGGAGTATGGTACGATGCGGGCGAGCAATGGAAACTGCTCTCATTTGTCAATAGTTCTCGAAGGCCATACGAATACGCTTTTTGCTATAGATTTCACTGCATCCGGAGTGATGTATATTTCGTCTTTCGGAAGGCGCACGCCATCCTAACCTCATTATGCAGAGATGAAGCTCGCTGCGACGCTGATTTTTGCGACTTGTCTATCAGGAATAGTATGTGGGATACATTCATTCGAGTCAAAACAGCGCTTTCTGGAAGTATGTCTAGCCAAGTCCAGATAATGCGCAGGCCAAGGAAGATACACCAAAACATGTGTTATGCCCCAGGAGTTTGCGGCTCAGTATGCTTTCGGACATCGTCCGACTCGACCGAAGTCGACCGCTCCGAACGCTAGTTACTGTTTTAGTCCACGCAGAGTCGAATTTGCGTTAGTAAAATGGGTGGCCAGCACAATTGCACCGGTACAACACACGTAATCGACTGTTTATGTCTGCAAGACTTGTCTGTGGAAATAGGTGGCTCCTTCGAAGGATCATATCGTCCACTGTTCGCAAAGCCACACTTGTAGACTGCGGACCTCGCTCCGATAGGAACGTCTCGCAGACTGGCCATGCAGTAAGAAAGCCTGCGTGACGAACGATGCGGTCAACCAGATTACAGTTTTTTTGGACGTGTATTCAAGCATGTCAAAGATTAGACTGGGAATTGACACAGCCTGCGGACATTGCATGAGAATTAGCAGTATTACGCAACAGGAAAGCAATGTCGGCGAAGAACTCCCGATCCGTGCCTACGCGGTATCTCGAGATTAGAGCTGACGACTTGGTTTAAGCATGAGCGTATCGTTGACGCATTATGACTGTCAAAGTACGAGAGTGTACGACTGAAAGCCTGAGATGCATCAACAGAGCAACGTATCTGACGATTTGTCTCTTCATGGCTGATGAGCATTGTCCAAATCCCGAATCCCAAAGATTCGCGGAGAGCTACCCTGAAGATCATTCCGTTCACGTATGCGACGGTCTCGAACCACGCCTCCAACGAGCAGGTACCGACTTGGCATTCTTGCCAGACCGAACTCACCCGCTTGAAATCGAACTCCATGCTGTTTGAAAACCAACCCTCTTGATAATCTGCTCGAATGCTCTCGGGTGGCTGGAAGTATGAAAAAATGTGACTGCAAGTCTGCGCCGTCTGTAGGTTTGCCTTTTGCTCTTGGATTAAGGTTGAGCTGAGTGGCTTCCACGAGGGATCGTAGGGCTAGGAGCATGAGGTTTGTGCTCACTTGCTGATAAAGCCGGAAGTGACACGGCCCTCCTATTGTTGCAACAACCATTTGTAGAGTATTTGAGTTTCCAGCGGCCTCAGTCACCAACACACGTAATGAAATCTGCCACAAGATGGATAGAAGGCTTGTGTCGATACCAAGCCTGTAGGGCAGTGTAAAAGCTTGACGAGAAAATCAAGAAACCTAAACATACCTGGATTCGAGAAGTCGTGTCAGAAACAACATTGTCAAGTTTGACTCGCAAAAGTCTGAACTGTTGCAGCGTGTATGGCGACATCGCCTGACAAAACACTGGATGGGAACCGCAAGTCAATCAAAGGCCGTGGGCCTTGGCAGAAACCTACACCGGGACATGTTGCGAGTCAACGCTGCGAGATTGCAAAGAACGAGTTTGGCAAACTGGGTCTGCCCCTTTGTCCCAGCAGTGGGACATTGACCGGCTGCAGACGGGTAGGGCTCTCGCGTCTGAAGCTTCGCTTTCGCAAATGTATTCCCATTCGCATGATTTGCACCTTCTAAAAGCAGGATCCGCTAAATTGTCTGGTGACTTTGTAGGATCTGAGCGTTGCTTAGAGGTTGTGTGCATCACAAAAGGTCAATGGTAGGTCGAGGACGGAACATGAGTCGTGAAATCCAGCTCAAGTTCCTTTCACCCAGGGGGAAGCGTCGATCCACGGCAATTGATGTTCAAGACAAAAACAAGAGTTGTTGCGAACATTGAATCCTTCGACATCCACGTGCTGATTGACATGGGGCGTAAACCTACTTTAGCCACATCCAGCTCTTGCCTTGACTCGCAACACAAAAGACAGAAATTTGGTGTACAAAAGCATCCAACCTTGACATGATGACAGCGGCATGGCAGCTTCCCTCCGAGGAAGACATCCCCTGTGATTTTAAACTAGCAGCGCCATCGCACTTGCGTTTCAGCCCATTGCCAATATTCGTGTCTTCCACACGAGTCTTCCTCGTGTGACTACGGCCGAGTCTGTACTGCATTTGGAACAAAACTCAATTTTTGAGAGACACAACTTCAGCTTACATGTCACCGTCTTGTGGACTCGATCAATGACTAGGGAGTCGAAACACTGGCGTCATCGAAAATTCACACCCCTCGTCTGTACTTGCATGACCAGACTTTGACTCGTACAATATCTCGTTTCCATCAGCGGCCCGAGATCTGCTAAAACGTCTTTCTCTACGAGATATCCAGATGTAGCTCGACATCGAACTAGTGCTGTGTAGATACTGGATTGTCTGCTGGTTGTAGCAGAGCAAAGTCTGTGGCTTGTACAGAACCTCCAATTCTGATCAGTGGCCTGCTTGTGACTTAGAACTCTTCGTCGCTTCCAAACTCATCGATGACATCGAAGTCGCCAACCTCTACTCTCTCAGGTCGTACTATGACACCGCAGTTGGCACCACATTGGAAGTAGCGAGTGCCCTTTACCGTGCCATCGTTCTTGCCGGTAGGTTCATCCAGTGCAATGCCAACCCAAGCACCAATACCAGGAATCTCGGAGACGGGACCAATGTACTTGACAGTACCGCGGCGCTCGAGTGAGCTTTCGCTCTGATCCGCGGCCAGCAAACGACAACGGGCGTCCAACTTGATACCTATGATGACCGTTAGTAAGATCTCATTGAAGCACAGCGGCCGATGGAAGTACCTCTCTCTTCAATCTCTCTTTCAATAGTGGCAATTTTCTGCTGCTCTATGCTTGGGGCGTTGGGGTCGAATCGGCCTAGCTGATGCGTCTTCTTCCAATGCAGTACACTGTCAGTTCGGCTCTCATATTCGTCCGGTGGCATTTCGTATTTTTCAACTGCCGATACATCTGTGTAGTTGGCACGTAGGCCTGCTGGACGAGTGTCTGCTACCTTAACAAATCATCAGTAAAGATCGACGTTATTGTCTTCGTTAATGGCCGGTGTTGGTGCAATTTGTCTCATGCGGACCCTACTCCGTCTCGTCCGTTGTAGCATCAGTCGAGACCACCTCGATGCGGAGTCCAGCAGTAGTGGTTAATGAATTTCATTGAACCAGTTCGGTGTCGTGCAAGAACGGACGAGATCTCAAGGGTTCAAGGAGATGCTGAATCGGAGGTCCGAGAATGGGAGCGACGGAGGCCCACCGGACCATGCGTACGCCCAAACGCTCGGAGTGGAAGACGCCATGTCATGTGCCTGCTACGGCAATTCCTACTCGGCAGATGTGGTAAAACAATGAAAAAAGATTACTTACATGAAGTTCTGCGTAGCTCTGCAGAGTGAATGCACCAAGCTGTGTGTTCTCTTCATCGACTGTCTGCAGGTTTTGATCGGGCCAGGATGCGACCCTCAAAGTCAATCTCTGTGAGGAAGCCGGAATACCTGTTATGGGTTCCAAGCGGGATTTCAATTGAGCTATGGTCCAAGCAGGTGAGATACGCCGTTCAGATCGGGCGTTATCCGAATTGATTAGTAGAGGGACATCCGCCGTTGCTGCCATCTTCTCAGGCCGAATTGGCGTGTTGGGTTTGGATCGATGTGAACAAGTTCCGTGTTCAGTGCTAACAACGAACAGTTGGAGCAGAGTTTGTTGATGGTCTTGCTGCGGAAGAGAGTGCCGGTAAGCGAGAGCGAAAGTCAAGCGGTGGGGAAGTGAGTGCGCACTATCTAATTGACGTTGGGATAATCGAGTTGATTTCACTCCACGGAGTCTGGACTACTGACGATGAATCGGACTGCGCAGCGTAACGCTTCGAAGCAGCGAGCTCTTTTCACAGCTTTGGCCGCGTTGGCGCAGTCCAGCCTTGGCAGCTTCGAGACAGCACTAACTTCTGTCACGTCCGTTCAAGCGGACCTCGTGGCAGAAGAAGCGCGAGCATGAAGCCAACATGATCCAAAGCCCCTTGATTCTTCTGACGGTCCTTTTACCTCAAAAAGGCCTAGTCGGAACAGTCCAAGTTACTGGGACACAGCTTGCTATCATGTGTTTGAACATGGCCTTATCTTTGGCTGTTCGCCGAGGCAGGATTTCGTCGCAAGTCCGCCGCCGTCTCAGCTGATGATCCTGCTCTTGTCCAGCAAAAGCATCAGCATGAGCTCCTCACGACTTCAGTCTGGCTGTGTTTGGTCACATTGACGAAGGCTTGACCACGAACCGAAACATCTCGGAAGTCTGTGCCAAGGCTTGTGCCCTGAACAGCGGCTCCGTGCTTTCAATCCGTCCAGAAGTGCCAGTCATGACTTGCATCGAACATATGCAGTTCCATATTAGTTGGGGGTCTACAAGGCTGCAAGCGCTCACACCGCTACAAATCTTGCATATACACACAGCTCTATTCAACACGCTCGTCTGCCCCAGGTGCGCATTTTGCATGTTTTCCTTGCTCGTGACCTCGCGCCCGAAGTGCATGTCTATCACGGCACTGCCATCCATCCAAATTGTGTGATAGTTGTTGCGTCAGCAGGCGTGAGAATTCAATGGTGAAAATTCCAGTTTCTTTTCCTTCTCCAAAATCGTCTCCTACAGCTGCCATCGGCCGATACAAACGATGGCAAAAGTCTCCCAATGATACAAGCTCTTATGTCCGCGGCTCCGAGTGAGACCACAATGGGACATAGCTCGGCTACAATTGTCGCTGCTATGACACGCAAAATGACAAACCTCTGCAGATCATGGTTCGTCTCGAACCTCGACCCCTGTCTTTACTGTGGCTCCATGCGGCTCTCATCGCACCGCGCTCACCGCTCATGGGCAAGTGCATGATCCTGCAAATTGTGAGCAAGACAGCATTGAAGAGCATATTGATATTTTTGCAACTTCCAATGTTTCGATTGCTGGTAAGATGGAGCGGTCATAGACGAGACGTTGAGACAGCTGTACGGAATATCCACTGTAGAAACGTTTCGTCGCATCGCATGCACGATTCAGAAGAGCCTCAAGGGCCGCAGGAAGGGAAAAGCAAATCACCACTCGCCTCGGCGCATGAGCTAGAATGTATCCTTGGCCAGCCGTCCGCAAGTGGCTGCAGCGCTAAGCCCTGGATCCCAATCTTACACTCGAGTGCATGCTGTGGCGCAACTGTCCAGTCACGACTCGCGCGCCCAATAGTTGCCAAGGTAGCGCCAGTCCGTACTCTCATAGCCAAAGGGATCCGCATGTTCGCAACAACCACTCCCGTTGATGTTCTTTCCTTGCCTTAGTGCACCGGTTCCCACCACTGGTTGACAGTTGTTTCATCCCTTGCTCTGGAAGTCTGGTGGTCCTCGACTCGCATGTACATCTTACAGCCGGGGCCATTGGTCACATCGTCATATAAACTTGTCATGCTGCGCATCTGTCGGGGTACCTCCATGTCTGGCGTCGAATTCTGCGCACGAAGCAAAACTCTATCCTCGTCTGTTCTTTTCTAATCACACTAAAAAATACCTACTCGAAACTCCCCCACTCAAGGCGATGGACGGCTTCTGATGTCAGCCGAGTCACGGCCATAACTCTATCAGAGCACTTCAGACGATCTCGTGGAGTCATTTCCAGACCCTCCCGTCTCTCGCTCCTGATAAACTCCTCCGTGCCCCGACCTCTTGTTGTCTTGCACCACAAACGCTCCTGCCTGCCGATCAAAACCGAGCTCAGGACCGATCTGCCGGACACGCGACTCGCAAGATTTGGTAGCACTGAACTCGTTTCTCGGAACCGTTCCTTAGTACCACCTCTGGCTACCTAGATTATTTAACAGGGTCGCACAACTCACCGCAAGCATTCACTCCGGTTCCTTCATATAAACGTCCCATCCTCCCTCGCACAAGACCACACCCCATCCTCCCCACTTTCATCCACCATCCGCCATTCGCCATCCTTATATCACTACATCATCATAACAACACATCACCACCCCGGATACCCTTCCACTCCATCCTCTATGCTGGCCCTGAAGCCTTCAAGTGCTTTCAAGATGGATATTTCTTCCCTGCTAGAGGGTTCTAGGGACCCTCCTGCACCTTCTCCAGGCTCTGTCTCAAATTACCCCACCAACAACTCTCTGCCTAGAATTGATATGGACTCGAGCTACTCTCGTAACACACAACAACCTAGCCTAATGCCTCTCCAACCAAGCATCCAACAATCATTGCCTACTCGCTACCAACCGCCTACCTTCTCATCACAAAGCTTCAACCCTCAACTACCGCCTTTCCACCAACAACAAACCTTTGGCCAGCTACCTCCCATCACAACCCAGGACCAAAGACTACCTCCTCCGCCAGTCAATGGCTACACAGCTAACGGTCCTGTCAACAAGCGATTGGCACCCTCTGGCCCCCACCCATCCGAATCACCAGCCAAGAAGAAGCAATCTAAGTGGAGCCCCGAGGAGGATGCCGCTATCATTGAGCTTCGTGGCAACGGCATGAAGTGGGAAGATATTTCCAAGCACTTGCCCGGACGTAGCGCCATCAGCTGCAGGCTTCGCTTCCAGAACTACCTTGAGCGTCGCTCAGAGTGGGATGACGAGAAGAAGAACAAGCTTGCTCGTCTCTACGAAAGGTGTGTACCTAATGCTTATATGCCCAAAGTAACATGACATACTAACATATATTTGAAGATTCAAGAAGGACATGTGGGAGAAGATTGCCAAAGAGATGGCTCTGCCATGGCGAGCTGCCGAAGCAATGCACTGGCAAATTGGCGAGGTCGAGATGGCCAGCCGTGCCAATGTCCCTGTCTTCCATCTTGCTGGTTCTGCTTCGCAATCTCATTCCCAAGCACAAACAAATGCATCTAGAGCACAGCACTACTACTCAGCATCGAGTTCGACCTCGGCTTCAGCTGGTCCTGGCGAGCCTCGCAGCAATAGCACTTCACCTACGACATCGGCCCATGGCCACTACCCGCCGCCTTACACCTTCGCCCAGCAAACTCACAACCACACTCTACCGCAGATGGTCCAAACACAACCACTCTCACCCGGAAGCTCGAGATCACGCAGGAACAGTGCAAACTCACTCAACGGTGCAGACGTCAGGACCCGTGCAGACAGTGCACGCGACTCTGTTATCCCTCAACCACGAACAACACTTGAACCACATCGACAGCATATTCACAAGCGCTACGTTAGTCCCTTTGCCGACAAGGTCTCAGACAGCGAGACCAATTGAGAGAACAGCCTATGGCTCCTCAATTTCTTCACTGGAGAAAACAGCATCCTGTATATCCTAGCATCATTTTTAATCGCACAGATGGGCATAGAAACATCGCTCAATACACATGACAGGCGCTTTTGTTTTTTTTGTTTTCCCTACATTGTTAAAGCATCAAGGTTTTAGGCATGGGCATTTTTCGATTTGCATTGCATGGACTGTATGGAATGGGTTGGGTGTTGTCGAACAGATATCCAGAAATGAATTCACTCAGTGTTCAATTGTTAATCTTTAAGAAAGATTTGCATTCATCTCGCTTTTCATACGGTGACTTTTGCATGATAGGCTGAGGTTGATCAATCGTACAGAGACGCTACTGCATGGAGGAGGGCTGCCACCTCGACTCTTTTGTCCATTTGCCCCACACTATCTACAATGCTCGATGTACACACAAACAAGACTAGCCAAATGCAGCGTGCATTCAGCACGATCGCAGTACTTGATAACCTAGTGGTTGTCTGCGATATCTATGTCACTTCGCGCGACTCATCTGCCTGGTTGGGCGCGTGATGGTCGAGGCCGTCGACCCGTCTTGGCGTCATGACGAGACTTTCAACCTTTTCTCGTCGTCGCCGACTGACGACACAAACACTTCAAGCTGCTCTCATCACACGTCTGATATCGCGTAGTCGCATATCGGATCCCTGCGAAGCATGCCTACGCTCTCTGTTGTCAACTTCAACATTGTCTGCGCCACACTTGGAGGCTTCATCACGCTCTTTGGCCTTGTATCGTACCTTCTCAAGGAGAAGTATTATCTGTCAGAGGCTCGTAAGTCTTGTATACTATCTCTCCTGCCGACACAAACATTGAGTTCCCTACAGTAATTTCCCTGATCGGAGGTCTTATCTTCTCGCCTCACGCGGCCAATCTGATACGCCCCCTTGATTATGCTCAAGGAAATGCCGAGGACCTCGAGACGATAACCCTCTATTTCACCAGGCTTGTCTTGGGTGTTCAGTTGGTTCTGGCTGGCGTTCAGCTACCTAGCAAATATCTCAAGCAAGAATGGAAGCCTCTGTCGTTGCTTTTAGTATGTTGTTGCAGTTTCTCGCCAGGTGACAGACTATGCGCTAAGTAAACAATAGGGCCCAGGCATGTGTGTCATGTGGCTAGTGACCAGCCTGCTTGTTTGGGCCTTGGTACCTAATATCGACTTTCTGTTCGCACTTGCCATCGGAGCTTGCGTTACGCCTACCGATCCTGTGCTGAGTAACAGTATCGTCAAAGGCAAGTTCGCTGACCAGAACATCCCCAGAGAACTTCAAAGAATCATCATTGCCGAGTCTGGAGCAAACGATGGTCTTGGCTATCCTTTCTTGTTTTTGCCTTTGTATCTGATCAAATATGTTGGTCATCCTGAATATGCAGCCCACGACGGTGCTCGCAAAGCAATCGGCTTGTGGTTTGGTGAGACGTGGGGCTATACAATCCTTCTTAGTGTCGTCTACGGAGCTGTTGTTGGCTGGCTTGCAAAGGAACTGCTCCACTGGGCAGAAGAGAGGAAGTATGTGGATAGGGAAAGCTTTTTGGTTTTCGCCATTACACTTGCTGTAAGTATATACCACTATATCTTCCTGCTCATTACTGACTTCCACAGCTCTTCATTGTCGGTACCGTTGGTATGATCGGATCCGATGATGTTCTCGCTTGCTTCATCGCTGGGAATGTCTTCACCTGGGAGTAAGTCTTGACGTGAAGGTGAATGACGCCTGAAACTTACATACTACAGCGACTGGTTCCGCTTGGAAACGCTTGATGACTCCCTGCAGCCGACCATTGATATGCTGCTCAACGTCTCAATCTTCATATGGTTTGGTGCAATCACACCCTGGTACGAATTCGCGCACAACAATGTGATTCCCATCTACCGACTCATCCCACTGGGTATCTTGGTTTTGCTTCTGCGCCGACTTCCGATCGTCTTTGCTATGCATAAGAAGATTCATCAAATCGAGGAACCACGTCAGGCTCTTGTTGTCGGCTTTTTTGGCCCTATCGGTGTTAGTGCAGTGTTCTACCTGTACATCAGCCGCGAGTTCCTCCGTGGTATCCAGAGAGATGGCGTGGTCAGAGATGATGCAGAACGGTTGTCTGAGATCATGCTCGTCGTGATTTGGTTTTTGGCAATCTGCAGCATTGTAAGTAATAGGAAAGTGGATTGTTATTTGAGTTTCGTGAAACTGACAGTTCTAGATCGTACACGGCATCAGTATCCCCCTGGGCAAACTTGGATTCTATCTACCAAGGACCATTTCGGCTGCGGTCTCGACAGAACGTCTCTCTCGCAGATCATCTGAGGAGCCCCAACCTATTGAAGGAGCCATGTCTGATTCGACTCTGGCTAGTCGCTTCCGTCGCTATCGGGCAGAAACTGAGGGCAGCAGTACGTCTCTGCCCCGTTCGTTCTATCGCGTAGGAAGAAGCATAGTGTCAGACTTGCATAGAGGCCACCAAGAAACCACTGGAACGAAGAACGTCTCCGGTGCGACGTCCGACCTTGCCAGTAGAAACATTTCCGAGCCCTCTAACCCTCGCCCACTGGGCAGGAATCTCATCAAAGACACGAACCGCAATTCTCCACTTGGTGCCACGCCTACAGCAGGCCGCTCTTGCGCCGTCACACCCGCCGAATCACCTGCACCTCTGAATAGAACCATCCGATTTCCGGATGAGAACCCTAGTGTTGCCAACTCGTCGAGAGCCGAACTGGACAAGACGGTCTAGGCACTGCTGGCAATGAACGTATCGTCCTTCTTTTGCACTAACCTTTTGATACTAGGCTTTCTTTGTATATAGAATACAGCAAAGGGGCCCGCATCTAGCCGCTCTCTTATCGAAATCTCCTAAATACACCACTTATCGACTATAACTGCTTATTTATCAATTCAGCATGAGTCATGAAGCTCCGCGGTGACATGACTACTCCTTTTACCTGTACCTCGCAGGGGTCGATTGTCGAAGATCGAGTTGCGAGTAATGATAGCTCAAGACAGGTTCATGCAGTACTTTGCACTATCTAATAGTGCACTGGTTATTCTCGGACCTACGACCGACACGTTCGAGACCTTGCTCCTGCTTTGCTCTCCTTCATATCTCTCTTTCTTCCCCCGAACTCGACCGCAAATCGAATCGGTCTTTGCTGGAGTCGGTTCACGCTGGGTTTCAACGACCGTTCGGATTCGATTTGTGTGTATCGCAAATGTCACTGCTGAACGTGGGCTGGACATGTTCTGAATCCGGAATGTGAATATTGCTGCATTCCGTACGGATTCTGATTTGCTTGTTTTTTTTTTATATGTGGTTCTATATTTTCGCCCAAACGGCTGTATCTGTTCACTCATGGGTCTCCCTTCCCGCGCTCGCATGCCGCGACGGTTTTGTTTCGATCCCAAGGACCTGGAATATGGCGTTTTCATTCATTGCGCCTTCCTGCCCTGGAATAGTTCATGATCAGGGTACGGACCGACAAGGCATGGACTTTTGCTGTGTTGGTTTTCTCTCTTGTTGTCAACGCCTGTTTCTCGTTTTCTGTTGCTGTTGCATTTCAGGGTTTCTCTATTTGCGTTGCTTGATATTTGAGATCTAGGCTTCCTGCGGACCTGCGTCCGCCGTGGGGCATAACGATCTCTTCTCTCTTTTGCTTCTCTCACGACTTGGGTATGTTGGAGCTGAGAGGGCTCGAAACTAGGCAAGGTCTATGGCACTGTTCCTGTTGTTGTCGGTTTTCGACGGCAGAGCCGGGGGTTCGGTCGCGTAAGCCGCAGCCACCCTCATGTGATCTAGAGCGTTTTACTCGCCAGTTTGGCTGGTTGTTTGGTATCGTTCCCTGTCAAGTTTTAGGCTTGTTTCTTGAGACTCAGCCCAGCCTCGCTTATTTTGACCGAGCGATTCTTATTGTTAGGGCTGGTTTGGGGGGAACGGTTAGATCGGTTACATTATTGTGAGTTGGTTATACCCTTTTTTTCTAATCTGAAATTGTCATGTAGTGGAGATGTGATTTTTGAACGTCTAATCTAGTCTAGTTTAATCTATATCTAAAAGGGTCTTATGGTGAAAACAGGTGGGGTATCATGCGGTGCTCCAAAAGACAATCGTGAGAGAGATGCGGAGAGTCGCATGACCGGAAGGCAAGAAGAGTGCTGAGCAAATACATTATCGTCATCTGGACATCCGAAGGAAGTCCGAATATCAGAAAAAGAAGAGTGAGAGGAGTGGAGTAAATGCCATCATCATGAGCGTCCGCAACGAGAGACTCATTTCTGACGGCTGTTGCAGAAAGCCAAATGGAGAAAGAGGCGATTCCACGTGCTTCGTAAATCGTAGCATCCTGCTGTCTCGATTTGCATGGTATGCAAACCGTTTTTCGATCCTCAGAAGGATTCGATGGATGTCGTTCAGAGGTGGTTGCAGAATCTCAGCCCCGGGCCGCGACTAGTGAATGTTTGCTAAGCGGCTAGACGTAAGAAGCACAAACTGCTGGTCAATCTCAGCGACGGACGTGTTGCAATAAGCTTATATTGCGATTGCAGATAGAGCTTCGGATCGAACGGCCAGTTCGTCGAATCGAGTTGTTGCATTCGATTTCGCAGGAAATCAACACCTTGAGGTCCAGAGGTGGGGAGTTTTGACGCGACGCGGTGAATCGGATATACGGGACGACTCCGCAACATGAAGACCGCGATAGCCGATTGAGCCGCAAGTGTCCATGGTCGCATGAAGAAGTGAGGGGATCTGCCATGCTTGAGCGAACGAGATGACCTGTGGTCTGATCGTATTGACATCTGTGTCTTGGTTTGTGCGACTTCTCAAGGCGTCTATTCGTTGCAATGATCAGTATTTATTCTTGTTGCTCTTGTTTTTGAAGCATCGGATTGATTTACCTTTGCGCCTGAATCCGGACGAAGCTCGCAAACACCTGGTTTGGGGAATAGCTCCCCTGTGAATGCTCCTCGAATGGTTCCCACGAAGCAGATGATCCAGACGAGGACGATGATTGCAGTAAGAACTTCTGCAACGACGCCGAAGAATGCAGAGTCCAGCTCGGCACTCAATGTTATTGTTGCTGACGCAACACCACCTAAAGGTCATCAAGTTAGCATGCCAGTTGTAAATGTGTATACGGACGCGGCTGAAACATACCAACTGGATACAAGAAAGCCCACCAGCCGATGTTGAAAGGAAATCTGAACTTCAAACGAAGGACAGATCCTACAGCGAAACACATCCATGGGATTGCCATGGCCCAGATGACAAGACCCATGATGAGGCCCATGACGTAGAGAATGGTGCCAGCCTCAGATGGCAATACAGTGAGTTTTGGGAAGATCATCTTTGCAGCTTTTCCGCATTGTAAAATTCTGGAAGGAGGTCAGCATCGACTTCGAACTGGCAATGGAAGGAGCACTCACCCGAAGCTTCCTTGTCCGAGTGGTCCCAAAGACAAGAAAACGCTAACAACGACTTCCTGCGATGGAAGCTTGAACAACAATAATCTGTAAAAGTAGATGCATAGTATCATCAGCCCGACAAAGAAGCCAATTGCCCAGCAGCAATAGCAGGTAAGCAATGTCCAAAGTGCCTCATGCGCTTGGAGGGCCTCCATTTGCGCGACTTGACCACCAGTTGATGCAGCAACAAGACAACTGACAGCAGGTAGCAAGCATGCGGCAGTCAATTTCTCAGGGGTCACTTCATGAACCGAGATCCTGGAAGCTCACGAGTCAGTCCAACAACACTCTTTGATCCGGAAGCCGAGAATAACAACATACATCAGAAATGCGACTGAGCAACAAATGGTTACCGCAAGAGCAGCATCGATCCACCAAAGGGCCCACGCCATTGTCGCCGCCCAGCGTCCCCATGCCGGAACGCAGACCAGCACGATCAGGTTAACGATGGTTCCAAGACCCATGGGGAAACATCCCAAGAACAGAGAATGCGTCGGGTGATTGATCATCGCTGGCCACAGCTCAGGCCACAGAGCATACCGCAAGATGGATATTAACAAGGCGCTAACGAATATCAGGACATTGAGTCCGAACACAATATAACAGGGATAGTTCGTCCAGCTGCTATTGTACGGCATTTGATGTATCAAAATTGCCACCACACCAGTTCCCATGGTTATCGAGAACATACTGGAGGTATTGAGTCAGCCATCTCCTACAATCGTCGGATATCGCGGACAAGACTCATAACGTACGAAGGAGTAAAACCACGAACAATCCGTCTCCAACCATGATCATCTTGCCTGGGAAGATCAATTTCGGTCTTATCTGACAACCCTTTCTCAAGATCTCCAAGCTGGACATCTGGATCTGGGTTCTCCGACGGATTGACCGGGGTCAGCACCCCAGACGGTGGCTGCGTGACAGCGAGAGTGATTTCGCTCAGGCTGTTTGGCATGCCTAATCGAAACTTGCAGGAGGCGAAGCGGCCAGCGCGTCCGAATGGGTTCTCTATCGGCCAGAATGGTATGCGCATCCACGCTGCCGCAGGTCGGAAGAGGGAGGCAAACAATCACGCCTCAGGCTTTCCTGTCTCCAACAAAACAATCGTCAAAGAACAAGCCAAAAGCAGAGCTGTACGGTGCGCAGAGTCGAGTATACTGGATGTATGCGTCTATACCACAGGCAGGCGCTCTATGATTCAAGATTTTTCGTGCCATCTCCTTGTCTGTCATGATCCGGGTCTGGCTCGGGTTTCTCTCGTCGATTCTGCTGGTATCCATTGCCAAATTCTACCAAACGGCGCCTCCCATTGCGTGGCTGAGATACGCCTTGCTCCGAGATAGCACCGTCTATCTCTACTGCCATGTGTCTGGGGTACGTTCTGTCTTTTTGCATTGTCCCTTCATCTTTTACATCTATGGCTACATCATATCCATCTCTAGGTTCTCTTTCCCTTCGCATTGAATTCTCTTTGCTTTGGTTGAAGTATGCAGCAATGCTGACAGATGGTGAAATTGATCTCGCTTCCCTCACCGCATCGGGCCGGTTCGGAGCCAGCTTGGGCGTGCTTTATCTCGACTTCGTCATTTGTTCTCCGAAAGCTTTCAAGTCCGCAACGGTTTTCTGACAACACAGATCCAGATTCCAAAGGGTCTTGCGATTCGCGAGCTGAACACCTGTTCATCGGGAGACCCTTTCTTAGGACAAGTTGACATGCTTGGTGGTTGTGATTTTATTCTGCATCGCAAGCTCGACTGTCCGTTATTGCTCAGTAAATTTGGAATTTTGCAGTGGGTCGCAACGATAAACAATCGCTTGTCTTTTGTCTTTGCGCCAAGGTAAACGCCCGAGAGTAAGCGGACAAACACCTAAATAGCAGTCCGAAATATATCCGCCTGTGCATGTAGGTATGTCCAAGGAGATAGACATTTCAGTTCAGTAGTGACGTCTCAAATCATCTAGTATGGTATGGTGTGTAGAGACATTTCCGAGTTTACAGTACTTTCACTGTATAACAAAACCTAAGATTTTATGGATTTGCGAAATTCGGATTGATGTGTAATGTTTAATCCCTGCCTTGTACGGAAGCCAACGTGGTTTTGGAGATATCATATTGAACATCGGTTGGAATAGCTCTAACCACTTACACGACACCAATTCGGGCAGACATCTGCTCTCGTTGCCAGGAGCGAATGCTTCTTCGACTCTGCGATGCATATACTTACTCAACTGAAGGATGACAACCCGTGATTAATATGATGTCGTAGAGACAGGGTGATACGGCCAACCGTTTGTCTTGGGCATCCAGCTCTCACTCTTCCTATGATCAATTTGATGAACAGACGCGTGCAAAAGACTGGAAGAAATGCACGATAAGCGGATGAAAATCGATACCACGGTGTTCTGTCTGTAAGGAAAAGAAAAAGTGGTATTGAGTGGTAGTAATTCACGAAAACACACAAGAAAGCATGTAGAAAATTCCGCCCAAAACGCCATTCCACTATAGAAATAACGCCGTGACCCTAGAATTGGCCATTATTCTTCCTCATTCGATTAAAGTCTGAAGCAATCAGAAAAAAAACATATGCAGAAGCTCAGGAGAGCAAAGACGTGGCTCTTGGGATAGAAGTAAGAAAAGACGCTGCAAAGAACACATTCAGGTAGAGTGTGGTGCTCTGACATAGTAGTTGAATTAGGTCGTAGAAGACGTGACGAGCACTGAGAGCACTCGGCTACCATGGCAAAGCATCCGGGGGACAGCCAGCTGGGGCCGAAGTTTCGGAAGTGGTGTTCTCAGGGATATCCACAGGATGAGTATACACGACATCGAGGCCAGCAGGTGGACTATCACTGCTACGCTTCTCGTTCTCGCTGCTCGTGACCTGGGATGATTGTGATGGTGTATTCTCGACAAGTTGAGCCTGGTCATTGACTGGTATTTGCCAAGCTGCAACTCCCGATATAGCGTTTGATGCATACTAAGCCTCGTCGTCTCGGTTGCCAGCAGCGTTGGCGCGGTCTTCATCCGAAGGTTCAAGTCCAGAACGTTGAGCACATCTTTTCCATGCGTCTAGGTCCTTGTAGACTTGACTTAACTCGGCCTTCAGTCTATCGCAGGATGCGCTGAGTTCAGCAATGGCTTGCTCGGTCAAAAGCTTCTCCAGTGTCCACTTCTCGATATTCTGAGATTCGTTCTCCTTGAGCTGGGTGATGAACTGAACTGCACGCTGAAGAATGCTGCCCTTGTTCTTCTCGCAGCCAGGTACGATCTTGGCAAGCTCATTGATACCCTCGTTGATCGTTTCACGGCGACGACGTTCGACTGCATAAATGTTCAGCAAGTGGTCGAAGCGAAAAACGAGGTTGGCGCTCGTAAGAATAACTTACCTTCTTTGTGATTGTCGCGACGCACCTTGTGCCATTCGTCAGTACCTACAGCAGGTTTATTGCCAGAAGGCGTTGCTGATGGCGAGCCTTCGTTGTTGCCCATGACCGAAGTTTGAGGAGGAGCTTGTTGCTGTTGCTGTTGAGGTTGTGCGTTCTCTTTCAGCTGCTCGAGACCAGCGAATTCACCATATGCCTCAGGATTTGGTTGACCAGCACCGGCCTCGAGGGAGAAGGTAGCACTGGACTCGCGGTGACCATCATTGTGAGCGAGGAAGGACTCGTCATGGTTCTGTGGTACGCCCATGGAGTAATGTAAAGCGGCATTCGCAGTCTCGCTAGCGCTCTGGCCGTTGGCAGAGCCTTGATTGTGGACGTTATGGTCGTGTAAAGAGTGGTCATGAACCCCGTGGTCGCCAGCATTGTGTTGAACCAAAGCATCGGCGAAATGCGGCGGCATGTCGTTCTCGTGGTTGTGAAGGAAGGGTGTTTCGTACTCAACCTGGCCGTTCGGTGAGCCTCTAAACTCCTTGAAGTCATTCGGCGCAGGAGCATGACCAACATCATGGTCGAGTGAGTCGCGCTTGCGCTTATGTGCTAGAGACGCCATGGCTGGCGCGTGCGTTTGTGTTGTATTTTACTACGATTGGACGCGTTATAGCGTTCAGCAGGTGTGCTGCTTGGCTTTCGTGTGTGTGTATTGGGACGAGTTTGCGAAGATCACGTTCGAGTAACGAAAGGAGGGGAACACTAGTTCTCAGGCTTGGTCAGTCATAGGAATATCACAAGATGGTGACGGATGGTCATGGGCAGCTGGCAAGCTGTCGCAATTCGCTACATGCGCCGCTTTGAGCAACGCGTATCCTGACGAATGATATCTCTTCAGACATGGCAAGACTGAGTGGGAACGTGGTCGAAGTGGCGCTGCGACGCATGATCGTCGCTCAACTCTTGAGCGCCGCCGCGGTATGGCAGGCTGGCGGTCAAGGTCGAAGTCGCGACGCGTGCGCAGGCAAGACGTCGCGCGGGTGCAGCGACGACGAGATGGCGAGACCAGTCAAAAGCCATGCCATGTTGGTTGCGAAGAGCGAGAATGCCGCTTGCAAAGACCAAAGTGGATGTACTCACCAAGTTCGAGAGTCGACGTCGTTTCGAGGTAACGTGACAAGTCACGAGTTCGCAAGCCGGGCGCTTTAATCTGGTAGCAACAACGCGACAAGACCGGCAACTTTGATATCAAGAAATGGACGTCGAGAAGTAAATCCTCTAGCTTCGCGCGGCGCAATAAAGCTTGGGCAAACTGTGATATTAAATCGTCGAGATAATCAACGACCAGAGGAGGGAGTATTCGAGGTCACGTTGGAAGATCACATGGGATGGGGGAAGGAGGAAGCTGGTCCAAGACCAAGGGACCCTCCCCCAACTTTGGAGTCGGCAGACGCCAAAAACTTCCGAGAACTCGACAATCCATCCTCCAACAAGTCAATCCTTCGACCTTTTCATTACCTGCGTGGCACCAACTTCCCCTGTTCTGCCTGGTTTCATATCTACCCAAATTCCATCCTTCAGTCAACTTTTCAGATGTCCAGAATGATCAAGTCGATGTGTGCAAGCACCTGCAACAATGTCTTATCTAACATGCTGATGCCACACGCGCACCTCTGCTGCACTTCATTGGTCGCATCTATAACAGGCTAACGCGGTTGAAATGCTCTACTCTTCCGACTTCTTTTCATGCATCCGCCCTGACTATCTGCGACGCCCAGTCCAGCATACTGGGTCATGTGCACTCGCTATACTGACTTCTTCTATTTCTTTGTTCGAGATTGCTAAAAGGTAGGGTGGTGTCACATTTGCTCGTCCTGTATTTTCGACTTCTGAAGCCATGACCTCGACTCTCCGCATCTTCGTGCCATGCACGATTCGAATCCCCATCGCAAAGGTCTCGACCGTCTGCATGCAGACCTCTCATGATCAGAACATGAGGGGACGTGATCTGCAACACCTCGTGCAAGAAGCTGCAGACAGCAACCTATAAGCTGGGCAAAGCCAGAATTGGTCTACCACGATTCTGTGCCGCCTTGTCTTTTTCATCAAACATCTCAAGCGTACAACACGAAAAACAAAAACCAAATTTCGTGTGTCACTGTCGTTCAAGCACCTGTTTTGTCTGTATAAATTGATCGTAGGCCTTGGTGGTCGTCCAAGGTCAGTTGATCAAGTTGATGATGATGTTTCTCTCTATGAGCGACGAATCTCGACGGAAGACAACGAACACTGATCCTGCATTTCCAGAGTCGAGATAGAAGCAGGCTTCGAGCAGTATGGGAGGAATCCAGAGGTCGGATGGGTGCTGCAAGTCATCACATCGGCGTGTAACGGTCTGGCGCTTCACACGTGAGATGCTTATGGCAAAGACAGTTATTGAGATGAAATCTTTCCAAGACCATTTCTAGAAACAGCCAGCGGCAGTGCATGCTATGGATGAATGATCAAAGGATCGACGTGCTCGATCTTGCGTGTGCTGCATCAAGTTTACCTTGTCAGCAGGCAAGATTGAAGGACCAGCAAGGTGAACCGCAGCTGTCTCAAAATGCTGGACATGCGGCAGGAACAACTCCTCGACCCAGATGACTCCTTTATCGTAAGCATACTCAACGAGATAGTCTAGATACACTCAGGGAAGTCGATTCAACAATCGCGACGCCCAGGTCTAGACAAAATTCCAGCAACATGTAGTCAGTGTTCACTCGTCAGCCCCTCGATGCGTCGCCCCTATGCACCGCGCCTTGACCGCCTCACTGCCGCAAGTGTCAAGTCGTACAAGACCATAGCGCCATGACCATGAACGCGCCATCCACTAACAGGTGGGTCACGGCACAAATATATCACAGTGCTCCATGCTTCGCCTCGACCACACGGCCACGACTTCCGCATGCAATTGATGCTTGAAATCGATGTCGTAGGCGCCCAACCGTTCTTTTGGGCAGAAAGTTCGTGTCTTTTTAGAGTATCTGCACTATACAGGAGCACGGCTTGTGGGGCTCTGTGCCAACAACGACTGACTCCACCGCGTCTGTGGACGACGCGATTCCCCTAGGTCGCGAATCGATAGACCAATAGAAAGATCGGATGCATGGCCAGTTTGAACGGCCCGAGTGAGCGGTGGAGGTAGAGGATGCTGGCAGTGTTCTTCAGGGAAGGGAGCACGGACGTTTCACCATATTCCTGAAACTCCCTCTGCCTCTTTTCGCCGCTGTCCAACAACAGGGCCTTGCGAAAAAGATCCACTGATAACACCTTTCAAGCATAGTCAGCGAAAGCTTGATCACAAGGCTCTGCGTTCCCGTGCACTATATGGAGAATTTCAATGTGATCTGGACGTGCGGTCGCGGCTAACGGCATTCCTTACTGGTCAGCCAGGCGGCAACCACGGTTTCAAAACGTCCCTGGGTAGTTGATCCACAACATTTGAGTCGGTAGGTTCTATCAGGGGAACACCTACACAAGGGGCTGCGTATACGGCCACGATAAGACGGCCGCATTGCCCTGTGTCTCTCCGTTCTTTCTTTCAACATTCTGTTCGAGTTCTCCAATCCCCCCAGCCTAGTGCTGCCATTCTTTATTTGTGCTCTCTGTGAGAAGCCTCTACGCTGCTTACGTCCTTTCATTCGAGTTTATCACTCTTCACGATCACTACCGGCGAACTCAACGGTCTTTTCCAACTCTGCTACGTCTCCCAGGATACAATCTGCTCAATAGATTTCCAATAGCCACAGCCGAAGCCACATCAACACAATCGACGACCTATATCAAGACAAGCTCATCACCCCCTCTTCGAAAAAGTAGCGCTGTAGCAGAAATGTTCAGCTCAACCTCTTTTGCGTTTGCTTATTTTGCGTTCTCTTCTCTCGTTGCGGAAGCTTTGCCTGCACCTGCCCCATCTGCACCATCGTTTTCCCCCAAATCTTATTACCACGGACCGCCAGCCTGGAGCCCATCGGCCACGTATGAATCGACTTCGACCTTCCCAACCCTCTCCATTGGATCACAACACATCGCACCTTCTGGAATTGTCCCCTCTGGATATCTCGCCTCTGGATTTTACCCAACCGCATCTGGATATGCTTGGCCTACTGGAACTGGATTCCCTTCTGGAGTAACTGGATACCCTCAACCTACTGGAACTGGACAAATAAACGCCACCGCCTTTTCTTCATGGTGGACATCTTACCGTCAAGCCTCCTCTCAATCTCTCTACTCTACTGCTTCATACAACAGCACCGCCTCGGTGACTGCTTCTAGCACTGCAGCTGCCTCTACCGGATCGACCGCCCTTCCCGACGTTCTTCGTGGTGTCAACATTGGTGGTTGGTTGATCCTGGAGTCATGGATGAACTGGGATGTCTTTGCCAACACCAGTGCAACCGATCAATACTCCTTCGACAGCTGCAAGGGCGCTCAAGAGAAGTTGGAGCAACATTGGTCAACCTACTTCACTGAGTCCGACGTCGAGGGACTTGCCGCCGCTGGGATCAACGCTGTGCGTATCCCTATCGGTTTCTGGTCCTACGCCCAGTCAGCACCCTACCTCATGGGCGCCGATGCTTATCTCGAGAAGGCCATCGGCTGGTGCCGCAACCACGGAATCAAGGTTCTCGTCGACTGCCACGGCTCGCCTGGTTCGCAAAACGGTTTCGACAACTCTGGTCACTCGGGCAATGTAGCTTGGCAGCAAGACGACAACATGGAGCAGAGCATCAGCATTCTCGAGACCATTGCCAAGAAGTATGGTGCTCAAGAGTACGCCGACGTCGTCTTCGGTATTCAGCTTGTCAACGAGCCCATTTCGTGGGATCAGAACAACATTGACACAACCAAGGAGTGGGCACAGAAGGCTTACACAGCTGTCAAGTCTGCATCAACCAACCAAGATCTTGCTGTCATCATGCACGACGGCTTCATGGGACCCTCTGATTGGGAAGAGGTCGGCTCCGCTGTCAATGGCGATGCTTCTCTTTCTGATGCCAAGTTCTGGATCGATGTTCACCTCTACCAAAACCAAGTTGCAGCTGACTCGCTGCTCACTCAAGACCAACACGTCGAGAAGGCTTGCAACTGGTCATCAAGCGAGTTGTTGCCTTCATCATCCAAGCTGCCTGTGATTGTCGGCGAGTTCAGTGCTGCCACCAACATCTGCGCTAACCCCGATGGTTCTACCGTCGCTGGTAACGTCTGCTGGATCGACGGCTGCCAATGCTCTGCCAACGTCGACATCGAGAACTGGAACCAGCCTCTCATCGAGGCTACCCGCAAGTTCCTCGAAGCCGAGCTCGATACTTTCGAGGCACATGCCCGTGGCTACTTCATGTGGAACTTCAAGGGCCCCGGTGCTTGGGGCTACCAAAACGCCATCAAGTATGGCTTGATTGGAGACAAGATCACCGACAGAAAGTACCCTGGTCAGTGCAGCTCATGAACAAGGATGGAGAAGTTATAGAGAAGGCGCTGGACGCCGATGAACAGGTTTAGAAAAAAGTACACTGCGATATACCCCTTCCATGATCCAATGGACATAGATTTCGATTCGATTTTTTTTGTAGATAGACTTTTAGAGTGCAATGCACCGAAATGAACATTCCATCCAAAACGAGCATCTTGCCATGAATGAACTTCTCTGTTATGCCAGCTTCCTCACTGTGGTCAAGTCTTCACTCGTCGGAGGAGCAGAGCGAGTGGAATTTCTTCGAAGTCTCTAGAACCCGATGCGGAGTGAGTGTAGGCGAGAGCTTGTGCACGGACGTTTCCTGACAGTGTTTGGAGCTTGTGTGACAAGAAGTCGCATTTCTGTATTCACAAGCACGCGACTTTGATCCTTTCTTGTATTTCCAGCTTGAAAGTATTCATCCACCATACACAATGTCAGCCGACACAATCAGCAACCCTCAACCCGCAGGAGAGTCCAAGAGCGCTCGCAAGAAGCGCGAAAAGGCCGAAGCCGCTGCCGCTGCGCAGGCCGCCAGCCAGCCTCAGCAGGAGAGCAATGGCACGAAGACTCCTGACGTCGCAGACACCAACGGTGATGCCTTTGAGAGCTCTTATGTCAAGGAATTGCAGAAGTACATCTTGCGCTTGGTCTTCTTCGCAGATCGTCCGTACTGATTGTCTTTCAGGAACATTCGCAATGTGACCAAGAAGCTCGTCAGTCACCTACTCATTCACCACAACCACACCATTCTAACCAGACGCAGAATGCCATGACCAAGTTGGACACAATCCTCGCCGAGAATCCCGACAAGAGCCTTGACGAACTCCTCGCTGCCCGCAAGATCAACGCCGACCAGAAGGCCCAAGCCTCAAAGAAGCCCGCCCTCCAAGCCCAACTCGCTCAACTCGAAGAACAGATTGCCCAGTACAAGAAGGTCGATGCCGACTACCAGTCGCGCATGTCCGCTCAGCACTCGCAGCTCACTTCAGCCCACCAAGCCGAGATTGAGAAGTTGAAGGGCTCTCTCAAGGAGCAGCTCGAGAAGGAACTCAACACTGCTCTTCGCCAGAAGTTGCTCACATTCAGCCAGTTCCTCAGAGCTGCCGCTGCTAAGCGTGTCATCGAAGAGGAGGCAGACACTGATGAGTCCAAGGCATTCGAGGGTGCTCTGTTGCTGGTCTACGGTGGTGACGACAAGGCCGTTGATGCTGTTATGAACTTGATCCAGGGCTCTGACGAGCAGGTTCCTTCGGTCGAGGGTGAACTGTTGCCCGTCAAGTGTATGGAGACCAACTTTGGACGATTGCTCAGATGCTGACTACTCCCTAGATTCACAGGTCAAGCAGGCCGCTGTCGGCTTCGGCGCATTCCCTGGTGAGGAGACTGCTCAAGAGGAGGCCCCGGCCGAGACAAATGATGCTACCACTGTCCAGCCCGAGGACACCATTCCTTCCAGCGATCCTACCATTGCACACGCTGGTCTCACCGAGCTCGGTCTGAACCAGCCCGTTGAGGAAGAGAAGCCCATTGTCGTGGCCGACGACCAGATTGCCGAGGCCTCCATCGATGACGGTTCTGCCAACAAGTCAGCCGAGACACAGTGGGACAACGCTGCTGCCACCGCCGGCACTGATCAGCAGCTTGACGACTCTTTCGAAATGGTCCCTCGCCCTGCCGACGAGACTGAGGCTGTCCACGAGCCTGCTCAGCCCCAGTCGACCAGCTCTTGGGCCGATCAGACATCCGCAAACGCCACCGCTACCGAGGCCACTACTGAGAACAACAACACTAACGGTCTTGCCTCGACTGATGCTGAGGGATACCAATCTGTCGAGAGACGTGGAGGAAGAGGTGGACAAGGCCGCGGAGGCCGTGGAGGCCGTGGACGTGGTGGTCCCAGAGGCGGACACCGCGGCAACTTCAGAGGCGGTCGTGGCGACGGTCGCGGTCGTGGAGGCCGTGGCGGAGCTCCTCAGCCTCAGGCATAGGAAGTCGCTTTGAGGTACAGCGTCAAAGACCTCTTAGCAGCGCAAACACTTAGTGTGTTGCAAAGAGGAGGAGACGAATGAAACAAACAAACAAACACGGGCAGGGATGGGGATGCTATCAATGGAGAAATGACTGACATTTGATCACGACGGCGTTTTCTTGTTTCTGCATACCACACACACCTTCTTCTTTTTCTACCCATCTCTTTTCTTCACATTGCTCTTTCTCGGAGATGCTCTTTGGTTGTCATGTACACTGGAGCGCTGGAGTGTCTTTGTTCTACTTTCTGATTTGGCGTCCTGCTTCTTTTCTCCTTTGCTGCATAGCTATCGGAGCTCTGGGGTGCGCATTTTTGTTTGGGCACTGGCTTTTTTACCCCTCTGGTCTCACTATTTCGGTTTCCTGAAAGTTGGAAATTCTGGAAAAGAGAAAGAAAAGTGTTTTTGCATAACATTCGTTCGAGGGTCATGATGACTGAAGCGACAGAAAGATTGATGACTATCTTCATTTTTCCTTGGCCACGCGTACTACCCACCATCTCCTCCGAGCATCTGCTGCTTGTGTCTTCTTTCCACATACACGCGCGGTATTGATGGCCGCCTGTGTTCTACCTCGCGATGGCAGCATATGCATGTCTGCTGGAGTCTGTTCCTCTGCGCCAAACCATCGTTCACCAAGGAGGCGTGGATCTCGCACTTAGAAGCCTGGTCTTGATTCATGAATGACAAGCTCTGACACCTTGCTGCTACTCGGCACGTATACGAGCATCATTAGATCCGGAAAGCTTGGGCAAAGTTGGTCAGCCCTGTCAGATACTGGAGTGAGCTAAGAGCCGGGGTCGATCAGGGGTGCTTGTGCATCTGGCTAGGCACCCGGCGGATCTTATCTGGAAGGAAGTGACTCGGGTGGTTTGTCGTGCAGAGAGTTCAAGTGATGGTCAAAAAATTATCCAGCAACACGATCTATCAAATTTGCTTCATATGTGTGATGTGATATGATGTTTCTGTACTTCGTATGGCACTTCACATGTTTTTGCAGTATTCAACCATGACTATTGTGATGTTATCGTCTATCGAGCGCGACTATAAAAGTGTCCGTGCGGTACGGAGATGTCCACTCATTGCAAAGGCTTGGCGTGAGTGGAAAGCACCTGATCTATGGGGTGAGGGATGGCAGCGACTACTCTTGGTTTTGCGGATTTGGTCGCATTCCACACACAGTGACGACGACAGCAAGAGCTGCCCGACTACGACTGCCTTGCGCATGCGACAATTATTCTCCGCCCCGCCACGACTTCCGTGAGCAGTCGACACTGACTGTCTCCTTCCCTCTTTGCCGCCCTCTACTGTCGCTTGCCGAGCAGCCCACCCGGGTCCAAGCAAGCCACCGACACAAGCAGCACTCACACCGTTGCTTCCCCTTCGAGTTTTGTCACTTCCGAAAATTAGTTACGCCCTTTGTGGCAGTATATGATTATCTGAACGACCATCATGGACTTGTCGATGCCTTCGCCGGCCGTCGCGACCGAGCCTGCGAACGTCTCCTCCGACGCTGCCTTGCCCGAAGCTTCCAACTTGTCCAAGCACCCTGAACCCGCACACGCATTGACTCCACCAACCTCCGAGGACAACAACATCAGAGTCGATGATGACGCCTCTTCCGACTTGTCTGAACTGGACCTTGACATGGAAGATGAGGAAGAGATTGAACCAGACCATTACTGGGGTGACGGCAAAGTCCCCGTCTTCAAGCCAGTACGTCACGATACCACTGCCATAACCCTTGTATTGCTAACACCCTTGCGATAGACAATGGCACAGTTTCGCGACTTCAAAAAGTTCATTGACAAGATCGACAAGTACGGCATGAAATCTGGTATTGTCAAGGTCATTCCTCCTCAAGAATGGAGAGACGATCAGCCTGCCCTCGACGAACTCGTAAAGACCATCAAGATCAAGAACCCAATCTCGCAAGAGTTTATGGGCACCCACGGAATCTACACTCAAGCCAACATCGAAAAGCAACGCTCTTACAACCTTCCTGAATGGAAGTCGCTTACGGAGGAGCCCCAATATCAGCCACCTGCCAGAAGAGGAGAACGTCGCAGAAACCAAGCACAAGTCTCCAGGAGCGCTGCGACTAAGACTCGTGCTGCCTCAACCAGGACTTCGACCCCCAAAGATGCTACAAGCAAGAGAAAGCCTGGTAGACCTCGCAAGCACCCTTTGAAGAATGAGGAGGATGATGAAGACGAAATTTCTTCAAGAGCCAGCCAAGTACCGCCAACGCCTACCTCTCCAGTGCTCAAGTCGACCGAGCCTTCCGAGCACACAACTCCAAGCAAACCCAAGCCAAAACCAAGAGGACGTCAACCAAAAGCAGGCCAGCAGAAATCAGTCTCGTCTCGCAGAATGAACAACACAACAGAGACCAACGATGTTGTTGATGAGGCTGCCTTCAAGGATTTCGACTACCACATGGATGACCTCGAAGAATTTACACCAGAGCGATGCGCTGAACTGGAGACTGCATACTGGAAAAGCTTGACGTTTGCTCAACCTATGTATGCTGCCGATATGCCTGGTTCTTTGTTCAAGGATGAGTGCGATGTCTGGAATGTTGCAAAATTGCCCAACTTGCTCGATGTCCTTGGAACAAAGGTCCCTGGTGTCAACACTGCATATCTGTACATGGGAATGTGGAAAGCTACTTTTGCCTGGCATCTGGAAGACGTCGATCTTTACAGTATCAACTACATCCATTTCGGAGCCCCCAAACAGTGGTACAGTATCTCTCAGGAGGACGCTAGAAAATTCGAGAAGGCCATGAAGAGTATCTGGCCCAACGATTCGAAGGCTTGCGATCAGTTCTTGCGCCACAAGACTTACCTCATCTCTCCGGAGATTTTGCAGAAGCAATTCGGAATCAAAGTCAACAAGCTCGTCCATTACGAGGGTGAATTCGTCATCACATACCCTTACGGATACCACTCTGGATACAACATTGGCTACAACTGTGCAGAATCTGTCAATTTTGCGACCGAGTCCTGGCTCGACTATGGACGTATTGCAAAGAAGTGCGAGTGTGAGGCTGACAGTGTTTGGGTCGATGTTGGAGAGATTGAGCGTAAACTCAGAGGCGAACCTACTCCTGAGTATTACGAGGAGACTGATGACGATGACGAGGACGAAATGGAACTGGATGGTGCGACTGATCTTCCCAGTCCTCCTGCAAGTGTTGCAGGTAAGCCGCAAGCGCAAGCTCGTAAGCGCAAGCGTGATCCCAAGGAAAAGGATGCAGGCAAGAAGAAGAAGCGCATCAGGATCCTTATCAAGGGTCCTCACAGAGAGCCTTGCGTCCTCTGTCCTAACGATCCTCCAAACGAGCCCCTACTACCAACGGATAATGGCCAGAAAGCGCATCGTTGCTGCGCGCTATACACTCCCGAAACCTGGATTAACAGCGAGGATGGTGTGGAGAAGGTTGTCGGCGTTGCTGGTATTGACAAGGCTCGCCTTGATCTCAAGTGCAACTTCTGTCGTTCCAAGCGTGGTGCTTGCTTCCAATGTCAAGCCAAGAAATGCACTAGAGCGTACCATGCAACTTGCGCGCTCGCTGCTGGTGTGCAAATTGACGTCGGCCCTGTGCCAACCTTTGGCGAGGATGGAACTGAATACTTCGAAGAGGGCATTGATTTGAGATGCCGCTTCCATCGTTCTAAGCGTGGGAAGAACATGGATAGCGATGCTTTGGAGAACAATAAGCTCACCAACACCTTTGCTAGATCTCTCAAGAAAGGGGACGCTATCCAGGCTCAGTACATGGGTGGCGATATCTTTGCAGGTATTGTTGAGGAGAACCGTCCAGGCGAGAGCGCTGTCCTAATCAACGTGCTTCCTTCTGGCGACCAAGTTGAGGTTGAGTGGAAGTGGCTTCTGGTGCTGGACCCTATCGACTCTGAACGTCCTAAACCCTCGCCAACTGCTATTCCCATGCCGGAAGGTATGAGCAAGCAGTCTGTGTCGATTGGAAACCGCCAAGACGGCGTTCCCATTCTGGAAACAACCTTCCATGAAGACGCAAACTGGAAATGGGCAGAGTTCCGTAACTTGCAGAATCCTCCTCAAGGCTATAGTACGGCTGTCATCAAGAACCCTGATCAGGTCAAAATCGACTTGAACAAGCCTGACCAGCTGTATTACTACTTGCCAAAGAAGTCGACAGAAGCCAAAGGCAGGTTTACTGACGACCCTGAGGGCCAGAATCATGTCTTCATGGGCGATTTCATGGAGCGCGTCAAGCCTGCCAAACCTTTCAGACCTGTGGCGCCATCATACGCCGGAGGCTACACTGGTGGTTACACTATGCCTCAAGTCTCACGACCTGTACAAGCTCAAAGCAGTGAACGGCCATACACATACAAACCCAAGACTCCTGCTTATCCTACAGGCAACTATGGTCTGGACCAACGCGCGCTGGCCTCGCAGAAACAGTTCATCCAACAAGCTGACCCCAGAAGAGCATCGTATGCGACAGGACTCTACTCTACCCAGCCTATTCCTTCACTTCGTCAGCAGCACAGCGAACCCACACGGCAACAGTCAGCTCCACTTCGTCCTTTCTCAGAAGGTTACTACTCGTCAAGAACCCTTCCTGCTGCTATTCCCGGTGAATACTCGCAGTTCCACCAACAGGTCCGCCGTACGTCAGGCGGTGCTCTTGCAGCGCAACCTTACCAGACCCAGCCTTACGGATCCACTTCTCAGATTCAGCAGCCAAGTGCTAGCAGTCCCCAGACAGGTGCTGGACATGCTCAGCAGCAAGCCAGTCGTGCGCCCTTGCAGCCTTACAGCAATTTAATCAACGACTTGGTCAACAAGAGTGGACCAGCGGCTCAACCTCCCCTTCAGAACCCGCAAGAGTCTTCTGGTAACAGACCTACGGCTCAATCACCACCAACAGCCAACGTTCGCCCTGCCAATGGACAATGGACCCCACCTTCACAGATATACCATGCATACGATCGTGCTAATTCACAGTTGCCTCCTCAGAACTCTTATCGCCCGCAGCCAACCTACCAGACAGCACAAGAGTTCCAGCAGCAAATCGGCATACAGGCTCGTCAGCCAAGTGTCTCGAATCGTTGGGGAGCATATGATCGCATGCTGAGAGATGCCGCTAGCGCACAATCAACATTACCGCATCCATCTGATCCCTACAACATGTCGACGACAACAGCTGGCGGCGCTCCAAACGGTTTCTCCATTCCCACAACCTATCCTAGCCCAAAGGCTCCTACGGCTAGTCCTTTGAGTGATACCCAGACACCTCGCGCGCCTAGTCCAGGCATCAACTATCGCGGTCAGGGATTGGCATGGGGAGGACCACCACAGCAATCATCTCCGCACAACCCAATGTCAGCCACAAACAACACTTTGCCGTCGTTGCAATCCATGACTCAAGGCGGTCCGTTTGCTGCAGCCTCTCATCCACCACCACCTCAGCAGTAGTACTGGCGAAAGGTGTAAAAGGGGGAAATGGAAAAGCGTGGTATGATGATGATGGAAAAAGAAGAGATGAAGAAATGATACTTTTTCCCTTTCCTTTGAGTTGGTATATGTGTGTGTTTCACACAAGGATGTGCATCAACACAGGAATCGGGAGAGGGCGCGGGAAAATTGGAGTTGGCAAGGCTTTCTTTTTTTTGAGCGGGTATCTTTAGGGGGAGTCCGTTTCTTTCGTTCAATCACACTATTTTCCGTGGCTTTCGTTGATGTTTTATTACTACGACTCTTTTCGTATGCTTATCCTTTTACTCTATTGCCTTTCTTTGCTGTTACAGAATTTTTTGGTACATGTGTATTTCCTGGATGCTGTTGTTTTGATCATCAGGAGATGATGTAAGGCTCCCATTCTAGATCGAGACACGAGCTCTTAAATTTCCCCAATATCTTTTCACGATGGACTACTATTCAATCTTGCTAGACGAGCCATTGTGTAGTCATGACAGCGCCAGAGTACCAACCCAGAAATACAAGCTGAAGGAATCGTGTCTCTCGCACCTGTATAGAAAGATTAACCACACGAGACAGTTCCACACATACTTGTACAAGGCTGGATCTTTTTTCGTTTCAATGGATTGATATAGCTCAAGAGTTATACTATACTGTTCGGAGAATGCGGGAGGGGTTGGTGATTTGGTATACCAAGACAACTTTTTTGATGATGTTTCAAGTACATAAAAATCTCATCAAGATGCATAATTTCCCCACACCAAAAGTCACGACATAAAAAAGTTTTTTATGTAAAAACAAAAACAAAAAGCTTCACCTGCATAATTTAAACCTCCCTAAGAAAAAAAAAAAAGTCTCTCCGAACAAATAACTCCCCTCCCCCCCCTTTTTTTTAACCACTGTCTGGTTGAAGATCAAGAACAAAAGGAGATGCCCCCTGACGGAGTCGAACCGGCGACCTCGGCATTACTAGTGCCGCGCTCTACCAACTGAGCTAAAGGGGCTTGGTGATGGCGGTGTGGGAGATTGGAAGAGCTCATGTTTTTGGGGAGGAAGAAGGTCTGTGCTACGAACCACACCACCAAGAAGGACGAGTGTTGTTTAGTCATGTTGTTCTGATGGCAAATGTTAAACGGTTTTGTGATTGTCCTTAAGCAAATGTTTGACCAAAAAAAGTTGATGCTGCAGGAAGTGTCGGAGAGACTAGAAGATGGCGGTGCCGTTGACGTGCGTGCTTACACCACCTAGACGTGAATATTAGCGATGAAATGGATAGATAGATGGAAAGGATCAGTAGAGAAGAAGAGTCTTTACCTTGCACATTCGCCGGCGCAGCAGTAAAGAAGAACGTCCATCTATTCTTCTCCCGACAAGTCTGTGACAATTTCTCCAGATCCAGCATTTCCCCCAATGGCATGCCCCAAAGCGCAAGTATGTACTCGTGAAGATGGTAGTCTGTGTTTCGCTCAGTCTCTGCTTGGAGTTTTGGGGAGTGGACAACTTACCTTCGTGTGTTGGCCAAGCCTCAAAAGCAGGAGCATCTCCGGCTACAGCAGCAAAGTAAGAGTCGTGTAGCCAGTCTAGCATTCTTTCTTCCTGACTAAGTCCTGCAAATCTCTGGCCGTCATCTTTGCCTATTGCGTGGGGTCTCACAGCCAATTCGTTACGTTCGGCAGGGGATTTGCTATGATAGGCCTCAACCCAACCAGTGCGCACGAATAGAATATCTCCAATCTTGACATCACCGCCTTGGGAAGCTGGGCGGATATCGATTCCTTGATCTTCCGCGCAATGTTTCAGTTCTTCAAAGGAGATGGGATAGTACTCGTAAGGATCATAAACAATGCCTTTTTTGTGGGCGTAACCACGGTAATCGAGAAGAATTCCTCGACCTGCGATTCCATGGACAGCCCAATGATGAATCGAACACTTGTGATTTGCATTCGGACCCACGATATCCGAACCCTTTGTGTTGTTGTAAAAAGTGCCAGAAGGGATGTGAGCAAAGTGACGGAACCCATCGAATTGAGTTCCTGATTGGGTGTTTAGAGAGTAGAGATCATCGTAAGCAATATCCGCAGCAAGTGTCTTGATTTCGTGTTTGAAACTCTCGCGGTGAAAGGCAGGAACTTCTGGAGTGTTGAGAGGGAGGTTGACAGGGATGATTTCTCCGGATTTTATTTCCTTTGCTGCTGCTGCGACACGAGTTGGTGTTAGGAGGTTAAGACGGCCGATGTTGTCGTTTTCACCCCAGACCCATGCGGCACCTTCTGGAGCTCCGGGAATAGTGGGCAACTCTTTACGAGTAGGGAAGATGGTAGAGTCGGGATCAAAAGGCATGGACAAGCTTGCAGTCTTGTTCATGGTTAGGAAGTCCTTGATCTGAGTCAAGCGAGTGCTTGTTGTGCTTTTGGGAGCAGCCATGATTGGTTTGTTTCAGAGTTGAGAACGGGATATAGATCCAGCTTTGGAGAGCAGAGGTGACATGACTTATAGACGGCAAGCCGACAGAGAGCTGGCCATGTCCCTCGGTCTCTGCCCCTCCTCGTTCGCATATGGATGGTTTCCCCGCATTGCGAACGTCATGGGTCCTCGGGATGTATGACCGTTGCGTAGGTATCAGCGGCAGTCGGCTTAAGCTTACAGGATCAAGATTCTGCTTCTAGAGCTTGGTTTCATGCTGCTTTGCTGGAGTTTGAACCTGTTATGAGGGGGGTCGCGCCTGTCCGACAATAGAAATTAGGGTTGTTCAACTTGTATCAGCATTGGGCGGCTACGGAGACTGATGCTCTCGCAGTGAGCACAATGACAGATTACAAAGTGCCAAAGATGGCAGTATCTCAGTAGCCAAGAGATGCAGTCATAAGTCGGACAATTCGAAGGGTTGATGCAGAGCAGAGATGCAGGTGGGCTGAAAGGTGGAGCAAGGATGGGCGCTTATCGATAAGGGCTATGACGAAAAGCATGTATCCATGACCAGGTCAACAAAAGCCCTGGCTCAAAGACCTTGAACAGACACACACACAATCTTCAAGCATGTTCAAGAAAAAGCCAACAGTCAAGCCTTTAGCGCCTCTGCGTTCGTCAGACCGCCGCAAGACAGCCGACAGCATTATCGCCGAGTATGGCCTCCAACCAAAACCGAGTAACGACTCCAAAGTCGAGGACAAAGCAGCCGCCACTGCAGAAACCACCGCCTTGAGAAACGCTCTACTGCCTGAGGGAGTTCAAACTGCAAGATTTACAACTACACATGGACCCGACCTTAAGCAGGTTTCTGGCACCGTCTATGTTGGAGCATACTCCGGAGATGACGCTCGAGTCCTCTGGTTCAAGATTGAGGATCGCATGTATCCCACCGTATACACACTGTGGAAACAACCTGGCATTGTGCCTCTGCTACATACCCCTGGTTTTGTTGTTCAGAAGTTGCAAGGCGGTGCAGATCTCATGACTCCTGGGTTGGCCAATGGTCCTCCCTTCCACCCCAAAGCTACCAAAGGGGCTGTGGTTGCTATTGCAAGTCTTGAACAGCCTTCGGTACCTGTTGCTGTTGGTGCTTGTTTGATTGATGTCAGTTCACTTGGTGCTGTGCAAGGTTCTCGTGGTCATGCTGTGCAGACTATGCACTGGGCTCGTGATGAAATCTGGTCATACAGTAATTCCAACAAGCCTGGACTCAGCCCTCCAGAGTCGCTCGACGGTTGGCTTGCAAGCAAAGATGATGAGGAGAAGCTGGCCGAACAAGCTGCTGACCTGAATATTGATGATGAAGAGGAAGAGCAAGGAGGCGTCAACTTAGACAAACCTGTTTCTGACCAGCCCGATCCATCAGAAGGTCTAGGAGAAGATGCTCCCGCAGACGAAGGCCTAGTAGAACAGGTAGAAATCAAAGAACTGACCACCAAGGGTATGTTTCCCTGCCCTTCGACCATGTTCAACAACACACACTAACAAAAAAACAGAAATCGACGACGCCTTCCGCAAAGCCTTCCTCTACGGCATCTACCACCACAAAGAAACAAACCCCAACCACCCAACCTTTGGCCTCGAATTCCCTTTGACTCAATCCTTCGTCATGTCCAATCTCGTCCAACCTTTCCTGCCCGCCTACACGCCCGACCAAGCCTCCTCCCTTCAAATCAAGAAATCCTCCTTCAAGAACATCAAAAAATTCCTAAAGTCTCTCGACAAGGCGAAAATTGTAAAGACTAAAGAAAGAGACCAACACGAGACCATCATTCTCGATGTTGATTTTGACGATACTGCAATTGTCGAGTTTAAGCCTTATAGACTGCCTAAGAAGGAAACAGCAGCAGGAACAAGTCTAGGTCGCGGTGCAAAAGCAACCACAGAACTGGATACCACCACGGACACTTCCATCGGTCAAAAACTCGAAAAACAACAATTTTACAAACTGAAAGAAAGACTATTGCCACTTTTCGAATCCGCCAACGCGTCTACGCAATCCCTGTTTACAGCCGCGGAAATCAAAAGCGCAATAACGACCTACATCGAGTCTGAAAACCTCATCAACGAGAAAAACAAACGTTTGGTGTTGTTGAACCCAACACTTGCAAATGCAGTCTTTGATGGCACCACATCGCTAGACAAGGAAGTCCTCGCCAAAGGCTCTGTTCCCCGAGACGCCCTCTTCGAACGTATTCTCCAAGCCTGTATTCCCCACTACGCCATCATCCGCACATCCCCCTCTACCTCCGACCCTCTCAAGCCAAAATCCGGCGCCGCGCCCAAGATCAAGGTTACCCTCGAAACACGCTCAGGCAACAAGACCGTGACCAAAGTGTCAGGAGTGGAAGCTTACTTTATCGCTGCTCAGCCACTAGCAGACGAGCTCAGAAAAGTCTGTGCAGGGAGTAGTAGTGTTGAGCAGTTGCAAGGAAGCAGTCCTAAAGCTCCTGTCATGGAGATTATGATTCAAGGGCCGCAGAAAGATGCCGTGATGAAGGCTTTGGAAAGACGAGGCGTCAGACCTGCGTGGGTCGAGTTTTTGGACAAGACCAAGGGCAAGAAGAAGTAATTGTTGTAGATTCTTTCAGCTCAGCCAGTGAGAAAGTAAAATCTCTTTTTCCCTGCGCTTTGATTGTTTCCCGTGAGCTAAAGAAGGAATAGAAAATACCAACATTTCTCAAGCCAGCTTTCCTTCCTCTGGTTCTCTTGTTCATCGCATATCCCTCAAACGAACCAATCTAGCAAGCCTCTCCACCAGTGCCGCAAACCTCTCTTCCCTAGGCGTCTGCGCAGACCCCACAAACACCAAATCATCTTCATCGAGATATAACTCTGCATGCTTGAAGCGTTTTGCCGCCCTATTGTTCAATTGAGGAGTACTGTCCTCAAAGTCACTCGGCTGTTGTCTTTTCCTCGAATTTTCCAACGGAGAAGGAAGCGTGGAGTTTCCTCTTGTTGCTGATTCCAATAATACAGCCATGGATTGGTTGCTTGTCGCAGGACCAGCACTGGGTGTTTCGAACTCTGGCGTTGCAAAAGCACTTAACCCCTCTGCAGACCCTTGATTCCCATCTTCAAGACTAGAAGGCTGGTAAGGAGTAGTACTCGCCCTTCCACCCAACCTCTCCACCCCCCTCGCTCCAACCATCCCACTCTCCCCCCTCAAGATCCTTTCCACGCGTTCTTGAATCCCCTCCTGCAAGGTCTCTCCAACATTCCCGTACGCCAACACCGCACCCAACCTCCTAAGTCTCAGTACCTCTTTCTCCTCTTCTGTCTTATTGCTGTTCCCCGGTTTCGTTCTTCCTGCGCGTCTGGCGATGGAATCTTCAAGTAGTGTTCTGCCATTTGCGTCACGCTGGGTTGATAAGGGAGAGAGAGCAAAAGAGGCACAGCTTTTCAGGTGCTCTTCTTTTCGAGTCAAGTTGTTGCGGGGCAGTTTTGTGGTTTGGCAGTGGGAGCAGAGGACCATGGGGGTGTTGCCCGAGGCGGGGATGGAGGTGAATTGGGCGGAGACGAGGGAGGCGATGGGAGGCATTTTTGCTTCTTCTTTTCGAGACAGTGACAGTTTTCTGGAACGTTGGTCCAATGAATGGAAGGGTTTGAGGTCCTTGAGATGGAATCTAAAAAAAATGTGTCGACTCGTATACCTCTCTGTGGCCGTTTTTGAGATGAAATAATGACTTTGCTCCTTTCCAGATCCTCTCTCAAAAACTCCAGTAATCCAGATTAATTCCTTCCAGATGCACTCTCAAGACCAATCAGTTGTGATCCCTTCGCCTTCTGAATGATGTTGCGATCGTCAAAGCGGTCACCTCGCGACCAAGTTTCGATGCTATGTGGCGTAAGAGCTCCTCTATCAATAGCCGATCGAACGTCAGATACTTCGCACTACACTCTGAACGCAATGTATCCACAGTTGAATATCCAAGTCGGGCAATATCAGATTGTTGCTATCGTGTTGGTGATGCTGTTAGTGTCAATTGTTGCCGATGCGAGGAGGTCGGACGCGTGCGTTACTCTCCTTGCTTTGCAAACAACCAACCAAATTTGCCAAGGCTCGAAGAGTGTTGCTATACTAACGACCCTGGCATCAAGATAGCGAGCGGATGCAATAGCAAAACACAGGAGTTGCATACCTGTGTGGACCTTACGGCAAACTAAGGATAACGTGCTAGGTGAGGAAGAATTATGGTGATGTAAAAGGATTGTCTTGAAGTCTATGGTAATTCTCTTTGCCCTTTCTCTCTTAAACATGCAAAATCTCAAGCATGCATTCAAAGGAAAAACGCCCAATAGTGACTATCTCATGCGGAGGAAGAAAGCTGACAATCGAGAACAAAAAGATGAGACGCTTAGGTATTGGTGCGATGAAAACGACAAACAGAAAAACCAAAAACACACAGAAATTACAATAGTAGGTTTGCTGCCTCATGCAGAAAAGACGACACATCCAAAACACCTTTCCAAGACCCGAACAAGTTTTCCCTATTCTAATGCTTTATGATAACCGAGGACTGCCAAGTGGTGTGCTGACGTCCCGTCTCTCTGCAGTCGTAGTGGGTGAAGGTGGGCTAACAATAGTGATGGGTGGAGATGTCAATGCTGGACTTGTTATAGGTGTCATGAGTTGAAGATCAATCTTCAGACCATCATCAACATCTCCAGTTCCGGCATCTGATTTAGCGTCGCCAAGCTCGGATTTGTTGTCGTCGTCATGGTGGTCCGCACTAGCATCGCTGACACCCGTCTGAGGGCGTCCGTCGGTAGAGGCAGTGCTGGTACCTGGCGCGCGTCTTCGGCGGCGGCGCTCGCGTTCGCTGTCTGCGTGATCACGACGGCGGCGAACACGAAGATTCTCACTGTCGCGTGGAACAGGTGTCTCATCGTTGTCGCCAGTGCTACCGCGAAGGCCAAGTAGAAGACTTGCTGCTCGATCTGCCACGTCTTCTCCTTCGCTGATGGCACCCTTGTCATTCTCTTCAACATGAGGAGACAGTGTTGTGCTGTCTGAAGTTGACGGACGCTCGGGCGCTTTGTCTGAAGTTGGTGAGAGGAGAGTCGAATCATCTGTAGGTGATGTTATTCCAGCAATTTCAGGCATTTGTTGGCCAGAAGCCACACGACGTTGATGACGCTCATTGAGACGGGCTCGTCGTCGGCGATCTCTTGTATCTCTAGTAGCAGGAGCGGCGGCGCGAAGCTTCTCTAACAATGTGTCCATGGCACCCTGTGAAGCGGGTGAAGGAGGACCGGCAGGATCTGCAGTTGCCTTCTCGAGGGCAGATTGTGCTTGGGCTTTACGACGCATCGAAACTTCATTGCGACGTTGTGTCTCCTCTTGAGCAATGTTCTTCTCGTGCGATTTCTGATATAGATGTCAGCAACAACTCCAACAGTCATAAATTGTTCACTCAAACTCACCTTATACTCGTTGACGAAATTGGCCAGCTTGGAGAAAAATTCTCTCCTCGCCGACTCGTCTTGGTTGTCATCGCCAAAGAAGGTCAAAATGTCGTTGTATGTCCTCTTCATCTCCTCGAGGTACAATTCCATCTGTTCTGCCTTTCTTCTCGCTTCCTTCATTGATCTCTGAACCACTTGACTGACTCTATCCTCGGGATGGAACTTGCGCGGGTCGCTGAGATTACCAGCATCCAAGGACATTTGCACGTTCTTGATGTTGTCAATGTACTTCTTAGCATCGACCATTAGCTGGTCCACATTCAACTTGGCAGCCACAACAACGCCACCAATGTCTTCAGTGAAGCCTTCCCATTGGGGATATTGTCTGCGTACAACACGCTCGACATAATCCATCAAGGTAGATTCGTTCTTATCATCCTTGACCATACCAAGACGGGCGAGCGAACTAAGCTTGAAACCAATGGCTTGTTTGTTGGAGTCGTTCATGTAGTTACCAATGTCGAGAATGAGACCAAAGACGGGCATCAAACGAACAGAGTCGCGAAGTGATTCTGAAACGTTGCATACCATCTTCAGCTTGTCTGAGATTTCGTCATATTCTGGCTCGAAGCTCTTGGTCAAAGCCAATGCTCTCATTCTAGCCTTCCAGTAGTGATGCAATTCGAAGGCCGTGTAAAGGTAGATCTGATCCTCGCGAGTCAGTTCTGAAGGGTCCTGCTCTCTTGCTGACTTGAGTGCGTCCGGTCCAGTCCAGTCTCTGCTATATGGTGCCATGAGCTTGGAAGTATTGTCAGGAATGGTGCACATGTCTTCTCTTTGCAGGAAGTCCATGACGACAGGGTTATCCAACACTTCCCTGTCGCAGTGTATGATCATGCGGACGACATCCTCCAACGGTCGTTGTGAGAATACCGCCAAAGAGATCTGGAATGTTTGCATCAAGTTGCTAGGCATGATCTGTTTCTTGTCGCTCTTCTTCTCTTTCTTGCCAATCGCCTTGATCTCCTTGGCCATGAAAAGACGTTCAATCTCATCAAGAATACCCTTCTTGCTAAGTTCGGCGTACTTCTCTTCCTTTGCCTCGTGCGTGGGTGCGTGTGTAGCCCACATGGTGAATTCTGAAGCGTCGATCTTTTCCCAATGCAAAGCCTTGAGCTTCTTCTTGGGTCTCGCAACACCCATACCAATGGTAGAGGCAGCTGCATATTGAGCTTGAGGCAAGAACCCACCTCTTCTGGCTCCAGGCATAGGAGGTGCTCCTGGTGGTGGAGGCGGTGGCGGAGGTCCTCCAGCCTTCATACCTGGCATGCCTGGAGGAGGGGGAGGTGGTGGACCGCCAAATCCAGGCATGGGAGAGCCAGGCATAGGTGGAGGTGGAGGAGGGGCGCCAGTAGAGAAGCCAGGCATACCCGGTGGAGGAGGGGGAGGTGGACCAGAGAACCCAGGCATTGGCGGCGGCGGTGGGCCACCAGATGAGAACCCAGCCATACCTGGTGGTGGGGGAGGCGGAGGAGGGGCGGCTCCGTTGAACCCTGGCATCATCGGAGGTGGAGGTGGAGGAGCACCATTGAAGCCAGGCATGGCAGGCGCCGGCGGAGCTTCTGCTCCATTAAAGCCTGGCATGGGTGGCGGAGGTGGAGGCATCGCACCATCGAATTTGGGCTCGCCATCTGCTGCGAGCTGAGCAGAAGGATTTCTGACATGCTGAGCGGAGGCATTTCTTGAATGTGAGGAGACATGTCTAGATTGCGATGAGACAACTCTGGACTGGGAGGAAACGTTCCTAGAGTCCGAAGGTCCAGTAACTGTGGCATCCTCTTCATCATCACTAGCGTCAATACGACGGACCTTGCTGACAATGTCATTAAGGTAACCAGCCTGAGCGTGAGCGGAGCTAATCTTAGGTCGCTTCATCTCAACAATGCGAGGCTTCTCATAAACCGTGGCTTCTTCGTCATCCTCATCCAGAGACTCCTCGCCATCCTGTCGAGTCTGACTGGGAAGTGGCTTGCGAGTGATACCGCCTCTTTGCGTCCTGGAAACACTTCCGATGTAGCCATCAGGCAAGCTGTCAGGGATAGCACTGGTCGGTCCACCTGGGCCATCCATCTTCTCACGCAACTCGCGAAGCTTGTCCGAGGGGTCGACCTGTTGCCAAACCTTGCCTTCGAGTTTCGCCTGTGTCTTTGCTCTCTCGAGCTGCATCTCCAAGCGATCCATGAGCCTTTCGCGATCCAAAATACCTTGCATCTGAACAGGATCAGCAGCTGTACCATTCTTGGATCCGTTCTTTGCCGACGCAGCAGCGATATCTTGAGCATCGCGCAGCATAAGATACAACTCTCTGGTCTCAAGCTCGTTGCGTTGCAGTTCCAACGCTCTTACACGCTGAACTTCAGCAAGTTCTGCCTTAAGACTTTCGATTTGACGTTGTTGGATCTGGACAATCGAATCACGCTCTTCAAGCTGCCGTGTGAGCTTTTTGACTAGCCCGTCGGCACCAAGCTCAAGCTGAGCTCTCAATTCATCGCGCTCAGCCAATGCCGATTCAGCAATCTGGCGAGCTTCCAAGGCTTCGTCTCTCGCTTGTCGAGCTTCAGAGTCTGTGTACAGCTTGTCCATCAAACTCTGAACAGTAAAGTTGAGACTCTGCTTGAGATCCATATCGGGTAATCGCCTGTCCATGGCTACATAACTCAACATGGCGTCCACAAGCTGGAACATGCGAAGCCTGTCCTCGGCCTCGTTATCCCTGATGAGCAACAGATGCTGCAAAGAAGACACGAAGTAATCTGCCGAATGACTTCCGTTCACCTTAGACATGATCGCCTGAACAATCTGTACAGGATCGTTCAGATCCTGTGGTTCTGGATCTTGGCCATCAACTTGGTTCTCCTTTTCGAGCAAATCTTCATAGTCGATAATCTCGTTCGAACGGTATCTCTCAACTTGCTTGTCGATGATATCGTATTGGAACTGCTCCATCTTGTTAAGGATACGCTTGATACCGCATGCCGTAAATTGCGCACGGATATGGCATCGTAGGTGCAAATCTCTTTCTGGCGCATCAACAATCATGTTGACGAGGAACAGGGATGCGACCGCATATTCCATGAGCAAATTCTCCATACCGATACCACCACTGCGGACCTCGTCACTTGCCCCGACCAAGCTACCCATCTTGCCTCTGCCATCAACAGTAACTTCAACGATGCGCATCCAAGCATCGAAGCGGCCATTTTCTCCTTGAGTTGACTTAAGCGAGTCGAGAGCTTGGAGAACCTTTTGGTGACCTCGTCCTTCTGCCCAGTGACACAAAAAGGTGAGCACTTCACTGACGAGTTTCCTGGTGTTAAGTCGAGGAGAAATGAGGGATGCACCGAGGGCATTTACGATAGGGGCGTGTTCGAGAGCATCATCCGCTCCATACTTGTTGTTCATCAATGCTTTCAGACATTTGACGATATCGTATTCGCGGTCCAAATCTTTGTCGTTAACGGTAGGATTTGTCGGGCCTGTCGTCTGCTTGCGATTGTACTTGCCGAGCACATTTGCCAAAGCAACTTGACCCTGTGCTTCCACAAATGCCTTGACCCATCCGATAGGCTGGGTACGCAGACTGACGGCCAAACTTTGCAATTGCTTCGCGCTGATCGAGTTGTCCAGAACTTTGCGAACATACCATTCTGGGCTCCCTTCCTCATCGGCGCGGCCCAGAATGCCCAGACTCGAGTCTGCGTTGATTGTTGTCCTCGCATGCATGCGTCTCTTCTGTTCACCCTGCCACTCAGCCAGTCTGTCCTGATGTACCAAAGTCCATTTCTTGTTTATAGGGTATGCTTCCATTTGTCTACGTGCCTGTTCAGGCAAACTCTTCCACCCACGCTTGTGCATGAGTTCCAAGAATTCTTTTTCGATAACGCGATCATCAGACGGCCGTTGTAGGTTGAATCCATCTGGCGAGAAAGATGCAGTAGAGCTGAAGGCTGACGGCTGGTTGGCGCTGAGGAAGCCATTCTGTTGAGATCCACGGGTGGATGAAGGGGCTAATTGTGGTAGGAGGGTGGTCGAGTCGAGCGACATGTTGGGGAACGAAGATGGCGAATGTTGCGGGTGCATGGATATCGAGGTGCGATGGCTGTGACTAGAGCGTATGCTGGCTCTATCCGAAGCAGGGTATTGGTCATACTGCGAGTGTATTGAGTTCTCATAGGAGCTTGTTCGGCCAGTGCTGGCCAGCGAGTATTGCGATGCATGTTGCGGCGGCCGTGGTGCAGTAGGCAGTTGTGTGTTGTTCTCTGGTAGGTAATCGACACGTACTGGCGACCGGGTATCTCGAGGTACACTGTCGTAGGGGATGGCGGTCATGAGGCCAGCGCCATGATCGATAGAGTGACGCGAGGAATGCGAATGCGACGACGAAGGAGGCTGCTGATACTGATGCTGTTGCTGGTGCGGAGGAGGCACAGGCGGTAGGGGGTTTTGCGACCAGTTCGAAGGCAGCGAGGGACTGTCAGGCACTTGCTCATTGTGCTTGTCCTTGTGGTGACGGCGCGAGAAGAAGGACTTGCCGCCCGACGTCTGCCGTCCTTTGGCATCGCCCGAGCCCGAAGAAAACATGGCCGCTCTAGTGTGAGATGTTCATGTCAGGTGCGCCGTCCGTGTCGTGTGGCTGTCCAAAAAGAGCTCTGTCTTCAACAAGCTTCGTCGACGCAGGGATGCCGTAGCCAACAAGAGAGTCGTGTGCCCGAGTATGGCGGTATTAATGAGGTATGGAATCTTTCCAGGCAGGAACAAAAAAGATTGGCGGCGTCGTATGCTCCCAGTCCAATCTCCAATCTCGGGTCGAAAGGGAAAGAAGCACAAAGGCGGCTGACTGCGATTGCCCTGATTATCACTCTCTCTCCAAGACTGTCTCCTAATTCTTGCTTCCCACGCTCTTGCCACGTCAAGTCGGTCGGAGTCTCCAAGTATTGATGGCTGTCTCTACTGCCGTTACAGGGTCTCTTCTCAGCATTCAGCTTACAAAGGTCGAGGGCGACGTGCCGACCTTCATCAAACTTGCCGTACCTCCACATTTCAGGGTTAGACCGCAACCGCAACCGGTCCAGGGGCCCGTGCTTTCCGCCTTTGTTTCAACGAGTATCCTAATATCCTACTTCATCTGCGGTCCGTCTTTGTCTCAGACCATCACGTCTTTGAGCAATTCATGTATAAAACCTTATACTTTGTTCCCCTACATCATACGACACTTTTGTATAGCTATAGGGAAGTCGATACGGCCTCGGATGAACGACATAAAAGTGTCAGGAGTGAAATCCTTCCACATCAGGGCAAAGCATCAAATAGGCTCAATTCCAGATGGACCAGACCTCTCCGTTGACCTACGATTCGTGTATTCTAATGTTAAGATGCGAGGCAGTTGGGCTAGTCAGCCACTAAGAGCCCATACCTCGTACGTCATGGTTCAGTCTTCAGTCTACATGTTTGATACGTGCTGTTCATCGCCAATAGCAGATTGATGACACCAAAAATGAGGGGCCACAAGGCAAAATAAGAAAAAATGTTCTGTTATACTTGTAAAAGGAGATGATATACCAAGGAAAATGTTTTTGTCTTGCCCATTTTGTAGCACACGACCTTGAGAATTTCAAGCTTGGCTTATGTCAAGGTTGATATCTTTTCCCATACTCGTTTTCTTTCCTAACACATAGGCTTCGTTGTTGAGCCACATTCTCATTGAACCTTTGTTTAGTCGGTCATGCGCCATGAGTCGAGCCACTTCAGGTGAGTCCATTGAGTGTGGCTTCCCTCCATGCCGAAAGTAATTGCTCTGAACATCCAGAACAAGCCAATGACAACAGTGTAGAGAACAGCATAGACGCTGTATTGCAGAGCACGAGGGAGACGGCTTGTGACCCAGTCGGTGCAGAAAGCAAGGCAGAGGATAGCAAAGTAAAGAGCAGGGTAGTAGTGGTGGACGTAAGTGACACGACCCATGGCCATGAAAGGTCCGTAGTGCAGGACCCAGCCAATGACGGGGTAGATGCCAGAGTAGTGGATCTGGTCAATGTCCTTTTGCGACAGCTCGTTGTAGCCGCGTTGCCAGCGAATTACGTAGTATGCGACAAGAAGACCAAATGCGGGAAGAGCGGCAGTACTGGCCCAGTAGACGAAGGGGTTACCGAGGAGGAAGTATTTAACAATGTGGTCGTCCCAGCCGCACATGCGGAGACCAACATTGAGAAGAGGCCACTGCCAGGGAGCCGAAGCCAAGTCATCCTGCTTGTCAGGGTCAGGGACAAGGGCGTTGTTCGAAGTCATCATGGCGACGTTCAGGTGGATAAAGTCACGAAGGAAAGGAGATTTGTAGGCACCAGTGTCGGCAGCGGGAAGCTTGTCGTTCCAGTGGGACTCGACGTTCCAGTGAGTGTAGACATCACGAGGGTGATTTTCCTTGACACATGTTGTTTCGATCTGCTTGAAACCCCACTGGGGAAGGTTGACGTTACCAGCACGAAGGTAGCAGTTGAGATCAATGTGTCTGAGACGGAAAGCAGTGGTCAAGGTGCGGACCTTGGAGAAATCGCGCGAAGAAGCGTCATTGACAACCTCAACGACCCAGTGATCCTTGGTGTCACCAACAGTGGTGTTGCCATAGCACGAGACTTCGTAATCGGCCTTGGTGACGGGAGCAGCAATTGAGTGAGAGTGAAGGTTACGACCAGTCTGAGCGTGGATCAAACGAATGACATCGCCGTTGCCGACAAACTTGAGAGGAGCTTCGGGATCAAACTCGGGCTCGTGGCGGTTGGGGTAGAAGAACCAGTCGTTGTTGGCATCCTTGTGGTGGTAGCAAGTGATCTGCTGTTGTTGGGAACCTTCAGGGTAGGTCTGAACGTGAGAGTGCAGAAGACCACCACCATAGCCCATGTTCTTGAGGGTGGCACGAGAGCCAAGAGCGATTTCGAGAGGGCTGTCGACTCCGACTTCAGTGCCCTTGAGGTTGGCCTGGAAGAGAGAGCTCATTTGAGCATCACCAGGACCGCTGTTCTCAAGAATCAAGAAGTGGAGGTAGAAGGAGAACATGTAGACGACCAGAGGGATGATGATCAGGCCAACAACGCGGAAACCGAGGTGAGCTGCGAGCTCAGTCTGGAGGAATCATGTCAGCGCGAACATCTTGTTTCTACCACATCATTTGGGCATACCTTGGGCATCTTGAGGTCGCCGAACTTGTTCCAGAGATCTTCAATGGTGTACAGACCAACCAAAGCAGTTCCGAACATACCAACCCACTTGACACTGCAGACACAACCGATTGAGAGACCGCTGAGCAAAAGCCACAGAAGCCACTGAGCAGAGAAAGACTGGTTCTGGAGTCTGTGGAAGCGAGCCCAGCAGAGAACAGTGGTGAAAGTAAAGAATAGAAGCATCGAGTCGAGCAGAATGAAGCGACTGATAGTAGCATACGAGTTCTCGAACAGAACCATCAGAGTGACAAACCAGGTGGTGGTCTTGCGGAAGTTGAGCTCCCTTGCTGTGTAGTAGGCCAGAGGAATGCACAGAGCACCGAAGGCTGCATTGAACTGGCGCATAAAGACGTAGTTGATCTCCTCAGGGTAAGTCTCACCAGACTTGAACTCGAAGGTACCGTTGTATCCGGCCAGATAACCCGAAAGGCCAACCAGCATCTTTCCAAGCGGAGGGTGGACATCGAAGTAGAACTCGCGTTGCAGGTAGTGCGATCCGAACTTGCCGAAATGCGCCTCATCCCAGGTGACAATGGGTGAGAGGCCAATCTTCCATAGACGGGTGAAGAAGGCGAGTGCGGTAAAGAGGATGGGTGCGAAGATGGGCTCCCAGTCGTCGATGACATTCAGAAAGCTCTTAGCCTGGAGTTGATGGTCAGTTTGGATGCGCAGTAAGCTGGATAGGGCTCTATTCACCTGCTGCTTCTTCTTGTCATCAATGATGGGCTGCTGTTGGACAGCGCCATTCTGTGCTGGAGCGCCAGCTCTTCTTCTCAACTCGGCAGCATCGCGGTCTGCGCCTGTTGCGAATGCCTGATTTGTTGCAGCCATGTCGACGAGGTAACGTGGCTGTTATGATCCGGTTGAGGTCGGAGTGTCTGGATGTGCTTGACCCTGCTTTTTCAGAAGCGCCTACTCAAGCTAGCTGGAGCTTCGAGTCGGCACAAGCAACGGAAACGAAGCACCAAGAATTACGAAAAGGTCAAAGTCGTCGGATGGACGAAAAGAAAGAAGAGATTACAACAAGTGGGAGAAAGAAGAGAAGGAGGAGAAACGTTCCTGGAAGGATGAGATAGAACGAGAATGCGCACCCCTTTCAAGATGCCAGCGTGGAGCTGATGGAACGGCCACTACTTCACTCCTTGCCCACCAAAAGAAGCTCTCGTCCCAGCTTTCGGAAACTACGCGTCCACCATCCCGCCGCCAAGACAAAGCAGGGGGCTCAAGGCCAACTGGCAGCTATTTTTATCCTTTTCTACTTCTCTATCAGATCATCTTATCTAGCACATCTATTTTTGCAGATCATCTATCTTTTTCTGTTTTCTTGCCTTTGCTTCTGATACCTTTCGGTGTTTTGTCTAGCTAACATCTCTTGGTTGGGATAGCAGAGAAGCTGTAGGCTTGGCGTTTGCACATGGTAAGAATGCTACTGTGCACCTCGAACTTCAACATTGCGAGCTTTGCCAGTGGACAAGGTTGACACTGTTAGCATCCATCTTGTTGCTATGCACGACAACGACTTGGTTTGTTCAAGGGGCAGAGTCCCGACAGCGGATCTTGGTGATGGCATGGCCCGAGAAAATCTGCTATTGAAGTAGAACTCGTCCAATCCCTCGTTGAACAGACGATTACCCTGCAGCGTCGGGCTCGATGTATAGCAGCCGCTGAAGCTCGAAAGCGCAGCGTAAGACATCTTGCAAATGGTGCCTCGTGGATAGCGAACGCCTTTGATTGGGTTCGTGGAATAGACGGAGAGCTATGCGATTGGATGTTTGAACACCACTCGCTAAGAAGCTGGCTGCCAATGCCATCGGATCTAAAATCAACGGGTATTGCAGACCAGACGCGCCTACAATGCACAAGGGCAGCACCACGGCTCTGATCAACAGGATCATCTATCAGCCAGAATGGGTATACAAAGGTCATGGTCTGTCAGGTGAGAGATCGGGAAGGGTGTTGAGGAGATCTGTAAAGGATGTTTAGTCCAAAGTATAGCTGATAGTGCTTTAGATGCGTTGGTTTGGGGTCTTATTTGGCGGTTTGATGGGCAAGTGATGTTGCCAGTACTTGCACGACAAACTAGTTGCGTCAAAACCTTCAACGAGTCAGATGCAAACCTTATGCCAAATTGGTCCTGTACGCATTCTTGTCTTCCTGGACTCACAAACACAACTATACATGCTTCGCTTGGGATTCAGTCCATACAATACTAGGTATGATAATTGATTGCTATATACGTGCTACTGCCTAGTCATACAATTGGTGCAGAATGTTGTTCCTCGGAGGGAATTTATTCAGCTTACCAGAGCTCACAAGTAGGTGCCTTGACAGGACAGTCGAAGGCTTCTCTGAATTCGCGCGAGTTGGCTGTGGTACCCTGAATACTGTCAGCATGAAATCCTTACAGTACTGTGGATTTGCACATACCTTGATTCTGAACATGTCAGGGCTGTGGGGATCTGTGTAGATTCTCTGCACGATTTGCTCCTCCCTGTATTTTATCAGCGCTGATACATGTTCAAGACCGATGAGTCACATACCTCATCTTGCCGCACCAAGTCTGTCCGTAAGCGAGGAAGAAAATTTGCTCCTTCGTGAAGTGGTCAAGGCCAGGTAGCATGAGATCTGCCTTCTCATCATCGCGTCGTTTCCAAGACTGATAAGCGGCGGTAAGGCCACCGGCATCAGCAATGTTCTCGCCCAGTGTAAGCTTTCCGTTGATCGGTAGACGGCCGTTTTTGGTGGGGACAGTGTAGTTGTGGTATTGCTCGACAAAGCAATCGGTTTTGGTCTTGAAAGCCTCGATGGTGGGTTTATCCCACCAATCGGTGTAGTTGCCGTTCTGGTCGTAGTTCCTGCCGGATGAGTCAAAAGCATGAGACAGCTCGTGACCAGCAACGGCACCAAACGCGCCGTAAGAGAGATATCTGGGTATAGAGGGGTCATAGAAGACTGGAGCCTGCATAATTCCTGCTGGGAACACGATTTCGTTGCCAGGAGGATTATAATAGGCATTGACCGTCTGAGCACTCATGCCCCATTCGTCCTTATCGACTGGTTTCCCGGCTTGCGACCAGCTTTCGCGGACATCGTGTTTGACAACCGATAGCTTGTTCGCAAAGTATGTTGTCGCGGCGATACTGATGTTGCTGTAATAGTGTTGCAATTCTCCCGCGTTGGTGATGTCAGGGCTTTGGGTAGGATATCCGATCTTCTGGCGGATAAGATGGACCTTTTCGATTGCCAGCTGACGAACGCTTTCGGTCATCCATTCAGATTCGTTGAGCTTGATGGTGAATTCATCCTTGATGTCAAGGATGATCTGATCACCTAGGTCTTTCGCCTCCTTGGAGAACGCGCGCTCCACAAAGAAACGACTCATGATCCATTCTGTTTTAGATTAGTGAGAAGGTTATCATAGTATGCGAGAAACTTGCCACTTACCAAGATCGCTACCGACCGAACTCACGCATGTTCTCCAGCGCTCTTGCTTAACGTCAGGAGCTTTGCCTTGCAGTTTATTCCTGAAGCGCAAAAGAGGCTGGACAGCAGGGTCCTCAACAGCTCCAGCCCAAGATTGGACTACCTTCCAGACCAGATAAGTCTTGATGGTCTTTCTTGAAGACGACTTAAGGATCTGAGAAAGATCCTTCAGATAGGATGGTGAGCCAACAATTATCTTCGAGGGTGTGTAGCTAGGTGCAAATGTGTCAAGGATGTGAGTTATGGATATCTCTGAGTTATAGGCTTCAGTCTCTTTCAATGTACGTGGGTTGTAGTACTTTGTAACATCGGCAGCATCCTCTGGGTCCGGAGCAGCGTTGGCCATAGACTTTTCGAGAGCTACTAGGCTGTCGACAAGATCCTTGCTCAGCGCCGAAGAGTCGTTGTCTTCATCAGACATGAAGGAGAGTGCACCGGGCTTGGCCTCCTTGAGAAGAGCTTCCAGAACAGTTCCGATGGTCTCTTTGTACGATGCAACAATCTCTGCACGTTCGTAGTATTGTTTGCTAGGCAATCCAAATGACCAAGGAGCACCAACAGAGATGACATTGACATCAGGATCCTTATCATCGGCACCAACATCAACAGAGACGGGGCCTGCAACGCCAATTGACATGAGATACTCAACCGCCTTGGTCAGTGATTCGTCCTTCTTGCTTGACTTTGATTTCTCAGGATAGATGCCATCGAGTTGCCAAAGAAGATCCAGCAGAGGCTTTGATCCAATGGAAGCGAGCAATGTCTCATTCATACATGCGTTGTATCCGTCCTGCAATTTGGTGAAAATCTCCTGGTCCGGGTTCGCTGCAGTCCAGAAAAGCGAAGTATCTTTTGGAGCGGGTGATTCCAAGATATGCTTCAAAATGAGCTGGTTATCCTCGTTCATGATCTGAAGGTTGCCGACGCCAGCTTGATCCTCTCGAATCTCGTGGCTAGCATCGAATCCAGAGCAGACATACGTGCGGAAGTCATCGCAAGGATCCAGCTTCTCGTAGCTGAGAGCTTCTTAGCATTGCTCTGCGGAGCATAAAGATTGATTGTTACCTTGGTGCAAGACTACGGAGGATATTTGCAGATGCGAGCACACATGCAGCAGACGTGCAAAGCTCGGTCTCATTCTTTGATGGATCCGAAGGTTCCTTATCGTGGTGGTGTTTCTTGTTGTGATCGTGAGGGTCATGGCGTACAGAACTGTTACGAACGCTCTGAATAATTAATGGGATGAGGACGAGTAGGAGGCAAAGTATGATGATCAAATAGACACCATTACGTAGCAAGAAGCGCTTGATACGGGTGCTAGTCGACTCGCGCGACTCAGCATGATCAGTTGTTGGTGCATCACCATCCAGCAACGGTGTACGCTCGTTCCTGTTGTTACCTGCCATAATTTCACTCTGGCAGGTGTTGTAATTGATAGAAAGAGAGTTGCTGCTGCCTGCTACAAGACGACGACATCCAGTCGGGGAAGCGGGGTCGGCTACTCCTGCATGGGAGCTTTGACCAGGCTGAGCTCTTTATAAAAATGGATTGTCTGCACTGCATTCTCCTTCGAGACTCTTGATCTATACTTACAAAGTCTACAAGATCTGAGACATGCCATACTCGCTAGCCAATTCCTAAGCCTGACTGCGTTCAAGACTGGAAGTGAGGAATGAAGTCAAAAAGCATTTCGGGGGATACTGATACCGACGGAGCTATCTATCCGCTAAATCCGCGATTGCGTCTGTCCCTGTCGATCTTTCTTGATGTCGATTGCACACCAGCGAGCTCATCATTGGCCCGCTCGCATCGATATGGCGCGGAATTGCAAGCTTGAAATGCAACCTTCAGTGCGCTCGGATCAGACCACGCCGTAGACAGACGTTCAAGCACATGTATAAGATAGGGTCGGGCTCCGTTCCCTCTTCCCAAGCATATCGAGTTTTGTCGTCAAATCATAAACATCCGTGAAAATGGCTCTAAGCGCAGGATCTACCTTGCCCGAGGTCTACGAGACCTATGATGCTATTGCACCAGCCAAGTATGCTGGTAAGCTACAGGACAAAGTGGTTCGTCATTTGCGCTGCCAAATATTCTGAGACCAAGGCTAACCATTCATTCAGGTCATCGTCACCGGTTCGTCAAGCGGCATTGGTCGATCCATCTCCAAGGCCTTTGCTGCCGCTGGCGCATCTGTCGCTGTTGTCGCTCGTCGTGAAAAAGACCTCCTTACCTTAGTTGACGAGATTAAATCGGCCAACGGCAAGGCTGTCCCTATTGTCGCAGATGTCGCTGCAAGAGGTGCTGCCCAAAAGATTGTAGCACAAGTCGAGAAAGAGCTAGGGCCCATCGACATCTTGGTCAACAACGCAGGCATCTCGCGGCTCGGCCCTCTAGATGGTGAAGACGAGGACCTGGACATCTGGTGGCGTGTACACGAAGTCAATGTCCGCGCCCCTGTAGCCCTGATTCGTGCAGTACTGCCATCCATGATCAAGCGCAAAACCGGCGTCCTCATCACCACTGGCTCCGCTGTTGCCACGATCACAGTACCTGTAATGACTGCATATTCATCATCCAAAGCCGCCATCAGCAAGTTTCACGAAAGTTTGACCGAAGAGCTTAAAGACACAAATATCGTGAACTTCTCTGTTCATCCTGGCGTCGTGAAAACAGAGCTAGGCAGCGCCGAGGGCGCCATGAACAAAGCGCACTCTGAGCATCCTGCGGTGCAAAGCTTTTTCAAGATGCTGTCGAGTAGTCACATGAAGGGTCAAACACCAGAACTGTCAGCCGACACTATGGTTGCCCTTGCTGCTGACCCGCGTTACAAGGTGCTTACTGGCCGACACATCAACGCTACTCAGGAGCTTCCTCCTGTTGCCGAGGAGGCAGAAAAGGAAGGCATGGGCCGCCTTGGAAGAGACAGGTTGTACCTCATCACTGTTCCCACTTTGTAAAGCTTCGACAGACTATACATAAGTTGGAAGTTAACCATGAGAAAATAGAACAAGAGTTACTGTTCATTGCTACTCGGTCTTGTTTAGTCTTACGAGTTCCGTGCTGCTGTGTCAGTAATGTTATTCTGTGAAGAGGGCAGCAGCATAAGAATTGCCTTTCGGCCCGAGTTCGTCCGACGAGTCCGAGCCCAGCTCCTGCCTCTCTCGAGCCTGCTTGACTTACTTCGTTCGTGAACACAATCAAGTGACGGATTGACCGCAATACGCGACAACGTTCAGAAGGTCGTCAGGCTTTAATACCTATCAAACGCTGGGTCCTGAATACCGTGCCCCGTTGTTCCAGTCTTGCGACCGTCCTGCTTGTTCGAAGCCTGATCGAGTTACCAGCCACGAGTACAAACACCGCTCTACGTTCGCGTCGACTCTGCTTTTGACTATATGACTGCTCTCTTCTCTAGCTCTTTTCCAAATTCTCTGGATCCGAAGTCATGGATCCGATCAACGTGAACCTACCCGTCGAGCTTCTAGACCATATCATACGATTCACGATACCAGATTCGGATTACCTAGCGTACTCTGCGTCACATCCTACGACTAAGACATTGCTGGCGCTATGTATGGTCTCGAAAGCCACTAACCGTAGTGCAAAAGCCTTGCTTTATACTCACTGTCTTTACATCGACGAGCCATGGCGTCTAGATCTCCTACTCACGAGATCTTTTTGTCAACCGGACTTCCAGACCTCAGCCACTCACATCAAGAACTTGTACCTTTCGCCATTCTCCAGAGATACAATTCGTGAGCCAAAAGTCGTTACCCAGGTTGCAGAACTCTTCACTCTCCTCAGTCCGAGCCTCAAGCGACTAATCATCAACATGCCGCTGCGGTCCCACTATCCTGAGGAAGATACTGTCGACAAGTTGCGACCCATTCTTCGTAGCGGCTTCGAACAGCTAGTGCACCTCGAAGAATTTTGCAGCATAGAGGACGAATTGTATCTTGCGTATTGGGATCCGACATTCTCCCAACAAGTCCATCTCAATGAGGTTAATGACTTTATGTTTGAAAGATGGACAAAACTGAGCCGCCTTGCACTCTATAATCAAATGCTTGACCCAGCTTTCTCGGCAGTACTCGCACGTATGCCAAATTTGGAGAAGGTCGTCTTGTCTGAACCGGACTACGAAGGAGATGAGATTTCATGGGCGAGTGACATGGCCCACCTGTTCGGTGACCGCATCCGATTCACGGTTGTCAACGCCACAGACAGGGCTCCCGAGGCTGGAATTCGAAGCATGAAATGTACGATCGAGTCTTCAAGAGCGCAATCTGATACGTGGAAGTACAATGTTTTTACGAGCGACGACCTCGATGAAATCCCTGCCGTACAGAACTGGTCGCTACAATGCGCGCTTGATGGAAGCTTATGGTCTTTGCCTGACGACTTGGACACCCATTGATAGATGGTCTATTCCCATCAAGATATCACCAGAGTATTTGAATGATTCTATACCTACACAGCATCTCTCAGCCTTTGCAACCTGATTGGTATAGCCGCTTGGTCCATCAACTTCTTCTTTTGTTTGGATGATATGCAACGGGTGTGCTTTTGCTTGCTCTGACAACAACGTGGCAGCCAGCACACGATGGTTATACTATTGAGAGTTCTAACACACCACGCAACGTCAGGGAGTAGTCTCGAGCCTGCTGGTGTATCAACCTTTTGAGAGATCTCTTGTCCGCCAAGGATGTGCAGGCGTGCTTGACACGTGCTGATGGGAAGTGGGGTGTCATCGGACTTTGACATGTTTGTTTCAGAGCAAACACAACTTCACTTCAACATCTTGACAACCCATGGCAGCCGAACTACCACAAGAGATTCTGTCCATTATTGCTGCATATTCCGCAGCCGACAATCAGAAGTTGGCAAACTATGCTCTTGTCAACAGAGCATGGCAAGCGGCTTTTGAGGACAAGATCTACTCCACGCTCTCTGTGCTTAGCCCATCACAAACCACGGAGATTGTGGTTGGAGACAATCTGAAGTTCAAGAAGCGTGGACTGACACTTGAACAATTCAAGTCCGCTACGAGTGGCCCACAGAACTGGTGCATTGCGAGAAGAAAAGCTGTTCGTAGAATTATCTACAGAATCGCTGTGCCACATTGGCTGGACGACGCACGAGAAAAGGAAGATGGGTTCTTCTACGACAATTTCATGAGAAGAGAGAACGACGGAGCCTTTTGCAAGGGTCTGCCACCAATGTTTGAGGTTCTGTCTACTTGGGGCGACAAAGATCATCCCATCTCGTTGAGCATTGTTCTGCAGGCCGAACACGTCTATACTTCTGATCAAGGCGGCGAGCCCTTCACGAGATCATATGGTGGATTTGACCCGCTGGTCACTACTTATCGTGCCAGCTTGCCATCGGACTGCAGTATCCCCATCGCAAAATGTGTTGCTTCGCTGGATTTCCCCGAGGCTTGGACACCTGCTGCCATGGGCTCTGAGAATGGTATCTCGCCATCAGCTGCGTTCAAGATCTCTGCCGCTTGTGGTGGTGATAAGTTACTCTCCATGCGCATCCCAGGTGACTATATGATACCTCCTCACGACGCCGCCTGTGAAATACAGGAGCGCGATAGCACCGGCAATAACATGCATCTACTGCCCACCAGTGTGCGAAAACTTGATATCGACTGGCCTGAGCTCGATACTGACGAGGGTCCCGTCCGAACATCACCACCTACCTTCGCATTGCAGCCAGACGCGCTCTCGGCAGCTCTGCACACCGTGTCCTTACAGCTGCGCGAATTGCATACGGAGAAACTTCATCTTCTGCCGGATTTTTTCAGATGTTCTTCGTCATGCTCGCACCACTGGCCGAACCTTGAGATGCTCGAGATTTTGCTCATACCCTACGATATCTTCGGCATAAATCTACAATATGATCACGAAGTTACAGGCGAGCCCAAGCTCGCCAATGACTACTTCGACAGCCTGTACGAAAGTGTCGGATATGCTGCGCGACGGATGCCTAAGATCAAGTACCTTATGTTATCTTTTGGCCACGAGGACGATGTGTTAGAAGTCACGACATTGAGAGGGCGATGGCAGGTTGCCATCGAGTCTCCAAATGGCTACAGCCTATCGCCGAGAGTGCTGGAAGCATGGAAAGCGGATGAGGGCAATCAACATATCAACACGAAAGGTTTGTTTATTGCCGAGTATGAGAGTTGGCCGCCATGATAAGTACAGGTAGTTAGGACATTTCTTTTGTGGTAGAATATCTTATGTTAGATAGTGATTTATCCAAAGTTATGCAAGAGTTGTGTAGATGCGTTGCCGAGCTTTAACCATGAGCACATCTACATCTACTTCGCCGGAGGACCCGATAATGTCTGCATCCACTTTACTAACTCAAGCTAAAGAGCTTGCTGCGAGTATCTTGAACGCTTTGAAAGTTGTTAGATACTCTCTCGCTGCAGTGAGGGTGTCTGACCATGAAGCTTATTCCCAACTTCTTTCTGCGCTCAGCGACGCGTCTGCTGCTTTTCCAGGCAGTTTTTGCCTGGCTGTTCATGCGGATCCGTTCCACGCACTTACCCTCAGCACTGAGAATGCCTTTGATGGGCGCTACCGGCCTGGTGATTGGAAACACCCAGTCGTATCTGGACTTGTACGCTGGGTTTGACCTACCTTGGGAAGCAACATTTTTTCTGCCAATCCTGTTCAATGAATACATCAAAAGCACTATGCCTGAGCTCGCTATCCTTTTGGGCATAACACCATGCTTCCATGACGTAGTGTACAAGGATGGAGGAAGGCACTGCAGGCAAGATCTTGCATATGACTGCTTCACACACGCTCTCCTCGAGGACGGCAAGCAAAGTCTCAAAGTCATGGAAGATTGCTACGAGGACTTTGGATATACGGCTACAGAAGCTTTACAACATCACAATCAATGTCATGCAAGCGACGACCTCGAGTTCACAGGAGCTGCGGCTTGTGTGAGAGCTGGAGCGCATCTCGTGAAGAAGCAGAAGATATCGCTCAGGATATTTCCTGCTCTGAGGTGCAATATCATGTATGCAGGGTGGGACATCATAACTCCGATGCTGAACGAAATAGGAGCGCAAGTAGACACGCGTGGATCATCTGAATTCTGCTGGAAGAATATAGATCTTGCTAATTGGACAGTCTCAAGAACTAGGACAGGAAGAATGCAGAGTATAATCAGAAATGGAAGATAGCATGACAGTGCAAGTCCGATTGAAAAATCATACGCATTGCATCGCGCGAGCCTTGCGACGCGGAAGAAGCTGTCGACAGCTCGCGCAGGAAGATAGAGTCCGACTCGAGCATTGAGAAAACTCTTCTACAATCTGCCGGCGAAACGTTTCGCGAAAATCCTTTTGCAAGAGTCGTGAGGAGATGCAAAACTGTGTCTCCTTTTGATACAAGCAGCAGTGGTAGTGATGACGTGGACACCCCAAGTCACTGCTTTTCATGGCAGTCGAAGAGAAGCAACGAGTATCGTGCTTATGTTGTTCTTGCAGCATCTTACCGGGGCTGTTTAGCTATTGGTCGTCATGACATTCTTCTGAGTTCAACTTCGAGTGAACACAGTGGATTGCAATATCGGCAGGTGCTGAAGTAAGGAAAACGACAATCAAGGTGTCATATCAGGACGAAAGCATGAATAAAGGACGACGCGAGAGATAGTTGGGCCATGGCACTTGGGAGTCCCACAAAGAGCGCGTGATACTACTGTTTAGTACTAGCAGAGATGCAAGAAAAGACAATTGAACCGAGAGTTACCAGGGCATACTTAGCAGATGGCGAGCATTGATTATCAAAGACAGGGTTGTATCTGCAACGTCCGAAAGAGGAGAATCATGATCAACTCAATGCATACTGACGTGAGAGGAAGACATGTTGTTAAGAGAGGACGTATAGAAGACCAAAAGAGAAGGAGAGAGTGTATGGATCAAATGGCCTTTGCCACGCTTGTACCTGATGTATAAACTCACGTCATGCCGACATAATAGAGGAACATGCAAGACTGCAACTGCGCCAGCCACGCATGCGATCAGATTGCAAAAAGTCTCTACTTAAAAGCAAAGAACGATTGAATCGTGACACAATGTGATCCGAGCCACAAGGTATCAAGGCACTGTTGCACCGAGCCCTGAGAGTTGTCTAGCGCTCAGATGTCAGAGCTCACTGGGGGAAATAGTTTGTGCTTCATCAATTGGCGATGTGCAGGCACTGCCTGAGCTTTATACCCTTCTTCCTAGCTCTTTTCGTGTTCTGGCGACCGGTCAGGAGATGCTGTTGGTGGTGCCGTTGAATGGGCGTCGTGCAAGTGTCTTGTAATATCGTAGACGTAGTTGAAGCATCGCATGTTTCTAATTCCTTCCTGGACAGCTTCCTGATCAGCATGATTGTTTGGCTGTGCTCTTCGTATCCAGGGAGAATTTGGAGGCTTTGTAGTCCCTAGAGAATCGAAACCATACTTAATGGATCTCTTTTGGTAGTTCTGCTCAGATTTGACCAGAGTGCCCAACGACATATCGCTAGAAATTCGATCGAAACATGAGCGCCGTGCAGTCTCCTAAAATCTTCCTTTACGTCTGCTACACTGCCCCTGCAGCTTGTGTAAGAGTAAGTGTGACACTGCTTAAATCCATTGCCAGGTGCTTGTTCTTTTTGCAAAGATGCGACTGCTGTTAAGAGGTCGTGAAGCATGGGAACAATCGCCTGTTGAAGTAGGCATTGAGTGTTTTCAGCCAGGAAGAAGCAGGGGCCTGTTGGATATTTCACAGCTGCTGTCAGTGGCCGCAATTTTGCATGATCCTGCGTTTTGAAGCTCTGAATTGAGACCATCCATATTCAATTGTCGACACGAATCTGTCAACTTGAAATTGCGATCATATTGCCGTTGCAGTGCCAATGTAGACACGTGTAGCAATAATCTGTGGTCGTCCGATACACGTAACCCTCTCCTTAGCGGCACCCGAGTGGGCGGAGTTGGCGATAGCACTGACAGCATCGTCTTAACCCCAATAAAGCAGCTTGTCTTTGTTTGCGCAAGACGTCGCAGAGCGAGGTCACAGGCGGAAGGCGAAGGCAATTGTCAAAGTGACAAGGACCTTCCTCCATAGCCTTCTTGTGGTTTCTGTACTTCTGGCAAAACATCGTCGATGAGACCAAACGATCGTTGATATCTAATTCTGGTGAACTGTTTGTTGTCCGTGCTTTTAGCAAGAGGTGTGAAGATCGAGGATTTGGCGGGGCAATGACAGTCGGAGCTGTCGGAAGCTTTCGATTTCGCATCTCAAGAGGGCCGTGCAACACTGACATCACACCAGACCATGAGGTTTCGTCCCACCATTGGATCATCTGGAGCTCCTGCCACGAAAATTGTCGCAGCAAACCGGTGCCACAAACAAGTCAGAATTCGGCCCTTTCAATCGACGTTCTGTCAAGCCGCAAGTTTGCTGTGCTAAGGGCTGGTTTAATGTTGGTTTGTATCTGTTGAGGCTCGTTGACTGGGCCACCTCCAGCCCCACGACCCCGCCTATGAGGTCAGTGAAAGAAGCGTGGTGAAGCTGCAGGACCACCGAGGACGATTTTTGGCTGGATCCCAGCAGAAAATATGACCTCAGCCCATCGAGCGGTAAGAGGTGAACGAAGGAAGCTTCTTTTTTAAATAGCTATCTTTTCCCCTGCACATCTTTCCTCTCTTCATCCTTTTTTCATACCAATCTATCTTCCCTTTTCCTACCAACAACCCCACCAAATCACATCAACATGCCTATCTCTATCCCCAAGGGCGAGAAGCTTATGGACCTGCTCTCCATGAAGGGCAAGGTCACCATCGTCACCGGTGCCTCCGGTCCCCGTGGTATGGGCATTGAGGCCGCTCGCGGTATCGCCGAGATGGGCGGTAACGTTGCCCTCACCTACGCTGGCCGTAAGGAGGGTGGTGAGAAGAACGCCGCCGCCCTCGAGAAGGAGTACGGCATCAAGGCCAAGGCCTACAAGCTCGACGTCGCCAACTACGAGTCTTGCTGCCAGCTCGTCAAGGACGTCATTGCCGACTTCGGTCAGATTGACGCCTTCGTCGCCAACGCCGGCAAGACCGCCGACTCTGGTGTTCTCGATGGCGAGATCTCCGCCTTCGAGGAGGTTATCCAGACCGATCTCCTCGGTGTTGCATACTGCGCCAAGGCCGTCGGCCACCACTTCAAGGAGCGCAAGACCGGTTCTTTCGTTATCACCGCCTCCATGTCTGGTCACATCGCCAACTTCCCTCAAGAGCAGACCTCTTACAACGTCGCCAAGGCTGGCTGCATCCACATGGCCCGCTCCCTCGCCAACGAGTGGCGCGACTTCGCCCGTGTCAACTCCATCTCCCCTGGATACATTGACACCGGTCTTTCTGACTTCGTCGACAAGGAGACCCAGAAGCTCTGGCACTCCATGATCCCCATGGGCCGTGACGGTGACGCCAAGGAGCTCAAGGCTGCCTACGTCTACTTCTGCTCTGACGCCTCTACCTACACCACCGGTTCCGACCTCGTCATTGACGGTGGTTACTGCGCCCGCTAAACAGATCGCTGGCTGATCTGTTTTTGGTCGAAGCCCAACTTCACCTCCCTTCTATGAAAAATAGTTAATTATTACCTCATGACGGTCATGAAATGAAAATATGATTCCTAGTCCACTTCCATCTTCTTGATCTCGTTTCATTCATTCTACCTCCGATGTGATAGTCAACAACCTGACCGGCATGATCATCAAAACCGCCCGCTCCATATCGGCTCTGGGTGTCTTCCCTCTCATCAGTCAAGTCTCAACCATGGCGAGAGTCACAGTATCAAGGACCAGAGTTAATCATATCTTAGTTACCATACAATCAGACCTCTTCACACAATCGTCGGATGAGATTCCGCTACGACAGCCAACCGATCAACGACAGGATTTCTTAGGCAAATGCATTTCATCGTGCCGCCCTCAGCTCAGTTACCCAGCCAATTGAACATTTTGCACACGTCAAACCCGAGTCCTCACATTATCAGCTCAATCAACCTATCGACACGGTCGGACACTCGATGATAAGCAGAGCACGGCAGTAGCCTAAGCTCACTGACAAAGAGGAGGACATTAAACGCCCAACAACGAAGAGCAAGAGAGACCCAGAACAACCAGGCCAGGATATCAGGAACATACGAGTTCTGAAGTACCATGTCGTTCTCCACTGTGAACAAGATGGTCTGTACACGAAGCAGTGTTTCAATGGGACACGTACGGATGGTCGAAAGAGTCTATGTCGAAGCAGCAGAGGATAGTATTTACACACTGCTGTACTGATTCTAACGCGCAGCATAAAAATGCCTAGTCTTAGGCACACTAGCATCTTGTTCTCCATTCATGTGAGCGAATCCTCCTTCCAGCGCGCGGTTCATATGGGGTAACGCGCCGAGAAGCCTAAGGATGTAACTAACAATGCAGTCCAACCAATAGAACCCTACCATGGCGACTTGGTTTTCTCACCTTGTATCAGGATAGACCCAATGCTTCAAAGACTGCTAGGCATTCTTTGTATCATCCTCTTTGTGTGACACCATAGCGCTGTGTGCCAACTGAATCCCAGAGGGCAATGAGCAGTTGGCCAGTAGTCTGGAATAGCGACATGCTAGCTTGAGAATCTGAAACAGAAAGGTGTTTCCAGCTAGATAGACTATATTATTGTTTAATTGATACTTGAACAAATGAGCATCGAGTGTCCAATGGCTTTTCGAAACAAACACAACAACGAAAAGCCCTAGCCCGCACACCTTTGCAACAACATCCAGTCAAAGCATGTCAGGTGCCATGATTGCCATAGGTATAAGTTTGAATTATACACACAGACATATTGCATAAAGTCAAGACTGCACAGTCATTGCTCAGGCCAAGAACTGCTGACAGTATTCAAGTAGTCTGATACATGAATAAGACTACATGTTCCTTTACCTATCGCTTAATCCAGCATCAACAGCTTTAATCTGCAGAGCCAGGAATTTGCTGTAGATCCTGCAAAGAGCAAGGTTGCCTCCCATATACCAGAAGTGAGGATGGCCTGAAGGTCGCCACATCTGTTTTCCCAATGTCAGTCATAGCCACGGATACAAAACAAGAATGATAGAGAAGCACTTACCCCATTCAACTCGCCCTCCTCGTCCAAATCCCAAACATCAAGGACCTTGTCCGCAACCTCGTCACCAAGAATCTTACGACAAGAAGTACGCATGTTATCGTAGCCTGTCGCCAGAACCACCACATCGGCTTCGACGAAATTGCCGTCTGCGAGTCGTACACCAGTGGCTTCGAATCCAGAAATTCCTTCAGCACAACGCACGACTTTTACTTTTCCGGAAGTGATCAGGTCGCTGCAACCTACATCGATGTAATAGCCTCCTCCTTTGGTCATGTATTTTCTGAACAAGCCGGAGCCGTCATGCCCGAAATCGACTTTGAAGCCTGCTTTCTCGAGGCCGTCGAGGTTTTCTTTTTCGGCTTGTGCGATGGAGGCGGTAAGGTTTCTGCCTAGTGCGAATTGAACAGGCATGGGTAGGGATTGGGAGTAAATGTCTGCGTCAGAGGTGGGAGGGCCGGTTTCATCGTAAGTGCCGGCGTGCAACATGTGTCCTCCCTTTTCGGCTTGAAGCACGTAGGTGCCTGAGCGTTGCAGCATTGTCACTGATGCAGCGCCCGCTTCGAAGTAGTTTTGGGCAATATCGTGGCCGCTGTTTCCAGTCCCTACGACGAGGATTTTCTTGCCTGAAGCGGAAGAGGGGGTTGCGTCTTTGTGGGCGCTGCCGTGGTAGATTGTGCCGTTAAAGGAGTCTTGGCCTGGGAAAGTAGGGATACGGGGTTCGCCGCTGTGGCCTGTGGCGAGGATTAATTGGGATGGGTGGAGTGTTCTTTTGCTTCCGTCTGCTTTTGTGATTTCAACTGTCCAGGTTTTTGAGGAGGGTGAGTAGGCTGCTGAGTTGACGGAAGAGGAGAGCCAGATGTTGAGTTCCATCAGACTGGCATAGGCTTCGAACCAATCTCCAAGCTTGTCTTTGGGCGTGTAAAGAGGCCAGTTGGATGGAAAAGGTAGATAAGCCATGTGAGCATAAGTCACAGGATCGTGAGTGACCAAGGTGCGGTATCGAGAGCGCCAGTTATCTCCAACGCGAGCCTGCCTATCCATAATCAAGGTCGAGAGTCCCAGAGCTTGCAATCTAGCAGCGAGATTCAGACCAGCTTGGCCGGCACCAATGATCAAAGCAGTAGGTTCAGAATCAACAAAGTCATAGGTGGTCTGTCTTCGCTCGAACCAGTTTGCACCAATCGAGGAATTCTGACCTCCATGAGCGCGACGAGCACCGGTGGTTTCTTCATGGCCCTTGATTTCGTCGAGAGCGGTGTACAGCATATGGGCTTTCCAATCACCATCAGCAGCTTGAGCTAGACGAAGAAAACCACGACCCCTGCCTGTACTGGTTTCGAAAGTGAAGATGGACTGAACCCAGTCGAGTTCTGGAAGGGGAGTAACGATGGAAGGAGCGTAAGCGTCATCGTCTGAAGCCAAAGACAAGGGACGTAGATTTATAGATGAGAGGATTGGAGACAAAAAGGAGATTATGGCAGGTAGACCATGCAGAGTACGCAGATCCCAGGAAAGGCCTACGTGGTCACGCCACCAGCTGTCTTGATGGAAGACGGTAGATAGACGAGAGGCATCACCAGAAGAAAGGACTGCTGTGAAGCGTTCAAGCCAGTTTTGGGCAATTGAACGTGGATTCAAGTTGGTGGAGGGATGGTGTGCAGTTTCTGGAGTTTTGAAATGGGACAAGGAGATGTCATGAGGTTGGGGAGGTGTAGCAAGCATTGTGGTGGTGAGGACGTTTGAGAAGAAGATTGAGGATACAGAGACAATCAAAACAGACAGTCAGGACCTACATGGTTTATGTATACGTGAGAGTCGCCATAACTACCTAGTACGGCGGCGGGGTAAGATGTTAGTACTACGTGGTGGTCACTAAAAAGGAAAGACTGGCGAAGACGAACACTAGGAGGTGAGGTTGGAAAGGTGCTCGGATTGCCGTTTTAGGCTGCCAAGGCTCGGGCGAGTTGCTCCAAGTCGGCACACCTTCCTTGGGTCTTGTCAACCTCGCACGACATCACCCCGACTTGATCTGATTCAAGAAACATACAACTTTGGACTGCTGGCAGTTACAAACAAGAAGCCCACCATGTCGTATTACCTGTCCAACATCCTCACAAACACAACATCCAAGTACAACACACTCCGGCGCAACCTCCTATCCGACGAAGTCGACGGCGACACCGAAGACGACTCTCACCTATGTCGAGCACTGCGCGCATACTACACTGAGCAGAACAAAGCCTTTCCACCTTGGCTGCCCAACGACCCCAAGCGCTCAGCCTCTGTGCAGACAACAGCATCCTTCACATCCAGCCTGCGACAACCGTCATCACAACAAACACCTACAATCAATGCTCCTCAAGGAGGTGGAAGAGGCGGTCTGAGTGATCTTTGGGATACCCCTGGCCAAAAACAGCCGTCACCACAGCCTCAGTCACTGAGAGTGAGAGCACAAGATCGCAGTGGGTCCTTCCAAGGACGGTCCCAGGGAGGGGACAGCTTGGCGGCACCACGACCATTGCCCAGTCAAAGAGCAGGGAGCTATCAGAGTACTATCGCTCAACAGCAGCAAGGAAGCGACCCTTCACCACCGGCCAGCAGTGGAGGCACGGCGCAGGAGAGACTCAAGGCCAGATTGTGGGGAGCTGCTAGAGTCAACAGCGCGGCAAATGTAGCATCGGCGGCCGGAGCATCATCTGGAGGAGCATCACCAGCAGGGTCTGGTCGCTTTGCCAGAGGTTGATTGTGTTGAGGGAGCGAGGAGTTATGGAGTTTTGATTTTGCACGGGAAATCCTACTAATCACAATAAAACATATTCGAGATCCTGAATTCTCTCAATCCTCTCCTTCCACAGAAATATTCTTGTTCGATGTGATGATAATGATAATATTTGGAAGACAATCATGGAAGAGGGGCTGAGGGAGAAAGTTACCCCACACACGTCATGCCCCCGAGGAACCATCACAAGCATCAAGGCAGCAGTTTGAGAGACAGAGACGGATACAAAAACAAGACGAAAGGATGGCGGCATCACACAACAGCAGTCCTCCTGCATCAGTATACGACATGAGCGACGACGAAGAGAGCGACTACAACAGCGTGCGCCGTCGGTCGTCGGCCTCGCGCGGCGTCAAGCTGCTCTACGCAAAGAGCAAGGTCTTTGTCCACCCCTCGCCCTCGTCCAAGGACAATATCGACGGCTTCATCGCCCTCTACCAGCAAAAGTCGCCCTCCGCATCCTCCGCCGCTTCCTCATCCACCCAAATCCCCTCATCCTCGCTGATCCTGGGCTGGACTCCTCTTGCCTCCCTCCAGAGCCAGGGCCAGCTCGACACCTACTCAAAGGTCGACCTCGACGACAAGGACCAACCTACCCGAAACCTCGTTCCGCCTCCGCCCATCACTTCTGCCCACTCCGCCTCTCCAGGGCCATATCCTTTTGCTGTTCAAGCCAGCGAAATCTACTCGGTCCAGATCCGCCCACCCAGCGCCGGCTGGTGGTTTGGCAGCATCGTCATCAACACTCGTTCTGGCGACAGCTTCCCCGCTCTCTTCTTCCACGACAGCGAATGTCAATCCACAATAAACCACCGCAAGAAGCTCGCCCGCGAGAACTTTGACCCCTTTGGTGAGAGCGGCAACTTGTTCTGGGGTGGTGACCAAGTCTTGGGATGGCTGAAGAGGCACCTCAACGTCGAGCGCTCTCCCGAGCCCAACATCTTCCTCATTGAGCCTTCCGATGCTGATCGAACTGGCTTTGGCACTACCAAGTCTGGAAAGCCAACCCCCGACAAGGTTCAGCAAGCTCTTGAAGGTCCAAATGCACAACCTCAACAAAAGAAAAAGGAGGATCCCGTTGCAAAGTTCTTCAAGGAATCTCGCTGGGCTGTCTTGGAGAAGCTCAGTCAGGTCACCACTTTCACTCGTCGCACTGCCCAGGCTGCTGCTGATAACCCTAAATTGCCTCCTCAGCTGCGTCGTATCATGCAGAATCCTCAGGTACAGACCGTCCAAGAAGAGTTTGACAGTGCTCGCCTCTATCTTGCGAGATGGGCCATGACTATTGCTGAGCAGAGTGAGCGTGACAGGAGCCAACGTATCTACACAGCCAAGGACCTGCTTGAGAATGAGGATACTGAGCTGGGCGAGTTTGAGATTCTCGATGTTGACATGAGAAACCTTGAACTGAACGAGAAGAGAGATCCTGTTACCATCAAGGAATGGAACGCTTTCTTTGATTCACATGGAAGACTACAAGTCACACCTGATGAAGTCAAGGAGCGTGTCTTTCATGGTGGTCTACATCCAGATGATGGTGTCAGGAAGGAAGCTTGGCTCTTCCTCCTGGGTGTGCACGATTGGAACAGTACTAGAGATGAACGCAAGGCCAATATGAACAGCCTCAACGACGAGTACATTCGTCTCAAGGGTGCTTGGTGGGATCGTATGATGGATGAAGATGGCACTCTTGAGGAACGTGAATGGTGGAAAGAGCAAAAGATGCGCATAGGTAAGCTTCCTCGATCAACTCTTCCCCTCTCTAGCATCAAGTAACTGACATCTACCCACATTGCGTGGGGTCCGTGCTGTAGAAAAAGATGTGCACCGAACTGATCGAAACATCCCTCTCTTCGCTGGCGAAGACATTCCTCATCCAGATCCAACATCTCCTTTTGCCGAAGTCGGCACAAACGTCCATCTCGAGCAGATGAAGGATATGCTACTAACCTACAACGAATACAACAAAGACTTGGGCTATGTTCAAGGTATGAGTGATTTACTCGCTCCCATCTATGCAGTCATGCAAGACGACGCAGTAGCCTTCTGGGGCTTTGTAAACTTTATGAATCGCATGGTAAGTCTCTCACTCTTCTTTGTCTAGCTCGTGTATCATTACTCACACAAAATCTTTTTAGGAACGAAACTTCCTCCGCGACCAAAGCGGCATGCGTCTCCAACTCACCACCCTCGACCACCTCGTCCAACTCCTCGACCCTAAACTCTACCTCCACCTCCAATCCGTCGACTCGACAAACTTTTTCTTCTTCTTCCGCATGCTGCTGGTCTGGTACAAACGCGAATTCCCCTGGCTAGACGTCCTAAGACTGTGGGAAAGCCTCTGGACCGACTACCTTTCAGCAAACTTCCACCTCTTTATCGCTGTTGCGATACTAGAGAAACACAGAGATGTGATTATGCAGCATTTGAGGGGTTTCGATGAGGTGCTCAAGTATGTGAATGAGTTGAGCAATACGATTGATTTGGCATCGACGTTGCTTAGGGCAGAAGCACTGTTTAGAAGGTTCCAGAGGACTGTGGAAGCTATTGACCGGAAAGATCATTTCCCTACTCCGACGCTGAGGCAGAGGAAACAACTTGCTGGGGGTGCTTTGGATCAGGGGGCTGCTGCTGTAGGACATGATGGAAAGCAAGCTGCTGCTGCTAGCAGTTCCTCTGATGCTGCGCAAGGTGCGAGCGGTGCGCAGACCACGACAACGGCACAGAAAGAGAGGATTGTCAGTCCTGAGCTTAGGGCGCTGCTCAGTAGGGACTTTTCTCGGGTCGAGAAACCTGACAAGTGAAGCAGAGTTTCGGAAGAAACATCTATCGTGACATTGGGAGGAGGAAAATCGGATGGACCGGATTTGCTTTGCGGGGTGATTTTTGGTGTTTTGTCTTTGGGTTTGGAAGTTATACGGGCCGGATGGACAAGGACAGGGGAGAGCTCTGGGACATGCTGGACTACTCTTGGGGGGGTTTTGGAACTGGAGGTTTTATCACGATCGTATATGAAACTTTTTTTTTTTCTCTTTTTCCACTTTGTCTCTTCCCCTCTTCGAGAGTTGCTGATTCTCGTGCTTTGGTTTGCGTCGTCATGAGCTATCCCTCTCTTCCTCCTTTCCGCAGCATCTGTGGCTGCATCTTTTAGTGCGTAGCACAAAGTGATATTGTTCTTTCATATGCGTTTCTAATCTATACAGTTATTACATTCGTATCTGTAACACTAGAGCATTTCCAAGCACGATCCTTCCGAAACCAGAAGGAATAGAAGAAGTAAAAAAAAAAAAAAAAAAAAAGAAGATCTAAGAATATTTTTTTTGCGACTTGGTACTGCCGTATCTCAGATTCCTGTCACTAGCATGACAAGATTGCGTGGCGTGATGGGGGATTTCAAATCTGATGTTAACCATCCGAAAAAAAAAAACAAGGCTTAGTCTTGGAAGAAATACTAGAAGAACATCTGTGTTGCTATTATAAATGGGCGAGCTTTTTTTTTGAGAGAGGCAGAAAGGAATTGATGTATCAAGACAGGGTGGTACTGGCAGCTATCTTTTTTTCGGACCTCTTTCACGTGACTGGAATGGGGTTTCGCAATACAAGAAGCCATGGCTCCGTTTCTAAAGACAAGAGCTTTTGTTCCGGGCATCTTTGGCAGTTTTCAAAATAGGTAAAGAGTTCACTCGATCCAGCAGGATTTGGAAAGAATTGTCTTGGAAGATAAAAATGATATTTTCGTAATAGGAAAAAAGACTATACAAATAAGAGAAAAAGGGTATTCATCCATCATGATAGAAAAACAACAGGAATTGAGTCTCAAATGTTGGAGCGAGCTCAAGTATCCTCATCACCAACATCCAGAAGGCATAACTCTCAACAGGATGCCAGCATCAGGTACGGCTTCAGCAACAACATGACCAGTATCCTGTGCACACTGCTCACCATCAGAGCAATTCTACTTGCGCTGACCGTAAGCCTTGGTAGCGTAGCTACCACCCTGGACAATAAGGTCCTCAGGGCGGTAGTCGTGCTTGCCAGAGAAGTATGACTCGAGGATAGCCTTGGTACCGGCGGCGTAGCGCTTCTGGGCGTCGATCGAGGTACCAGACATGTGGGGAACCATGGCGTTACCGCCACCCCAGTGGGTGTATTGGGCGTAACGGAGAGGGTGGTCCTTGGGGGCGGGCTGGGGGAACCAGACGTCACCTCCGTAACCGCGGAGCTGGCCGGACTTGAGGGCTTCGGCGACATCCTCCTTGACGACGATGGCACCACGGGCGGTGTTGACGAGCCATGAGCCTGTTGAAAAGTAAGTTAGCAATTGAGATTGGTGAGTGATGGGGGAAAGAGAAAGCACATACCCTTCTTCATCTTGGAGATCAACTCCTTGTTGAACAGACCACGGGTCTTCTCGTGGAGGGGAGCGTTGATGGTGACAACATCACACTGGGCAAGCATCTCCTCGAGGTTCTCGACACGACGGCAGCCAATCTCGGCCTCCTTCTCGGCCGACAGGGGCTGGTAGTCGTAGTAGAGGAGCTCCTTGCAGTCGAATGCCTTCAGACGGCGGAGGACACGCTCACCGATACGACCAACGGCAACGGTACCAACAACCTTGTTCTCAAGGTCGTACTCGTTCTTGGCGACGGCAGCGACGTTCCAGTCACCAGAGGCAATCTGCTCGTGGGCGGGGACAAAGTTGCGGACGAGGACGAGCATGGTCATGACGACGTGCTCAGCAACGGAAACAACGTTGGAACCAGTGACCTCAGCAACAGTGATACCGCCGTTGGTCTTGTTGGCAGCGTCCAAGTCGACGTGGTCAGAACCGATACCAGCAGTAACGGCAATCTTGAGGTTCTTGGCCTTGGCCAGACGCTCCTTGGTCAGGTAACCGGGGTGGAAGGGAGTGGTGATGATGACCTCGGCGTCAACGAGGTGCTTGTCAAAGGTCGAGTTCTCACCCTCCTTGTCGGAGGTGGTGACGAGCTCGTGGCCCTGGTCCTCAATCCACTTGCGGAGACCGAGCTCATTCTCAGTGGTACCGAGCAATTGAGGCTCCTCCTTTGCGTGCTCGAAACCATCGTACAGAACCATCAGAACCTTGCCATTCTGGCGGGAAGTGGCCGATAGCGAGCGGATGGCACCGGTGGATCTGAGAGGGGAGGAAAGAGAGGCACCTGCAAGAGGAGAGGCACGCAGCGAGGCTGCAGCAGGGCGCACAGCGCGGGTAGCAGAGCGGAAGAAGACCATTGTGAAAGTGTAAGGGATAGGATATGAGAAAAGAAAAAGAATCTGGCAGGAAGGGGGATGTGTGGCCGATTATAAACAGAAGGAGGGGAGCTACTCTCAAGCTCGCATCATTAGGTTAGCCAATTGTGGAGAAAGCGTACGCGCAGTATGCAAGCCCTCGTCCGAACTTCGGTCTCGATTGCTCCTGTTCATGTCCCGTACGCCCAAAATTCGGCATTTGGAATCAATTGCTGGCCTGATGATCGGGAAAGGAGAGGGGTAGACATGTGGCAAGTCTCACGAATGGATGCCGCGTGTAGAATTGAATTGGGGGCATAGATCGTGATGAATATCCAGATCAACGAGCATCAGCCTCACTTTTCCACCAACCCGCTCTTCAAAGGAGAACAAAGTGGAGAAACACCCCTCTTACTCCCAAGACAGGCAGTCAAGCTTCTTCAAGAATTCCTGCAGCTCCAATGTCCTCTAACTTGAATAGCTAGAGCTACCTCGCCATACTCATTGTGAAAAGGGAGGCAAGGAAGCTGTTTCACTTGCCATCAGCTCTGCTCCGCTCGGTGACGTCTCACTTTATCCTCTCCCCACAAAATTTCCCAATTGCCGCATGTCTCCGTGAGGCTGAAGTTCGTCAGAGCAACGCAATTGTTGCCAGCCTTCAACTTATCCTATCTTTGCATTGCACCTCACAACTCCAACAATTCCAACTCTCAGCTTGTGACAACTCAAGACAAACTACAAGCTTTTGTCTCCATAGTCAAATAGCATCCAGAACACGGGAAAAGAAAACAGCCAAAAGAGGAGAAAATGCGGGGGTGTTTTTGGTTTGCGTTCGATCAACGGGTAACAAAACGTCAATGCTGAAGCTCTCTCCACAAATCATTTGAACCTCAAATCCCCGAATCTGCTCCGTTGAGAGTGGTGCTCTCCATGCTCTTCTGCTCTTGCAGCAACTGAACATCTCAGTCACCAAGTAAGGAAGTAGGAATCAATTCATCCTAGACCGGACTAGACCGGAATCCGTGCTTGACAGATCTCCTGATCGATAGCTTAGAATAGTAGTATCAAGAAAGCAATCTCTCCATTCGGGGAAAAGGATTCCGAACGCTGATTCGAGCTGCTCTCCGAACTTCGTCCGTCAAGGCTTCATTCACCAAAGAAGGCTCAGAGGAGTCAAGAACAAAGGCCGAGACTCGGTAGAAACAGGTGAGGGGAAGTCAGCATGCTCTTGACCTTCTGCTTTTGGGCATCCAGCATCAAAGGAAGGGAAGAGGCTGCCTTCGAAGCTCAAGCGGTTGCCTTTGGCTGGAACCACTGCTAGAACAGGCAATTCTGTCCATTCTGCGGTGGTGTTGCGGCCGAGATTCGCTGTCCTTCAAAGCGATGTCGGAATTTCGTATGGCATAAGAGACTCGTATGAATCGTATGAGAATAAGAATCCCCCTGCCCCCTGCGATTGTCTCGTGTTTCCTCTCGCGCGACTCTTCATACGAAACCTGGCAATCACCTTCATACTCCACAGTGACACCTTGATGATAGAGCCAAAGCGGGTCGGCATGACGTTGGAATTTTGCCGGCACTTCCGGCCGGATCAAACGGACTTAATCTCCGTAATTGACTGCGGCTCTGTTATCTGGCGACGACGTTGCACTGCGTTGTCGTTCGCAAATGCTAGGTCAGCCGTGATAGAACTTGTGCATGTAAGTTTGGAGCTGTATGTATCTTGAATGCTTGAATTTTCATTGCTTCTATCTCTGTCTGTTGTTTTATCTCATACGCGTCACATGTTTGTTCATACCGCCCTGCAAATCTGAGGAAGAAAAGCGAGTGAAAGTTGAGCACTTCTGGTCCTGAGAGCATGAAGCACAAAATACTCACACCAACAATGCCAAAAGCCATGTGAAGCATTGCAAACGCCATTCCGACCACCAAGCGAGGGCAAACAGCAGAACTTCAATCAATGTCAAAGTGCAAGCGGATATCCATGCTGAGGATCAAGCCATTCTCACCATCTCACCAAAAGCCAATGTATGCGTCAAAGCATACCAACGACTAACCTCGAGGTGGGTAATCAAGCATCATCACCTTCCTCCTCAGTGTGCTGGTTGGATGGTGGTGAGGTGGTGTAGTTGTCATTGTACCTGCGCGAGGTTCTTCTGCGAGCAGCAGACTGAGCAGGCTGCTGCTGTGGGAGCATAGCTGAAAAGTTCGTGTGGGTGACCCAGTTAGCTGGGAAGATTGGTGACTCCGCAACGGTGTCGTCGTCAGCTGCCGACGAGCTCGCTTCGACCTCACGAGACAGGGCAACAGCAGAGGCAGGGGCAGGTTGGGTCTGGAAGGCATGGATCAAAGCTGCGATGTTGGGCTCGTTGTCGTTTGGTGCGGCAGTGGGCGACGAAGCAGCAGCAGCCCTTGCACTCCTCATCTCAGCAATGGCATCAACAGAGAACCGAGGACCAGTGCGCATGATAGGAGGAGCACGTGTAGGTTGATCGGCATCGCGAATGGCCATGCCTGCGAAAGTGCCTGGACGAGCAGCTCTGTCAAAGGTTGTAGAGAGGAAGGCCTGATTGGAAGTGGAGCCTGAGTAGTAAGGAACCAGAGGTCTGTCGTATTCAGCTGCGATGCGCTCGTTGTTTTCCTCGGTATCGCTTTCATCGTGGCTGAACTCAAGTGGCCCCCACGGAACGTCGTCGACATCCAAGCCGGAGGCTCGAATCGCGGCAGGAGTATTGGATGCAGGGAAAGGACCGTCAGCTGGGTCGTAGTGGTAGTAGTATTCGGCGAACATGATCTCGGCTTCGATGGTGCGAAGTTCGTTCAGGTCAACACCATCAGCACGTGGTGGCAAGGTCAAGTTGGCACTGTCAATGTCCGGTCAGCTAAGGATCACAGACAAGAGGACTGAACACGAACCGATATCTGGAATTTCTGGTGGGCAGGTGTGGTCCATTCGATCCGAGCATTCTGATCTGGGTCTGGACCTCTTCGAGCTGCGAAGCAAAAGCACTGTCACCAAGCTGAGAAGCATCACCATCAGGAATATCGCCGTTGTTCGAGGATTGACCAAGGGGATTGGGATGATGCTGAGGCGCGATGCCAGGATGATTCTGTGGTCCAATGAAAGGAGTCGATCTAGCAGTAGGAACAGTGCTGGCAGATGCTGCAGAGTCGGGCTCAGTGCCGTTGTGAGAGGCAGCCCCATCGACTGAAGAGACAGCCGAAGAGGTACGACGGTGGGCAGAGTCAGCGTGGCCAGCCATGGTTGATGAGTGTGGTATGAAGACAGATGAGGAGGGTATTTAGACGAAAGGAGGTTGAAGAAGGGGAAAGGGAAGTGTTTGTTCAGGAGCGAAAGAGGTGACGGTGAAAGTGCTGAAAGAGCGAAGGAGCACTCCGCAGGTGAACAGAAGTGAAGGACGTGACTAACGAAAAAAGAGCAAACTGTGTGTCACGATGTTGGTGAAGTGAGGGCAGCTCCGAGAGGCTCGCACCTGCCATATCTTGTTGACCGTCAATCACTTTACGGAGGCACTGCGACACTGCTTCGATGATTTCGCTACCGCTTCAAAGAGCAATCTTCAACAAGAGATACGAACGGAAGGATATGTACTATGGAACAATGACAGATACATTTCATTCATCTTTGTCTATATCAAAACTTGAGACAACAGCAAACGGCCGGTTGTCTCTGTATGCCAAACTCCCGTTTCCTCGCTGTGCAATATAAAAGCTGGGACCAAATCACGCATTCTATAGAAGATAATAAATGCATATCAAGAATCAGATATCTCTCAAACTCCTTGAACCTTGCGATAACTCGGCGGCTTGACCGCTCGCCGAATCAACTTGCCAGCATATACTGGTACCAAAGACACCGCCGAAATAGCAGCAACCCTCCAGACAAATCCGACACTCGCCACGAACCTCAAATCGAAGTACCCAGAGAGCAATGGTATGCTGCCAAAGTACACACATCCAGTCGCCAGAATGGAGATGATGTTCGCAGGATGCCAGGTCGTGATCTCCGCAGCCACCATAATCAACTCATTGATGACGAGGACAGTGAATGACACGCTGACCATACGCGCGAACGCGGCTGCAGTGTCGGCGTTTCCTGTACTGTGCTCCGCAAACTTGGGAACCAGTAGCTGACTTCCTCCTTGAATGATGATGCCTTGATAAACTGAGATAGCGACCCAAATGAAGAAGGTACGGTATGAAAGAGACTTTCCTAAAGTCAACTCCTTGTACAGTTCTGGATACAGATTGGCGAGATTCTCATCGACGTCGCGATCGAGCGTAAGCGAGAAGACTGGTGCCATGGTATACAAAGTTGCATAGCCAACCAACAGCCAATCTCTGTATAGGGCGATGGGTTGATACGCTGAAGCGACTGAGAACACAGTCTGGCATACACTGATAATCAAACCACGATGAATGACAAACTGCGCAAGTTTCGCCGAGCGCTTGTAGCTATTGCGACCATGCCAAACGAGCAATTTGGTCAGGTGGCTGAATTGAGTGATGCTGAAATCAGCGGCGAGTGAGGCTTGGCGACCTTCTTTTCCCACGATACCAACACCTACATCAGCAGCTTGGATCATGCTCACATCGTTGCCGCCATCACCAATACAAGCGATGCGTTTACGAGTGTGATTGCGAATCAACTTTGCGACGTCTGCTTTTTGTGTCGGAGAACAGCGACACGCTATCACAGCGGGTAGCCGCACCGCTAGGGTGATGAACGCGTCTCTGTGATGGGTTAGGTATAGAGACAGAGATTCGCCATCTATCAGTAAAGCTGCGTTTGGACGAGAATGCAGGAGTGAGAGTGCGTCAAGTGCCAAGTCTTTTCGCTTGAGTCCTGCGATTGTGTGTATGTACTGGCCTCTTGAGACGAGTTTCGAAGACACGGCTACACAGCGTGCGGTCTCGACTTTGTCTCCAGTCAACATCCAGATCTTGATGCCGGCGTTGCGGAGAAGTTCAAGAGATGGCTTGATATAAGCTTGCAGTTTGTCTTCCACACCCGTCACGCCTAACAGCTCAAGATTGTGTTCGAGATGCTGCTTGACAACTCGTGCCATGCTATTATCGCGGTCGTGGAGACTCAATGATGCTTCCGCGTAGGCTGAGGAGAATGCAGCGTATTGCTCTCCAGAGAGAGCTTTTCTGCCGATGACCAGAGTGCGCAAGCCTTCACGAGCCATGTTCGCTGTCTCCTCGTCTAGCCAATCATTGGCAGCGACGATAGAAGTCATGACGGTATCTGCACCTTTCTGGAAGAAGTACAGCTCGCTCAAATCACCACCAGCTCCACCTTCTTGGACGAACTTGACAATGATACCCATGCGCTTGCTGTCGGAGGTGAAGGGGAAGATGTTGAGGATCTGTACGCGAACCACGATTTTGCTGTTGTACACAAATTGAAGGGTGATAGTTTTTCGATCGCGATGCAAGAGTCGTAATCCGACTTGTTCTGTCCACGCCACAATGGCAATCTCATCTGGCGAAGAAGCTTGATATGAAGTGACTGTGGAGCCATCGACTTCTTCGGTGGTAGGCGTGACGTTATGACACAAAGCCAATGCCAGAACTAGATCTCTGACTCGCAGGCCAATCTCTCTGCGAGAACGTGTACCTGAAGCAAGCCCACCAGTAACATTCGAAGAAGGTAAGAAGAAGCCTTGCAGGTCAGCGAAAGCCGACTTGACGTAGCCTGAAACCTCATCCATTGCTTCATTAGCATACGAGACTGTACCAACGTGGATCTTCTTCAGCTCCATCTCATTTTGAGTCAAAGTACCAGTCTTGTCACTGAGCAAGTATTCAATGCGACCAAGATCCTCAGGAATAGTGCTGGTGCGCACGACAGTTCCCGGAATACCTTGATCACGCTCGATAAACCAAGCATACATTGACTTGCCCATATCGAGATTGACGCGCAGACTGATAGGCACAATGGTGGAGAAGAGGATAAGGAAGCGCATAACCGAGACGTACCACTCTCGACCGTTCTCAGCTTGGAAACCTTTCATGGCCACCAGAATGAATGATAGAGCGAGAGTCAAGAAACAAAGAATCTTGGTCAAAGAGTTGATTTCGTTCTCGAGCAGACCAGTCTTTGAACGACTAGCAGAGGTAGAGAGAGCAGCACGTGTCTCAGGACCTGTATAGATGACCACAGCATAAACAGTAGTGCTTGAGGCCAGCACAGTGTTGGCCCAGGCAGTGTTGTCGATGGACAGAGGGATAGATTTTGTTCCTGGGACTTCAGCAGCCGGTGCCTCAGACTCGTAGGGGTCGTAGGCTTGACGGCCATCTGGTAGCAGATCCAGGGTACCAGCAAAGTCATTGACACGTTTGTCAGGTTTTCCGGCCGTCAGACGTAGTCTTGTGAAGTCGCGAGATGGCAAGTCTTGGGTCAGTGGAGAAGCCAATCTTAGTTTCCAGTCCGTCTCACCATCAAGCTGATCTGTTCGTATAAAGGCTTCACCACCGGCGCTTGGATCTTCAGAAGTGGTTTGGTTGGCCAATGGTGGTTCTGGCACGCTTGCGACCTTGGTCTCAAACAGGTCTACTTGTTCACTTTCGGGCAAAGGTTCAGGCTGAGCAGACGACTCTTGAGAGAAACTCTTGAGAATGACAACATCAGCGGGAAAGCGCTGGTCTTTGGTCATGACCAAGACATCTCCCACTTTCAACAATCGCGAGGGCTTGGAGGTCTCTCGAACTTCAGCATCGAGTAAGCCATCAGCATCTTGGTCTGTCGGACGGCGTCTCCTTGTGTCGGTAGTATCATTGTCTGCAAACTGCAAGACGGTATATCTCTCGGAGTTGGCCTCCTGATCTCTTTTTCTCCGGTGTATGTCGTCCATAGCCTCCTTTCCGAGAGTGATTGTCAAGACGAAGAGCAAGGGGAAGATGTAGGTGCTCAGATAGCCAATGCGCAACTGGGGGATGATTTGCGACAAGGCGACGAGGAGAAAGTACATGTTGAAGAAGAAGGAGAATTCGTTGTACAGGGTTCGTGGCAGGAAAGAGATGGGGGTATATTTGGCATTGGAAACGGCGTTGGGAGGGTATTTGGCATCCTGGCGAGCGCCTACGACAATGGTGCGGTTGGAAGCGGGATCGTGTTCATCTTCGGGCTCGTCGTCGTCGTCGTCGTTGTCGAGAGGGGTGGATCGGGAGAAGGGGTTGAGGCGGGCTCTGAAGTTTGCTAGAGCAGAGCGCGACTTGTCGGACAGACGGCGCAAGCGCGAGGTATGTGAGGGAGCGGCATGGTCGGTATGCGAGTCTCGATGGTGTGTTTGGCTGTCTCTTCCGACCAGGGCCTCGAGGTCTTCGGTATCTGCATCGTCGACATAGCGGTTGGGCCGGCGGAAAGCTCTTCTTCCTCCAAGCCGTAGGTTCTTGAGTGGGATGTTCCTGGCAGAATGACCGTTCGCATAGTTACGATTGTTGGTGGTGGAGGTCTGGGGGTCGAGTTCGTCCAAGTCCAGGTCCAGATCCGAGTCGGGATCAGGGATCAGAGCGGCCGACGCGGTCGAGTCGGCGTGCCGATGTGACATGCCTCATCTGTTTTGTCGCAAGGAAAAGGTGAGAAAGTTTCTTTGTTGCCTGTCGCTGCCTGTTGGATACAACAATTACGTGGGCGTCTGCTATTCTGGGCTCGTCTCACACTGACTCAGGTCACCCTGACCGGAGGTGTCGCACGAGTCAAAGTCCGGGGTCGGTGAATGCGATTGGTTGTCATGCTTGGCTGATGTCGCTTTGGCTGTTGCTTGAAGTCTGGCAATTGTCACCTCCTTTCAACTCGGTATCCTCAACTATTATGCTGTTGCCCTGTGTGTACTATTAACTTATCCAATGTCTTGACAAGCCTCTCTTTGCTCCTTGTCATTTTGTTTTGGTGAGTTGCTCCGCCTCAGCATACAGAAGGTGTCGCCGGATGGTCACGTCGCCTGAATTGTTGCGACATCAATACTGAGACATGGCCACAGCAACCGTTATACATAATACACAACCATGGCAGACAATGCCCCCCATTCTTCGTGGCATCCTGCTCTGAGGTCTCATAACAGCGAACATGATGTCCCAGTAGCCACTACGGCACAACCACCACCTGCTCCAGCCGAAGCCGACAATCATGATGCCGACTTCTTCGATCGCATTCCTGCTGAACACGACCAATCTATCGCTGAAGACGCCGAACTTGCAGAGCCTGTTGAGCAGTCAACCGCTGGAACACTGCAACCTTCGTTCATCCAGGACCACAAGCTTACCGCAGAAAGCCCCGAAGCCTCGGCACCAGTTACACACGAATATCAACAAGACACACAGGCCGAACTCCAACATTCCACCGAGTCGCCGACATTGATACCTGAGCCAACTCATAACTTGCTCGAGAACGCTTACAATCCTCCGCACGACCAAGTCCACGGCTTCGATTCTGAACCTGTCGCTGAGCCTGCACAACTGCCATCGCAAAAGCCCGCGCGCTCCGCCGTCGACGAAGCCTTCGGAAAGCTGGACGAGGAAGAGTCGGAATCTATCAGAGAACAGTACGAGTATCAAGGTCACACTACCGCTGCCGACGATGCTGTCGACGAAAGCGACGATGCCCCTCTGATGCAGGATGAGGAGGTTCTGCCAACCCCCGGTTTTGCTACAGACGCCCCTGCCATCAATGCCCACGATGTCCCCTTCGACTCTGTCCACTCCGATCCCTCAGCAGTCGCTGCAGCTGCAGAACATGTTTACGAAATGTCTACCGAGGATCCATCGTCACATGAGCCTGCCATTGAATCGCATTCATTCGACGAGCAAGATGTCGAGACCTCAGCAACTTCTCAGCCTCTAGAGACCTTGGAGGAAACCAAGGAAACTTTGCGACAAGTGGCTGAAGAGCCTATCGAGGAACCAGCCCAAGTGCAACCTCAATCCTCGACTGCTTTCGAGTGGGGAGATGACGATCAGACCGACGACTTTGGAGCTGTTGTAGGCAATGTCACAGCAGAAGAAAACAATGTGGATTCGGACAATCTCGTGGCTGGAAGTGGCTTCGTTGCTTCTCAGGCAACTGCTGTAGCTCAAGCTTTGCAAGAGCAAAAAGATCAAGATGACCCTGCCACAAACGAGAAGAGCGAGGAAGATCTGGCTGCCATGTGGTCAGCTGCATTGGATGACGACGATTTCCTCGACGACAACGCTGTGGATCCCAGCGGCTTCTTCGATGATGATGGTGAAGGCTTCTTGGACGACTTTGACACAACTCCCGCTCCAGCTCAGCAAGTTCTGAGTCCCGAGCAAGCACTCAGCCCTGGAATTGCTCCTGTCTTGGATGGCCAAGGAAACACGGTCGGTTTCACAAAGCTTGGAGGCCCGCAAGAACAGATTAATGCTCCTGCGAATCCCTACTCTCCTGCAGCCCAGCAGCCAAATCCTTACTTGAGTTCAGCTTTGCCATCTGTGCCTTTGTACAACCAGCAACAGCAACCCGTCCGACCAGCCTTGAACAATGCGCAAAGCTTTGCCGACAAGTCTAAAGGTGGCTACTCCTCTCCCTATGACTTGCCCGAAGATATTGTTCAGCCACGTAGGCGTCCGGCTGCTGCTGCTGTACCTACTCAGTCTAGTGCTCCACCTCCTCCACCACGCAGTAGCAGTATGCAGTCCGTCCCGCCAAGTGGTCCTCCACCGTTATCACGCTCTGCAACTGCGGCTCCCTCGGCAACAATTGCATCGCCTCCCATGAACCAGTCTCCCAGCGTCGCAACCTTGCCGCCGAAACCCTCTACTGCTTCCGGTGCCAACAGATCTGCTTCTGGCTTCTTTGAGGAGCTACCCATGGCGCCAAAGCCTCGCAATAGGCCCTACACTCCAGCTGTCACTGCACCTTCCCCTGCTCAGATTGCTGCTCAGACCCCTCCACAAGGACCACCCATCCGTCCACCATCTCGACCCGCAATGCCTCCGTCCTCTGCTTCCACAAATTATGGCATCTCAGACTTCAGACAGCCAGAAAAGCTACCTTTGTTGCCTGACTTGCAAGCTGCACCTCAGCAGCTAGAGCCACCTCAACCCACTGGTCCCCCGTCGAGTTCGAGATACTCACCTGCCGCTGTTCAGCAAGCTCCCTCAACAGCAGCGCCTCCCCCAGCAACTGGTCGATTCTCACCAATGCCGCCGCCTGCTCCATCAGTAAATCCCCGCTATTCTCCTGCTCCACAAGCTCAAGCCCAGAATCAAGCACAGAACAAGTATGCGACCATGCCTGCTGCCACGCCTGTCTCAAGACCAGTCCAGCCATTCGCACCTCGTACCTCAAGCCCATTGGCCTACCATGAAAAGCCTGCTGCTGCTGCTGAGATGCCACCACCGCCTGTTCGTGCCGTTTCATACCAGCCGCCACCTCCAGTTCGTCAAATGTCTGGTCTCGCCGAGGGTTTCGAGACACCCCCAAGAAGGGACAGCAACACCCTCGACCAGACTCTTTCTCAATCTTACACATCGCCTCCTCGCGCCAATCCTTATGCTCCCATGACTTCGTCTCCCGAATCTCGTATTCCACAGTCATATGCTCCCACCAATGTGCCTGTGCCGAGCGATACTTTCTCGCCGCCAAGACGATCCAAGACTTCATCGCCAGGAACTGCTATGAAGGTCCCTTTGAGAGCTGCTACTCAGATCGACAGACCGACTTCTGCTGCCGGCAATGTCACCTCTCCAACCCTGCTACAGCGTCAAGACGCAAGAAACACCTTGCCTCCCGCTCGACAGCAATTTTCTTCGGATCTGAGCTTCACTGTTCCTCAAGACGAACGAGCCCAGGACCCATTAGAGAGATACAAAGGATGCCCTGTCTTCAAATGGGGACCTAGCGGCTCGTTGGTGAGCACTTTCCCCAAGCAAGCTCCTTTCTATGCTGCTGGTCATGCCATCCCTACTATCAAGTGTACACCTGGCCACATTACCATCCATGATACCAAGTTGACTTACCCTCTGAGCGAGCGTGATGCCAAATTCCCTGGACCTTTGAACAAGGGCAAATCCAAGAAGAAAGAGGCCCTCACGTGGATCACCGGCAAGATTGAGGATCTTGAAAAGGCCAACGAAGATTCTCTTCATGACTTCAGCTTGCCTGTTCAAACGAAGAAGCGCATCGAGGAGAAGGTTGTGCTCTGGAAAATGGTCAAGCTTCTGCTCGAAAATGACAACAAGATTGAAGGCAATGCATCTGCGGAGGATGCTGCTCGTAAAATTTTGTTGCCAAATTTCACTCAGACAGAAGATCCAGCTGAGGATGTTGCAGACGGCAAATCATCAGGACTTTCTACCGAGCCTGTCAATGCGAATGCTTTGGCGCAAATTCGCAAGCATCTGCTTGCAGGCGCTCGTGAGAAGGCTGTATGGTATGCGGCCGAGCAAAAGCTGTGGTCTCACGCTTTGCTGATCGCGTCGGTGGCCGGTCCTGAAATTTGGAAGCAGGTCGTTCAAGAATATGTCCGCTCTCAAGTCAAGGATGCAGGAGAAAACTCTGAATCACTCGCAGCATTGTACGAAGTCTTTGCTGGAAACTGGGAAGAGAGCATTGATGAGCTTGTTCCACCTTCTGCTCGTGCTGGCTTCCAGATGATTAGCAAAGCAGGGCCCAGTGCGAAGAATCCTCTCGATGGTCTCGACCAGTGGCGCGAAACATTGTGTCTTATCATCAGCAATAGAAGCAACAACGATATCCAGGCCATCTCAGCGCTGGGTAAACTTCTTTCCAGCTATGGCCGTATGGAGGCAGCTCACACTTGCCACCTCTTCGCTAAGGCGGCAGCTCATCTTGGCGGCGCTGACGACGAGAAGTCCGACTTTGTACTGCTCGGAGCGGACCACAAGAACCAGACTCATGAACTTTCTGACCTGGATGCGATTCTTCTTACCGAGGTCTATGAGCTTTGCGTGTCTCTCGCCCCTACTCCTGGAACATCACCTACTCTCCACCATTTGCAGGCGTTCAAATACCAGCATGCTCAGATACTCACAGAGCATGGCCTACGTAGCGAAGCACTGGCATACTGTGATGCGATTATGGCCTCCTTCAAGGCATCTACGCGCCTTTCGCCATATTATCACCCTGCACTATTGAGCAGTGTAGATGATTTGCATAGATGCCTGTCGCAAGCACCTCAGGCTAGCGCGTCTGGAGGCTGGATTCCGAAGCCATCTATGGACAAGGTCTCTGGTAGCATGTGGAAGCGCTTCAACACTTTCGTTGCTGGTGATGACGACGAATCGAAGTCGAATGATCCAAGTGGTAGTGAAGGTACTTCCGCAGGACCATTTGGCGGCATTACTGGCGAGACACCAACAGTCAGTCGAAATCCTTCAACCACCGATTTGTATGGAGCAATGTCAATGGGTGGCAGTATATCTTCTGCACCTGCTGCTACTGTCTACAACCGTTATGCACCTCCAACTCAGCACGGTGGTGCTTCTGCTTCACGCTACGCCCCGAGTAGCTCGAGCGCATATGCTCCAAGCAGAGGTTCTATGGAGTCCTCCCGTTCCTACGAACCAGAAAGACCTGGGACCGGCTACAGTAGTGTTGTATCCCCAACCACAGCCGCCCCCGCACCAGTTCAGCGTGCTAGTAGCACGCCATTCGGAGCATACTTGCCGCAACAAGCTGGAGGCAACCAACAAGCACAACCATCACTCGGTGTCCCTCGACCTGAGGTATCCCGTGCCGTTTCAGATTATCGTGTACAGTACAGCCAGCCGCCCTCAAGACGCGAGTCCATCCAATCTGGCGTCGACTCGGAGCCTCGATCTAGTCTCGACCAGGGCAGACCAACATATGGATACCAGCCCGAAGCTGCGAGACAATCTCCTTACCAACCCAGCTCGTACACCCCGTTGTCCCCGATTTATGGAGACAACAACGCTGAGGCTGCCGAGACTGAAGAGGCCTCGTCGTACAAGCCCCATACAGAGTCGCCATACCAGCCATCCGAGCCAACTCCTGTGCAGGAGCCGCAATCTTTTGGCTACACGCCAACCGCTCCTCCAAACGAATCAGCCAGTTTCGGATACGAACCTCCGTCGTCTTACGAGCCACCAACGTCTTACGAGCCTCCATCGTACGATCCCGAGTCTTCCTATGAACCCCCGTCTTCATACGAGCCACCTTCGGACGAGCCTGAGGTGTCTGACGAACCCAAGACGTCTGTCTACACTCCTGCCTCATACGAACCACCTTCGTCGTATGCGCCTCCCACGTCTTACGAACCTCTGACTGGCTCCTCGAGCTACGAACCTCCCACCTCGAACTATCAACCATATGAGCCTGAACCTGATCCTGAAGACGGTGATGGAGAAGGTCAAGAAAAGCCAAAGAAGAAGAACTTCATGGATGACGAGGATGATGATGAAATCATTCGCCGAGCCGCCGCTCTCAAGAAGGCAGCCGATGACAAAGCGGCAGACGAGGCCTTCCGCAAGGCTGCCGAAGAAGACGCAAAACGCGACGAAAAGGCCGCTGCTAGTGGTGATAAGAAGGGATGGTTTGGTGGCTGGTTTGGCAAGAAAGACCCCAACGCTTCACCGGGACCAATCAAAGCCAAGCTTGGAGAACAAAGCTCCTTCTACTACGACCCTGATCTCAAGAAATGGGTCAACAAGAAAGGAGGCGCTGAAGCTGCTACTCCAACTGCTGCTACACCACCGCCACCTAAGGGACCAAGTAGAAATGTCAGTGCTGCTACTGCACCTCCAGCTGGCCCTCCTATGTCTGGTCCGCCCTCTCGCACCTTGACACCTGCCAGCGGTCCACCTTCTGGTCCACCTTCAGGTCCATCATCAATCACTGCATCACCCGCCACACCACAGACTGGCTTCCCCTCTGCTTCTGCACCTCCACCGATGGGAGGTCTGGCTGGTGGACCACCTGCATCTGGACCCCCGAGCCGCCCTGCCACGAGCATGAGTAACGCGAGTAGTATCGATGATTTACTTGGTGCACCTGCACCGCGAAAGGGAGGTACTGCGAAGGGAAAGAAGAGAGGAGGCAGATATGTCGATGTCATGGCTAAGCCTTAGGTGTTTGGTTTCTTGTATGATTGTCTTTCGGTCTGTGTAGGACTAGGAATAGGAGTAGAAAGATTTACAGAGGTCCCTCGTTGTATCAGATCATGGCAAATATTCTTTTCCTCTGCTTAGGATGTTTCTTGTGTTCGTGATGATGAACTCTTCGCGCGAATAGTCTCGATTTACTTTGACAGTAGCTTCTAAACCTTTACAAAACCTTTGCAATGTCCACAGGTCTGCCGCCCAAGAACTCTTCCAAGTTCTGGAGTTCATCTGTGCTTGCACCCCGTTCTAGTACCAACTTCCTATACCTCTCCCAAGTCTCTTGATTTCTTGGCTTGTCGGAGAATTGCGCGAATATGTCTGAAGCAAAGACTTGGGCGCTTAGATAGCTGTAGTATCCTGCATCGTAGCCTGCCAGTAGGTGCGTAAAATCTGTGTGTGGGTGTCCGTGTTCGGCTTTGTTGGAGGAGGGTGAGAGAAGTGTTAAGGTTGAGTGGAGGTCAATGTAAAGGTTTGTGGAGTTGAGGGAAGTGCAGTGGGAATGAGAGGGGGAATCGTGGACAGTCATGTCGAAGCGAGAATCTGCTCTGTAGGCATCTTTTCAGCGCAAAACTTTCATATGTTCCAGCTCAATGAACGCTTACAACTGACCCAACATATACAGAGCACGGAAAGCAAAACGACTCTGGATCAGTGGATCGAGAAGATGGTCTGGTATAGTCGCGATCGGCGGTTTCTCATCTGGATGTTGGAGTTGCCATTCGTGCAATAGCTCGGGACTAAGGCTTGTATAATGGCAACTCATAAGTTTTAGCTCTGAAGGTAGCCATACGTAGTTCTCGAGCATGATACTCAGGGCTTCGGCATAGTCTGGTGGCGAGCGCCAGCCGTGGAAGCGTGAGTATGTGGTTCGGGACAGTAGGTCGTGTATGCCGTGGCCGAGTTCTGACAGAGGCACTTGTAAGCAAGCGCGCCATGAGTATGTAAGAAAGATGTACGTACCATGGAAGAGAGAAATGAGTTGGCCGTGCTTAAGCAAGATACAAGAGGGCGAGCCAGCAGGTGCAAAAGGTGGAAAATTGCACATGAGTAGGGTAGCCGGGTATCTACGTTTCCCATCGCTATCGATATAAGACTATACACCACCCTTCAAGTCAGCATAGGCAAAGACACGCTTGAAGTATATCCCCTACTTACGGGCTGTAAATTCACATTCTGGCATCCGCGATGTTTGTTCTCCCTAAACACGAGATCCATATATAGATACCCGATAAACTGATTCCTCTGTTCTGATCTATCGTCCCAGACTTCCCAAGCTGAAACATCAGCATGCCAGACCTCAGGGGATTTTACATTGAGGAAACGCAGCTGCAGGCAATCAGAGAATAAGTCAAGCATGCGTGGTACCGCTACTTGGATAGGAAAGTATTCGGCGATTTTGTCGTGGGAGACGGATGTGTTTTCGAGTGCAAGACGTTTCCAGTATGGGTAATCCCAAGCTAACATGGTATCTGGATCGCTGCTCTCTGATTTGTAGTTGCGCGTTTGTGATGCTCGCAGATCCAACAGCTCGGCCATTTCTTTCTTTCCTTGTGGCAAAAGTGTCCCTTCCAGCTTGTCGAGAAAGTCGTAGACCCATTGTGTAGTCTTCGCTAGTCTCTTTTCCAGGCGAAATGCTGCATGACTCTTGTATCCAAGTTGCCGTGCATTCAAATCTCGAAGTCTCAGTACTTCTTTGAAGATAGACAGGTTCTCGGGCAGTTTAGCGACATTAGCGATATACACTCGCTCCCTGGTTTCGGAGTTTCTTGCATACTGCAACACAGCACCAACATCATGTTTGTTGAGTGCGATAAAGCAAGTCTTGTTGCCATCGGAAGAGTCTCTTCCTGGTTGTTTGGCGCCCGCATTGCGAAACCGAGTAATGTCTTGGTGCAGTACACCTCCCAACTCACTCTCAGACAACCAAATTCCTTGCTCGCAGTTTCTGACGTTTCTGGTAAACTCTGCACGCAATTTGTCGATTTTGTTTCTCCGTGCAACGTATTCTGCAATACCTTCAGGATCCAGAACACCATGTCCACACCTCACAAAATCAGCCAACAGCTCGTCGAGATACTTTGCTGATTCGGCATCTAGGTCTTCATTACGGTCTTTGACTGCTTGCAGTAGAATGTAGACATCACTACGATCGGCAAACTCGCTAAAGGCTAAATTCCAGAGGGATCTTGCTTGTTCTGCAGCGGCCCTGGCGTTGGCGTCTGGAGATGCGTAGCGCAGCATTGCTATCATGCCGAAAGAGTCTTCGATGGAGTGTTGGGCTTCGGCGAGCGGTTTTACTACTGTTAGGAAAGTCGCGGTTGAGGGAGTTATGTCTTTGACTATGTTGTTTCGTGCGGTCCGTAACGTGTTGATGTGTTGTTCTGTCAACGTGAGGATTTTGTCGGTAGGGATGAGCTGGGGGTATTGTTGTGGTGGTGTTTGGTGTTGCATTGTGCAGGTGAGATGTGATGATTGTCTGCAAGGGTATTAGTGGTAGAAGTTGAAACAATCCTCACGGCGGTTGGAAAGATATTATGCTTGGTTATCTATGGCCTTGTGATCAATATCTGTTATCTTTTGAATTGGCTTCCTCTTCTAAGATTGGCGCCAGATCCTCTATTGCTAGTTGGTCTTGGTGACTTGGCAGCGACTTGGAAGAGCGATAGCCACGTCTCAAAAGCGAGCAACATTGATGATCTGCTTGTATCTTCCTTGCTTCAATATATGCAACCAGTCAAAGGGAACTGACAATCAAGCCTGCAAAAGATCACGGATTTTTTTGTCCAATAAATTGTTTGACGATTGGTAAAGACTTGTCCGTATGCTTGAATTCTTATAGCTTCTTGCAAAATGCACAAGCGCTAGCCCTTCGTACATCTGTGCGTGTGCCGATGGAATATTGCTCTATTTGTCGTTGAAGTACTGTTCTTTTCCCAACTTCCCTTTCTACGACAAAGGATAACTTGAAGCTGCAGGGTCATGTAACAAGCAATTGGTGAAACAGTCGAGAGGGCACAGGCTGGTTTTGAAACCGCGAGGCGGCGGAATTCGAATGTGGCCAAAAGTCGTGGTTGTTTTGTTTACTCCAACCTCAGGTTGCGCTCTGCACAGCAAACAACTCACATACCATGGTCGTCTCATTACCACAAGAGCTTCTGCTACTGATTGCCAGTCATATCACTGGAAAGGAAGAGAAACTCACTCCATATACACTTGTCAACAAATCATGGCAAGCCGCATTCGAGAGAGGAATATACTCTTCGCTTGTGGTGCTTAGTCCGTCAGATCGAGAGTATGTTACAGTCAGTCCTACCAAGCGACTCAAGAAACACGGTCTTTTTCTGTCAAGGCTAGACGACATTACCAGTGGACCACAGGATTGGCGAAGAGCTCGACGTACATATATCAGGCGGATCCTTTACAGAGTCGCTGTTCCCTACTGGCTAAGCCCAGGACGCGAGAAAGACGAAGACTATACTTACGATAATATTTGTCGACGCGAGAACAATCACGCCTTCTCCACAGGTGTGTGTTTGTTGTTTGAATATCTCTCAACCTGGACCACTCAAGCTATCTCTCTTGACCTTGCTTTACAAGCAGAGAACGCATCGACAGGAGAAGACAACACTGAGCCAGAGTCGATGCCAGCGACTGGAAATGATGACGCTATCGCCCATTACTGTGCGGAACTATCGCCAGACTGTACCTTGCCCAGGGCTGTGTGCATAACATCGCTGAACTTTCCTGAAATTTTGACCCCTGCCATGATTCCTGGTCAACATACCATACCAGATCGACCTTGCCTTGAGAACAGGATATCTCTTCCTGCGAAGTTGAAAATCCTGTCGTCATGTGGCGATGTACTGAAGATACAGCTCACTGACACCTACAACACTCCTTCGACGGAGCCTGAGATGCTTCAGAACAACACATTGGCGACTGCAAATGCGCTGTCTCAGCTACCATCAAGCATCCGAAGCTTCGAATTCTGCTGGGGTTCGCGATACAGTTTCGAAATCCCCGACGTGAGACCCCCGAAAAAGGACACTGGGCCGCACACGTTATGTATTGCCCTGCACAAAGTTTCATTGCAACTACAACATCTTGAAATCATGGACATGGCGGTCTTTCCTGAGCTCTTCTGCCCTGATGGCTTACAAGGATCTTTCCGAACATTTTGGCCACATCTTGAGACCCTCAGGTTGGCACGAACCGATGATTTCTCGCCTTCCGGTAGCCTTTCGCGGTACGGCGATGGCCATTCCTCAGATGAGACGCTGGTTGAACGCTACATTGATGATCTCTATTCAAGTCTCGGTTATGCCGCTCAAAGAATGCCGAGACTGCAAAATCTTAACCTGGAATTTGGCAGCATAGCCCACGAGCTCAAAATACTTTTCAGAGATGGCCAGCGGATCCTGCGTGTGCGTGTGAACAGGCACTATACCCCATCATCTCGGTTCTTAGAAGCTTGGAGAGTGCCTGGAGGGTGTTTGCAACCTTGCAAGGGGAGAGGTTGGCAACAAGCTTCATACAAAACATGGCCTCAAATTTGTGACGTCCATTGAATATGCCGGATCACGTAGGCACAACGTCAGCCCTGGCTTGCGTCCATATCAATGACTCTCCCTCTATCGGCCACATATCCTTTGGCAATGGTAACGTCAAGTCCCCGATTCTTCCATAAGTCGCTATGCAAGAAAGCACGTCTTGGGATAGTTTGCTCGTACGAAAGACATCCCCGATCAAGACTTTTCGCCAATGGTCGCCTGCCTGCTTTAATGGCTGCGAGAATAGTTGCGCAGGGTCCCATCGAGGCAGATCGTCTATCTCTTCATCATACCGCTCAGAATTCCAGAACTCATTAGACTCGTCCATTCGAGCCCTTGGCTGTGTGTCGCAAAACCTGGGAAGGGATAGACTAACCAGCTGGCCGGCAGACTCGAGCAGAATTACTAATTCCAAGATATCAGGGCTCAAACGTTCGGCGACCAAAGAGGTAACGTTGCAAGCTGATGCGAATTGTTTGGCATCAATCGGAGCATCGGGAAGGATAGTAGAAATACCTATATTGTCGTTGTCGAGACGCAATTTCTTAAGCAGTGTCAAATCTGACATATCTGAGAGGTAATTTGCGTTTGACCTGACAGGTAAGAAGCCGTATCCTAGTCGTAGTGATTGTAGCCGCAATGGTCTGTCGATTTTGCTACTAAAATGGTGAACCAACTTCGGTAGCAACTCATTGTCATCTTGCGTTTCCAAACCTGCGATCGATAAACCTAATTCGCGGATGTCTGGACTTGACACCAAGATCTCCGCCACTTCGCGGACTCTGCCGTGGTGGCTGTGCCCCATTCCAAGCAACTCGAGTTTCCGAAGGTTGCGAAAATGAGGTACACGATTTTCAAAACTGGAAATTCCCGTCACTGTTGACGAGGGATACTGCTTCTAGGTTTTCGCAGTCTGCTAGCAAGTATAGTACGGTCTGGCCTTCAGGACTTGAGAACAAGTCCCACATAAAGTCGTTGCTGCTCAAACTGTGCAGTGGTTCCAGATCAGTAAACGTAGTAACTCTCTCATCTTGCTGGATCAATCTCTTACTACGCAGTCTGTAATTTTTTCTGGGTTTGCAGACACTTCTTGATTGCCCCAAGAATATCTTCGAAGATGATCTCTGGCCTTGGATGCTGCAGGTAGATGTCGCGTCCGAGGTAGAGACTTTGAACCGATCCAGGATGTGCAGACACAGATTCAAAGAAGTTTAAACAAGATTTCCAGTTGATCTTTTGCACCCGAGTCTCATTGTATAACAAAGGTGTACAAATATTCTGTAACTTTCGAGACACTTGACATAGTGTCGCAAGTTGAGACTGAGACGCGCTTTCTGCTATAAGCAGCAAAACCTCATCGGGGAAACCCGCCATGTGCACACAGTTGTCTGACTGTGCTTGTGCCTGAGAGAGACAAGATTGAGAGTAACATCAAGAATTTGATCTGTTTCTGACCTTGCTATTTTAATGCCGTTGAGCGTCAGCTGACTTTCTCTAATGTTCCGAACAACAGAAGAGCCTCGTAAAGAGACGTTGGTCTCAAATAATTATGGGCGCCACGCCTGACCCTCGAAATACGGTCATGTTTGCCGATCAAGCTAGGGATAACGGTGTCGACTCCGAGAACATAACATACTATACCAATACGAACTGCATAAGGCAAAGGACGTCTTCACAGATCGAAACCCCCTACTACTATGCCAAAGTTGAAGGTCCAGATCCATCCACCAATGCTCTAGGTCAAATCAATGCGGATCCAGACCTCACGAATTGTCAGACTGGTGATGGAAAATGTATCCAACCGTGGGCGCTGCGAATCGTGTCTTCAGACGAGACCTACATCGCTGGCGCTGGGATGTACGCCTGTTTCTACGACGAATACAGTCAGGCTTGCGTTGACAAGCAGAGTTGTCAGCGCAGTATGGTCTCCACTTACTTGAGCAGCAATCTCTGGCTGTATAACATGATCACCATTGGTGCAACTGAGATGATCAGTCCCTATGGCACGGACTACCTGCCAGCATTGGCTGCCGATAACACTCATCCGACAGGTCATCCATACTGGTCCAGGATCAATGCTTGGTTACTCATTGCCATCTCCAATGGTTCGCCCTGGCCCTTGATCGACGACCCAGAGCCTCCAAATCTGAAGGATGATTCCGAAGATGGCAATGATGACAGTGGAAATGAAGATCAACCTCAGGAGCCGCGATCAACAAGCCCGACACGAACAAGATCCGACAACAGCACCTACCAGTATCGCTACAAGCGACGACGACGAGGAAGATAGATGCATCGCTATCCCAACCATCGCTCTTCGCACGATTGGTATTAGTTTGGCCAGTGGTGGTTGGGCCTCTGTCTACGCAACGATTTTATTCGATGCGATATTTGGCAGCAACCTTGCAACGTTTAGCACGTATGCCCGTCGTTCCACAGCCAAAATATGTCACAGACAATGGAGTAGCTCAGACAACTACACCCGTAAAGTCGTCTCCCGCAGCCGCACCTGCGAAGCCGATGTTGTCCAGTCACGGAGGCTATTTCCTCATTTTTACGGGCGGTCAAGATCCAAGCGATTCCGAAACATACTACGCATGAATTGGATACGACGGCAAAGGCGGAAGAGGTTTGGATGTCCGCGTTACCACAGACCGGGTTTTGATGGAGACATATTAGGGGAATAAGCCCATCGAACCTCTCTACCCGGTCGAGCTTCTGGCAGTGAACCCTGGAGAACACGAAAGCTGCACTTGCAAGAGGAAAGGTTCATACACGGCTGGCACCATCTCTTGCGCGGACGGTAAAGAATTTCATTGTGAGGACTATGATGAGCCGGGTCGAGGTTCTTCATGTTCGAGTGGCGATGGAGGTTACAAGATGGTGTATCCCAAGCTGAGTTGCAAGTATTCCTAGGATCCTGGAAAGGGCTTCAGCAACAAAAAAGTCATATCAGATAAACATGGTCTGACTGAAATTCAAACTATATCACGCAAATACACAATTCATCACGTCCACAGTTCGTCATGGAGACGAGAGCATTCCATAGCATAGAGGCATGCTTTATACAGGCAGGAAGAGAAGAAAGAAGACCCTTGTTGGAGCTCGCCATGCAATGCTGAGAGTTTGGTGTTGCTTGCACACTGTACTTTACTGTGTCCACCAATTTATCCCTCCCCCTCTAAGAGGACAGTTGTTGCGCTGGGCAAGAATAACCAGATTTTGGGACCCGCCATGTACCAAGCCTCAGATCTCTGTCTATTGTTACATACCCCTCTAGAAGATGTCTTCCGTCTTTTTTATCTTTCCATTGTTCCTCGACAGACTGTTTGTGGACACGAAGGCGGAAATATGGCATTTTTCAAGATGCCCAGACCATCCAATTGGAGTTTGTGGCGCTCAGAATCTCCAACGGTGCTATACGAACGCCCCCAGCTCTCGACCTCCACAACCAAATTGTTATCGTGGTTCACCTCTCTCTCTCCTTTCAAACTTTGCTTCGATTTGTGACCATCCATACTACTACAACCATGGTGATGATACAAGACGAAATTTTGTCACTTATTGTTGAACAGACGTCCTGGTCTCAACTGGCAACGCTATGTCGTGTATCGCGGAAATTGTACAACATGTGTATGCCTCTTCTCTATCAGGACGCGCATCTGCAATCAAGTGGATGGGATTCATGTCTACAATTTTTCGAAGCTCTGTCGGCACATCCTAACATGGTCCGAGATCTATACATTGGACGCGGAGTAGTGTTTTGCCGTCCTATGCCACAGACCATCTTTAAGGATTTCGATGCTGCGCTTGAGAAGTGCTTGCAGAGCCAGCGAGAACTTGAAACTGTCTAGTATATTACTTTGCTCCACAATGCAAGACTGAACTTGAGTTCTGACTGATTGGTCATTTGTAGCTTTAACCACCACGAGGATTCCGCTCTGCACAACCTATTCTCTGAACCCACTGGCCAGAGAATTCTCAACTCATTGCACGAATATGCAAAAAAGCTGCATGCGGTATCACTTGTCAACAGCGAGGGAACGAGCTTCGGCTTCAAAAACAAGATCCCTGCTTTCAGCAATCTTCGTAAATTGGAGCTTGTGGGGATGAAACAGAGAGGTCATGATAGAGTATCCGAAGTCGCAGAGATCTTGATATCATGTCCTGGCCTCCTTGATCTTTCTCTGTCAACCACGGGTGCAGGTGCTGATGGAGAAGTCTTAGATCTCTTGCCGAAAGTGGTCGAAAAAGTCAAGGGGAAGATCGAGAAACGATTGCGGCTAAGGTCACTGCGCTTGGGATATGGTTTCCTGCCTGTCGAATCAGAAGGAATAGATTACCTCTCAGAAGTGGTGGATCTGACAAACCTCGACAATCTACGCCTCGACAACGATCACATAGGTGTCAAAGAGGTTTTGGACGACGCACCAATCGATGTCAAGCAATTTGCGTCTGCGTATAATGTTTCGTTCCTTACTGCCGAACGTCTAAGTCCTGATATCGTTGAATTGATACATGTCCTCAATACGCATGGTCAACTAACCAGACTCTCTCTACCACGCTTTTGCGATACACAACCCCGTGTGCGTATGGATAGGGATAATCAATACTGGGATGACTACTGGTACGACGAATTTCCCGGGGAAATCCCCTCATGGTCAGCCGGGCAGCTGTTCTCCGCACCACTCGAGCAAGCCGGAACGCATTGGAAAAGCATATTGATTGGTGACATTTTCCTTTTCAACGGACCGCAAGGTCCCATCTTTGATTGTTTGACTCGCTACGAACGACTTGAAGAACTGGCATTGCCCATGTCATATGAGCTGTGGCCACGATTTCAGAGCGAGGTGATGCCACATCTGCGCCAACTGCAGAGATTGTTTCTAGTCGGACATACACTGGCTTGTGGTTACGTGTATCAAGGCAAGGTACTCGGGTACGAGGATTACGTAGGGCTCTCATATGGCCATTACAGTTCGGGAACCGAAAAAGAACTCGAAGAGAAGGTCAAACAAGGCGAGGCCGAACATTCGATCCATGTTTACAAATGGTTGAGGGGCATTTTTATGGACAATCGCACCAGCATAGCTGACGGAGACAATCGCGCTCTCCTCAGGTATCTCGGGCTACAGGGCATGGTGTTCACCTGTATGTTACTACCAGGCACTACACCTGGTGGCAACAATTCTTTCTTAGTCAACGAGAACGGCAAGGAATGGATATACGACATTGTTGATGTAGACGAAGACGATGCGGCTCGCTTTGAAGCCATTCGTGAATGGAACGAAGGCACCGCGCGGCTGAGGGCTGGAGGAGACGAAGACCCTAGCCGTAACTCTCACTAACAGAATCAAAGTACCAAGGATACTAGACGACCTTCCACTAGATACTTTGGCAATTTGTATACCCTTTGTGCCTGGCGAAAGAGAACAGATCAAAGGACAATATAAGGACACAGCGAATATATCGTCATCATGTCGATAACCCCTTCCTTCCAGACCAAAAACAAGTCATGAAAACAAGAAAGGATTCAATAGAATCTTGTATACTGGAATTTATCTTTTGTAAAGGTTTCTCTTGCTCTTGGTGGAAGCGGCGGTAAATTGGGTGCGAAGAAGCTTGATCTTGGATGGCGCGTATTATCCAAGTATCAAAACTTCGTCTATAGAATACTAAATATAAGTGTATAGACAAGAAAAGAATCAAGTCTGATAAAGACTCCAATAATATGCCATAAATCAAATGTTTTAAAGGTCGTCAATCATAGTCTAGAAAAAAAAAAGCAGTAAAAAGAACGCCGTATATGCAAAAACCCTCCCCTCGCTTACGTCCTCTTGCTAGAGGTGGTAGTAGGTTTCTTCGAGCTCGAAGAAGAAGTACTGCTGCGCTTGAGTGTGCTGGTCGTCAAGGTCGAGCTGGGCTTTTTAGAGCTGCTTGATGAGGTTGTTTTCTTACTCGAGCTTGTCGAAGTAGTCTTCTTGCTTGAACTCGAGCTCGTCGAAGTAGTTTTCTTGCTTGAGCTCGAACTCGTCGAACTTGTTGTCTTCGTGCTGCTCGATGAAGTAACTTTTTTACTACTGCTCGACGAAGAAGAACTCTTCAACACAGCAGTACTCCTAGCACTGACACCCGCATTCTTCGTACTCAACGTGACCACAGTTTTCGCACTCGAACTACTGGTAGTACTAGACTTGCGCGTCGACGATGACGACGAAGAAGACGAAGATGTTTTCTTAGACGATGACGAACTTGTGCTGGAGGATTTGCTCGAGGTTGTAGGCTTGGAACTCGTGGATGATTTTGTGGATGTGGAGGAGGAAGTTGTGGGTTTTGGAGTTGAAGATGTCGAAGTTGGTTTTGTAGATGAGGAGCTGGTGGTGGGTTTGCTGCTTGATGAGCTGGTGGTTGGCTTGCTGCTCGTGCTGCTCGTGCTTGTGGTTGAGATCTTGGTGGATGAGGATGAGGAGGTGGAAGTAGAGCGGATGCTGCTGCTGGTGGTCGAAGTCGAGGTTGAAGTCGAGGGCTTAACGCTGCTTGAGGAACTCGAAGTGGTAGGTTTAATGCTGGTGGAGGATGATGTCGAAGTTGACAGAGTGCTGCTGCTGGAGGAAGATGTCGAAGTTGAGCGAGCGCTGCTGCTTGAGGACGGTATCGAAGTCGACAGAGTGCTCGTGGACGAGGAAGTAGAAACCACCGAGGACTGAGTGCTACTGGTCGACAAAGTAGAAGAAGACGACGAGCTAGTCGCACTTGGCGAAGATACAGAGGACGACGACGAAGAGGTGCTTGTCGAACTCATCGAAGAACTAGAGCTCGAACTCGTGGGGTCCGCAACAACAGTCTCAGAAAACACCTTGATGTAGTTAACCTCCCAGTACGCCTCCTTGAACGCACTAGGATTACCCGCCACATATTCAATACAACCATTGCTTGTGCTAGCCAAAGGACAGCTAGTGGACGAATACACACTACCCGCCCAATCGCCACAGAACGTAGTGTCAAAGACCATACGGTGGTTGATAAAGTGAGAATCAATATCGCAGCTACCGCCATCGAAATTGCCGACGGGTGTTCCAAAGTCGAGAGCAGGAGAAGGTGAGCCGGAGGAAATGGATGCGGGAATGGCGTTGCGAGGGAAGAACCACACTTTCATGAATTCGGAGGTCCATTGCATGGCGTAGACACCGCCGCCATTGGCATTGAAGCCATCGCCATAGCCGGTTTGGTCGTTGGTGCCTGTGGCACAGCCGGCAGCGCCTCCTGTGCTGACGGCGCAGTCATAACCATTAGCCCAGCCGGTCTGATTTTGGAATTTCATGGTGCAGTTGGGAGCAGTGTGAGCGGCGATTTGATTGGTGGAGGCCATGTTGACACCCTCGATGATATCGAGTTCTCCATGAGCAGGCCAGGTCGAGTCGCCGAGAGTCCAGAAGGCAGGCCAGACGCCGCAAATCGAACCGGGCATGTGTTTGATGTCGGCGAGAAAGAGACCATGGTTGTAGTTGACCTTGCCTTCAAGACGTACTGATTGGCGACCAGTAGAGTTGGCATAGAGCACATTGGTGTCATCCACGCCCCATTTAGCAGTGTTGCCTGTACCGTATCCAAGGATGCCGCTGCTGACGGCTGTTGCCTGGTCTACATACTGGACGAAACCATGAGTCGGGTCCGGGTCTGTGAAGAAGTTGAAGCCGTCGTAGAAATTGCTTCCGGCATATGTATCCTGCAAAGAATAGTTGTAAGAGACAGCAGAAGCGCTCAAAGGAAGGAGAGCAAGCAAAAGGCCACTAGGACCAACAAGCCTCGAGCAAGGCATTTTTCCGTAGCAGAAACGACAGACTTGATAACGAATGAATGGCTATGCCAAAAGAAATGGCAAGCAAAGCGATAGCAGAATAGCAAAGCGAAAAAAAAAAGTCTCCGACCTACCAAAAAACACATCCAGGGATGAAGCGTGTGTTTTATTTCGCCCAGCACTTACAGAGTGTATTGATCCCACCGGCAGAAACGGGCGTCCCGTACTGAAGGTCTCAGATTTTGGGACCATGGACTTTCAGCTGCTCGGTCATACGCGTGGTACCTACATCTATCAGGCGCCACAAAACAGAGCTTGTGGCATTTAAGCATGACCCATGATATAGCGCCGGAAGATAGTAGTGACCACGCATGGAGCCCGCATGAAAGAGGGTGTAGTGACCAGTCCGCAACTCAGGGGAAGAGAACCAAGAAGCAGAGGTGTGTTTTGAAGTTGGTCGACCGTTTGAAGGTTTGGCGAAAGCCGTTGCCGAAAAGAGTTCGGAGATGCCGTTTTTGGCTGAAGGGCTGAGCTGAAGGGGAGATCCAGCCACGGGTGCCTCTGTGCTCTCTCTAAATCTTCTCAGCTCTTTAACTAGATCTATCGATCTCGGACTGAATCAAGAAGAAAGGGAGGGAAGAGCCGCATCTAGCTCTATCCGCTCCACGGAAACCCCTACAAAGACGGAATATGGTGTAAATGCATGTTTGTAGCGAGTCAAACCATTGGTCTGTTCCTCAAAATCAGTCTTTTTCCACACACCGATTGGTTCTCGAGCTTCATTTTTGCTCTTTCAGCTGCGAGGTACCCAGCTGAATACATAACATGAGTCGCATTATTGATTTAATTGCCTTTGCCTGCATTCTGCATGGATTGCTTTTTTTTCTGGCCGTCTCGTCGTTCCGTGTGCCGTAGTGCAGAAACACCACCGGACTTCGATCAATGAGGCCCTTGAGAGCAATGAACAAAGGAGAATGACAGATTTGCAGGTAAAGTAGCCAAGTCGCTTCTGTACATGGCGCGACCCAATAGCGCGAAAGAATCGATGCCTTCTGTATCGTGTGTCGAGTGGTCACGATTCCGTGTCGCAAGCAGGCAAGAGAGGTATGTTCGCGGGTGACAGGGTCAGTCACACCAGATCAAGTGATGCGGTGAACAGCACGGCGAAAGTCTAGACTCCTGTCACGATCCAAGACGCGCGGTTGGCCGGATTGAGAGGTGAAAGTACTTGGCAGGAAAGATCATAAGACATCTATCAAGGTAGATCTATAACCGCAATGCAGATTATTAGGTAAAATGTAAACAACGCTTGAACGCTTGACAACAAAAACCCTTTGGTACCTGAAAGCGTGACTTTCGTATAAGTTCCCTTGAATCAACGGGCAGACGACCTGGCTGCAGCAAACACCTCAAGCCTTTGCATACCGACAAGCCGGGCTGCTGCAAGCCTCGTGCCTCTGGTTCAACCAGTCGTAAACATGTCTATGATCCCCCTCTTTCTCCCACGAGCCCAGAAGCACAAGCAACGGCTCATCGCCCTCATACTGATATCCGGGCGCTTTGCGCTGTCTCGCAACTTCCAGCGTCTCGTGGATTGTATCCCAAACGAAACCCGCAGTCAAAGGTTTGCCGTCTTGTGACTCACAGCGAATGAGGTAGCTCCAGTAGTAAAGCTCGATACGCGTAGGTGCTGGGTTGGAGAAGTACATTTTGCGCCAGCTGGCGTCTGGAGAAGAGCGCTCGCCGAGGAGATAGAAAGGGTCGTTTTCGGAGATCTTGAAAACGAGCATGTGCTTCTTCTGGCGGTCTTGGAGGTCGCGAAAGACGACGGGGTGGCTGAAGTAGTCGTCGTGTGACTGATTTGTGTTGGAGAGGTGGCGGCAGAGCGACTGTTGGTCGGCTCGTGCTTGTCTTGCAGCAGCCTGCTTTTGTCGTCGTTGGTCGCAGGAAAAGGAGTTGTGCAGGATGTGTTTCTTGAGAGTGGGTGCAATGAAAGGATTCGTTTCTGCGCCACAGACGCGATCCTCCTCTTGGTGACCACAGTAACAGGGTCTCTTTTGCTCTGAGTCGCGTGCCAGGAACAGACGCTTCTGCAATCGGGCAGAAGCATCAATCATGCCCTTGAAACTGCGACACGTCCGCGAGATAGTCATGATAGCGCGAATGCTCTGTCGTTGCGTCTCGACCTCATCGCCGGACCACGGGAGCTGCATCAAGATGTGTTCAAAGAGATCAAAGTTGTTCAATGTCTTGGACGCGGCTGATTCTCCCTTTTCGGCTGGAAGGATGTTGGCGGTTTCGGTAGGTCGCGACTTGAGTTGTGGCTCGGGAGCAATGACACTGCTTCTTCGACGTGACAGTTCCTTGCGGATGCTCTGTGAAATTTCGCTTCGTAGGTCTTCGGCAGCCGCGTTGCCCAGACTCATCGACACCTTTGAGATGCGGCGTCTCTTGCCATTGCAGGCAGGCTTGTAGTCGTGGTCATTGTGACCTTCGGGGATAGTGCTGATCATGTTGTTGTAGGTAATAACAATGGTCGTGTGAGAGTACGGAAGTGTAGGAGCTGTTGGAAGCGAGTGATAAGAATGGTCGTGTTTGTATGTGCGTGTATGGAGATGGATGTAGGAGTCGTTGCAAAACAAGCAGCAAGCAAGGGAAAGAGAGTCAATAAGAACACCAAGGTCAATCCCTCATCTTAAACCCCAGCACATCAATGGACCCTTGCTCATCTCTTACGCCCGGAATAGCCGTACGTCCACGCCTCACTGCCATGACCAGCTAACTTACCCCATGAAAAACACGACCTCCGGGTGGGCGAAAAAGGGCGATGCGGAAACAAACGTTCAACGGTCGATCATGTTTTTCTGGACCGAGAGCGAATCCCCAAAGACGCGTCCGAGCTTCGGATCTTCGTCCCCAAAATGCAGATTCCAGAGGCGAAAAAGCAAACCTGCACCCCAAGTGATTTCTAGGGGTCTTCGGGAAAGAGCGACTCTGCACTGCTCTGCATCCATCTCGCCATTCCAGGCAGCAACATATCTCATGATAACCGGGAACGAAACTCCAGAGCAGGAAAGAAGTGGTATGCTTGCTGCAGAAAGTCAAACGTCATCAAGTGACCAAGTCAAGCAATCCTTCTGGAAGAAAGCGGAAAGCTTTTTGGGGCAGACAGCAATAATCACAGCACACGACAAGCACATGTCAAAAGCGACGTTTCTTGCATGCATGTGGCAAAAACCAGCAAAAGTCTAGATAAACATTTTGCTCTCTTGCCAATTGGAAAATGCCGGCTGTTTCTGATCTTTTCCTGTTTTTGTGCAACACAACAAGGCAGATGGTTGAAAGACAAGAACCGGCGTTCGGCTGCACCGTGTCTGAAATAGACTTCTCGACCTTTTGATCAGCATACACGCACAAGTCATCACTTGCGATGATCAGGTCCCAGACCCTTTTTCGTGTTGCCTATCTTGCCCAGCCTCGCATGATCATCTGCAACAATAATCGATCCCTTGGCGAAGTTCGTCATAGAGTCTTTGGTTCATGTTAACTAGGCCCTTGGGCATGCCTTCAGATAGACGGAATTCGGAAAGAGGCTGAGTATAGAGGCACCTCTGCATGGAAGAAGAGAATAGATTCTATATCTAGATGCTTATTACAAAATTCAAGAGCTCTCGTGAAGCTCTATAGCAGCCATCTCAATCGATCATGGCTGAGCTGAAAAACGTATGGTACGTCAGTCGGCCTTTCCTGTCCTCACTCCCAGTATTGCTGGATGCTGTACTCTGAACGTGCGTGAACCCGTGGCTGGCTGTGCAGTTTCGCACACCATCTTCAGGCAGCTGTGCCTGACACGGCTTGAGCTTTCACAGTGTCTCAGGCAATTGTCGCAAGAAAGCGACCCGACACCTCAAGAGCGAGCTCATAAGCTCTCCCCTCCTCGCGCGACCCTTCCGGGTCAAGCAATGTATTCCTTCACTAGCATCTCAACGCCAACCCATCAGATGAACTTGCAGCGCGAACCAGCACGCCCGCATCTCTTCAATCCTCGTCCTCCCTTGTCGGCGCCACACTCCCCCTCCACAACCGTCCCCTATCCTCTTCATAATTCAACATCCCTGACTCTTCATCTTCCTCTCCTGCATCCTCGTCCCACTCCTCCTGTTTCCTAAACCTCTTTGTCAAGTTCCAAACTCCTTGTTTGACATTGTTTTTTGCTCGTCGCGCCAGATCTGAGACGGTGTCGATGGGTAGGTTTTGAGATTGTGAGCGCCAGAAGGGGAGGATGAGGTAGGAGATGCTGAGGTAGAGAGAAAGGGCGATGGAGAAGGGCAGGAGGAGTGTCTGTTACGCAGGTCGCGTTAGTTTTCGAGAGCAACGCGAGAATGTCGGACGGACGGGGGGATGCTTACGAGGAGAGCGGAAGGTAAGGGTTGTGGTTGTGACATTGTGTATGCTGCGCTTTGCTCTATCGTATTCTCGGTGTCTCTCAGCTTATCCTCGAGAGATTTTCGAATCCAGAAAGATGATGCAGTACTCGTATGTGGCAAAAGTAGTGCTATCCCCCGCGTCTGAGGAAAGGTAGAAAGGTATATTTCAAGAAGCCTAGAAAGCGAAAGGATCCGCTATAGGGAAAGCAATAGATGACGAAGACGCGGCTCTTCCTCAAGAGACAATAGAATGATGCCAATCGCCCACAATCGTCTTCCCGTCTGTATCCGGATAGAAACGGCTATAAAGGCACCAAGGGCGGGCAAAGCAAACGTGGGGAAAGATGGGATTCGGTGACGACGACTGGCTGAAAACGTAGCTTGGACGAAGCGTACTTGTAGAAGAAAAATAAAAGCAAGAAGAGAAGTCTCAAAAAGACAATGTCACAAGAAGAGAAAACGTCAAGTGTCCTCGAGAGAATCAGAGCTCTTAGGCTTCAGCCCTATCCTTTCTCAGCTCATCTCAGCAATCATAGTCAGCACTCTCGAGGTCGCAAAAGAGGTGAGATGAGGCGCTACGGACGACGGGCTTGCCGACGGGCGCGGCAAGCCGGAAAATGGCACAGCTCCAGCCTCGCTGAACCTTCCTTGTCAAGACTCCAGGGTCCAGATGCTCTAAGAACTATTTCCGGAGAATGATTGTTGATGGTAACACCCTGCTCGGAAATCGGCAGGAATTGTTTCTCAACCACTCTAGAGTCATACAGGCATGTGATGGTATGTGGCGATTGGAATGGTGTGACTCCCGAAGCTTACAAGTAGCTTACGATGCATAGTAGCTTTGCGTGGACAATGTCGTAAGTTGGGAGAAAAATTAGAAGTTGTCGTCCTGAAGCTTGACCCAGAACCCTCACAGACAGACATCAATGTGCGAGGCCAACACCAAACCCTTGATAATTCGTGCAATCAACAAGGTACGCAAATCTACACCTTATTTTCTATTTCCCATACTAGTCCATCACATCACATCGTAACTACATCTGTACACAAACGTATAGATATCCATACAACTCCACAGAAAATGCTTCATCTTCCTCCCTTCTAATCATCGTCCTGACCAATACGTCTATATCTTCCACTTCCTCCAGCATGTGAGGAAGCTCCATCTCCCTTGCCCTTCTTAACAAGGTTAGAGATCCATCCTCCAAGACCCTCTGAGTCCGCGTCTTTACTGAGCATGGGCTTGCCGTTCTGCACGTCAACAGCAGGTGGATCTATGTCGAGATCGGGGATGTTGGCGTCTTGAGGTGCATTTCCGTCGCGGTCGAGATGTATGGAAGCTGGGGGACTTCTGCTGAAGAGTGATTCGGCCTCGGCCAGGGTCTGAGGCGAAGGAGCCACGGTGGATGCGTCTCCAAAAATGCTGTTCATATCTTCCAGGCGAACATTGGCACTATAGAAACTGTTAGTTTGTGTTTAAAATGCAATGGAAAGGATTCGAAATACGTTTCCGGATACGTGAAATACACCACAACGAGCGAGACAGCACAGAAGAATGCATGCATCAAGTATAGTCGCCATTGGATGAGGTCCTGGAGGATTGGGGTGAGTTCTCCGACGAGCCAGTTGAAGGCCCAGTTCGACGCAGTAGACAGAGATGCTCCCTTGGCACGGATGCTCAAAGGAAGAATCTCAGGTGGGTAGAGCCAGGGAATGGGACCCCATGAAGCTCCGAATGCTGCGTTGTAGAGCACGACGAAGATGACGACCATACGTGGAGTCAGGTGAATGTCGATGTAGATGAAGTACGAGATGGCTGAGAGCGAGATGATCATGGCAACAGCACCCCACATCAGAATGAAACGACGGCCGAGGCGATCGACAAGGTACCATGGGGGTACTGTGGAGAGCAGGTAGGTAAGACCGTTGATACCAGTCATGAGGATAGCATCGCGGCCAACCCATCCCGCTTGCTCAAAGACCAGAGGAGCATAGTACGAGATGACGTTGATGCCGTTGAGTTGGGCAAGAGCTTGTGCAGACATGGCAATGAAGACACGCTTGTAGTAGCGCTTGAACATATCCTTGTAACTGCGCTCGCCCTCTTGACGCTGCAGCAGCACGTTCATCTTGATTTCGCGGTATTCGTCACGCGCCTTTTGGTTGTGGATGTCACCCTTGCCGTAGAGGTTAGCAATGACGACAATGCCTTCCTCGTCGTGGTCGTTGTCAAGCAGCCATCTGTGAGTGATTGTCAGCACCGACTATAGATAGCACGCAGAGCAAGACATACCTAGGAGATTCGCAGATCAAGAATGAACCAAGAATGAGCAAGACGCCCATGACACACTGCATGAACAAGGGGAGTCTCCAACTCCAGTCATTGTGAATGAATGAGGAAAAGTAGTCGACCCAGACACTAGAGGCATAGCCAACAATGTTGCCTGAGAACTCGATGCAAGCAAGCTTTCCGCGGTTATGAGGCGGTGAAATCTCAGATTGGTAGACAGGCACGATTGTCGACAAGGCACCAACACCGAAACCAGCAATAATACGACCAAGCATCATCATAGGCATGCCGGTAGCAAAAGTCTGGAAAGCACCGCCAATGACAAAGACGACAGCTCCGTAGAGAATGGTGCGGCGACGACCGAGTATGTCACCGATGCGGCCCACACCCAGAGAGGATATGAAAGCTCCAACCTCGAGGATGGCAACCATGGTACCAATCTCTGCTCTTGTAGGCTGATTGAAGTAGCCCTTGAAGTACATGCCGGTGATGATACCACTCATGACACCCTGGTCATAACCGAATAGGAAGACACCTAACGAGACAAAGACCGAGGTGAAGTAGATCAGCTTCTTGCCATGGAGGCCATGCATGCGCGAGGGACCATCATTGGGAGCCATGATGAAGGCGAGGATGCGTTCGGCTTGGGAGATTTGGCGCGGTGGGGGATTAGGGATAGGGATGTCGTTCTTGTTGATGGCACCCTCTTTGGTTCCGCTCTGGTAGCGAACGTGCTTTGTGTTCTTACGACGACTACTGGGGCTCTGGTGCTGGGGGTTGAGAGCAGCGCGTAGGGGGTCGTCGTCGTTGTCAAACTGGTCAACCAGATCACCCGTGTCGCTCCAAAGACTGAAGTCGCTGTGGGCAGAGTCGGACGAGCGCCGGTGACGGCTACCGTCAGAGTATCGCTTCTCGTCAAACGATGAGGCGCCGCTGGTGTTGCGCAAGTGCCGTGAAGACGATGAAAGAGTGTGCAATGGAATGTTGGGAGGCCTGCGTTCGGGAATCTTGGCGGCGGATGTTCAATCTCTCCCTGCCTGACAGTCGAGGCAGGAAGAAGAATGAAGAAAGAGTTTCAAAAAGTGCTAGGACGAATTGAGAGCACACGTGCGACTAATCACAACACCTGCTCGATAGCTTTGGCTGCTGCGTCTGATACGAGTATCGACACCTCGCACCAACAGGCTCACGGCAGATCGGGCTTCTCACTGATAAGGAGCCAATGACGTCGCCCAGATCAACAGAAAACTTGCAGCACGCAGGTCACGGTGAGCTACGTGGAAATACCGGAAGCGAGAGGGAAAAATTGAGGCTGGGAATGGCGGTAAGAGAAGGGACGACGTATGATTGAAGATCCGGGAGAAAGAGAGAGAAAGCTCCTTTTGCTCTTGTCAATCTTCCTTTGCATGCGTCGTGGCTTGTCGCGTCCCCTTGAACCTGAACGACTGTCGATCGCTCCTCCCTGATTACCCGAGGACGGCCATTTTCTATGCATCAATACCGTCTTTTCTCCCACAAGATAAAAGGTACGAAATGCCTGTTGTTCCATTGTTTCTATACTACTACTCGGACAACAACTCAATTGGAGGAGCAAAGTCAAAAGTCACAAGCCATCAATGTCCATGACCCGAGACTAGCTCCATACCCGGGGCCTCCGCAAACCTGAAGCAGAAACCATGACCTTTTACGCCCGTGCGCTAGGCCATCTCTCTATGCCCCGTCTTCTTGTCCCAAGTCTTGGAAGGGGAAACCCGAAAGATAGAAACAGGTCACATGCTCAAGATAGTGCAACTGACCGCTTTGTTGGCATGAAACTTGACAGTTTGCTTGACTAACAAGTATCGCTGTAGAACATTCGAAGGAAGCGTCCTCGGTCATCTGCTTGATGCCATCTGACAAGTCGCCAAGTCAACCTCTAGAAAGCCGACTTGAACTCCTGCCTCACAAGTTTCCAGCCCAAGACAATGAACGAATAGAAGTTTTGATATGTACAACATTTCCATGACCACGACTATGCTAAACAAGAAAAAGGAAACAAATGGAAATAATAGAAGCATGTCGAATACAGTGAGAACGCCCATGTTCGCCCATCTTTGGGGGCCGTGTTTGTAAAAGTAAAACCCCCCTTCGTCTTTCCTTTACACAGAAATAATCTTCTAGTGACGTTCCTGCTTTTCAGGCTCCAGCCACTCCAGGTATAACCTCAGATTCTCGGGTATATCCCTCTTCCAAATCTTCATCCTCTACCACTCTGGACTCGGCATTGTGTTTTCGTAAGAGCTCCGTCTTGCGTGATTAATATCTACAACAAAATCTGGTAGGTGCTTATGCGCTGGCGACAGCGTTGGGTCCGTAGTGTACTTGAGGGTTGGGCTCACCGGGAGCCATGAAGTTGGTCTTTGCGTTGCCTTGAGCCTTTGATGCTGAGCAGCGGGCCATGGTGGGCGAAGATCTTGAGATGGCGTTGGTGAAGAAGAAGTCGGCAATGGGCTTCTTGAGGGCGGTGCCGGTGATCTTGGCACCGTGGTTGGCCTCAACAAGCTGGACCTTGGAAAGAGCAGCAACCTCTTGCGAAGTGGGCTCAGCGACATCGTATGCGGAGAGGGCAGGCGAGATCTCGTTCATGCGGTCGCGGAGCATCTCAATGTCGTCGTAGGGAAGAGTAACGTTAAGGGCCTCGGAGACGGCACGGAGAATCTTCCAGTCCTCACGAGCGGCACCGTAGACACCAGTGGCGGCACGAGCCATCTGTGTACGGCCTTCAGTGTTGACGTAGGTTCCGCTCTTCTCGGTGTAGGTGGCACCGGGCAGGATGACATCGGCGAGTTGAGCACCCTTGTCACCGTGAGAGCCCTGGTAGATAACAAAAGCGTCCTTGGGAATGTCGGCGGCCTCGATCTCATCGGCACCAAGAAGCCAGACAATCTTGGGGGTGACTTGGGCAGTCTCAGGGTTGCTGACACCCCAACCAATCTCGTAGGCACCAGTACGGGCAGCAGCACGCTGGAGAACGTTGTATCCGTTCCATTCCTTGGTGGCGAAGTTGGCCTTGTTCTCGTCGATGAACTTACCGACAGTCTCGAAGATGGCCTTGGCGTCAGGGTGCTCAGCAACGGCGCTACCAACAATGATCATGGGGCGCTCAGCGTTCTTCAGCTTGTCGGCGAAAGGTCCAGAAAGAGCAGACTTGAGGGCGTTGGCATCGGTACCGAGGTTCTCGTACTCGAAGGTAGACTCGAAGTCCTCACCAACAAGACCGACCTCGAGGTCAGAGCGGATCCATTGCTTACGGATACGGGCGTTCAGGACAGCAGCCTCGTGGCGGGGGTTAGTTCCAACAAGAAGGATGGCATCAGCTTCCTCAACACCAACGATCTTGGAGTTGAAAGTGAAGTTGGCGCGAACATCAATACCGTGGGCCAGAGGAGAGTCACCCTGAGGCTGGTCGAGGGCCAAGTTCTCAGATCCGAGACGGTTGGCAAGGTCCTTTGCGGCGACGAGCGACTCAGTGTCCATAGTGTGACCGGCAATGACCTTGAACTCGTCACCCTTGGGCTGGAGCTGCTTGAACTTCTCAGAAACCTCGACCAGAACATTCTCCCAAGTGGCGGGCTTGAAGGTGGAACCCTCACGGATGAGGGGAGTGGTAAGACGCTGTGTGCTGAGACCATCGCATGAGAAACGGGATCTGTCGTCAATCCACTCCTCGTTGACATCGTCGTTGAGACGGGGGAGAACACGCATGACCTGGAGACCTCTGCTGTCCACGCGGATGTTAGAACCAAGACCATCCATGACATCAACAGTCTCGGTGTGCTTGAGCTCCCAGGGACGAGCGCGGAAGGCGTAGGGCTTGGAAGTGAGGGCACCGACGGGGCAGAGGTCGATAACGTTTCCGGACATTTCAGTGTCAAGGGCAGTCTCGAGGTAGGTACCGATCTGCATGTCGTTGCCACGGCCAGTGGAACCAAGTTCGGGGGCACCAGCGACGTCGTTGGCGAAACGAATGCAACGAGTGCAGTGAATGCAGCGGTTCATGGAAGTCTGGAAGAAGCTAGTCAGCCAATGGCAGGCAGAGCGTGAAGATGTGCATCAGAACACACCTTGACAAGAGGACCGATGTTCTTGTCCTCAACGGCACGCTTGCCACCAAGCTCGTGGAAACGACCACGGTCGGCGCCGTATCTCATGCTCTGGTCCTGGAGATCACACTCGCCACCTTGGTCGCAAATGGGGCAGTCGAGAGGGTGGTTGGCCAGCAGGAACTCCATGACACCCTCACGGGCCTTGTGGACGAGGGGAGAGTCGGTCTTGACGACCATGCCGGGCTGGACGGGCCATGCGCAAGAGGCAACGGGCTTGGGGGCGCGCTCGACCTCGACGAGACACATACGACAGTTACCGGCGATCATGAGCTTCTCGTGGTAGCAGTAGCGGGGGACGGTGGAGCCAGCCTTTTCGCAGGCCTGGATGAGGGCGGAGCCGGCTGTGAAGAGCGTGTCAGACGTGGTGATAGTACGGAGGTAGTGGTGAGTGGAAGCATACCCTCTATTGAGACCTTCTTGCCATCTGGGAGCGCGTGTCAGTCATGTCGGATGCGATTGCAGGTCTTGGATTGTAGGCGTACCGATTGTGAGCTCGACCTCAGCAGGACGAGGGGCGGACGAGGAGAAGGCGCGGGCGGCATTGAGGGAAGCCAGCCTCTGCGAGCGCGGCAGACTGCGCAAGAGCTGTTGGCGCATCATGTTGTGTGAGGCCTGTGGATGTGGTGGTGTCGAGCAGAGAGGGCGAATACTCGTACAGTAGTATCGACAGCGAGAGCCACTGGCAGTTCGAGCGGCGTCAAGTTTCGGCTCCGCTGACACCATCTCCGCTGATTGGCTGCTGGTTGGTAAGCGGCTGTCTCCGCTGCAGGCCGCTTTTTTCTTCTTTTTTTTCTCTCTTTTTCTTCCTTTGAGGGATCGAGTGCACGTCCCTAATGCGGGGAGCTGTTGGTTCTGTTTACACGCCTAAAACTTCTTGTCGCCTGCTCGTTGCTTCCATTACTCTCTGTGCACTTATTCGTTTCTTTCGGTTTCACGACCATTTTGATCATGTCGGCCGATCTCTCAACGATCGCCAACCTGCTGCAGGCCAGTCTTGATCCTCGCCAGAACAAGCAAGGCAAGTCTCGCACCAAAACACTCAACAGCGTCATGTGCTGACCAGACATCACAGCCGAGCAGGCCATTCGCCAGGAAGAGGCCAAGCCTCAGTTCTCTCTCGCTCTCCTTCAGATTGTCGCCTCAGACTCATATCCCAACACAACACGATTGGCCGCTGCCCTCTTCTTCAAGAACTTCATCCGCCGCAGCTGGACCGACGAGGATGGCAACTACAAGCTCCCTCAAGACGAGGTCACCGCAATCAAGCGTGAGGTTATTGGCCTCATGATCTCCGTCCCTGCCACCATCCAGACTCAGCTAGGAGAGGCCATCAGCGTCATCGCCGACTCGGACTTCTGGGAGCGCTGGGACACTCTGGTCGACGACCTCGTATCGCGCTTCACTCCCGACAACCCAAAGGTCAACAACGGCGTCTTGCAGGTCGCCCACTCCATCTTCCGCCGCTGGCGCCCTCTTTTCCGCACAGACGAGCTCTTTACTGAGATCAACCACGTCTTGTCAAAATTCTGCGAACCCTACCTCGCCCTTTTGCAGGTAAGAGCCTATCCGTCAAGCAACCGCTGACACCATCACTGACACTTTGAAAAGAGCACAGATCAGCAAATCGCCGCAAACCAGAACAACAAGGACCTCCTCGCCCAGCACTTCACCACTCTCAACCTCAGCATCAAGCTGTTCAACGACCTTTCGTGTCAGGATCTGCCTCCAGTCTTTGAAGACAACCTCGCTTCCATCAGCGCTCTGCTTCTGAAGTACCTGAGCTACGACAACCCTATCCTGCACACCGACGACGAGTCAGAGGCCGGTCTCCTCGAGTACAACAAGGCTGCTATCTTCGAAGCTTTGATCCTCTACGTTCAGAAATACGAAGATGCCTTTGGACCATACCTTGGCCAGTTTGTCGAGAGCTCTTGGACCCTGCTCACTGCCATTGGTCCCGAGACAAAGTACGACATTCTGGTCAGCAAGGCTCTGCAGTTCTTGACTTCGGTCACCAAGATCAACCAATACGCTCAGAGCTTCAACAATCAGGAAATCCTTGGCCAGGTCGTCGAGAAGGTTATTCTTCCCAACCTGTCTCTGCGCGAGTCGGATGTCGAGATGTTCGAAGACGAGCCCATTGAATTTATCCGCCGCGACTTGGAAGGATCCGACAGCGATACCCGCAGAAGAGCAGCCACCGACTTCCTCCGTCAACTGGTTGAGCAGTTCGAAAAGCTCGTCACAGATGTCGTTTCGCAGTACATTGCACACTACCTGGCCGACTACGAAAAGAGCAAGAGCGACAACTGGAAGTCCAAGGACACTGCCGTCTACCTCTTCACCTCAATCGCTGCTAAGGGCGTGCCTACCGCTGCTCGTGGTGTGCAGACAACAAATCCCAACGTTGATGTTATCGACTTCTTCCAAAGGAACATTGCTGTCGATCTCACTTCAGCTGACACCGAGGCCATCCTCAAGGTTGACGCCATCAAGTATCTCTACTTGTTCCGCAGCCAACTCACTCAGGATCAATGGCAAGCTGCCTTCCCTCTCTTGGTTCAGTGCCTTGGCAACGAGAACTATGTCGTCCACTCCTATGCCGCCATCGCCGTTGAGCGTGTCCTCTACATGACCGACGACAAGCGCCAGCCCATCATTCCCAGAGAAACTCTTCAGTCCCTCAGCAAGGATCTCTTGCAACATCTCTTCCTACTTATGACCAAGGACTCCAAGGCCGAGAAGATTCAGGAGAATGAGTTCTTGATCAAGTGTGTGATGCGCGTTCTGATTGTTATTCGCGAGGGTGTTTTGCCTATCCTCGACATGGTTCTCACCAACCTCATCAACATCGTCAAGGTCATCCGTCACAACCCTAGCAACCCTCGCTTCTACTACTACCACTTCGAGAGTATCGGTGCTGTTGTTCGCTTCGCTGCACCCACACAGGCCGCTAAGCTCGAGGAAGCACTTTACAACCCCTTCGCTGAAATCCTGGCCAACGACGTCCAAGAATTCCAGCCTTACGTCTTCCAAGTCTTTGCTGCGCTCCTCGAAGCAAACCCTTCAGGTTCTCTGCCTGATTACTACCAGAGCTTGCTTGGTCCCATTCTCACATTGGATATGTACAACTCTCGCGGCAACGTGCCCGCTCTTGTCCGCCTCCTCTCATCCATGATTCCTCGTGCTGTTGAGCAGATCGTTGCAAACAACCAGCTCGAGCCTATTCTGGTCATCTTCCAGAAGCTCATCTCCTCCAAGGCAAACGAGTCTCTCGGATTTGATCTGCTCGAGGCAATCTGTGGCAGTATCCCAGTCGCTGCACTGAACAACTACCTTACCACGATTGTACAGCTGCTCATGACCCGTCTTTCTAACTCAAAGACGGAAAACTTCACCATCCGCTTCGTTCGCTTCTACCACTTCTTCTCAGCACGGGACGACAAGGGTCTTGGTCCTGATCTTTTCATCAACGTCACCGACCAAGTTCAGCAGAATGTCTTCACTCCCATGTATCTTCAGATCATCCTTCCTGACACACAAAAGCTGTCACGACCGTTCGATCGCAAGACTGCCGTCGTTTCGCTCACCCACACTCTCGCTAACAGCCAGGCCTTCGTGGATCGTTATGGCAAGAAGGGTTGGGGCTTTACTTGCGAGGCACTTCTCAAGCTCCTCATCAACCCTCCTCTTCCCCAGACTGCTGATGACCTGATCATCGAAGATCGTGATGTCGAAGACGTCGGCTTCGGAGTTGGATTCACTGCACTCAACACCTGCAAGCCTGTGCCTAGAGATCCCTTCCCTGAAGTCCAGGATGTCAAGAAGTGGGTGGGATTGTATCTGCGCGAAGCCGACACCAAGACTGGTGGTCGTATCGCAGCCGCTGTGAGCGAGAAGCTTGGTCCCGATGCTCAAGCAGCCCTGAGCAGTGTCATGCAAGGATAGGAACTTCCACGAATACCGGACTACGAACCACCACGTTTGCCATCCAAGAAGCGCAATGCACTTGAAGCTTTCGGTCCGGTGCCTGAACTTCACTGGGACTCAGGGTCTGACTCTCCAGCCTGCGAGGTTTCTACGCCTCGCTCATTCAGGCGGAGGACAGCAGTAGAATACGACATAACCCATGCTGCAAGACCAAGACTTACAAAATCGGGTAGTTGAGGCATTTGGCGTCCTTGCAGTAATCGAGTTTTGCTCCATCTTGCTGGACGCTTGGTCTTTGAAAGAAGGAAAAAGTTCAGAAGCATTTCCCCTCACCCAAGCACCCCTTCGTTTATGCATTTAGCTCCATAGACACCCCATTTTCGTATTTTATCTCTATTTTCCTTTCTGCACAATGATATCGTTCTCGATTGTAAACTCGCTTGAGGTTTTGGCGTGGCAGCGACAAGGTTGAGCAAGAAGAGCATGAGATGAGGATCGCATATTTCTCGATTGCAGACAGGATAGGATGATAGCAAATCGACCTGAGAGATGAGTGTAAATCTGGGTAACACTCGGCTACAGTCATCTGGATAACCGACACAACACCATCTCACAAAAAGAGGTCTTGCTTCAACCGATTTTTCGCGAGATGCAAGATGAGCGACATGAGCCATGCAGCGAAGAGTAAGGAAATCGGTATGATTACGTCTCTGCAAGCGCTACCATGCCGTAATCAGACAAGCAGTAGTAGCAGGATGGCACAAAAACAGATTGAGCTCAGAAGCTTAACGATCCTCCACAAACCCCGCGCGGGCCGTACCAGACAGCGTGCGTATTGAATGATTGACGATCCCTCACAATGACGACCCTGGTGTTTGGGTGCTAGCGTCAGGAACATAACGATCTGCTACTCCATCTTTCGGCCTTTCTCTCGTTAGGTTTACAAACGACTCTCTGGTCAACCTGTGGTTAGAGTCGCCAGAGATTGCGGAGATGACTCAATGATGCTTGTGAGATGTACTTGGTCAGCGATATACCAATCACATGTTCAGTCAATCAAGCCTCTGACGACTGCGGGAGATGATGCCGGCTAAGAGCTTGATTCTCACTGTCGTTCACACAGCCATTGTCTTCTTGACCTCCTCTTGGCCTCGTGTTAAAGTACTTGCGATGTCTTACAACCTTTCTCGTCAACCACCGATTTCACATTTCTTCAAGAGTCTTTGTTGACTCTGTTTCGCAATGATACCCTTGAGAAGGCTGACCAAGTCTCCACCAGCGAGACACACACGTCCAGGGGCACCTCGGTCCAGGGCATCTCAACCTCAAATCGCACAATCAACCATACCACCATCGTCAACATCATCGTCACAAGCTCAGCAAGTTCCTGCAGCCCTTGCGAATACCACTGGCCAACCACAGACCGGGTCGTCGACCACCCCGCCTATATCATCTACGGAGGGTGTGTTTCCGATAGCATCGAGCATGGTCCGGGAGGGAGGATATTTGTCGGCATGATGAAGGACGACTCGCTGTTTCTTTCTCCAATCGGTGTGCAAATCTGCTGAAGTGTTTTTGGAGATTCGATGTATTTGAGAGACCGGTAGTGAATGAGTAGGGGGGTGTCGTACTTGGGCCAGTCCTCTTCGCTGAATCCTAAGATTCAAATGCTCTCAGATTTTCAAAGGATCCGCTGGTAGATAAATGGGCTCAGGTGTTTCCGTCCCCGATCAAGAGTCTTCGCCAATTGTTCCCTGCCTGCTCCAGCGTCTGCGAGAATAGTTGTGTGGCATCCCACTGAGTCAGATCTACTATTTCTTTGTCATATCGTTCGGGGTCTGAGAACTCGTTGCTTTCGTCCATTCGAGCGCGTGGTTGCATGTCGCAGAACCTTGGGAGGGACAGATTGATAAGCTGGCCAGTAGAGTTGAGCCGAAAATGGTCTTTTAGTAAAAAAAAAAAAAAATGAACCCGGCTGTCTATTACCCGGCTGTCTATTAGCTAGGTCTTCCGGTATATTCTTTTTCGGTTTCTTTGCTGGATTGCAAAGATTATAGAATCTGCAAGACCAATGAGCTGTGTGCTAGCTTGTAAATATTGGAGGGTTATTGATGTTCTCCCCGAAGCCTCTATACCACGGTTGACGATTCCTGGTATCCAGAGCAAGACATAGAGGATGGGATACGCAGTCATCTGTACCACGACCTGGATGCGGGGATCCTCAAAAAATGCGGGTTGGAAGGGTTGAGGACTGGCTTCTGTATCAAATGTCTGAACGCTCTTGGCTTCAAGCAGACTTTGTGTTTGTTTGTGGTCGTGGGTGGTGGCAATACACTGGCCGTCGAATTCCACATGCACTGTCGGGACTGGGAGTGAATTTTCCCTTCGTGATCCGTCAGACACACTGACGATCTCGTCCATGCCAATATTCTTCCCTGCGCACCCGAGAGGCCCGTACTTCAGGTGATGCTTGGGGGTGACAAACTCGCGCTTCACTGGAGTCGTCTGCCCAGCATCGGTCGAGCCTGTGGTGATCTCAAAATCACCTCTGTATGTATGTCGTCGGAGCCAGCTATACTGACGGCACAATTTCCTTGCAATGCAGATGTAGATCGCAATGATTCCCAGAATGACGCCGAATCGCCAACCGTGTGCCAGCCCGTAGCGGAGCGCGAGCCTGTCTTCCTTGATCCAGCACCAGTTTCCACTGACGGGTCCAAATGCTTGCAGGCCCAAGATGATGCAACCTACAAATCGACACATTAGCGGTGTACTGAATATAGATCGCAACAAACACTTACTTGTCGTTAGACCTATCAACCAAACTAAGCCACAAGCAATGCACCTGAACAAGAGGCTCTGCTTGCAGTCATGTGTTGGCGAGTATACTAGGGCTAGTGTAGATATCGCGATCGAGAGGACCCCAAAGTCAACAGCCTGAGAATTACAAAACATCAGTATTTGTTACTCACTACGGCCAACTCGCCAGATGATTTCAAGAGACTGACTTGAACGGAAAATTGCCCCAGAAACCCATTAGCTGTGCAAGAGGAACCAGCTTCCAAGTCACCAGCGTGCATAACGGAGACAACTCCCGAAACACTGTTATTGGTACTGTTGATGAACTCTGTACTTCCAAAGTCAGCGTTAGAGAATGTATAGCGCACGTCTTTGGCTGACCTGCAGTCAAGAGGTTGATCACAAGCGCGTGTCTCAACGACTCCTGCAACCGTCTTCGTGTGAAGACGACATAGCAAAGGGCGGCAAAGGTCGCAGTACATGACAGAATGCTTGCGGCTAGTGTGAGTATTTGTAGAGATGGTCGGAACACCATGCCGAGATGTAGGTTTTTTAGCGACAGGAAATTGTCTAGACCTCCTGTGGATTTTTTCTGGATGTACGATTATTGTGAGCGTATATGACTGATCTGAGAATTTCAAGTTTGCAAGGTCATGAAGCTCTGCACCATTATCTTTTCGCCGTTTTGAACGGCATGAGCAACGATTTGCAAGTCGTATTGTATCGTCTTCCGAGACATCCAATAGAAGGCGTTAACGGCGACGCTTTGGAATTCAGAACCGACAAATCACGGAGGAGCACACAGCTACAACGTCGGACGTTCAAGTGATGCCTGTAGGTCTCTCTCCTTCCGCCCATCTCCGGCAATTTGATCTCGCGTTTCCAAGCTTGGTATTGTCCTCGAGTAACAGTACTGTAACACATGGTGATTCTTATCGCATGGGAGATTGCCCCCAGATTTTCAGTCATTCTTTTCTCTGAAACTTAACTTAGTATAGCTGTTTCTGAACCCCACATCCAGTCATTTCTAGGTGATGGTTTCCAGTTTGCAACCTAGTTCAAACGATGCTCCGATTGCGAATGGTCGCAGTTTGCTTACCATCCCCGTTCTAAGAAGGACCCCAGAGTTTTGTCTCCGATTTGATTTGCTCCGAGTCGATCAAGCTATTTAAAATGCAAACGAGTATCCGTCGTAGAGTGTGTCTTGATGGAATGACCTCCGAGGTGAGCACACCTTCAATCGCCCTGAACGCCCTTCGTGGATCATGGCGGAGCAAAGACTTGATTGCGATGATCCAAGCTCGCTGCATATGTGACGCTGCTTCGAAAATGCTGTTGTCCTCTTTCTCATTAACGTCTTGAGCGAGACTCGTAAAGCATTGTTGTCTCTTCCTTTCCTATCTTGTTGTCATGCGGTGTGTAATCAGGACGCGGTCGCCCTTGATCAGTTGCCATGATATTGTTACAGAAAACCTTCAGATCCCATGGCGTGTACAGCGCTCTAATGACGGCGAGGCCGTGAGGTTGGAGTAAACAAACGATGTTCAGCATAACCCTAGGCAACAACTACGACTTTTGGCCACATTCAAAGCCGTGGCTTCGCGGTTTCAAAACCAAGACCGTGCCCTTTTGATTATGTCTGCTTTTAACCAGATGACCACGACGTGAGTCGTTTCAATTGCCTCTCGTCGTACATAAGACCCTTTTGGAACGCAGGACGTACTTGTTGCATAAAAGCTGGACACCCTCGAAAAGTAACTACACCAGAAATGAGTGCCGCACGGGGAAATCATTATCAATGCCACGCGATGCGTTGTGTCGAAAAGCTTGCTTTGTGATCCCTGCAATGTAGATCATCGACTGCTCACCGCAAGCTGCACAAATTCTCCTAGCCAATTGCTTCGAGTCGTGCCTGACTATCGAGGTCGATATTTCGTTCTTTCCTCTTCGGGAAAAGCCATTTCCTCGCTACTCCAGTACTTAGTCTTATAAGAAACACGCGCTTGATCCCTAAGCCCTAGGTCTTTCTTTTGCATGTGGCAATAATAATGATCTCTCAATCACAATTTGTATGTCTATGCCCGAGTATCAATTTAGCCGACATCAAAAAAATATAAAGTCAGAAACAGAGATGGCTATCATGTTTGCAGATTTTACATTCCCCTTCATACACATCACTCGTTCTAAGCAATACGACAACCATGCTTTCGTCTTTCATTTTTACCGCCCTCGCTTTGCTTTCTGTTGTGCCTGCTCTCGCAGCACCAACAGGTGATCTTCTCAAGCGTGCTGCACTCCCAGCTTATGCTTTGACCTACGCACCTTACACGTACCTTCAGAGTGGTGAATCATGGTTCCCCTCGGATGTTGCAACTCACGTCAAACACATGTCCGTCGAGTACAACTACAAGAATGTGTCCACCTCTGTCTCGCTCAAGACATTGGATACATTCAACTCGTCCACTTACTTGACAAGCTATGACAACGTCGAGACCAACCCTGCTTGGCTGACAAGCACATATGGCAAGCCTAATGCCAAGGGTTACAGTGCTGCCCCTGCTACTATTATTGCTGTTGAGAAGGAAGGTTTCGTTGACGTTTTCTATTTCTACTTCTACAGCTATAATCATGGAAGTCTTGTCTTGGGAAGCAGAGTCGACAACCATGTTGGAGATTGGGAGCACAGCATGGTCAGTGACAATTCAGTGGGGACCACTGCCTGACACAGAGTCTAACACGTCTGTACAGATCCGCTTTTCCACTGCAGGCGTTCCTCAGAATGTCTACTACTCGGCTCACAGCAACGGCAGCGCCTACACCTACGCTGCCGTCCAGAAAGTCGGCGTTCGTCCAGTCGTGTACTCTGCCGCTGGTAGCCATGCAAACTATGCTACTGCAGGCACTCAAAAAATTTACCCAATCGTTGGCAATATCGTCACTGACACCACTGACGCCGGTTTCTACTGGGATGTTTCCCAGAACTACCGCGGCTACTACTACGATCCCTCCAGCAACACTGTCACCAATGCTGGCGGTGCTGATATCGGTGGTACGGAGCAGGCTACTGAGACAGTTGACTGGCTCTACTGGAGTGGTATGTGGGGAGATGAGCAATATCCTGATAGTGACAAGAGACAAAGCTGTGCTCTTGGAGTAAGTCACTCCTCACATCAGGAGGAAGAACGCGCTGACCACGATCAGATCGATGACTTGTGTCACTACCAGAGCGGACCTACTGGACCTCTCACCAAGAACCTTGGCCGTACCGCTGTCTGCCAGAAGGAGGATGGCTGCACAGTCCAGACGTCAATCTAAGGCTTGGTCGCAACGCGTTTGCTGACTATATCCATTCTCGCGCAATGACTTGATGATAGCTTTCTTTTTCTCATCTCCTCATACTCTCTCCCAGAACATCCTTATGCTGTTCTCCCAAGCTGCCTTTGCCACTTCCTCAACACTGATTCCCTTCAATCCAGCAACGATAAATGCAACATGACTCATACTACAACTCTCATTCCTCTCCTTAACCATACTGCCCATCACAAATTTATCCTTCTTTTTACTTGCTGGCAACGTTGGTGCATTGACCAGATACCTCTTTGCAATTTCTGAACTAGGTTGAATGATGCCCCAGGGCGCGTCGGTCTCGAGTTGTAGTTTGTCCAGAGGAATCGCCGCAACCATCTCTAGCGACTCGCGGTCTTTGAAGCTGAACCCATTGACGCTGACCTCTAGACCCATGGACACGAGTTTTTGCATTTGTGCTGTTGTGCCTACGAAGGAGTGGACCAATCCTCCTCTGGGCAGTTGAGATATGTACTCTTCCATCACAGACGTAAAGTCATCAGAGGCAGCTCGACAATGTAGGAACAGCGGTAGATCCCACTTCTGCGTTATGAAGAGATTGAGTTGGTCTTTGAAACACCGTAATTGTGTTTCCTTGTCTGCTAGCTCGAGGTGATCGTAATCTAGTCCCAATTCTCCATATGCAGTCACCAGTCCTGCTTCAGATACTTTGGAGTCATTGATTTGCATTGCCATTGCGTCGTAATAGTCTTTTCCATCGCTGCCATTTGCGTAGGGCTCGCTGGCATGATAGGGATGTACTCCAATTGTGATACTACAATTCGAAGGCTTTGACCGCGCAATCTCGGCATTGAAACTGATGTCTGAGCTTGACATTCCTGTCAACATCACTTTTCGGACACCAGAAGAGTCGGCGCGCGAGAGTACGGAACTAAAGTCTGGAGGGTGATATTGCTTGTTGCGGTAGATTCCTGCGAATTCTTTCGCTGTGGCTGTTACTGCGACCTGGGTTGGACATTTTGTATTAGCACAAGCCTTAGAATAATCGAGTACGTTTGTGGAGTGATATTGGATCTATCTCGTTTGATAGTCAGGAGGGGAATTACTTACATCTGCATACTGCAATTCCTCAGATGGCTTGGAAGGTGCGGCTTCAGGGAAGCCTTGCAGTAGACTTTCTCCCATGTTTGCGATCTTTGAACTTTGCGGCTACTTCTGGATTTGGGATATCCGTATCGATATAGTTTCGAATTCAACACCACGAGTGCCAATGTTATTAAGGCTGTTCCAAAAAGGTCGAACAAGACAGAGAACGACGTCGCGACGGCGGCTCCGGTCGCGGCAAAGGACAAATCAGCTCGGGCCGAGCATCGGCAAGAACTGCGGCAATCGGCATCTGCTTATTGTTTTTATTTTATTTTTTTTCTTTTTTTTGGACAACATGAGCAGTTTTTGAAATTGCAAAAGACTGCTCCTCGAACGATATGAAGGCGTCAGAAGATGGAGGTACGGAAATTTGTGAGATTCTGGAGATGGTCTAATGGCGCTATACTCATCAAGGCATGTCCCCAATATCAAAAACTCAAGAGCAATTGAAATGGATAAGTTAAATGAAACAAGGTGCCGAACAGATCAAGATATGATGAAAAACAGGAAAATTCATTGGAGAATATCGAAAAAGGTTACACCGGCTAGAAGAAAAATCTGATTACAATCCCGTTCCGCATCTGGCGGAACCAACCTGGCGGAATCACTCTTCGACATAATCAGGTGTCTTGTCATAAAGCTCATGGACCAATCACTTCGAAATCGAAGTCAAAGCTAATTGTCCGCTATCCGCCTGTATCTCCCAAAGCAATCAATTGGTTCACACATCCTGGCCAACAGTGTCAACAACGGCACCAACAGGAGGTGCAAGGCCACCAAGACCGAGCGATGTGAGGAGGGCAGCGAGTTCGGGAGAGACATCAGTGAGAAGACCAGCGTCTGAGCGCTTCTTGACGTCTTTACCAGCTGTAGCGACAATGTCACCAACAGGGGGAGAGAGGCCGCTCAGACCGAGACGGTTGAGAAGATCTTTGACTTCAGAAGAGAGGTCGGTAAGGAGACCAGCGTCTGAGCGCTTCTTGACATCCTTACCAGCGGTAGCAACGATATCGCCAACGGGAGGGGACAGACCGCTGAGTCCAAGGCGATTGAGTAGATCCTTGACCTCGGGTGAGAGATCCTCAAGAAGAGCGCGCTTCTTGACATCTTTGCCAGCGGTAGCAACAATGTCGCCAACAGGAGGGGAAAGGCCGCTAAGGCCGAGACGGTTCAAAAGGTCCTTGACCTCTGGAGAAAGATCGTCCAGGAGGGCACGCTTCTTGACATCGGCTCCGACTGTGCTGACGATGGAACCCACAGGGGGTGAAGACCACCAAGACCGAGAGAGGCGAGTAGTGCAGCGACCTCAGACGAAAGGTCTTGGAGCAGGCCAGGTGCAGCAGCGGCAGTAGAGTTCTCCTGAGGGGGAGGAGCGGCTATGGCGCTGAGAGCCATGGTGGAGAAGGCGATGGCAGTAGAGAACTTCATGATGTATGAAGAAGTAGATGGTACTGTTGGAGATGAGATGAGAGGTTGGGCGAGAAGCTGATTGGGATAATGGTGATGATGAGAAGGCAGATGGAGTGGAATCCTGGTCGTCTTTATATCTGGTCAGTGGTCTCTCTAAGCACTCATATTCAACGCTTGCAAGAGTTCGTCCAATATCTCAAAGTCGTGTTGTCCTTGGGAACTTGCTTGCCGAAAGGATGATCAACATAGAGCTGTTCAACAGAATGGAGTGGAGTTGCCCAAGTGGTGATTCCTCGCAATGATCAGGTTTGGTGGCTTATACTTTGTATAGAAATGATCATCTGGAGGGTCTTAACCTGCCTCGCACGTGCATAATCGTCTTTGACCGCTCGGACCGGACCTTTGAGACCCTGTGAGTTCGTGACACCGGATGAGGATCATGCATTGCGCGTCCTCCAAACTCCCTGACTCTTGTGGGCCATGAAAAAGGGCTTAGCCTAAGGAGAGATCGTCAAGCTTCGAAAGGTTCCTGGTCTCAGTTATCTCAAGATGCTCTGTGCATGTAAGTTATGTCAATCTTCATGTAGATGTGGGTAGGGACCATCCAATGGATCTCTCGAGCAGGATCCCACAGGGTTTTCACAAGGTACAAGCTTTCTAGAGCCCATATCTGTACGACTCAACAGATCTGGTTGGGTTATCGATCTCGAGTCAGGCGCTGCCTCCATTTGGCAGATTCAAAATCTGGACAAACTTGGCGTAAGTTCCCCTGGCCTACCTAAACTGGGATTCGGCTAGGTGAGACGTATATACCGTGGTGCATATGAGGACATCCAGACATGTTCTTCACATTCAGCAAGTGATTGATTGTACCAAGGCTCTCTGGAAGGATAATCTCTCATCGTGCACGGAAGGAGTCTCGGCTCCGCCACTGCCAAGCATAAAGACATGCGTTGACTGTATCCGGCGAGATGCAGATTGTCGAGCGAAAGTCGGAGTCATAGGGGAAAGGTGTTCTTACCCGATAACGCGGAGCACTTGGAGGTCGCTTTGTACATCCACTAATCAGCGTATGAGTCGGCGCAACTTTCCTGATCCCCGACCGACCGCCGCTATCCACCAGTCACTCTGAAATCTGCAGTCTTGCTTGCTGAATAGGTACTGCGCCAAGATAGATTTCCCAAGGATTACTCGCCTTGTTCAAATGACGGTACGTGGGTGCTGCTTTATTGGAATTGAGTGACAAAGAAACCTCAGGAGCGCTTCATCGGCCAAGTTTTACCACGATGGATTGTCGCTTGAGACGATATTCCTTCCTCAATGACATAGGCAGCATTCTGTAGGCAGAAGGACAACTATTCGGCGTTTTGTCGTAGAGAACCCAATTTTGAGTTACCGAAAGCAAAAGCCTATTCGTTCTAACCATATCACCATCCAACCTCCCACCATTTAGGGAATCCACCAAAGCTGAACTCAATAAAATATCAGGAACAACATTTTCAAAAGCTGCAAAGAAGTTTGGAGACATCATAGGCTCAAAAATGGCGGCCGAAAACATGCCTGTCTTGACACTTCACGCAGCAGAGACCGCATCCGCGGCGTCGCAACGAAAGGCTAAAGAAATAGGCGTCGGTATTTGTTTCTCCCCTTTCTCTCCGAATTACTCGGGAGACACACCATGGGTCTCAGGATCTGACACTTTCAAAATCTCAGACGTCAACATAGCGATCGTTGACTCGACCCTCCAACTTCTGCACTTTTCTCGAATGAAAAACGCGAAGCTCACATCTATCGATATTGCCATCAACAAGGCTTTTACAGCAGCTGGCCATCGTGTCCCTACTTCTCACTACAACTCAAAGACTTTCTTCCCTGGCGGCATGGGATTCGGCATCCAATACTCTAACGGTGGCAGGTTTTGCACATTGACTGGCGGCATACCTATCATAATTGAGGGCGTCGTGGTTGGGGCTATGGGTGTGAGCAGCGGAACTGCTGAACAAGATGTTCAAGTAGTCGAGGCAGGGCTCAAGGCTATCGAGAATCTCGTGAAAAGGTCGCAGGGCCCTCGTTTGTAAGATGGGTGTCTGATACTTTGAGTGACGTCGGAGAAGCAGCATGACGACTGCGAACGAGATTCTGGTGCTCTGTAAAATGATTCAGGCAGAAAATGTTACAACAGATGTGTCGTCAGATCTAACCATGCCAATGACGCAAACCAAAAGTCCCTGGTGATTTTTCACGATCCGGGGGAACGCATCTTCGCATGGATCCGTACTTCCCAAGTACTAGATTGGGGGAAAAGGCATAGGGGGCGACAACTGTTCCTGTGCACTGATACCAGAGGCCTTCTCTACAACCGCTTTTCAGACTCCTCACTCGAGGCAGCACCTTCACTGATTCGAGTCGGTAATTCTTGCCTTCAGGGAGGGCGATTGTGACCCTCGCACATCGGTCTATGCTCCATAGTAACACTCCTGAGTGCCGTCGCTGTTGGCAAGAGTAAACTGAAGGCCCATTTGGGTACTAGAACCATTCTCAGTGACAGGCTGAATTGCATTCCAGGCGTCGACGTGGACAGAAGGGAGCAGACTGTCGGAAGATACAGCGCTGGTGGCTGAAGACAGTAAAGAGTCCACACGACAGTCGCAAGAGCTATCAATTTTCCAACTTAATCCCGCTTTGAATAGCCGTTTCCATCTTCTGAGCCTTTCATGGACACCAGGAGATTGTCACTGGCCTAGGACGCAGAGTGAGTATCAACGGGCTCGACTGCAGTGGGCGTACTGGTGATTGTGCTGGGAATGCTTGGAACTATGTGCTGGTTCTGCTGACTTTCGCAGATGCTGACACTATTGTCGTGGTTGACGCATCATGCCTTGTGAAGTTGTCTTAATTCTGACGATTGATGACGTCCCGAGGACCAACTAGTCTTGCTTGTCTGTGGGGAAGTCGATCAGGATGTGCGAAGGTCCAAAAGCGGCTATTATTGACTCTAAACCAAACAAACTGCCTAGGTGTCAGGGACGTGTCCCAGGATGATCCACGCAGCATCCTTCTGGTGTAATTCTAGACCACACACCACCTCCAACCCTAATGCTCATATGTATACATAAAGCTATGAGATTTCCCCATTCCTGTGGCTCTATTAAGACTAAAGAACGTTTTCTCCAGCTCTCCACATCGACCGTTGAAACTGACACTGGAACCGTTAACAGATCATGATTCGATGCATCAGGACCGTTGAGATTGACCCTACCATTGTTGTTATCGCGAATCACAGCCACGAGCTTCAGTGTCTGTTGATGGTCGACACATCAGCGAACCGCATCTAGACCCTGGAGGGCTGGTTGTTCGCAAGGCATAGCACTGTCGCCCCGCAAGATATAGATCTTATGAAGTCGAACTTCTTCCGGCAAGGACTGGAGGGGTCCAGTGAAGAGCCATCGCAAGGCCGACCGAAACCCTAGGCACGTATTCGAACTCGACGTGCCACCATGATCAACGCTAGCGGCAGCGACAGCATGATGTAGACCAGAGTGATGATTACCAGCGTCGTCCAATGGCCAGGCTGTCCGGAGACGTGGACATGAGTCAAGATCGGGACAAAGCCGACACAACACATGGCACATCCGGCTGTATCTTGTGGAAAAGTCCTCATCAGCTCGGAGTCAGCATTAGTTTCGATGGCGTCTTGCTTAAAGCGATGACCTCGGAATCGCGGCTTGGATTGTCTAGTTCATGCCATGGAAAAGATATGGAAACACTGTGTCTGGACTCACATTCCTCATGTGCTGATCTTCATTGATCGTTCGCCTAACGGGATCTGTAGACAAGTTGTATTGAATGCTTGAAACACTGATTGCTTATCTCGGTTGGATCTGCCGGAAGTCTCGGCTAGCGTCATGGAAATTCTTTCGGACCTTTTGAGATGTACAGTCGCAAGCGTCAAACTTAACGAACGACAACGATCAAACATAGATTCAATTGTTCATAAGTATAGAGGTGTATGCCTGACCATACATCATGAAATCACGGTTGCACGTCTGACGGACCCGAGAATATCCGAACGTTGTGGTGGAAACGGCGCAAGATGAGATTGTGTGCTCAGAAACGGTCGAATAATCCTTCAGCTAAGACCAAACGTTGACAAAAAGAAGCTGTTATCAACGACACTAGATGTTAGTGTTCCTATTTGGATATATGATTTCACACTTGGAAGGTAACTTGAATCCTGTATAAGAAAGCGCCGCATCGTAGGGGAGAACTTCTCTCAAAGCTACTACAAGTCCGTCCGGAATTCCAAGCAAGACAACATGAATACGACGAAAGAATTGCTCGATCAGCTTCGTGAAGGCCCACCTAAAGGCTCTCCGTTCAGTGTGGCTTTGAACAACTCCCAGATCCCTGGCAGATCCTCCATCTACAGGAATTGGAAGTTCCAAGATGCGTTACTCACCTCCTTGGACCCAAACATAACGACCCTCCATGAGATGTTCGAAAGAAGTGGTTAGTGTCTTGATGGTATTTTTCAGATAGATCCTGACTGACCTCGACAGCCAGTGTATACGCGACGCAGAACTGTCTGGGATTCAGACCTTACAGTGCCGAAACAGGCAGTTACGGGCCTTACTCCTGGATCAGCTACAGCGCGGTTGCAGAAAGGCGGAAAAACTTTGGCGCCGGCTTGTTGCAAACTTATCAAGACATCTGTGGTGGCTTGCCACAGGGGGGCGTGGGACTATGGTGCAACAATCGACCTGAGTGGCAGATAGTGGATCTTGGCTGCATGTCGCAGTCGCTGTTTACGGTGTCCATCTATGAGACTTTGGGTCTCGAAGCAACAGAATACATCATCAACCAGGCTGCGCTCACTGTTGTGTGCGCATCTGCAGATCATGTGGAAAAGCTCCAAGCTCTTGCCGCACGCTGCCCTTCTCTCAGGTTTCTCGTCACTATGGACAAAGTCACTTCGGATGCGAACGCAAATAACACACCAGGACGACTGCCAGTATTCTCGCTGGAACATCTGGAGGATGTAGGCAGACGCAATCCTCGCTCTTTCCAGCCCCCTTCCCCAGATACCATTATCACGATTAACTATACCTCCGGAACGACTGGAATGCCGAAAGGTGCGGTTCTTACCCACAAAGCCGCAGTAGCAGCTGCTTCGTGTGCTATATCAATTGTGGATCTGCGCGAAGGCGATAGGATCTGCTCTTTCTTACCATTGGCGCACATCTTCGAGCGTGTCGTCGAAGGGGCCAGTCTATGGGCAGGAAGTAGCATTGGCTACTATCATGGTAACATACAAGCACTCGTCGATGATCTCAAAGCTCTCCAGCCAACGAACATGGTCAATGTTCCTCGAGTCTACTCTAGATTCGCGGCTGGTATCAAAGCAAAGACGGCACAGGCGGCACAATCCATGGACCTGACCAACAAGGACACCCTATCTTTTCTACATGGGCAGATCTCTAAGGGGTTGGGACTTGATTCTTGTCGCGTGATGATCAGTGGCTCTGCTCCCATCGATCCCTCACTTCAGAGTCATCTGCGCGAAAGCATGAGCAATACTTTCAAGCAAGGCTATGGACTGACCGAAACGTACGCCATAACATTAGCCCAGGATGCTTCTGACGAATCTGTGGGCACCTGCGGAGCAGTATTGCCTGCTGCTGAGGTCTGTCTCCAGGACGCTCAAGACTTTGGCTACATGACCACCGACAAGCCGAATCCCCGCGGAGAGCTGCTTATTCGCTCGAGCACACTGTTCTCTGGGTATTACCAAAATCCCACCGCGACTGCCGAGAGCTTCACAGAAGATGGTTGGTTCCGCAGTGGAGATATCTGCGAGATCGACAACCTTGGTCGAGTGAGAGTAGTCGATAGACGCAAGAATATCTTGAAACTTGCACAAGGCGAGTACGTTTCACCTGAGCGCATTGAGAACATCCTGAACGGAGAGCTCCCATGGGTTTCTCAGATCATGGTTCACGGTGATAGTGACAAGTCGTACCTCGTCGCTGTCATTGGTATCGAGCGGGCGTCATTTGCCAAGATGTTCAATACGCTTCGTGAAGATACGCCATTCTCCTCACGCAAGGATAGTCTGGTGGGAGACGACGTTTCCGCAGGACTCTCTGATGAACGCGTCCTCGCAGCGGTCTTGGATGAGATCCGAAAAGTCGAGACGTCGAAGAAAATGAACGGCTTTGAACGCGTGAAGGCTGTTGCACTGCTTGAAGACCCTTTCACTATCGAGAATGGACTTCTGACCCCAACGTAAGTGATCCTGAAGGGATCCCAGGAACGAATTGCTAATTGTATTGACCCCAGGCTCAAACTGAAACGCCATGACGCAGCTAAAACCTACCGCTTCCTCATTGATCGAATGTATACAGAGAAAGATGTCGGTGGTGGTGGCCGATGAGCTGAACACAAAGGAATTAGCCCGTTCTAATCTTGATCATAACAAATGTTTTCACATAGGTGTTGAGATAGAGTGCTTGCGGCAGTCTCTTCGTGTGGCTTTAAGTGGTACTGCAGCTTGTTTCATTGATGAATATTGTCTTGAACCACTAAACAGTTAGTCTCACTCGGCCAGCAGATTTTTTGCCACCAATCTCCTGGCCAGATCAAGTTCGAAGAGTGATCAGTCGTTGCTAGATGCGATTCCTGTAGATCGTTAGTCGTTATATCTTCCAGACCATCGGCCTTGTTCTCAGCCTTGCGCACGTTTGTTTCAGTTTAAGAAGATCTGCCGGAAAGACGAATGTGGTCTTGAAGCCGCTTTCGCGCTGATGACTCAAGAGTGAGACGTCTCCTCTTGGACAGACCGATAGTCTCGAGCCGTTTTTGCAGCAGTACTACCTTACAGATTTCGGTGATCAGCTCGCAGGAAAACAAATTACTGGCTGTTTGGATCGAGAATTACGTCGTTAAGAGGAATGAGACTTACGTGCATATGACAATGACAGCACATGCGAAAGCTCATGGCTGTCGAAGCCCTATATAAGATCATTGCCTTCCTGTCTCCAGGTGAACGACGACTCAAACTATTTTCTGATCACAATTTTTTTACACATCACTATGACATCTAAGAAACTTCGCGTGCTTGTCCTTCATGGTGAGTCTTGGTTTCATTTGTACTTCAGTTTCTCAAAGTTGTTCTAGGCTGATATGAGAAGGATATGGCCAGAATAGCGAGATGATGCGTCTGAAGATGAAGACTCTCCGAAGTTCGATCGAGGCCGAACTCAAGGACTACTATCCGTCAGGGGTCGAAATGGATTTTGTTGACGGTCCTGTCGACCTTTCAGATGATCAGGAAGAGACAACTCCAACCCGCCTCCATGCCTGGTGGACAGCCCTTGATGATCACAACCGCTACGTTGAGTTGGACGCAAGTCTGACAAGCGTCTTTACCCAACTCCGCGAACGACCCGTGGACGCCATCATCGGATTCTCCCAAGGCGCAGCACTCGCAGTCATGATTGCTGCAATTCTCGAAAACACAACCGAACGGCGTGCTGCCATGGCCAAGCAAGGCAGCCCCTTCTTGTTCTCATCCATACCACAGCAACCACTCAAATTCGTGATTGCATATTCTGGTTTCAAAGGCTCTCCAGCTTTCTATAGTGGCTTCTACAAGCCTAAAATTAGTACACCTGTCCTGCATATCTTGGCAAAACTGGACCATATGATTGCCCCAGAAGATTCCGCGAAACTCATCCGAAGTTGTAGAAACTCGGAAGTTGCAGAACACCTGGGCGGTCATTGGATACCCAAGGACCGGGGCATGGTCTCGCTTGTTTCGACATACATTCGACGCGTGTGTAGAAACACGAGGCGGGCTGATTCCTTCTGCGAGCCGAAATGGTAGCATTGATGTCTGCTGTTGAGAACATTGGCGTCGCGGTTATTCTTTCCCAGTGATAGTGTATTTTATTATGTGGCATTTTCAAACGCCTCCAACGACCAGTTCCGAATTTGCTAAAGCTTATGTCCTTCTTTGGGCGGGTATACTTTCTCGCGATCACCATGTGCGGGTATCCGAGCCTAATTCGCGCCAGGGAGTCTGCATGTGAGATGTGGGAAAGCGTACCGATCCCTAAAGATAGAGGTACTCCCATCCCGCCCAGCCCAATCTCCCTTGCTTAAAGCCGACACATTTCCAGCTGGACTTGTAGCTACTTGAGCTATCACTGTACATCCACTGTACATCCTCACACACCTTGTCAATTCGCGCCACCCGGCTTGCCCGCCTCTTCCTGTTTGAAATTTCAGTACGGACGTCCCCTGGTACAGTCATTTGGTGATCGTACAACGGCCAAGCCCGCCTCGAATCAAGCAGTTTACAGTTTACAGACCCCGGTACTCTCGCTATGGTTAACGCCGGACGCTCCAATGCGTGTTTGACATGCAAGAGACGGAAGATAAAATGCGACGAGACAAAACCTGTCTGCTCACGTTGTATGCGAGCATGTCTTCAGTGCAAGTGGGCACAATCGATCCGGACGCCCGAGTTTCGATTCGTCGACATGAATCAGGCTGTTGCCGCTCGACACGAACACTTCGAGACCCAACGCAGACTCTGGATGCCAATGTCACCATCCAAGGCACTACAAGATGACCGGGAGACGCAAGCAATCAATTTCTTCGCTTGTCACTATATGTTAGAGCAGAGTATAGATGGCGCACCGAACCCAGGACTCTTTGGCCTCTTCAAGCCTGCTTTTTCGAGCACATCTCGAGACTCGTCTGCATCTATGGCTGTCTCTGCACTTGCTTTATCAATATACTCAAGATGGCGCATGGACGGCGTAACAGAGAAGAAGGTGGCCAATGTTCTTGGTGGTGCCATCTGGAGACTCTCAAAAGATCTCAATGGGGCAGATACCCGAAGGAACGACAACACTCTTCTGGCGACACTGACCCTTCAGTTCCACTCTAGCTTCGAATCCTTGTTCGGCTCCAACAAAGCCACCATCGTCCACCACCTTGGCGCCCTTGCATTAGTCAGGGGTTTGGGGCCACCAGAATCCTGGACGACCCTTGCCAATCAGTTTGTGGCGTACATCCTTCACGTGGAAGTTGCGGCTGCAATTCGTGAGCATCGTAAAGTTCACCCCGAGCTGTGCTATTGGAGCTCAGTCATGACCGCGACGTGCATGCAGCCTGATAGCCAGATTGACGCCTTGGGCATAAGAGTCGCGGATATCCAAGTCAGGGCGGACAATATACTCAGGACTCAATCAGAGAACTGTCCAGAGCCATTTGCTCTTGATACACTTCTGAGAGACATTCAAGTCCTTGACGGATGCCTGGTCCATTGGCATGGTCTGGTTCTGAATGCGTGGGGCCCATTCTGCTGGTGTCAGGATGAGGTCGTGTTCCCGCCGATACAGACATTCAAAGGCGCTTGCCATGTGTACACTTCGATTCGCGCTGCTCGACTCATCAACATCTGGCGTAGTTACAGACTCTCTATATCTCTACTATCCCTGCAGCTGATCAGTCAATACCGAGGCCGACAGCTGTTCGATGCTGAAGAATCACACACCATCGAGGATGCTCTTGTGAAGCGCATCCGATGGCTTGTTGATGAATTCTGTGCATCTGTGCCATTCTTCTTGGGTAACAGGACCAAAATTGGCACAGTCGCGGACTTTGACGATTCAGCCTGGCGATTCCCTACTTGCCATGACATGACCGAGTTGCATGACACAAAGGGACGACCTGCCGAAATGAAAGGGCTGGAATCAACGTCGCACCACAAAAGTCGTGCTATCGCACAAGGCGTATGGCTAATCATGGGCAACCTCACACAGCTCGTCGCCTTCTTCCTCAGTCCCGCAAGCCTCAATTCCCGCTTGCCGCTTAAAAATGGTCAGCTCGCTTGGATATGTCAGCAATACCTTCGAAATCTCTCATTGCTCTCGCTTCCGTGGACTCTCAACAAAGCACTTGAAGAAGAGGTCCTTACTGGTGTTGCTTTGCCATCAGAAGAGAACATAATAGCTGAGGCAAGAAGATGCGTCCAACGGGTCCAACAGGGTTTGAAGATGACTGGGGACTGAGCTCGTGAAGCAAAACTTCACGTTCGCGTAGCCGTCCACGAACGAGGTCACTGCTGCATCCTCGTCCTTACATATGTGTTGCATACAATCCAATTTGGTAGGTACCTGTCTTCGACAACGTCTCTTAGTGATGGAGCGGCGGTGTGGCCTTGGTCGGACGAAGCATCACTTCAATGATTCTGCGTGACTTGCCACTAGAAGAGTCAGGGCGATCGTGGTCCGATCACTGCTTGTACCGAAATTATAGAAGGTTCGGAAGTCATAAAGAACTTTGATAAACTGCGCACTATCAACCTATCATTGTCCTCCACGTGAATTATTAACGCAGCTACCTTGATGATTTCGGATACCACCATTGCCTACTTTAGGCAAAAGATCTGCTCTTCGGAGTAGGAATCCTGATTGACTCCCAACGGCGTGACAAGCAAGCGGGGTAGCGCGACTCAAGTACTTTTCTGATTTGAAGGATTAGCCGATGTGGCGTTCATTTATTGATATAGTAACACTTGAAGAAGTTGACAATTGTGCCCAAGGTCGTTGCGAACAAGATCACAGACTCAGGCGTCATCATCCTCAACATCGTGGATAGCACATGCTGCCAACGGTAGCAACAAAGATTCGTATTGGACGACCAAGGACATTGTTAGCAATTCAACTTTAGCATTGGCAAGCGATCTCGCAATACTCAAGGGCTGTGGGGCCTAGACAGCTCTTCCGGTACTCAGAATGTCTGTCGCAAGTCGAGGGTGTTAGAACGGGTATCTCTTGCAGCATTTGGACTAGTGGCATTCGAGACTAGTATGGCTTGAGCATACGCGTTGCATCTGGGGTCCTGAAGAGAGAGTTATTGGTCATCCGACAAAGATCGTTGGACTGTTCCAAGTTTTATCTGCCTCAAGATCTCAGCTTGGGACTAGACAGACACGTAGATGCCTTCTCAAAAATGAAGCTGCGTGTGATGAAATAATTCATAGTCAGTTCAGATATGCGTGCGCAACAGAAAGAAGCTGAGCACCTAGATGCACGAAAATACAGATACTACAGCAAATCCATGCGTGCTCGATCACAGCACATAACGGAAGTCCTTGTTCTCGAACTCGGTCTGATCGCGCATTCCTGCTTAGGGTTTAGGGTTTAGGGTTAGGGTTAGGGTTAGGGTTAGGGTTAGGGTTAGGGTTAGGGTTAGGGTTAGGGTTAGGGTTAGGGTTAGGGTTAGGGTTAGGGTTAGG